TGGGGCGTTCCCGGAGGGCGGCGCGATCGAGGCGCGCTACCGGGGCAAGGGCAAGTACTATCCTGGCAAGATCGCCAGGGACAACGGCGACGGGACCTATGACATCGACTACGACGACGGCGAACAGGAAAAAGGCGTCACCGAGGAGCTCATCCGCGGCGTCGAGTCCAAGCCGGAGAAGGCGAGCGCTGGTGGCTCCGGTGGGGCCTTCCCCAAAGGTGCTGCGGTGGAAGCGCGGTACCGGGGCAAGAGCAAGTTTTACCCGGGCAAGATCGCTCGGGACAACGGCGACGGGACGTACGACATCGACTACGACGACGGGGAGAAGGAGTCGAAGGTCGCGGAGGCGCTCATCCGCGGCGTCGAGTCGAAGCCGGAGAAGAGCGGCGGCTCCGGCGGCGCCTTCGCCGAGGGCGCCAAGGTCGAGGCGCGATACCGCGGGAAGGGCAAATTTTATCCCGGCAAGATCGCCAAGGACAACGGCGACGGGACGTACAACATCGACTACGACGATGGAGAGAACGAGAAGCGCGTCGCCGAGGCGCTCATCCGCGGCGTCGAGTCGAAGCCGGAGAAGAGCGGCTCCGGCGGCGCGTTTCCCGAGGGCGCCGCCGTGGAAGCGCGGTACCGCGGGAAGGGCAAGTACTACCCGGGCAAAATTGCCAAGGACAACGGCGACGGGACTTATGACATCGACTACGACGACGGCGAGAAGGAGTCCAAGGTCGCGGAGGCGCTCATCCGCGGCGGCGAATCGAAACCCTCGAAGCCGAGCGCCGGCGGCGCCGGCGGCGCCTTTCCGAAGGGCGCCGCGATCGAGGCGCGCTACCGCGGCAAGTCGAAATACTATCCCGGCAAGATCGCCAAGGACAACGGCGATGGGACCTACGACATCGACTACGACGATGGGGAGTCAGAGAAGAAAGTCGCGGAGGCGCTCATCCGCGGCGGGGCGTCCAAGCCGTCGAAGCCGAGCGCGGGCGGCTCGGGCGGCGCGTTCCCCAAGGGCGGCGCGATCGAAGCGCGCTACCGGGGCAAGTCGAAGTGGTACCCGGGCAAGATCGGCAGGGACAACGGCGACGGCACGTACGACATCGACTACGACGACGGCGAACAGGAGAAGGGCGTCGAGGAGGCGCTGATCCGCGGCGGGGCATCGAAGCCGTCGAAGCCGAGCGCGGGCGGGTCGGGCGGCGCGTTCCCCAAGGGCGCCAAGGTCGAGGCGCGGTATCGGGGCAAGTCGAAGTGGTACCCGGGCAAGATCGCTCGGGACAACGGCGACGGCACCTACGACATCGACTACGACGACGGCGAGTCGGAGAAAAAGGTCGCGGAGGAGCTCATCCGCGGCGGCGCCGCCACGTCCGGGTCGGGCGGCGCGTTTGCCGTCGGCGCCGAGGTCGAGGCGCGGTATCGCGGCAAGTCGAAGTACTATCCCGGGAAAATCGCCAAGGACAACGGCGACGGGACGTACAACATCGACTACGACGACGGCGAGAAGGAGTCGGACGTCGCGGAGGCGCTGATCAGGGCGTCCGCTGCCACTGGATCCGGCGGCGCCTTCAAGGTCGGCGACAAGATCGAGGGCCGATATCGCGGCAAGTCGAAGTGGTACCCGGGCAAGATCGCCAAGGACAACGGCGACGGGACGTACGACCTCGACTACGACGACGGCGAGTCGGAGAAGGGCGTCGCGGAGGCCTTGATCCGGGAGGGGTTGGCCTTCTAAAATTCAACTTGCACGGAAACTTGCCAGTGGATTGGTTTTGACGTCGGCGAGTCTGGGCAGCCTTCCTGCGACATGGCAGCCCTGTGCCCCGAGCCCTTGGTCCCGCCGCTCGTCGACGTCCGCGCCTTCCACGACGCCTACGCCGGCGCCGACGGCGAGGCCGCGCGCGCGAAAGCCGCCGCCGAGGCGGCCCAGGCCTGCCGCAGCCACGGCCTCCTGGCTTTGCCGGCCTACGGCGGCATCGACGCGGCCGTCGTGGACGCGGCCTTCGAGAGCGTCGAGGCCCTCTTCGCGCTGCCGCTGGAGAAGAAGCTCGAGCTCGAGTACCGCGACGTGCGGGAGAACGTGGGCTACATCCGCCTCGGCAACGAGTCGCCGGATCCCAGACAGGCCGCGCCGGACCCGAAGGAGGTCTTCCAGTTCCAGCCGGGGAAGCGCAAGCTCCCGCCCTCCCTCGAGCGGCCCCTCGCGGCGCTCTTCAAGGACGGCGTCGCGGCGGGCAAGGCGACGCTCCGCTGCCTCGCGCGCGCCGTCGGGTCGGACGACGACGCCTTTTCGTCCGCCGTCGCGGAGCTCGACCAGTGCTCGCTGCGCGCCATCCACTACCCGGGCCCCGCGGCGCCGTCCTCGAGCCGCTGCGGCGCCCACAGCGACTTTGGGTTCTGCACGCTGCTTTTAAATCGCCGCGGCGGGCCCCCGGGCCTGCAGGCCGCGGCGCGCGCGACCGAAGCCTGGCGCGACGTCGTGCCGCCCGCGGGCGCCGCCGACGTCTTCGTCAACATCGGCGACATGCTCGCGCGGCGCACGAACGACGAGCTCTGCAGCACCTGGCACCGCGTCGTCGCGCCCGCGGACGCGGCCGAGGCCGCGCGGCCGCGCTTCGTCATCGCGCTCTTCGTCGACGCCGACAGCGCGAGCCCCCTCGCGGCCCTGCCCCAGTTCGTCTCGCCCGAGCGCCCGGCCAAGTACGCGCCAATCTCCGCGGGCGACTTCAAGGCCATGCGCCTCGCGGGGCAGACGACGACGGATCAGTAACTAGAAGATTAGCGGCTGGATCCAGAACGCGACGACCAGCCGGAACGGGCCGTCGGGCAGGGCCACCTGGCGCGTCTTTCGTTTCGCGCTGGAGATCGTGCAGTTCGCGGAGAACAGGCGCGTCAGAATGCCCGACGGCGGATGCGCGCGGCCGCGGTGGCAGAGGGCGCGCAGCACGAGGAGGCTCACGCGGGGCGGGTTCAGCTTCTTGCGAAGGTGGCGCTGGTACCTCGTCAGAACCTTCTCGGCAAGGGCAGGCGACGCCCCCGAATATGGTTCGAGGGGGAGGCTTTTCGTCGACTCGATGAGAGGTCGGGGGCCACTCACGCGCTTCATGTCACATAGTACCAGCCAGACGCGTCCAGGGTGATTCGGGGACCGGACAGTGGCGAACCTGGTGAATGAGGGTGCGAGGGGCGAAAGGGGCGGGCGCCGTGCGCGCGGCGTGTCAGACGCGGTGGACACGCTTCCTTAGTCGGAAGAAGCAACCGGTCTTTAGAGTTGCCCGTGAACACCCATCCCCAGTCACTAGGCGTGTGAGCTGCGGCGTCGCCATGTGTGCGGCCGATCCTCCATCATTGGGAAAGACTTGCATCATCGTATGATGGACGCCGTCCGTCACTTTCATTGCGTACCTGCGCGCGGGCGTCACCAACCGGGCCCGCCAAACGATTACGCACTGAGCAGGCTCGTCGAACGGGACTATCCCGGGATGTCTGCATTTTTTGCAGTCGAGGATCTGGACGATCGAAGGTGTCGCCGGCCCTCCCGCCGGCTCAACATTATTCAATATTCTTTCGAACGCGCCAGCGGTGGGTTCGATTGGTCTCGACAAATATGAGAGCCCGCGCTGCACGACGAGCGGCTGCGGGTCGAGCTCAGGCGCGGCCATGCCGACTTGCTTCACAATGATGTCAATGGTCAAAGTTTCTCCCTCGTTGCAGGGCCAGCCCCGCGTCTGGGCTGGACTGTTCGAGCCGGCATCGGGCGTCGGACCGCAGCAATCGTCGCCGCGATGAACACCCTGCACGCCGCCGTCGTGACGTTCAACCTCGCGGAGCTAGAACCGGAGTACGGCGACATCCAGCGCATTACCAGTCGGCTCGAGCTCGAGCGCATGAGCCTGGTCTGCGTCGTCGCGCAGGAGCTCCACTCCCTGAGCCTCCGCGACATGGGCGGCGCCCAGTCGCAGCAGGCGCACCGGGAGAAGTGGGACGACTGCTGGGCCGAGGCGCTGGGCGAAAGCTTCGCGCGCCTCGCCGCGGCGTCGCTCGGCGCCGTGCGGACGTCCGTGTTCTGCCGCCGCGACGCGGGCGCGCGGGACGCGGAGGTCGACGTCGTCTACTGCGGCCTCGGCGGCCTGCTGGCCAACAAGGGCGCCGCGGCCGTGCGCTTCAAGATCCGCGACACGTCGCTGCTCTTCGTCGGCGCGCACCTCGCGGCCCACGCGAAGCAGGCCGACAAGCGGAACCGCGACTTCCACCGGATCAACTCGTCGCTCTTCCGGGGACGGCAGAAGCCGGCGAGCGACGCCGCCGCCGACGCCGCCGCCGCCGCCGCGGGGCTGCCCCTGCCGCCCGCCGACGCCGCGGCACGGCCCCTGTCGTCGCCCGCGGCCCCGCCGCCGCCGCCGCCGCCGACGGCGCCGGACGTCGCCGCGCGGCCCGTCGCGTCGCCGGAGGGCGCGGCGGCCCCCGTCGCCGCGCGGCCCGTGTCGTCGCCGATGCTGACGCCGCACCCGGCCGTCGCCGCGCGGCCCGTGTCGTCGCCGGCGACCGCGCCGGCCTGGGCCGCGAGCGACGCGCCGCCGAGCAGCCCCACGCGATTGATCGAGGCGCACGACCGCGTCGTCTTCGCCGGCGACCTGAACTACCGCCTCGCGGCGCCGCGCGGTGTCGTCGACGATCTGCTCGAGCGGAGCGGCCTCTGCCCCGCGGCCTTCGACCTGCCGCGGTTCCAGCACTACGACACGGCGACGCGCGCGTGGGTCGACTACGACCTCGCGGACGCGCGAATCATGGACGACGCGCTGAGGCGCGGCGCGGCCGCGGCGCCCCTCGCCTTCGCGCCCGGCTACGAGGCCCGCTTCGGCGCGAACGCCGTGTCCGCGCGCATGCCGACGCCGCCGCCGTCGGGCGTCGTCCAGGTCAACGCGGAGACGGGCAACACGCGCGTCGCGCGGCGCCGGCCGCCCGCGGCCGCCGACGCGTCCGCGCTCGACGAGCTGCGGGCGCTCGACGAGCTGCCCGCGCAGATCCGCGACGGCAAGGCCTTCGTCGGGTACGCGGAGTCGCCCCTCGCCTTCGCGCCGACGTACAAGGTCGACGTCGGCGCGGCCCACTACGACACGTCGCCGAAGCGGCGCGTGCCCGCGTGGACGGACCGCGTCCTCTTCTCGCCCGACGGCCTCGCGCCCTACGAGTACGACGCGGTCCCCGCCGCGGCCCACTCGGACCACCGGCCCGTCTTCGCCAAGTTCGCCATCATGATCGAGTAAGGTTTACGCGGCCATGATCGTCGCGAGGCGCGTGATGACGACGGAGGGGACGGGGTCCGGCGCGTCCGGCAGCAGGAGCGCCGCGAGGCGCCGCTCGAGGGGCGGCTCGTCGGCCGCGCCGGCGCCGACGGCGGCGAGCTGCTCGTAGGCGTCGCGGAGCGCGCGCATGTGGTCGCGGCGCTTCTCGACCTCGGCCTCGAGCGCGGCCCGGAGCTCCTCGAGGCGCGCGCGGCGCGCGGCGGGCCGCATGTCGTCGTCGCCGGCCGCGCGCCGCACGACGAGGTCGCCGCGGTGGTCGCGGTCCGGCACAGCGACGGGCGCGGGCTTGCGGGCCACGCGGAGGTCCGCGGCCTGCTCGTGCGCGTCGGCCAGCAGCGCGGCGAGCTTCCCGCCGTGGACCTTGTCGGCGCCGAGCTGGACCCTGCGCCGGCGCTGGGAGCCCGGCCGCTTCGCGCCCGGGGGCGCCGTCGGCCCGCCGCCGGCGAAGAAGACGGCCTCGAGGCGCGCCGCGGCCTGGGACGCGACGGACTTCCGGCCGACGTGGCGCCGCTTCGCGCCGGGCCCCTCGGGCTCCGCCAGCGCCGCGCCGCGGCGGCCGTGGAGGTCCCGGGGCTCGAGCACGCTCCTCACCATGGCCTTGCGCAGCACGACGACCTCCTCGCGCAGGCGGCCGAGGCTCATGAGCGTCGCCTCGTCTTCCGCGACGCGCACGGCGTGCCGCGCCTCCGCGGCCGTCACGCGCTCCAGCGCCGCGGCGCCGAGCTCCGCCTCGCGCTCGACCTCGCGCACGGCGCCGTCGACGACCTCGAGCCGCGCGGCGACGGACGCCGCCTGGGCGCTCGACGCGGCGGCCTCGAGGTCCAGGGCCCGCTGCGCCTCGTCGCGCGCGCGGAAGAGGTCGCTCTCGGCGAGGATGAGCGCCCGCCGCGCGCGCACCTGCTCGAGCTTCGCGCGGGCCAGCTCCGCGCGCACCTCCTCCTCGGCCAGGGCCGACGTCGCCATGGCTCGGAGATGGCAGCCCCCACCTCTCGAGATGAAACGCTAGCGGCACCTTCGCCTCAGGAATCTTGTTATAGGCAGCGCCAAAAACAGTCGTTCATCCGTCTCTCGCGGCTGCCCGCGCGCGCGCAGCGAGCGGCACCATGGCCGACGACAAGCCCATGGAGTTCGCGCACATGTGGGGGGCCCAGGTGCGGCTCCCCTGCGACATGGGAGATGACGTGCTCCGCGACGCCATCGAGAGCGTGCGCGAGGAGCTCAACAACCTCGAGGCGACGCAGGGCGACTGGGAGGGGCCCGCCGGCTCGGAGATCGTCGAGCGCATCAAGCGGAAATTCGACTCCAAGTGGAGCCCGAGCTGGCACGTCGTCATCGGCCGGTCCTACGGCTCCTTCGTGACGCACGAGACGAGGCAGTTCGTGTCGTTCAAAATCAACGACAAGGCCGTCATGCTGTACAAGGTCTAGGGCCGGGTCGCGGTCGTGCGTCGGCGGCGGGGCCCAGCGCGCGGCCCGGACGACCGCAGCGAAGTAACGACGCGGAAGATTTCGAGCGGCTTCTCGGGGCGGGGGAACGCGGGCGCGCGTCGCGGGTCGCGCCCGGGCCTCGAGGCGGCGTCGACGGAGCCGCGGAATTGGTGGGGGGTTTTGCGCGATTTTCGGCGGGTGCGCTTCCAGCTACCTTTCGCGACCGATGCGTCGCGGGCCGGATATGATTTGGCTGAAGCTGTTGTTGGTCTGTCATTGCCTTTGCCTCATCAAGTTTGTTGTGGCAATGGGCTCAGTGTGGCAATTGTGGCAAGGGGCTTTTAGCTGAGCCTCTTTTCGCCTCACCCTCTTCTCGCCTCGAGCGCTTCTCTCGCCATGGGCTGGAACGTGCGTCGCGTCCTGTCCTGGGAGCTCCAGGCGAGCGCGCTGCTCGTGGCGCTCTTCTCCGTCGGCATGCTGCGCCACAAGGTCGACCTCGACTACACGCTCCCGGAGCTCGTGGACCTCAGCCGCTACCCCATCGACGAGCTCCGCGGCGCCGCGGGCCGCGCGCTCGTCGCGCGCGCGAGGGAGGACCTGCGGACCACCGGGTGCGCGTCGTTCCCGGGCTTCCTCGGCGCCGCGGCGCTCGCGGACGCCGTCGAGGAGGCGGCGAGCAAGGCGCCGGCGGCCTTCGCGACGGACGCGACGCACAACGCCTACCAGCTGTCCACGAGCGACTCGAGCCTGCCCGAGGCGCACGTGCGCAACCTTCGGATGCGGACGCGCGTCGCGTCGACCGCGTACGACGAGCTCGCGGCCGACGGCGCCCTGCGCCGGCTCTACGCGAACGACGTCTTCCTGGACCTCGTCGGCGCCGTGACCGGCGCCAGGGTCTTTCGCCTCGACGACGCGCTCGGCGCCGCGTCGATCAACGTCTTCGAACCGGCGTGGGAGCACGCGTGGCACTACGACGAGAGCGAGTACACGGTCACGCTGAGCCTGCAGACCGCCGACGAAGGCGGGGCCTTCGAGTTCACGAAGCCCCTGCGGAACTCGTCGGACGACCTCGCGGCGGCGGCGACGGCGGCCGTGGTCTCGACGCACTCGACGTACGACGCGGCGCCGCGCGGCGGCGCCTCCGCCCCGGCCGTCTCCGCGGCGCCCTTCGCGCCGGGCACGCTCCAGATTTTCGCGGGGCGCTATTCGCTCCACCGCGTCGCGCCCGTGGTCGGCGCGTCGCAGCGCCTCGTCGCCGTTTTCTGCTTCGCGGACGCGCCGGGCTTCGCCAACACGCCCGAAGTCCAGGAGATGTTCTGGGGCAGGACTGCGTGACTGGTTGTCGACTAGGCGTTCCTAAGTGCGTGTCAAAATAACATATCCCGCCGGCGGGATATGGTAAACGCCGCTTCAACAATTGCACATGAGGCGTTGAAGTGGCTCGGCGCGTATGATGAAGTGATGATGAAGCGCCGCGGCCGCGCGGTGGTCGCGCAGGGGTCGAGCGAAGGGGTCGAGCTACGAAGCATCGTTAGCAGACGCGCGAGCATAGCGGATGTCCCCCCTCAGGGATTGGGCAACCGTTGACCTTCATCGACTTCTTCGTGGACTTCTTCATGGACTTCTTCCCACTAGTATTCGTGGCCGACAGGTAGTACTGGAGCTTGCAGGGCGCATAGCCGCGCGCCGCGTCTTTCGCCGTCCATTTTCCGTCGAAGTCGAACATCGCGGGCGGGCCCCGCGCGCCGCGCTTCGCCGCGGACACGAACGCGGCGCGGCCCATGTTCGAGCCCGAGTTCGCGGCGACGACGTCCGCCTCGGCGAGGAGCGCAATCGCGGCGACGAGGAACTGGCCGAAGGGCAGGCCCGCGCTCCGGAGCGCGGCGTCGACGTGGACGATGCGGACGCCGCGCGCCGCGGACGCGTGCACGAGCTTCGCGGCGAGCACGTCGTCTTGCGTCAACACGACCGCGACGTCGCCGCGCGCCGTGCGCTGGGCGAAGAAGTCGACCCACTCGGCGTCGTCGAACATCGTGAAGCCCGTCCTCTCGGAAAAGGCGTCATGAACGCGGTCGCCCCGGCGCACGTGGACGCCGAGCGCGACGCGCGTCTCCGCGGGCAGGTCGAGCGCCGAGCGCATCGCCGCGGTCGTGGCCCGGACCGCCGCGCTCGGGCGCCAGAGGACCTCGGTGAACGCGGCCAGAGCCTCGTACCGCGTCCAGTTCGCCGCGAGCGCGCGGAACGCGCCCGCGGCGCTCCGCGGCGCGCGCGAGGCCGCGCACGCGGCGTCGTCGACGGGCGCGAAGAAGCAGCCCATCGTCGCGTTGTTTTTCCCGCCGCCGCAGCCGCGGCCGTAGTCGTCGGCCGCGTGGCTGCGGGGCGAATTATGGACAGGGCGCGACGAAAAGTCCAGGCGCTTGCCCTTCGTCGCCGCGTCGAAGGCGAGCTGCGTCTTCTGGTTGATCTGCGAGAAGAGGCCGCTTAGGTGGGGTTTTGAATTGTCCACCGGGGCATCGCGGAGCGCGCAGAGGATGCCGAGCATCTCGTTGCCTTGCGACGATAGCTGAGGCCCGCGCGACAGCTCCGGCGCGCCGCTGCCGAGCGTGACGCCCGTCTCGGGCTTGTCCGCGGGCGTGGGCTCGTCCGCGGGCTCGGGCGTGGGCTTGGGTGAGACCACCCCACAGTCGCGGACACAGTCGCACACACTGTTGAGGCGACGGTGCTGCCCGACTTCCTTGCTCACGGAGTCCTCGAACGACGACGACGCGCGGAACGCCGCTACGGCTGCCTCCGCCGCCGCGAGGCGCTCGCGGAGGTCCTCGTTCTCGGCGCGCAGGTCCTTGTTCTGCGCGCGCGGGTCCTTGTCCTCGGGAACCGGCGCGGCCGCCGCGGCCGCCGTGGCGAAGGCGATCGCGCGGATGAGGTGCATGGTTGAATCTGCGGGGAAGTCGACGCGATCGGGACTTCGTCTCCGGAGCGAGCGACCTCGTCGTCGAGCGGAAAGACGGGTGGTCGTCGGAACGCGGGGCGGGGCTGACGGCTCGCGGATCGAAGACGACTTTCTTCGGCGACGAACGACCGCGGGCCACCGGCGCCGGGACCGCTTCCCCCGCCGGGCGTTCACGATGGTCGAGGCCATGCGGGGAGGGGGCGGCACGGACGCGCCGCGACGAACAGACCATCGAAACGAGTCGAGCTCGGTTCGCCGATTTTAGGCGCTTCGACGGGCCTCTTTTCGACGGTTGTCACTTCAGAGGGGGGCGTGGCGGGTCGCGCGGGGGGTGGCAGGGGTCTGGGGGCGGGAAACGGCCCTTTTCGGCGCGGGACATCGCGTTTAAGCGCTCGGGCCGCCCGAGGTTGTAGGGTCGCCGCAATCCACTACGACTCCAGCGGGCGACGTCGGCGGCCGCGTCGTCCTTGTTGCTATCGTAGTGATGGGAATCAAACGTGGAGACGCAGTAGCAGGTGCGGCCCGGGTCTTGCTGCTCTTTCCTGTCAGCGATTCGGCCAATATTGGTCAACGCCGACGCCTTCGCCGGGGGTTAGGTTGGCAGGCAGGGGGTCGGTAGGGGTACGGGCGCGCGAGTCTGCCCGTTTGGCGCGGTCGCGCTTCGAGCCCGCGCTGGCGCGTACTGCGCCGCGCCCGGCCGGCGCGCCGCGAAGCTCCGCGCGGCCCTCGACGCGCGGTCGCCGACGTTCCTCCGCCCGCGCGTCCACGCGCCGTCGCGCTGCGCGGGCGACGTCGAGTGCGGCCGCGAGGCCTGGTTCATCGAGGGCCGCGCCTTCTTCGACACTGCGGCGCATTCGATGCGCCCACGGTGCCGAGCGCCATCGTCGACCGCGGCACCGGGCCCCCGGGGACCGCTAAATTGGAATGTTTCTAATGTCAGGTGTATGTGTCTCGAATATGTTTGAGATGTTTAAAGGCGCTCGATCATTTCATCAGGTTCTAGTCCCACGTTAAAGCACCCATAATAATAATAATAGACACCCGCCAGCGCCTGATTCCTATGTTTGAAGTTCAAGTTGTAGCGTCCTAAAAACTGACTCTGCGATGGGCAGAGCTTTCCTTGCACTCGCGTCGCTAACGATAGCCTCCGCGCAGACGACGACGGCTTTCCTTGCACTCGCGTCGCTAACGATAGCCTCCGCGCAGACGACAACGGAGTGGCTCGTCTCCGAGTCGCCGCACTGGTATGCGATCACCCATGATCCCTTTTGCGACGAGCTCGCCGCGGGCACGCTGCCCAATGCGACGCTCACGCGCTACCTCGTGCAGGACCACAAGTTCCTCGACGCCTTCGTCGTGCTCCTGGCGTCGATGATCGCCCACGCGCCGACGCTCGCGGACCGCGTGCCCGGCGCGCAGTTTCTCGCGCTGATCACGGGCAAGGAGAACACGTACTTCGAGCGGTCGTTCGACGCGCTCGGCCTCGACGCGGCGGCGCGCGCCGCGCCGCCGGCGCCGGCGACGTCGGCCTTCATCGGCCTCATGCGGCGCGCGGCGGCGTCGGGCGAGCTCCACGCCATGCTCGCCGTGCTGGTCGTCGCCGAGTGGAGCTACCTGAGCTGGGGCGAGCGCGTCGTCCCGCGCGACGGCCTGTCGTTCTTGCACCTCGAGTGGATCGACCTGCACCGCGGCGAGTACTTCGCGGGCGTCGTCGCCTACCTGCGCGGCATGCTCGACGCGCTCGACCTCCACGCGTCCGAGATGGCGATCGCGAAGTCGTACTTCGACGACGCCGTCAAGTGCGAGAAGGACTTCTGGGACATGGCGCGCGGCGGCGAGGGCGAGCTCTAGCTTGTTTCACGGTTACAACTCCCCTAGCGGCGGAGCTTCTTGAGGAGGCGCTTCGTGCGCCACCAGCCCGTGCGCTCCGTGAAGCCGGCGATCTTCGCGAACGCGGCCGCGTCGAGCGACGCGCCGCCCACCAAAGCGCCGTCGACGTCGGCCATGGCCATGAGCGCGTCGATGGTCGCGGGCGTCACCGAGCCCCCGTACAACACGCGGCAGCCGTCGGCGGCTTCCCGCGAGTACATCGTCGCGAGGCGGCCGCGGATGCGCTCGTGGACTTTTTGCGCGACCTTGGGCGGGCACGTCAGCCCCGTGCCGATGGCCCAGACGGGCTCGTAGGCGACGACGACGCGCTCGAGCTCCGCGGCGGTGACGCCCGTGAGCGCCTTGCACAGTTGCACGGCGCAGACGTCGTCGGTGATGCCGAGCTCGTACTCCTCGCGCGTCTCGCCGATGCAGACCATGGGCGCGAAGCCCGCGTCGAGCGTCTTGCGCACCTTGTCCTTGACGGCGGCGTCGTCGTCGCCGAAGAGCGACCGGCGCTCGCTGTGGCCCGCGAGCACGTACGTGACGCCGCCGAGGCTCTCGAGCATGGGGAACGACGTCGCGCCCGTGAAGGCGCCCGCGTCCGAGAGCTCGCACGCGTCCTGCGCGCCGAGCGCCACGGCGCCTTGCGCGGCGTGCGCGACGGGCTCCAGGTAGGGCGACGGCGGGAAGACGACGACCTCGCGCTCGGGCGCCGCCGCGTGCAGGGCCGTCGCCAGCGCCACGGCGTCGTCCACGGAGGCCGGGTTGCACTTCCAGTTGCCAGCGATGAGAGGCGCGCGCAGCGCATCGCTGAGCACCGCGAGCGACACTACCATCGAGACGCGCAGCATCGTGGGACCGGTGCTGGACGACGACTGATTGGTGCTGGACGACGACGGCTGCCGCTCGATGTTGGAGCCAACTCAGCAGCGCGTTTACAAGCCTCAACCACTCTTCACATAAAACGGTGCCGCATCGTTGCAGCAAAAGTCGGGGAAGATGCGTCCTTACGCGGCGCTGGCGGGGGGTATGAGGCAGATCACGGCGACGGGCGGACCAGCTTCTCGGACTTGGCGAGGATGCGCTTGAGCGCGTCGTCGTTCTGGATGAGGCGGTCTTCGAAGGCGCCGTAGATCGCGCCGACGTTGAGCTGGTGGCGGACGACGTCGGGCGCGGGCGGCGGCGGCGGCGCGGCGTGCTTGGCGCGGTGCTTGGCCTGGCGGAAGGGCGACGAGGACGCCGTGACGGCGGCCGCGTACGCGTTGTGCCGCGGCGGCGGCCGCTCGGAGAGCTTCGGCGCGGGCCGCGGCGGCGGCGGCGGCGGCCGCTTCTTGGGGACGAGGGACGAGCCCGCGGCCTCGAGGCACTCCTGCGTGAGCTGGCTCACGCTCAGGTAGGGCCGGTCCACGGACGCGACCGCGCCCGGCGCGCCGTCGGACGCGAGCCACGCGCGCTCCCACAAGCCGTCGGGCGACGCCTCGAAGGCCTTCTTCTTGCGCTCGCGGCGCTTCTTCGCCGCGGCGCTCTCGGGCCGCTTGCCCGCGTCGAGGTCCGCCTCGTGGGCCGTCGCGCGGCGCCGCGGCGACGGCGGCGCCCGGGGCCGCGGCGCCGCGAGGCCCGCGAGCGGCGGGTACGCCGCGCGCGGGTCCGGCGCCGCCGACGAGCCGACGACGGGCGCGTAGGCCCGCGCCAGCGCGTCGCTCAGGTGCAGGTCGCTGTCCGCGGCGAGCATGGCGACGAGCGACGCGTCGAGCGCGGACCGCGGCGTCGCCGCCGCCGCGGGTTCCCGCGGCGCCGCGGCGCCCGCGGCGGCCGCGGGCTCGACGAGGGCGCGCGCCGCCGCGGCCCGGGGGCTGTCGGCCGCGGGCGCCGGCGCGACGCCCTTGGCGTCGCGGAGCGCGAGCTCGACCGCGCGCCGCGTCTCCGCGCGGCCGGACGCCATCGCGTCCTCGAGCGCGACGGCCGCCTCCAAAGCCTCCACGTCCCGGCGCCGCGCCTCGAGGGCGCGCCGCTCGCCGGCGGCGGCGTCGTCGAGGGACGCGCCCCAGGCCCGCGCCGTCGCCGCGCGCTCGACGGCGGCGACGCCGCCGGGCGAGAACGGCGGCGACCCCGGCGTCGACGGCGACGCGGGCGACGGCGGCGCGTCGGGCGCGCGGACGCGCGACGCGTCGACGCCGCGGAGGATGGTCGCCTCGAAGGCCGGCGCCGCCGCGTCGAGGGTCGAGTAGGGCCGCGCGGCCGCGTCGAGCGGCTCGTTCGCCTCCGCGGCCGCGTCGAGGATCGCGTCGCCGTCGTCCTCGAGCGCCACGGCCAGCGCGGCGTCGCGCGCCGCCGCCAGCGCGGCGGCGCGGTCCGCGTCGTCGACGGCGGCCTTGGCGGCGTCCAGGGCGTCGTCCTCCGCGTCCTCGAGCGCGACGCGCGCCGCCGCGGCCTCGGCCGCGTCCGACGCGGCCTTCGTGTCCTCGCAGGCCTCGACGAGCACGTCCTCCGCGTCCGCCAGGCTCACGGCGCGGGCCGCGTCCTCGGCGGCGTCCGACGCCGCCTTCGTCGCCGCCGCGGCGTCCAGCAGGTCGTCCTCGGCGTCCTCGATCTCGACGGCGACGGCCCGGGCGACGCAGGCCGCGCGCGCGTCGACGGCCTCCCAGTCCGTGGGCTGCTCCGCGTCCGGCGGCTTCTCGATGTCCTCGACGTAGTCCAAATCGGCCTCGACGAGCACGTAGTCGGACTCGTCGCTCGCGGTGTCGGCGCACTCCTCGGCGTAGTCCGCGGGCGAATCGGGCAGGTCGCCGACGGGGGACTGCGCCGCGGCGACCATGCGCGCGATCTTGTCGTCGCCGCCGGGCGACGCCGGCGCGGCCCCGGCGCCGTCGCCCGCGCCCGCGAGCATCGCGAGCACGTCCGCCTCCGCGAGCTCCGGCCTCGCGACGGCCGCGAGCTCGCCGGCGACGGTCGCGGCGGCGGCGCGGATGGTCTCGTGGGCGGCGCGCGACGGCGTCTCCGCGGCCAGGGGCGGCGGCGGCGCGGCGAGCACGGGCACGGCGCGCGGCTCCGCGTCCGGGAGCCTCGCGCGCGCGCCGCGGCGCCGCAGCAGCGCCGCGTCGAAGGGGCTCGACGGCTCGCCCGCCGGGCTCCCCGGCGCCGCGGTCGCGCCGCGGCGCCGCTCGAGGAGCGCCGCGTCGAAGGGGCTCGACGGCCCCGCGTCGCGGCCCCGGTACGGCTCGGGGGACGGCGCGCCCGGCGGCGGCGGCGCGCCGCGGCGCCGCTTGAGCAGCGCGGCGTCGAAGGGGCTCGACGGCGCGCCGAAGTCGCCGTCGAAGGGCACGGGGCTCGGCGCGTCGGGCCGGATGGGCTCGAAGGGCGGCGGCGGCGGCGCGGCCGCGTCGCCCCCGGGGAACTCGCTCTTGCGCCGCAGCAGCGCGGCGTCGCGCGGGCTGCTCGGCTCCTGGAGGCACTCGAGGAAGCGCGCGACGGGGCTCAGCGGGCCCGCGGGCGACCCCGTCGGGAACTGGAGGCTCGTCTTCTTCCGCCTCAGGAGCGCGCTGTCCTGCGGCGACGACGGCTCGGCGAAGGCCTCGTCGACGACTTTGCCCACGGGCGACGCGGCCACGGACCGCAGGCTCACGGGCGACAGCGCGTCGGCGCCCGCCGCGTCCGCCTCCGGCGGCGGCGGCACCTCGACCTGGAGCTGCTGCCGCTTCCGGTTCCGGTACGCGTCCGCGGGCGCGACGCGCGCCATCTCGCGCGGCGGCGCCGCCGCGGCCGGCGCGCCGTAGGGCTGGCAGCCGGCGGCGGCGCCGGCGGCGACGAGGCGCGGCGCGAGCCAGGCCGCGAGCGCACCGGCCCGCGACGCGTCGGCCTCCCCGACGGCCGTCACGAGGCAGGCCTCGCCCTTGCCCAGGACGCCGAGGATGAGCCAGGAGCAGTCGCCCCGGGCGCACTGCGGCGAGTTCAGCGCCACCCAGAGGTCGTCGGCCGTCGACGACTCCGTCAGGGCGACGACGATCATGGGGCCCTCGGGCGTCGGCGGCTCCGCCATGGTAGCGAACACCGACGACGCCGTTTGCCGCGGGTTGATGACCTGCGTCTAACTTTTTATTCTGCCACAAGCGGGCGGCGAGCCGCTAGAGACGGGCCCCTGCACGACGGTCCGGCCCCGGGACGGGGGCCGGGGACGGCGGGCACGGGGGTTCCGGCACGGTAAATGCGCTCCGGGCACGCGGCCCGGCACGGGCCCGGCACGCGGCACGGCACTCGGCACGGGCCCCCGGGCACGGGCCGGGCACGGGCCACGCGGCCCGGCACGGGCCCGGCACTCGGCACGGGCCCCGGGCACGGGCCGGGCACGGGCCGGGGAGGCCCGGCACGGGCCCGGCACGGGGCCCCGGGCACGGCCCGGGCACGGGCCGGGGACGTGGCCGGGGACCGCGGCACGCACCGTCGCGCAGGGGCCCCTCTAGAGTCTGGACGCTTCGCGAGGTTCGACGCGGACTAAATCTAGCCTGCTAGTGCGATCGCGACACCGCACATGGCGCTTCTGCACCGAAGCAACCGCGCCGTCCCCACAAAAACACCCGCAGCCCGACTTCGTCCGATTCGTTAACAACCGCGCGCGGCCTCGCGCCGCGGCCTCGCGCCGCGGCGCCGTCCGCGACCGGCCCGAGCACCCGCCTCACAGGAGGCCGAGGTCCGCGCCGAGGGCCGGGATGGCGTTGCCCAGCGACGACAGGATGAGCAGCGCGGGCAGGATCGACAGGTCGAGGCCGCCGATCGGCGGGATGAGGCCGCGGAAGAGGTTGAGGAAGGGGTCCGTGACGACGAAGAGGGGCTGGAGCAGGGGCTGGCCCTGGGCCTGGGGGAACCACGAGAGCAGGATGCGGCCCGTGATGAGCGCGTTGTAGATGCCGAGGAAGTTGATGAAGCCGCCGAGCGTGACCATCTCGACGACGCTGTCGCCGGGGATGACCTGCGAGCGGTGTCATGCGCGTCGCGGCAGACGATGCGGCGACGCGGGAATCGTGCCGCGTGCAGCGCCGTGCTCGAGGGCGCCGCGGGCGTCGACGGCGGCGCGCGCCGGGCCTGTGGCAATTTTATGCGTGTTTTGCGTCGGCGCTGCGCGTTTTTTCGCACCGTGGACGTCGGCGCGAGGCTGCGGCGCGCGACCGGCTGGAAGGATGCGACGCTCGCGACGAGCGCGGCGCAAACGAGGGTGCGAGACAGAGGCATAATGTGGTGCGCTGGCGGCGATCCCTTTGTCCGGAGCTCGCTTGCAGCCATGTTTCCCCGGGTGCTCGAGCCCGACTTGCCGGCGGCCGCCGCGCTCGAAACCTTGATCAACCGACTGCATTGTCGGGTCACGGCGACCGTCGCCGCGGGCCGGCGTCCGTAGACGCGCAGTCTCAGCGCGCCTCGTCGCCCGACAGCGCCTCGCGCCGCGCCGCGCCTGCGGTCGGTCGGAGGCGCCCGGCGGCTTTCCGCGGCCGTTCGCAGCGGATACTATGGCCGGCTACATGAATCACAGCACGAACTGGAGCTCGTCGGACGTCGGCGGGCTCTGCTGGGTGTCGGATCCGGCGCAGGCCTACATCGAGGCCAAGGTCACGTCCGTCGGCGGCGGCCGCGTGACGGCGGCGTCGAACGACGGCCGCGACTTCGACGTCGACCTCGAGCTGCCGCTGAAGCCGCCGAGCCGGAAGCAGAAGGAGGCGCCGCGCCGCGTGCTGCAGCGCGTGCCCCTCACGTCGAACAACGGCGCGTCGGCCCGCGTCCCTTGGACTAGAAAACGCGCGTCACCCGAAGCTTGTAGGCGTCGACAACATGGACAACCTGAGCACGCTGCACGAGGCCGCGATCCTCGACAACATCCAGCACCGGTTCCGCATGGACCTCATCTACACGAACACGGGCCCCATCCTCATCGCCATGAACCCCTTCAAGTGGCTGCCCATCTACGGCGACGACGTCATCGGCCGCTACCACGGGAGGCCCTACGGCGCGTTGCCGCCGCACTGCTACCAGGAGGCCGAGGACGCGTTCACGAGCCTCCAGCGGACGCGCAAGAACCAGGCCATCGTCATCTGCGGCGAGTCGGGCGCGGGCAAGACGGAGACGACGAAGTTGATGTTGCACTACCTCTCCGTGGCGTCGAAGCGCACGTCCGCGCGCCGCGAGTCCGGCGCGGAGCCGGGCGCCGGCGGCCCGACGATCGCCGAGCGCATGGTCGCGTCGAACCCGCTCCTCGAGGCCTTCGGCAACGCGAAGACGCTGCGCAACGACAACTCGAGCCGCTTCGGCAAGTTCACGCGCTTCGACTTCGCGATGAATAGCGCGGTCATCAACGGCGGCCACATCGAGAATTTACTCTTGGAGAAGGTCCGCGTCGTCGAGCAGGCGCCGGGCGAGCGCAACTACCACGTCTTCTACCAGCTCTGCCGCGGCGCGGCCAAGGGGTTGTTGGAGGGCGCCGCGGGCATGGGCCTCGCGGGCGCGGCCCTCGAGCCGGCGAGCCACGGCTACTCGAGCGGCTGCGCGGACGTGGCCCACCTCGACGACGCGGAGGAGTTCCAGGCGACCGTGGCCGCGCTCGACGCGCTCGGCGTCCGGGCCGACGAGCGCGAGCGCATCTTCCGCGTCGCCGCGGCGGTGGCCTGGCTCGGCGACGTGACCTTCGTCGAGGCCGCGGACGACGGGTCCGCCGTGGCGCCGGGCGACGAAGCTTTAGCCCAGGCCGCCAAACTCCTCGGCGTCGACGCGGCGAAGCTCGCCGCGGCCCTCGTCGTGCGCGTGCGCGAGATCCACGGCGGCGAGACCGTGACGTCGCTCAACGACGTCGCCGCGGCCACGGGCCTGCGCAACGCGCTCGCCAAGGCGACGTTCAGCCGCCTCTTCGACTGGCTCGTCAGTCGCGCGAACGCGGCGTTCGACGTCTCCGGCGGCAAGGAGACGCAGTTCATCGGCGTGCTCGACATCTTCGGCTTCGAGGACATGCACAGCAACGGCTTCGAGCAGGTCTTCATCAACACGACGAACGAGATGCTCCAGAAGGTCTTCAACGACATCATCTTCAAGTCCGAGGAGGACGAGTACACGCGCGAGCAGATCGACTGGGACAAGACCGTCTTCCCGGACAACACGCCCTGCATCGAGCTCCTGTCGAAGCGGCCCAACGGCATCCTCCGGCTCCTCGACGGCGAGTGCCTCCGCGGCAACGCGGCGTCCGACGGCGCCAAGTTCGCGGCCAAGGTCAACAAGGCCCACGGCGGGTCGCCCTTCTTCGAGGTCTGCGGGCCGGCGTCCGTGTGGCGCCGCAACGACGGCACGCGCACGTCCGAGGAGGACTTCCTCGTGCACCACTTCGCGGGGCCCATCGTCTACACGGTGTCGAACTTTGTGGACAAGAACCGCGACGCACTGTTCGGCCACGTCTACGACGTCCTCGCCGGCTCGTCGGCGCCCGTCGTCGCCGCGTGCTTCCCGCCGCGGCCCGCGGCGGAGGCCGCGGCGAAGATGACCGTCGCGAACAAGTACCTGGGCCAGCTCAACGCGCTCGTCAACGTGCTCCGCGAGTCGTCGTCCCGCTTCGTGCGGTGCATCAAGACCAACGAGGACAAGCTCCCGGCGAAGCTCGACAAGCCGTCGGTGCTGCGCCAGCTCGTGTGCTCGGGCGTCATGGCGGCGCTCGAGGTGCGCCGCGCGGGCTTCCCGACGCGCGTGCTCTACCGCGAGTTCGTCCGCGACTTCCGCGCGTTCACGCCGCGCGGCGCGGCGCTCGTGGACCCCAAGGCCCTCGCCGCGGCGATGATGAAGCACCCCCACGTCGCCGAGGCCGTGCCGGCGTCGGCCTACCGGTTGGGCGTGTCCAAGCTCTTCATGCAGTCGGAGGTGCTCTACAAGCTGCAGTCGATCAAGAACGCGATGCTCTACCCCTTCGTGCGCCGGCTCCAGCGCTGGTGGATCAAGCTCCAGGGGTCCATCCTCCAGCGCAAGCTCAAGCGCTGCCAGCACGTCGTCGCCTCCGCCAAGACGGAGGCGTCCATCAAGGGCGTCGCGGCCGTCGAGTACGTGCTCAACGCGCTCGCGGCCGCGGCCGCCGCGGGCGACGGCGCGGCCGCGGCCGTCGGCGCGGGCAAGGCCGGGCCCGCGGCCGAGGCCATCGCGGCCTTCCGCGCGGCCGCGGACCGCTGCGCGTCCGTCGTCGAGGCCGCGGTGAAGCAGAAGGAGGAGGCGTACCGCATCCGCGCGGAGCTGCTCTCGGAGATCGACGGCGCGAACGAGCGCTGCGGCGCGCTCAAGACGACGGCCAACGAGCTTTATGATCCTGCCGACTCGAAGGCCTTACTGGCCGTCGCCGCGGGCGCGGAGAAGGCGCTCGCGGAGTGCCGCGTCGAGCTGCTCACGGTCGCGAACTCCTGGGATCGGGGCACGCTCGCCATGTCCGCGTCCCAGGGCCCGCACACGCTGCGGCGCGCGGGCACCATGGCCTCCATGGCGAATTTGATCGCTCAGCCCGCGGAGACGTCCGCGGAGCAGCGCCGGCGGCGCCTCGACGACGCGCTCAAGGTCGTCCGCGACGGCGAACTCGCGGCGGCCGCGTACCTCGAGAAGAAGCGGCGCATGGACGAGGCGCGCGCGGAGTTCCAGGCGTCCCTCGACCTCGCGTCCGAGCGCCTCGGCGCCATCCAGGTCGAGGTCTTCATCATCGCGGGCATCCGCACCGTGTCCGACGCCGTCGTCGGCGCGCGCGACGCGATCTTCGCGGCGCAGAAGGCGCTCCAGGCCGTGGACCCGGAGCCCTGCAAGGCCGCCGTCGCCGACGCGACGCGCGCCGTCGAGGCGGCGCTGGCGACGGCCCAGCGCGAGGCCGCGCGCGTCGCCGCGCTCGTGACGCTCGACGAGTCCGAGAAGTGCCTCGCGGAGATCGCGTACCAGGCGCAGGACGCCGGCTTCGAGGCGCGCATGGCCGACTCGTCCGCGCTCGCCGAGGCGGCCATCGCGACGGCGCGCGGCGCCTGCGCCTACCCCGACGTCCAGGTGCTCCAGGCGTCGACGCAGCGCGCCGTCGACGCCGTCAACGCGTGCGGCGAGCTGCTCGAGCGCGAGATCGCGCGGAAGAAGGCGCAGGAGAAGGCGCGCTTCAACAAGCTCCTCGGCCGCTTCCAGAAGATGGACGAGCAGAACTCGGGCGGCGCGCTGCCCAACTTCGCGCGCCAGGGCTCCAAGAACGCGAAGCCCCTCTTCAAGGTCCGCCGCGTCGCCGAGCAGACCGAGGACGTCTCCGGCGTCGGGCCGTCGTCGGACGTCGCGCCCGCGTCGCCGCCGCCCCCCCGCAAGAAGGCCCTCGCCTTCGCGGCGACGCCGCCACCGCCCGCGCCGCCGGCGACGCCGGCGGCGCCGCCCTTCAGCGCGGGCGGCGAGCCGCCGGAGACGCCGTACACGCCGGGCCCGCCGCCGCCGCCGACGCCCGCGGGCGGCCACACGCTCGAGACCTGGATCGCGGCCAAGAACCTCGGCAAGTACGAGGCCCAGCTCCTCGACCTCGCGGGGGACCTCCACGACCTCGTCGAGATGACCGACGACGACGCCGCGGAGCTCATCGCCGAGTGCAAGATGCCCAAGCTCGCCGCGCGCCGCTTCAAGAAGGCGCTCATCGAGCTCGGCGCGTCCGTCGCGCCCTAGGGCGCGGCCGGCGCGCGCGAAGCCGCCACCAAGGGCGGGGCCGCGCGCGCCTCTAAGCGGGGGGATGCCTGTGCGATTCCTGTAAGTATTCTTGCGCGGGCAGAAGGACTGGCAGACTGCAACCCGGCATCAATGTTTCGATGTTGAATGCGCCGGCGGGGTCTGGGCGCCGCGCGCAGCGAAGCCTGCGAGTGTCCTGCGGGCTCGCCGACGTCGACATGGACACGTCTGACAGCGCCGAGGCCCTCGAGAAGTGCACCACCATCGAGCTGCGAGCGATCGTAGCGCGCTCCGTCGCCCTCGCAAATCGCGCGCAAAGCGCCCTGGACCGACTCACGGCCGATGTGCCCTGGCCGTCACGCCTTCCACCGGCTCTCGTGCTCGCGTTCTTCCCGCTTCACGAGCTGGCGCCCGCGCTTCGCGTCTCGACGGTGTGGCGTGACCAGGCGGAGGAGGTCTTTCGGGGCATCGCCGCGCGACTCCGGTTGGCGCTTTCCTCGCCGTCGTCTTGGCGAGAAGTCGTGAGGAACAACGCGATATTTCGCTGGCTTCCAGTGGCGTTTAGCGAGGCATTACAACCCGTCCAGTTTGACATGGATAGTATGGTTTCGCCTCGCGTTATTGATTGCCGCTACGATGATGATACAATGTTTTTCGGTCAAGGCGCGGCGATCAATGACGACGAGACCATTTTCTGGGAACTGAAATTGGGACGAGCCTCGCAAGATATTATCGATAGCTGTGGTTTGGCCATCATCGATGGCGAGAAAATCGTCGATCAAGCAGCCCTCGATCCAAACGATGTGCTGCATGCTTACCTCTGGCATAGCAATGGTGGTGATTACAGGCTTGAAGGTCCGCAAACTAACTCGTTTACGCCGCTCGAAATCCACGGCAGTGAATACGTCTGGGATTCGGATGCCACGGTGCGGGTATGTGCAGTTCGTTACGGTACCGGGCTCCGGCTCCACCTAGACGTCTTGGATCATGATGATGACCAGTGGATGTACCGCAACCACCGCCGCCATTCTCTCGAGGAATGTCCCAGCCGCATCCGGATTGCGCCGTTCGTGTCGCTGTACACAGGATCTCGCGCCGAGCTCCTCAGTTTCCACCGAAAGCCTGCAGGCCTCGCACGCACGGGCCAATTTTAAAATGATTGGGGCTTGTAGCATGTAAAAACTAGAGGTGACTCGACCACTCCTCTCCCGCCCCAGCCTCGTGTCGAGGCCCTGGTCTCGGCTAGGGCACGCGTGCCTCGGGGGTCCTGGACATCTCTCCGACCCATCCCGGCTCGCTGTCGCTTCGGCGGACATCTCGCAGGCTTCTCAAATTCTATGGGCTGCCCATTTGGGCAGCATGAGCTCGAGCGCTAGCCTGCTGTCGAACATGGAGCGCCCCGCGCTTCAGCGTAGCATGAGTTCGGAAGCACGCGCCGCCTTCGACGCGGCAGCCGACGGCGACGCGTCGCTCGAGGAGGAGGCGCTGTTCATGGAAGATGTCGGACAGATCCTCGAGGAAGAGGCGCAGGCGCTGCGCTTCGCCAACGAGGCCGCGCCGGTCCAGGACGAGGACGCGCGGCTCGCGGCGTCCGTCGCCGCCGTGCAGCGCTTCGACGCGGAGCCGACGCCCGAGCAGGCCTTCGACGTCCTGCGGCTGCTCCACGCGCGCGACGCCCGCGCGCTCGCGCTCGAGGTGCGCCCGAGCGCGTCGCCGATCCTCGACGTCGGCGACCACGCCTACGTCGTCATGAAGACGGGCAAGCGGCGCCACGGCGGCCCGCCGGGCTTTGCCGTCACGTTCCAATCCGTGCACAACTCGGAGCACTGGTTCCCGGAGGCGTCGGACGTCGGCGTCGCGTGCCGCCCCATGGCGCGGTCGGCGCGGCGCGCGAAGCCCGGCGAGAGCTCGGAGGCCCACGGCTACCGGGGCCGCTTCTACACGCTCGTCGCCAAGGTCGTCGACGGCCCGAAGAAGGTCCGCGTCGTCGACGACGCCCTGGGGCTCGTGCGCGTCTGGCGCGACGGGTCGGCTATCAGCTCCTGCGCGTCGACGGTGTCGTCGTCCGACGGCGCGCCGAGCCCGCCGAACGGCGCCAAGCGCGCCAAGGAGGCGGCGTTCCCGCCGGCGCCGGGCGACGACGACACGATCTTCCTCGGGTCCATGCGCGTCTCGGGCGACGTCACGGTCGCGGGGAACATCTACGGACGAGTCGTGACGCCCCCGGAAGCCGCGGACTACGCCGAGTGGTTCCCCTGGCGGCTCGAGGACCTCAAGTCGGGCAAGCGCCTCGGCCCGGGCACGGTCGTCCAGCTCGCCAACGGCAACGAGCTGTCGCTCGACACGTCCGGCGCGGGCGCGTGCATGGTCGTGTCGACGACGCCGTCCATCGCCGCGGGCGTGCCGGGCGACGCAAAACGGCGCGGCGAGGGCGCGCTCGTCGCCTTCGTGGGGCAGGTGCCCGTGCGCTGCCGGGGCCCCGTGCGCCTGGGCGACCACCTCGTGCCGTCGCGGCGCCGCGACGGCGTCGCCGTCGCGCACGACCGGCGCCGCGACCGCGCGCCGGCGACGGAGTCGCTCGGCGTGGCCATGCACGCCGGAGACGGCGAGGGCGAGCACGTCGTGCTGGCCTTCGTGCGCTGGCACACGGCCGTGAACAGGGAATTAGGAGAGCGGCTCGTGACGGTCGCGCGGCGGCTCCACGGCTTCGCGGTCGTCGCGGTCTTGGTCGTGTCCTTCGCCGTGTCGTCGGTCGCGCTCGCGCTCCACGCGACGCTGTGGATCGACGGCGGCCGGTCGGACCGCTCGGAGAACGAGCTCGCGTCCGTCCTCGGGTTCTTCACGGTCCTGAGCCTCTGTCTGTGCGTCGCGCTCGCGGCGACGTTCCAAGAGGCGCTCCCGGGCCGCTACCCGCTCCTCGTCGTCGCGCTGGCCGCGCTGCCCCTCTTCGTCTACGACGTTTTCCGGGGCCGCGGCGCGGCGTCGGGGAGCGGCGCCGTCGTCGCCTGGCGCGCGCTCAGCGCGGCCTTCCACGGCGCGGTCCTCTTCTCCGTTTCCGCGGCCGCGCGGACGCGCGCGCGGCCGCCGGATCCCGACGCGCTCCGGCGGGTCTTCGACGCGTCCGCCGGCCCGCCGAAGCGGCGGCGCACGCTGCGCCTCTACGCGGCCTGGCTCGCGCTCGCGGCCCTCGCGGGCGCCGCGGCCTGGGTGCTCTTCGCGCCGTCGGTCTTCGCCGTCGTCGTCGTCAACCGCGACACGCGGAAGCGGACGCGCGAGAACCACGCGGACATCGACCACATCAAGGGCGGCGCCGAGGACCTCGAGGAGCGCTACGACAAGTTCGAGAAGGACTTCGAGGACTACCGCGACTACGACGCCGCGTCCAAGGACGACGCCGCGGACGCCGAGGACGCGTCCAAGGACGACGCCGCGGACGCCGACGCCGCGGCCAAGGACGACGCCGCCGACGCCGAGGACGCGGCCAAGGACGACGCCGCGGACGCCAAGAAGGGCCGGCGCCATCTCCGCGGCGCTTAAGATGTCGCTTGCGCTTGTGTTACAACAACAACATGGGGGGGGCGGCGCCTTGTGCGCGCGCCCCTAGGCCGCGACCTGCTGGTACTTGGCGAGGTCGAGGCAGAAGGGCTTCGAGCTCGCCGCGGAGAGGTCCTTCGCGACGCCGACGAGGGCCTCGGCCTCCGTGTAGAACTGGTCCTTGAGGGACACGGCGATGATCTGGAGCCCTTTCGCCTGGTGCTTGATGAAGTTGGCGAGCTTGGCGACGTTGACGTTGTCCAGCGCCGCGTCGACCTCGTCCATGATCATGAAGGGGGCCTGTGCCGAATTCAACCACTGGTTTGGGTGGTCCTGACCAAACTTTGAAATCCTCGAGCTCGGTCACATCGAAGTCGATTCGGCTGATTTTTGGATGAATCGATTGCTCTCGGCGAGTTCTCGAAGCACAGGGAAGGAATCGCGTCGAAACCGTCGAAATCGGTCACATCGAAGTCGTCCAAGGGCATGGACGTGCGCGCGGCCGTCGGGTCCGCCGCGGGCGTGCCCGCGGGCGTGCCCATGGCCATGGCCGCGGGCGCGACCGTCGGGTCGCCCGCGAGCGAGGCCGTCGGGTCGCCCGCGGGCGCGGCCGAGGGCGTCCAGCTCGGTCAAATCGAAGTCGATTCGGCTGATTTTTGGACGGATCGATCGCTCTCGTCGAGTTCTCTACGGAGATCAGAACAAGTTGCGTCGAAACGGTCGCATACGCGCACATTGAAGTCGAGTTGAAGATTTGATTTCCACACGGAACGGCGCGGGGTGGTAGCCGTGGACCGCGAAGAGGAGCGCGAGGGACGCGAGCGTGCGCTCGCCGCCGCTGAGCTGCGAGATCTCGCAGAAGCGCTTCGACGGCGGCGTCGCGTGGAAGGAGACGCCGCCGAGGTAGGGCTCGTCGGCGTCGAGCACGTGGAGCGACGCGGCGCCGCCGTTCGGGTGGCGCAGCGACTTCGTGATGTCGGCGTAGAAGGACGCGAGGGCCTTGGAGACGACGTCGAAGCAGGCGAGGAACGCGTCGCGCCGGTCCTTCTTGACGCGCTCGAAGGCCGCGGCCGCGTCGCGCGCGGCGTCGCGCGACCGGTTCAGCGCGCCGTCCGCGACGCGCAGCTTGTCCGACACGTCGTCGAACTGGTCGCCGGCCTTCATGTTCGGCGCTAAAGCATCCAACTCGCGCTGGAGCGCCTCGCAGCGCGCCCAGCGCGCCCTCTGGCGGTCCTCGTGGCGGCCCGCGTCGCCGTCGTCGTCGCCGTCGAGGCGCGACGCGTCGACGGCGTCGGCCTCGGCGACGCCCGTCGCGTGGGGCGCGGACCCGGGGGCCTCGTTCTCGGCGTCGCGGACCGGCAGGAGCACGTGCTCGACCTTGGCCTTGCGCACGATCTCCGCGAGCGACGACCGGAGCTTGTCGAGCGCCGATTCGCCCGCGTCGATGGCCCGCCGCGCAGCCGCGCGGTCGGCGCCGGCGGCGCTCCGCTCCGCGCGGAGGTCGCCGAGCTCGGCCTGGGCCGCCTCGTAGGCGGCCCGGGCGTCGGCGACCTCGCCGTCGAGGCCGCCGAGGCCCCGCTCCGCGGAGCTCTGCGCCTTCTCGACCTTGGCCGCGTCCTTCTTCAGGCCCTTGAGCTTCTTCCGCCCGTCCCGGAGCTTGTCCTCGACGGCCGCCGCGCGGCCGGCGAGGTCGCGCGACGCCTCGTAGTCGTAGGCCGCGCGGAGCGTCGCCGCGCGCGCGCGGAGCCGCGCGAGCGCGGCCTCGTCGTCGCGCGCCGCCGCCGCCGCGGACCCGCCCGCGTCGCCGAGGAGGGACTCGACGTCGACGTCGTGCTTCTCGGCGAAGCCGGCGTAGACGCGGTCCTCGACGGCGCGCTTCGCGGCCCGGAGCCGCGCGTGCGCGTCCCGGGACGCGGCGGCCCGGGCCGCGGCCGCCTTCGCGTCTTTCGCGACCGGCTTCGCGGCGCCCGCGAGGGACTTCTCGCGGGCGAGGGCCTCCTTCTTGGCGGCCGCGGCCTTGTCGGCGTCCTTGGCGGCCCACTTGGCCGTCGCCTCGAGCTTGGCCACCGCGGCCTGGAGCTCGGGCAGCTTCGCCTCGACCTCCGCGCGCGCGTCGCGCGACTCGCGCGCGGCGGCCGCGGCCTCCGTCGCCTTCGCCTCCAGCGCCACGGCGTCGCTCGCGCGCCAGGCCTTGCCCGGCGCGCGGTCGCTGAGGCCCGGCGCGCCGGAGCCGTACGCGCCGCCCGTGATCGTGCCCGACTTGGCGATCTGCGCGCCCTTCAGGGTCACGGCCTTCACCGGCGGCCGGCCGTCGGCGTCGGGCCCGTAGCAGAGCCGGCGCGCGCCGTCGAGGTCGTCGCAGACCACCGTGGCGCCGACGGCGTAGGCGACGGCCTTGGCGACGGCCGCGTCGCACTGGACGACGTCGACGGCGAGGTGGTAGCCCGGCCCCAGGCTCCGGAGCCGCTCGTCCGCGCGCGGCGGGTCGATGCCGTCCAGCGGCAGGAAGAGGGCGCTGCCGAGGCGCGCGTCGCGCAGGTAGCGGATGCAGTCGACGGCGCACTGGCGCGTCTCGACGACGATGGCCTCGTTGAACTTGCCCGCGGCGACGGCGACGGCGACGTTGTACTTGCGCTGCGCCGGCCGGCAGACGTCGACGAAGCGGCCCAAAACGCCGCGGAAGAGGCGCTGGAGCGTCGCGACGCGCTCGGCGCGCTCCGCCTCCTTGGCCGCGCCGCGGCCGCCGGGCAGCGCGTCGCGGCACTCGCGCAGCGCGTTCGCCGCCGCGACGCGCGTGGCCTCGAGCGTCGCCTCCGCGGTCGCGAGGCGGGCGGCCTCGCGCTTGGCGGCGTCGCGGTCGGCCCGGGCCGCGTCCGTGCGCCGCGTCGGTGCCGAGGTCCGCCTCGAGCGCGGCGACGGCCGCGCGCGCGGCGACGACCTGGGGCGCGACGTCGCCGCGCAGCGCGCTCCGCGAGGCCGCGCGCTTCGCCTCGGCGGCCGCGAGCGCTTTTTGAGCGGCCTGGGCGCCGCGCGTCCGTTCCGTCGCGCGCCGCGCGGCGTCCGCCTCCGCGGCCTCCGCGGCCGCGAGGTCCTCGCCGGCGGCGGCGACGGCGGCGCCCGTCTCGGCCATGCGGTCCCGCGCGTGGCGGATCTGCCAGAGGAAGTAGTCGACCTTGGCGCGGCCGAGCTCGCGGTCGAGGCCCGCGTACTTGTCCGCCTCGTCGCGCTGGCCCTTGACCGCGCGCCGCTGGGCCGCGAGGCCCTTCTTGGACTGGAACGCGACGATGGACGCCTCCTCGGCGGCGTCCTTGGCCGCTTTAAGGGTGTCGTACTCGGCCTTGAAGTCCTCGCTCCCGGAGATCTGCTCGAAGAGCGCCGTGAGCTCGCCGCTCGACTTCGACGCGAGCGACTCGACGTCGCCCTGGAAGACGAGGAAGTTCCGCGCCTTGACGAGCACGCCGATGCCCTTGAGCGTCTCCTCGTAGGCCTCCCGCGTCACCTCCGCGCCGTCGAGCCGGTACGCGCCTGCCGCGTCGCGGAATTCCGCGACGATCGCGCGCGCGCGCGCGCGCGCGGGCGACGTTTTTTCGGGGAGCGGCGCGCGGCGCGCGGCGCGGGGGGGGCGGGGCGCGCGTCGGGGGCGCGGCGCGATCGCGGGACGCGGCGGCGCGCCGACGCCGACGGGCGAGATCGTGCGCGAGAAGACGATCGGGTCCGCGCTCGGCCGCTCGTAGGTCAGCGCGACCGTCGCGCGCCGCGAGCCCCGCGACGCGCCGGGGCCCTTGTGGAGCAGCTCGATGAGCTTGCTCGACCGCAGGTGCCGCGAGTGGATGCCGAGCACGAACGACACCGCGTCCATGAGGTTCGACTTGCCCGCGCCGTTCGGGCCGACGACGCTCGTGAAGCCGCGGAAGGCGATCACGTTCTTGCCGCCGAAGGACTTGAAGTTCTCGATCTCGAGCGAGCGGATGCGCCCGCGCGATGCCATGTTTGTCGCGCTTCGGCGGTCAGGCGCTTCGGATTTGAACTGCGCGCGCTCGCGTGCGTTTCGCGGCGCTGTCTTTCGCGAGAGCGACGCTAGCGGTCGCGCGGCGCGTGTGGCGGATGCTGTTGTGGCTCGTGGGACGCCGCAGCTGCAGTCGCGACGCAGCTTCGGACGAGGTGAGTGCGAGGCGCGAAACTCGATCGAGGGATTGGCCGGCTTCGAATGCCTCGCCGGGGGTAATCGCTGATGATGCCCTGCAAGTAGCATGCGAATTGATACTCCATCGCGCAATGGTGACGCGTCGGGCTGCCTCGGTCGCCTAGCGCCGATGCGCGCAATCCTCGCAGCGTTAAGCGTCGCCGGCGCCGGCGCCGCGGCGCCGCCGGTGCACAGGTACGTCTCGAAGCTCAAGGGCAACGGCACGAAGAAGATGAACCTCTTGACGATGATCGACCCCGACAAGCCGGCGCCCGCCGCCGGCGCGCGCGAGATCATCCTCGTCGTCGCCGACGACCTGAGCGGTCCCGGCTGGCGGAGCGCGGTCACGCCGCACCTCGACGCGCTGGAGGCGACGGGCGCGTTCCTCGAGAACGCGCGGATCTCCGGCAGCGACCGCCTCGGCGTCTGCGCGCCGTCGCGCGCCGCGCTGCTCACGGGCCGCGCCGTCTTCGACGCCTACAACTTCGGGTCCGTGCGCGCCGTGCCGACCTTCACGCGCCACGTGAGCCTGCCGGAGAAGCTGCGCCTCGCCGGCTACGCGACGACGGCCGTCGGCAAGTGGCACGCGGACGTCAACTCCTACAACCACGGCTTCGAGTACGGCCGCGCCGTCCTCTTCCGGCCCATGGGGTCGACGCACTTCGCCCGGGCCAAGGCCAGCAACGAGAGCTTCGGGCCCCTGCCGCTCGTCGACGTCGACCCGGGCGAGAATTCGCGTGGGACTCAAATCTTCAACCCGACTTCAATGTGCGCGTATTCGAAAGGTTCAACACAAACTCTTCGGCTGTGCTTCGAGAACTCGACGAGAGCGATCGATTCGTCTAAAAATCAGCCGAATCGACTTCGATGTGACCGAGATCGAGAATTTCAAAGTTTGGTCGGGACGTCCCGAACCGGCGGTCGATGTCCACGCAGGCAAGAAGTTCCGCGCCTCCAAGTTCAAGAAGGTCGGCCAGGAAGCCGCGGTGCTGCGCGCCTGCACGCCGCGGTCCCGGTACCTGCCGCGGTGCCACTCGTCGGCGCTCTTCGCCGAGGCGGGCGCGCGCGAGCTCGCGCGGTGGCGGCGATCCCGGCTCACGGGCTTCCTCTACGTCGCGTTGACCGCGCCGCACGACCCCCTCGAGCCGCTGGACCGCGACGTGGCCGACGCCACCGCGGGGCCGCCGGCGAGCGTCCGCGACCGCCACGTCTTCTCCCTGCCGCGCGTGTCGCGGGTCGTCGCCGCGGACGCGCTGCGCGCGGACGTCGACGCCGCGGCGCCGTCCGCGCCGGGCGCGGCCGAGGCGCTCGTCGGCAGCCGCGACGAGCTGCTGCTGCCCTTCCCGCGCCGGGCCGCGGACCTCGAGGCGCGGCGCCGCCTCTACGGCGGCCTCGTCGCGTCCGTCGACGCGGCCGTCGGCGCGCTCGACGCGGCCTCGCGGCCGGACCGGATCCTCGTGGTCACGTCGGACCACGGCATCGCCCTCGACGGGCGCCACGGCCTCATCGGCAAGCAGAATCTCTACGAGCACTCGAACAAGGTGCCCCTGCTCGTCCACGGCTGCGGGCCCCTCGTCGCCGGCGGCGCGAAGGCGCACGTCTACCTCCACGACGTCGCGCCGACGCTCGTCGCGCTGTCGCGGAGCCGCGCGCCGCCCTTCACGGCGCCCATCGGCGCGCAGCGCAAATACGAGGTCACGAAGGACTCGGCGGCCGCGCGCGCGCGCGCGGCGGGGCCCTGCGCGGGCCGCGACTTCTCCGCGATCTTCGCGCGCGAGAACGGCACGTTCGCGCCGCGGGCCCACCTCTTCGCGGCCATGATCGACACGCAGCGAATGGTCGTCGACACGGCGACGAACCTCAAGGTCATCGCCCACTTCAACTCGTCGCTCAAGGGCCGGGGCGACACGCGCGGCGCGGAGCTCATCGCGGTCCAGGCCTTCGACGTGTCGCGGGACCCGGACGAGCTCGACGACCTCGTCCTGCGCGACTTCGAGTCGAACGCGGCGGCGGCGGCGCACTACGCGCCGCGGCTGCCCGCGGCCGGCGACGACGCCGTCGGCGCGCTGCTGCGCGAGGCGTGCGACCTCGAGCGGAAATTGCGCAAGGCGAGCGCGACGCCGGAGAAGAACCCGCCCTACGGCTGCCTCGGCCTCGCCGCCGCCGCCGCCGCGCGCCGGGCGCGCGACGACCGGCGGGCCGAGGACGAGAAGCTCCGGTCGTCGAACGCCACCGTCGCCAAGGCCGCCGCGGCCGCGCGGACCTCGATCGCGTCGCGCCAGGCGGCGCTCCGCGAGATCCGGCGCAGGAAGCCCGGCGCGGCGGGGCGCCTCGGCGCCAAGGCGCCCCCCGTGCGCGGGCTCGCAGCCAAGGACGCGGCCGCGCGCAAGCGCGCGCAGGACGGGCTCCGGAGGCGGCGCCACGCGGCGGCCGTCGGCGGCGCCGCGCGGGACGCGCGCGCGGGCCGGGGCCTCCGCTTCGCGCCGCGGCCGAGGTAACTTCGCGGGGCGCCGTCTGGGGTGCCGTCGTCCCGACCCTCCTCCAGGCGGCGCCATCGTTCAATGTCAGGGTCACACTTTACCTACTTCATGAGGCGCGTCCTCGAGAGGCAGTCCCAGAGCTCCTGCTTCGTGACCTGGAGCGGGCCGCCGCCCGCGGCGCCCTCGTCGTGCTTCGCGAAGCGGAGCATGTCCTTGAGCTGCTCGTCGCTCTGCTCGCTGCCCGAGCCGAGGGTTTCGCCGAGCTCGCGGCAGACGAGCCGGAGGCTGTCCAAATTGATGTAGTCGTCGCCGCGCTGGTCGAACTTCTTGAAGAGCAGGTCGAAGGTGCTCGGCTCGCCGGACCGGCTCAGGTCCTGCTCCGTGATGAGCGCCGTCGTCAGGTTGATGAACTCCTCGAGGCCGATGTTGCCGCTGTTGTCGTGGTCGACCTCGGACAGCGTCTGGTAGAGCTCGCTCTTGTTCCAGTCGATGCCCAGCGAGTTCATCGCCTCCATGAGGTCGTTGGGGTCGATGAAACCGCGCTCGTCGCGCTTCCCGTCCTGCGTGTCCATCATCCAGAACGCCTGGCGGATCTCGTCGATCTCCTCCTCGGACACGCCGGGCCGCGTGTACTCGGCCCGCTTGTCGCCGCGGCGCAGCGACCGCGTGCTCTCCGTCTCCTGGGGCATGGTCGCTGCGCGTCGGGCAGCGTCGCTGGACGACGGCGGGCGTTTTTCAAGCGCACAGCATCGGCTGCCCGCCGGTTTGTCGCCTTCAACGAGGGGGAAAGTTTGGCTCGTTCGACTCGGCGCGCATTATGCTGCACACCCAAACCTCTCGGACGATTAGCCTCAATACGGCCTTCGCGCCGCGCCACAGGCCGTATGAGGCCGCCTGTGACCCCCGCGCCGCTTCCGTTTGCGTCTACTAGTCCCTGCGCGGTCGCGTGCCACTTTTGAGCGCTGGAAACGGCGTGCGCGCGACGACGCACACGGCCTCGGAAACCGCCTGCGGGAGCGGTCGAGCAGCGGGCGGCGCTGGACGCGTCCGGAGGTCGCCGCGGGTCCGTAAACCGTCGCGGCGGTCCGTCCATGTTGCGCATAGATGCGGCGCGCGCTCAACTGCGTCGGCCGAGGCCGTGGTCGTGGTGCGGCGCGGGGCCGAAGACGGGTCCCGACGACACGTTCGAGGCGCGGACCGCGGCTAGATCTGCGCGAGTTCCCGTCGGCGAAGTGGCTCGTGCAGCTCGTCTATCACTATGGGTGAGCCGTGGCCCAACAGATCACGTCAAATACGCCACATCGCCGTTCATGACCCCAGAACCCGTTTCGGCGGCGGTTTCGGGCGCCGCTCTGCGGCGGCCGGCGCGCGGGGGCCGCGGTCCGTGCCCCCGGACTTGATCGATTTTGCGGCCAAACATCTCCACGAAGCGATCGGGAATGACTCCTCGCGGGCGCGGACGACCTGCAACGCTCGGCGGACGCGAACGTCGTGCTCGGCGCACACGCGCGCAACCGCTCGACGGCGGCTACGCGGCGCCCATGGGGGCGGCGGTGCGAGGATATGGGCTCCGAGCTCATCCTATCGATGGGCGAGGGCCGTGGAGCACTCATCAGCGCTGGACCCGACGTGCTTCTTTGCGGCGTCGAAGTCGTACGTCGACGGAGGCGGTCCTAAACCGACACGTTCGCGCGCGGCGCGCGGTCGCCGTCCGCGTCTGTACCCGCGGACTTTTTCGTTATCAACGCTCCAAGTACATGGCTTTGCGACGCCGCGGGCTTTCCGGCGGTGGCCCGGTCACCTGCGACGCAGGCGTGGCGTAAATATTTTTTTCAAAACACCGTCTGGCACTCTACGGTGTCTTCGCGACCCGAAACCCGAGCCCGCACCGCGTCTCTTCGTCCCTAGAGGCGCCAGAGTACCGGCGTCGAAGCTCGACCGAGAGGCGCCCACTAGAAGCTCGGATTAAGAGGTAGGTGCTCCGCCCGAGATGAGGCTGTACGCGCTCGAGCACCAGATTCGCGAACGGGTCAAAAATGTCGTTGTCGCTAGAAATTTCTAGCCGGAGGCCACGTAGATCTCATACGACGACGATGGTGTGCTCGGGCTCGTCGCCGTGGACGTTGGTGACGAGAATCGCAGCGGCAGAGATCATTCGGTAGGGCTGCAGTGTATGGGGTCCGCGATCCACGACTTCAACACGTTTTCCGAGGTCACACGACGCTTCCGGACCGAGTATATGACCCACCGGAGGGATGTGACCAGCGCCTCGCACGTGTGGCGCTCCGGATGCCCGCGGTCAACGCGTCGGGAATGTCGTCGGCGCCGAGCTTCGGCCGCGCGCGCAGTCACGTTTTGGGCCCGCACGCATCGAACCAAGCACGCGGAATCTCTTACACCATCACTAAGGACCCGCGCACGCCCCAAACGAGCCAGAAGCAGCGTTTCCGACGAGTCCGCACTCGGGCCTCTGAGAGCGTGGGCCGCGGCCGCTGTCACGCGACCGTTTGGAGCCGCGAAGTCGCCATCACGAACGGTTGGAACGGCTCCGCGCCCTCGTGGGGTACATGCGCCGCGGCCGGGGCCGTTTTCCCTTCGGCTACCGCGGCCTACGCGCCGCTTTGAGGCCCATCGAGGGCTAATCGGGTGATCACCAGCCAAAGGTTTGGGTGTGTGCTGTTCGACGAGCTATGCGCTGCTGAAACGAGGCTGGGACCTCTCCTGCGCGCGGCGGACGACGCCCAGGTGGTGGCTGACGACGCGCAAAAGACGGCTTACGCCAAACAAGCGCTGGCCGACGCCGCGTCCGCGCAAGTCGATGACGCGGAGGCCGTCTTTGCTGCTTTGCGGCGCCGAGGCACGGCTGGTATTTCTATCCAGAAGCTCCCTCACGTCGTACTCACGGATGTGTTTCTCGCGCTGCCAATGAAGGATTTAGCGCGCGCCGGCCGGGCTTCGAAGGCGTGGCGCGACGCGCGTTGGTCGGACGGGCTCTGCAAAGCGCGCGGCGCGGCGGCGGCGGCGGCCCAGCGATGCGAATTGTGCTGCCGGGACCTTCCTGCTTGGGCCGAAAGCCTACGCGTGTGTTGTTTGAAAACGTGTTGCAAGCATTGCTTCGATAATTACTCAGACATGAAGATCCCCGTCTACCCGCTAATCAGACGTGATTTCCCCTGTCCTGTTTGTAAAATGCCCGCTGCCAAATCCGACGATGAGTTGGTAGCGCGACTGCAAAGCCATGTCGATAAGGGAAACGCTGAAGCCAGGCTACTCCTTGGTGTATGGTACGAAGCTGGCGATCATGGTATTGAAAAGTCGACGGAACGGGCTGAGGAGCTTTGGGAGCTCGGCGCCAGCCTGGGACATAGCGCCTCGGCTTGGCAATTGGCGTGCATGTGGGACGAACGCGTGGAATCGGGTGAATCATCTCTCTCTGCAAACGCGCTGAAATACATGAAAATTGCAGCCGACGCTGGACGTCCTGAGGCTCAGGCGGATATGGCGCATTTCCTCATCGCGGGCTTTCGTGACAATGGCCAAATGCCGTATAACGAGGACGCGCTACATTACTTGAAAACTCACGATGCCGACAGCTGCACCGGGGAGGACGGCTTCCTCGAAGCTGCGCGCTACCTTCGGCTCGTCTTCGAGAGGAAGAAATTTGACTCAAGCAATATGACGCGGCGGCATTTGAAGCTCCTCACAGCCGAGTACCGCCGGCGCGGCATCGACGTGCTCACGGACCCGCCGACGCGCAACCTCCCTAGGAGCTAACCATCCGCACGCGGCCCGCGCCCGCCGGAACCGCCTTGACCGCGCGCCGCCGGGGCCTCGAGTCGCGCGTGAGGAGGAACGCGTCGACGTCGAGGGCCTCGTAGGGGTGCTTGAGGCGCTTGCACTTGGCGGCGACGTAGGCGTCGGGCGGCCGCGCGCCGAGGCAGAGGGCGCGCACCTTGGCGCCGTCGCGGCGCTTGAGGTGGTCCCAGAGGAGCGGCTCCCACGCGTCCGCGGCGCCGGGCTCGATCGCGACGACGAGGACCGTCGCGGCCGCGAGGGCCGCGCGGACGTCGTCCCGGTCCGCGTCGGCGGCGGCGGCGTCGGCGCGGAGGATCGTGACGCGGTCGCCGAGGCCCCGGGCGGCGACGTTGTCGCGCGCGTCGAGGTACCGCGCCGCGTCGCTCTCGAGACCCCACGCGGCCCGCGCGCCGAAGCGCGCCACGGCCCAGGCGGCGACGCGGCCGTCGCCGCAGGCGACGTCGACGACGACGTCCTCCGGCCCGATGGCCGCGAGGAGGCAGGCCTCGTCGAGGGCCGCGGCCGGCACGCGCGGCGCGGCCGCGTCGCCCTCGTCGACGGCGCGCGGCTCCGGGTCCGGCTCCCAGTCGAAGGGCCGGTCCGTCGTCGCCGCGCACTGGGAGAAGTACTCGGCGCGGCCCCAGCCCGTCGGGAAGGCCACGCCGTCGAGGGCCTCGACGCGCACCTTGGCGCGGCCCTGGGCGTCGACGCCGCTCTCGAGGCGCCGGCAGGCCGTGCTCCGCGTCAGCGTGCAGACCTCCTTGGAGCGCTCGAGGTCCGCGTAGAGGAAGACGCCCGCGCGGTCCACGCGCAGGATCACCTGCGCCTCGTAGGGCTTGGGGCCGCATGCCAAGGCGGCCATCGTGGGGCTGCCAAGGCGACTGCAGCAAGGTTAAAGTGCCGCTTTATTGCCGCTATATTGCCGCTCGGCAAAAAGCAGATCTAAAGCTGCCCCACGTCGCCCCAATCCGGAACACAAGTGTTGCCTTTGAACATGGAGTCGCGGCTCCGGCGGCGGCGCATGTCGGCGCCCGAGTCGTCGGAGATGAAAAAGGCCGCGCAGGAGGCCCTGGGCGAGGACATGGGCCGCGACGACGTGAAGCTCCTGAAGGACCTGGGCCTCGCCGTGGCCCCCGCGGCCTTCCCGCCCCTCAAGGCCGCCGAGGCCTTCGCCGAGGCCAAGCCCCCGCCGAAGAAGAAGGCCAAGGCCCAACCGAAGACCGTCGCCCGCGCGCGGCGCTCGTCGACGCAGCACCTCGACGTCTCCGACGCCGCGCGGCGGATCCTCGAGGCGCGCCAGTCCTACGCCGCGGACTTCCGGCGCCAGGCGAGCGAGTGGAAGGGCGAGCGCGCGGCGCCGGAGGCCGCGGCGACGCGCGTGACGCCGCCGAGCAGGCTGCGGCGCTTCTCCGCGCCGAGCAACCTCGAGATGGCGTCCGCCGCCGAGGCCGCGCTCGCGGACCGCGACGAGGAGCCCGCCGCGGCGCCGCCCGCGGACGACGCGGCGGTCAAGCCGGCGGACGTGCGCGACCAGCTCGAGGCCATCCTCTACCGCGAGGGCCGGGCGCCGACGCGGCCCCGGGGCGCGCCGACGCGCCCGCCGCGCAATACGTACGAGTCGCGGCGGCCGGGGCCCGTCGACTACTGGCCGCCGACGGACGCCGACGGCGTGCCCCTGACGCAGCCCCAGTCCTGCCCGGCGCGCGTCCTCGACGACGACGACGAGGACGCGCTGACCATGCTCGCCGTGCCCCGGTCGTGCCCGAACCGCCAGTTCTTCGCGAGCCTTTTGGAAAAGCAGGAGCCCGAGCCGGATCACGAGGCGAGCGCCATCTGCGGGGCGCTCCAGCTGCGCGCGGGCCTCGGCGCGCCGCCGCCGCCGCCGTCGCCCGCGGCGCCGAAGAGCGACGAGGCGCCCGCGCCGACGAAGCCGCCGGCGTCGTTCCTGCGCCCGCGGCCCGCGTCGCCGGACCGCGGCAGCCTGGGCTCCGTCGTGTCCCGCTTCGAGGACGAGGACCGCCCGACCTTTGGGATCCTGCCCGGCCAGGCCGCCGGGCCCTGCCCCTTCGACCGCGCGTCGGGCTTCAGCGACGGCCGCGGCACCCAGGACTCGATCGCGACGCGGGCCACCGAGCCGCCCGACGACGCGCCGCTCCTGCTCTCGGACTCGGACGACGAGGGCGACGGCGACGGCCGCGGCCAGTTCGCGGATCTCGACGCCGTGCGGCCCCGGGCGCGGGCCTACCGCGACGCCGTCGAGTCGACGCTCCGCGGCGCGGTCACCGTCAGCGACCGCAAGAAGCAGAAGGTCGAGGCGCGCGTGGATTTGGGCGACCTCTACGTCGAGGCCGTCGGGCAGTCGACGGCGGCGCGCTACGACGACGACGACGACGACGACGACGACGAGGTGGAGATGTACGTCGAGGAGGACGGGGCCGTCGCGACGTGCCGGTCCGCGGACGTCGTCGACGCCCTCGTGGGCGGGCGCTAACTCGCGGACGCGACGGGTAAGCTCGTATGAAGATGCGGCGGTTAGAGCAGCCGGTGACCGGCGGCGTCAGTGCACGCCGGCCGCCGGGCGCGAAGCGCCGGTGGGGGGGATGCGAGGGGGTGTTTTTTTTTTGCCGGGGGGGAGGGCGCGGACGAGGGCGGGCGACGTCCCAGACTAGGGTGGCCGCGCGGCGCCGGCGCCCGCGGGGCTCGCGAGGCACCAGCGCTCGGGGTGGTCGTTGGTCCGGACCTTCCAGGCGCGGCCGCCCCGGTCGTCCTTGAGGAGCCTCACGTCGAGCTTGTCGCTGCCCTCGACGGCGCGGCGGACGGTCGCCTTGTCGCCGCAGATGGCGCGGACGCGGCCGAAGGCGCAGACGTGGTCGAGGTCCACGTAGCCCTCGCCGTCCATGCAGTTGGTCCGCAGGTAGACGTCCTTGCACAAGTTCGACACGGAGAAGTAGTACTCGACCTGCGTCCGGAGCGCCTCGTCGACGTAGGGGTCCGCGTAGGCCGGCGGCGGCGCGCCGCGGCCCGCGCCGCGCTTGCCGCCCCGCGCGGGCTTGGGCGCCGCCGCGGGCCGGCCGCGGTCGCGGGACGCGCCGTCGACGCCGCGCGGCGACGACGACGGGCTCGGCGACGCCGCCGAGTCGTCGCCCGCGCCGGTCGACGGCAGCTTGGGCAGGCGCGGCTCGCGCTTCTTGATCGTGCGGCCCGCGAGCTTGAGGGGATTGACCTTCTTCGGCGCCGCGGCGGCCTTGGCGCCGCCGGCCTTCTTGGCGGCGTGGCCCGGCGACGGCGGCGCGCCGGAAGACGACGAGCTCGACGAGCTCGACGACGTCACGGAGACGGCGCAGGACTGGGCCGCGACGGCCGCGAGGCGCTTCGCGGCCTCGTCGGCGGCCGCGGCCGCGCGGCGCGTCTGCTCGAGGAGCGACTCGACGGGCTGCCCCGCCTTGGGCGAGCCCAGCGCGGCCGGCGGCGTGAGCGGCGGCGTCACGGTGCGCGCGGACGCCTCGACGATGCGCGGGCCCGGCGCGACGACGCGGCCGCCCTTGGGCACGGGCAGCCACTCGTCCGCGTCGCCGCCGTCCGACGCGTCGCAGTCGGCGAACGCCGCGGCGACCAGCGTCGCGTTCGCCGCCTCGGCGGCGGCCGCCGCCGCCGCGGCCTCGGCCTCGAGCTCCGCGGCGCTCGGCCGCTTCGCCGGCGCGGCCCGGGCCGGCTTCTTCTTCTCCGCGGCGGCCCGGGGCTTCTCGGGCGCCGCAGGCTTCTCGACCTTCTTCGGCGCGGGCGCCGCGGCGTCGTCGGCCGCGGCCGACGCGCGCGAGTCGTCGTCGTCCGACTCGTCGTCGGACTCGTCGTCGTCGGCGGTCGCCGGGAAGGCGCGGTCGACGGCCGCCGCCACCGCGGCCGCGGCCGCCGCGACGCGCCGCTTGAACGGCCCCGCGCGGCGGACGGCGGGCCGCGCGAGCGCGCGGAGCTGGGACGCGTAGTTCGCCGCGAAGGCCGCGAGCGCCAGCAGGAAGTCGCCGACCACGTCGCGCGCGTGCTCGGAGAGGGACCGCTTCGGCCGCCGCCGCGCGTAGCCGTCGCCGTTCGCGCGGCGCCGCTCCCGCAACAGCTGCGACCCCCGGAGCGCGCAGAGCGCGATGCCCAGGACGAAGGCCAGCGTCGGGTCCAACAGGGGCGCGGCCTCGCGGCGCCGGCGCGACGACCGCGGCGCCCGCGCGCCGAAGGCGCGGCCCTCCTGCGCGCGGCGGTTCGACTCCTGGCGGTGCTGCGCGACGACGTGGATCACGTCGAAGCGGGAGAGGAAGCCCGGCGGCGGGCCCGCGACGGGCGAGATGGCGAGGCTGCAGCGCCGCTGGTCCTCCTCGAGGCGCGCGACCTCCTCCTGGATCCAGTCCCAGCCGTGCGCGTGGACCTCGCCCACGACCGTGACGTACTGGCGGACCTCGTCCGCGACCAAACGAGCAAAGGCCCGGCCGAACTGGGGCCGCGCCGGGGCGTCGCCGAAGAAGGCGTCGGCGAGGGCGAGGTAGGCGCGCGAGTGGCGCGCGGGGTCGGCCGCGTCGGGCGCGTCCTCGTCCGACGCGGCGGCGTCCGTCGCGTTCTGCTCCGCGGCGGCCGCGCCGTCGACGATGGCCCGGAGCTTCTCGGCGCCCGACGTCTTGAGGAGCGCCGCGAGCGCGACGCCCGCGCGGTAGTTGAGCGTCTCCTCGGCCTCCTCGTCCGCGGCGCCGCCCGCGGCGCCGTCCTCGGGCGGGAGCATCGCCGCCGTCGCCTCGGTCGCGGCGTCGCGGAGCTTGCCGAGGTGGCGGCTCCGCGCCAGGGAGTCGTCGGCGTCGACGTAGGCGCGCACGAGGGCGTCGACGTCGACGCGGACGGCCCGGGCCCGCGCGAGCGCGCGGCCGTAGTCGCGCGCGGTCTCGCGGCGCTCCGGCGCCGAGAGCGCCGAGAGCTCCGAGAGCCAGCGGAGCGTCGCGACGCGCCGCGAGTTGCGCGCGGCGCGCGCGGCGTTGCCCGGGCCGTCGCCCTGGCCCGAGCCGAAGCCGCGGCGCAGGAACGGCGACGCGCGCGGCCACCGAATTTCCAATTCGTAGCGGCGCCGCGCGAGGCGCCGCTCCGCGTCGGCCGTCGCCGCGGCGTCGCCGGCGGCCGCGGCGGCGCTCATCTCGCGCCGCGCGCGGTCGATGGGCCGCTCGTCGCGCTTCTTCCGGAGCCACTGCGTCGAGTGCGTGACGACGTCGCGCTCGAGCACCGCGACCTCGCGGTCCTCGCCCAGCGCCCTCCGCGCGGCGATGAGGTCGCCGTAGCAGCGGAGCCAGGTCACCTCGCCCCGGATGTGCTCCTCGCCGGGCCCGTTGCGCCGCGCGTAGAACCAGAGCGACGGGCAGACGACGCCGAGGTGGCCGACGGCGGCCCGCGCGTCGCCCGCCTCGACGAGCGCGGACCCGAGCGTCGCCTTGAGGTGCATCGCGGCGTGCTGCGCGTCCTCGAAGGCGACGGCGAGGAGCTCGCCCGACGCGTCCTCGCCGCGCCAGCGCGCCGGCGCGGTCTGGAGCGTCTCCCGGTTGCCGACGGCCGAGCGGAACGCGTGCTCGTGCGCGCGCCACCGCTTCTCCGCGGCCGCGAGTACGTCCACGGCCTCCGCCGCGGCGCCGCGCGCGAGGAGCTCCTCGCCGGCCTCCCGCGCCGTCTTCACGGCCGCGAGGACGTCGTGGATGAGCGGCACCTCGACGCGCGCCGCGCGGCACACCGAAGAAGCGACGAGGCCGACGACGAAGACGACCGCCGCGCGCGCGCCGCGGCTGTAGGATCGCACGGCGGCGGTGTTTGTAACTGTGGGCGCGCGGGCGGCGGGGCCGGCGTCGCCGGCGCCGCGGGGATCGTGCTTCGGCGGCGCGGCGCTCTTCATGAGGCTCTGCGTAACGTGAATCGATGAGCGCACCGCGGACGCGCCCCAGGACCGCGAAACGGCGGTGCACATGGTTTTCGAGGCCAGAGCTGTGGGTGTTGTGTGTCTGGCAGCCGCTGGCAGTCGACGCGCGCTTCAAGCGGCCGAATCCGGCGTCAACTCGTCGAGCCGAGCGAGCTGAGCTAGCCCGCGGTTCTTCAAGTCTTCGACATCCATCGAGATGTGGCACAATCTTTTGTCCGGGGTAGACCGGCGTTGCCCCGAATTACCCCGGCGCCCGGCGCCGGCGCCGCGCGACGGCGACGGCGACGACGACGACGGCGGCAAAGGCCGGCGCCGGAGCAAGCGCGGCCGGCCAACGCGGGTTGAGGCCTCGGTTACCCCCCCTACTTCGCCTCCTTCTGCCACTTGGCCATGAGGGCCTTGGCCTCGCCGGCGACGGCCGGGTTCGCGTGCTTGCGGAGCTTCGTGAAGTGGCGCGCGATGGTCTTGATCGTCGCCTTGGGCGGCACGGGGAGCGCGTCGAGCGCGCGGAGCGCGGCGACCGCCTCGTGGTCCCGCGCGTCGTCGAGGGACCGCGCGAGGTCGACGACGGACGCGCCGCCGCGCGCATCCAGGCCCCCCGTCTTCCGCGGCGGCGGCGCGGCGCCGTCGGGGAGCGCCCGGCCCCGCGCGTCGGCCACGACGGGCAGCGCGTCGAGCAGCGCGGCGCCGAGCGCCCGGCCGAACGCGGCCGCGCGGCCCGGCGACCAGCCGTCGCGCTCGTTGGCCGCGTCGAGGGGCGTGGACGTGTCCTTGAAGGGCATCTCCAGCGTCACGGACAGCGCGCCGTACCGTTGCGCGACCGCGTTCGAGCCCACGGCCATGTTCGCCTCGCCCGGCGCGTCGACGGGGTAGCCCAGCCCGACCTGGAAGTCGGGCGACCGGCGGAGGAGCGCGTCGGAGAGCGTCGCGAGTTGGTGTGCTAGGGAGTCGTCCCACTTGGGGATGCCCTCCGTGCCCGCGAAGAAGTTCGCGGCGATGGCCTCGTCGCCGTGGATATCGACGTGCGCGTCGAGGCCGAAGTGGTCCATGGCTTTGAGCACGTGGTAGACCTCGGGGCTCCGTTCCAGCGTCGGGGCGTCGTAGTTCGGGTAGACGCCCGACGCCCACTCCCGGTTCAGGTTCGCGCCGCCCGCGTTCGTCCGGAGGTACCCGGCGACGGCGCCGTCCGGGTTCATGTTCGGCACGACGCGGATCGTGGCGTAGCGCCGCAGTTGCCGCGAGAGCGGATCGTCGCGGTCGTTGAGGAACCGCATCAACCCCTCGGCGCACCACTCGGCCATGGACTCGCCGGGGTGCTGCCGCGCCGTCGCCCAGAGCGTCACTGGCCCGTCCCCGAAGGTGAGCATGTCCAGCGGCCGTCCCTCCAGCGTTTCGCCGATGACCGAATGGACGCCGAGCGCGCCGGGCGCGGACAGCTCCGCGACAACGCGCTCGTGCCGCTCCCAGGAGTAGGGCGCGAAGTACGCGAACCAGACGCTGTCTCGTTCCGGCGTCAGCTCCCAGGCGAGCTCGCCGCCGTCGTAGGTCGTCGACGCCACGCGCCACCAGTCCTCGCGGTCGTAGGAGGCGACGGTCTTGTAGTGCTCCCAGCCGGGCGTGTAACTCGCGTCGCCTACCAAGCACGACGGTGACGATTTCTCATCCCGGTCAAAGGCTCTCGAACATTGTCACGACCACAGGACGCCGCGCGTCGCCGGCGTTCTCGAGCACGAAGCGGCACCGCGCGTCGCGGACGCCCGACGCGCGGAAGTGGAACCACTGGAAGTGGGCCGTCTCGTCCGTGAAGCGCGTGTAGGCGTCGGGCCGGATCTTGAGGCGGAACTCGTGGCCGCCGTCGCCGCAGGCGACGTCGACGACCTCGACGTTGCCGCTGTCGAAGGCGGCGCTGATGGTCGGCGGCCGCGGCAGCGCCGGCGGCTCCAGCGCGCAGGCGGCGACGAGCGACAGGAGGCAGGCCTTCATTTAGGTGTTCGTGCAGGTGACGCGATTAGCAAGAGGTCGCGGATGGTGTTTCTTGCAGGTGACGCAGGGCTCTAAAAGGTCGCGTCCATCGATATCATCTGCGGCAAATGGTTGCACCTTCAACTCGAATGTTGAAGATCTCCCAGGGGCGGGACACGTGTTAGTGCGCGGGGACGGACGCGGCGAAGGCGGCGAGCTTGCTGCCCTGGCGCTTCGGGGCCGGCGGCCGCATGTCCGGCGGCGCCGGCGGCGCGTCCGCGTCGTCGAGGCTCCACGCCGCCGGCGGCGTCGCCGCGGCGGGCCGCGCGGGCGGGCTCTCGATGCTCGGCCGCGCCGCGGACTTGCGCCGCGGCGACCGCGTCGGCTTCACGGCCGCGCTGTAGTCGACGGGCGAGTGGGCCTCGGCCGGCGGCGGCGGCGGCGCCGGCTCCGCGGGCGCCGCGAAGGGCGAGTCCGGCGGCGACACGTAGGCGTCGGGCCGCGGGCTCGCGTCGCCCGCGGGGAACGCGGAGACGAAGGCCTCGAGCTTCGACGGCCGGCGCTGGGCGGCCCCCGCGGGCGAGCACGGGCCGTCGTTGCCGTGGTGCACCGCGGCCGAAAAGGCCTTGACCATGCTCGGGCGGCGCGAGCCAGAGTCCGTGCGCGCGCGGGGCCGCGGCGCGGCGCGGTCGCTGCCCGCGCGCACGTCGACGGGCGCGGGCGGCGCGGCCCGGGCCGCCGCCGGGGGCCGCGACCGCGACCGCGTCTGCCACGACGTGTCGCTCCGGAGGCCCCCGCGGACCCGGCGGCCGGGCCGCTCCGGGGGCGACTCGCCCGGGGCCGGCGTGGGCGCCGCGCCGGAGCCGTCGTCGCGCGCGAGGTCGAGCACGTAGTCCGCGGGCCAGTTCGCGGGGCGCGCGGCGTCGGCCGCGTCGTCGTCCGCCTCCGCGAGCAGCTTGGGGAGGCACCGCCGCGTCTCCCGCTCGAGGTCCAAATTCGCCGCGCACATCTGGCCCCAGGACGCCGCGACCATGTCGCTCGAGCCCCAGCACGCGGCGACGGCCTCCAGCGGGACCTCGCCGTCGGAATCGTAGTCGCGCCCAAAGGCCACGGTGTAGTCGGGACGGGCGAAGCGGTCGGGCTTGTCGCTCGACCCGCAGAGCCACGCCGCGAGGGTCGCCATCTCGGGCTCGAGACCACGGGTGGGACAAGTCTTCGCACAGAAGGACGCGGTGCTCTCAACTGTTGCTCCAAAGCGCGGCAAGTTGAGAGCTTTGATATGCGCCGCCTCTAGATTTATATCCCCTTGGCGCCGCGGCAACCCTGGATCAATATTGGCTTCAACAGGGTAAACATCTCGTCGAAGCTCGAGGTGGGCCTCGCCGCGGCCTCTCGCAAGCAGCCATGTACGCGCCACCGATGGGCGGCCCGCCGCCGCCCATGGGCGGGTTCCCGCCGCGCGGCCCGCCCATGGGCGTGCCGCCGCCGCCGATGGGCGGCTTCGCCCCGCCGCCGATGGGCGGCGCGCCGCCGCCGCCCATGGGCGGCTTCGCGCCGCCGCCGCCCGGCGGCTTCGCGCCGCCGCCGCAGACCATGGCGCCGCCGCCGCCCATGTCCGCGAACCCGCCGCCGGCCCTCGCGCCGCCGGCCGAGGCGCCGGGCCTCGCGCCCGCGCCCGTGCTGCCGAGCGTCGCGAAACCCGAGGACGACGACGAGGACGAGCCGCCGCCGCCCGGCGACGAGCCGGGCTTCGGCAGCAAGAGCCCGCCGCCGGAGTACTTCAACGACCCGTTGCCCTGCGAGGTCGCCTACGGCGCCGAGGAGGAGAAGAAGGGCCTCGAGGTCGCGTCGGCGTATAAGACGGCCGCGCGGGCCGCGGAGCCCGGCGAGGTGCTGCCCGGCCACGCGTGGCGCCGCGTGGAGAACGGCGGCGTCGCCTACTGGTACAACGAGGCCACGGGCGTGAGCCAGTGGGACGAGCCGCCCGAGGTGTCCGGCGGCGGCGCGGCCGCGGGCGGCGCGAACAAGCCGCTCTACGACCCCGCGGTGGGCCCCAAGAACGACGACTTCGACGCGCTCTGCCAGGCCGCCGAGGGCGACTCGATCTGCGAGCCCATCGGCGACGGCGTGCTGCTGCGCATCATCGTCAAGCCGGGCCAGGACGAGGACGCGGTCCTCGACGTCAAGGACTACTGCGCGATGGTGAGCTTGCGCGCGCCCATCGAGGACCGCTGGTGCAACCAGGCCTTGCTCGCCTTCTGCCGCCGCGCGCTCCACGTGCCCCAGCGCGAGCGCAACGCCGTGAAGATCACGGACGGCGACGAGTCCCTCGACAAGATCGTCCACATCCCCGCGCTCTCGCCCAAGGAGGTCATCAAGCGCCTCCACAAGAAGAAGGACTTCGAGGTCGACACCAACGACGTCGAGAAGTGGATCCGCCACACGGAGCGCAAGCAGAAGGAGGAGGAGCGCCGCATGAAGCGCCGCAAGTGGGCCTAGGTGGCGTAACGTTGACGTGCATGTTGAAGAAGCTCTCACGGCGGCTGCTCTCCGGTCTTACCATTGACAGCATCCCCTCCCCGGACGGACGCAGTCGAGCGCGCGTCCCCTTCAATAACTACTAGTAGTCCAACTTCGTCGTGATGCAGGACGCGCCGCCGGTGGCCGCCGAGCAACGAACGTATCGCTGCTTCTCGCAGCTCAAAGGCTGGACGAGCGGGCCTGCGGTCACGCGGAGCGACCCGTCGTGCGTGCGCGTGGCGTGGGTCGTCGCGGAGGCGCCGCGATTCCTGCGGGGTGGCAAGGCGACGTGGGTCAAGCCCTGCGCCGGCGCCTGGCCGTCGGGCCTGAAATGCGCGTCGCGCCGGTGCGCGCAGCGGGACGAGCCCTACGCCGTCGAGAAGTACTGCGTCGACTGCGGCTACGGCGTCTGCGGCGACTGCGCGTGCCACTCGGGCTACGGCCACGAGTCCGCCGCCGGGACGTGCCGGTGCTGGTTCGGCAACTTCGGCTACGGCTACCACACGCAGGAGCCCGCGCCGTATTTCGGGGGCTCCGGCGGCGGGCCGGCGTACGTCGGCCCCTTCGTGTCGGAGGCGCAGCGCGGCGCGGAGGACGCGACGCTCCGCAACTTTTTCGCCGACGAGGATCGAGGGCCCGGTCGCGGCGCCGCGTGGTACCAGCCGACGCAGTGCGCGCGCGAGGGCTGCGCGCGGTGGCCGACGCTGCGCTGCGCGCGGTGCAAGGTGACGCCCTACTGCTCCAAGCACTGCCAGAAGCGCGCGTGGGTCGAGGCCGACGTCTACGGCAAGACGCACCGAGAGCTCTGCGGGCCGCACGTGTCCTACAAGCGCCTCGCCGCGCGCCAGGTCCCGGGCGCCGTCGGCGACGCGTCGCCGGGCGACCGCGAAGAGCGCTTCCGCGCGGCCCTGGGCCGCTACCCGCTCGAGGACGGCTACGTCTTCGCGGGCCGGCGCGTCCCGCCGCTCCGCGACCTCTGCGCGCGCGCGCTGCCCGTCGGCGCCGAGATCCCGCCGACGGAGCTCGAAGTGTCCCACGGCCGGAAAGAAGTCGTGACGCGAATCGAAGCGTTCCACCGCGTGCGCGAGGAGGCCGGCTTCGGCATCGAGAAGAGCTACACGACGCGCGTCCGCGTCTTCGAGAGCGCCGCGGCCGCCGCGGCCGCGGCCGCCGTCGCCGGGACCGAGGAGGCGCCCACGCCGGAGGAGTTCTCCTACGACTACGACCAGGAAATCCGGCCTGGCAAGTAAAGACCATGCCTCTCTCTCCTTCTGGTGGGGATCTAGCTGGACGCAGGTAAGCAAGTTATCCCCGCCCGGGGGGGGGGTCTTCATATGCCATTACTCCCGGCGCGCCCGCACTCGTCTCGGGCGCGCGCTCGCCCCCTCGGAGGCGCGCGCGCGCCGTCATCCGCGGCCGCCGCGCGGGGGGCGCTACGGGCAGCCCGCCGGCCTCGTCCCGTTATAGGCGTCGCAGACCATCTTGAGGTAGTCGAGCTCCGCGGGCATGCGCATCTCGCCGTCGACGACGAGCCACGGCGTCCGCCCCACGGAAGCGTCCGCGGTCCTCGCCGCGCTTTCGCGGAGCAGCGCGTCGCCGGCGGCGCCGCCGGCGCAGGCCTCGAGCGCCGCCGCGTCGACGCCGTGCGCCGCCGCGCATTCGCCGGCGTTGCCCGGAATCGCCGTCTGGTTCGCCATCACGCACGCCTCGAAGGGCCACCAGACCTTCGCGTCGCCGGTGATGTGCCGCGCGCAGAGCATGTGCAGCGCGCCGCCGCAGCCCAATCGCCCCGCATCTTCGCCGCAGTCCGGCGTCGCGCCGCGCCATTGCAGGAAGAACCACGTCTCGAAGTCGATGATGTCTGGGACACCGGGCGCCTGCATGACCTGCGAGTCCCAGCTAGCGCTGAACTCGCCGCACGGCCCTCATTGCGCCATCTCGAAGACCTGCACGGGGACCCGCGGCGCATCCGGCGCCGCAGCGCCGAGCAGCGCGACGAGGCTCAGGACGAGGGCTGCCATCGTCGAGCGAGAGGCTTCCTGAAGCCGTGCTTGAAAGAGGCTTGCACTTCAACACGAAAATCACCATTATGCTTCTCGGTGGATGCGGCTCTAGGCCGCGCGGGTCGCGCGCGTCTTCTTCGTCTTGGGCGCGCCGGCGGCCTCGCCGGCCGCGGCGCGCGCGGCCTTGGGCGCCGCGCGGAGGAGGTGGAGCGGGACGCGCGGCTCGTCGTCGCCGTCGTCGTAGTGGACGTCGAAGGTCGGGTCGCGGCTCTTCGTCTTGGGCGGGTTCACGGCGACGATCGTGCCCGCGTGCCAGTGCGTGCCGCCGTTCCACCGCGCCTCGATCGCGTCGCCGGGCGCGTAGTCGTACGTCGGCGCCGCCGGCGCGGGCGCGGGCGCGGCGGGCTCCGCGCGCGACGGCACCTCGCCCGTCGCCGGGCACTCGGCCTCGACGGCCTCCTTGACCGGCGTCGCCTTGGCGGCCCGGGCCTTGGCGGCCTTGGCCTTGGCGGCCGCGATGGGCTCCGCCGCGCGTCGCTTGTAGGGCACGCGGACGATGAGCGGCGCGGCCGCCGGCGCGGGCGCGGCCGGCGCGGGCGCGACGGGGCCGCGGCGGCGCGTGGCGTGGCCGTGCGCGGCCGGCGCGGGCGCGGGCGCGACGGGCGCGGGCGCCGCTGGCGCCGCGCGGCGCCGCGCGGCCGCGGGCTCCGGCGCCGCCCTCGCGGCCGGCGCGCCGCGCTTCTTCGCCGGGACGGCGGCCTCCTCGGCGCGCTTGCGCTGGAACTCCGCGCGCACGGCCTCGGCGCGCTCGTCCGCGCGCTTCTGGGCCGCGGCCGCGGCCGCCGGGAGCGCGTCGCCGGCGGCGGCCTTGGTCGCGCCGACGCCGAAGAGGAGCTTCATCTTGTCGAAGTCGAGCTTCGCGTTGTCGCTCCGCACGGAGCCCGAGCCCGCGAGGTCGATGACGGCGTTGGCCTTGACGTCGGGCTTCGCGTCGTCGCCGGCGGCGGGCGCGGGCGCGGGCGCCGCGGCGACGGCGGCGGCGGCGGCGCCCTCCGCGCCGTAGAGGTGGTCGCGCATGCGCGACTCCACGGAGTCGCGGAGCACGAGGCGGTGGATCGTCACGTCGCGCTGCTGGCCCATGCGGTGCACGCGGCCGATGGCCTGGCGGTCGAGGGCGACGTTCGTGCACGGCTCGACCATGACGCAGTGGTTCGCCTGCGTCAGGTTGATGCCGCACGCGCCCGCGCGGATCGACAGGAGGAAGATCGTCGTCGGCGGCGACTGCTGGAAGTCGGCCAGCGCGCGGCTCCGCGCGGCCATGGACATGCTGCCCGTGATGCAGCGGAAGTCGAACCCGTAGTTCGGCAGCTCGCGCATGAGGTAGTTGAGCGTGCGGTTGAACTGGGAGAAGACGAGGACCTTGGCCGTGTCGTCGTCGTCGCGGACGTCGACGAGCTTGGAGATCAACGCGCGGAGCTTCGACCGCATGACGGGCCCCGACGCCGTCGACGCGGCGCCGAGCTCCTCGTCGTCGTCGTCGATCTCGATGGGCGCGCCCGACGAGTCGCCCGCGGCGGACACGGCCTCCTTGCCGCGGTCGGGCAGCTTCGTCGGGATCGCGCCGCCGGAGCAGGCCTGGCGCAGGGGCCGCAGCAGCGCGTGGAGGTAGAACGTCGCCCTGCGCACGGCCGCGGGCCCCTCGAGCTCGAGCGCGCGCACCTTGGCGACGGCCTGCTGCTCCAGCGCCGCGTAGGCCGTCCGCTCCTCGGCGGAGAAGACGACGTCGACGACGTTCTCGGCGATGGGCGGCAGCTCGAGGAGCTCGCGCGCGGACGACGCGTAGGTCATGGCCTTGGCGTGGCGCATGACGAGGCGGCGCAGCAGCGACACGGGCCCGGCCGGGTAGCCCGGCTCGTAGTTGTCGAGCGACCCCGCGGCCTGGAGCGGCCGGACGAGCACGTTCTCGAGGCTCGCGTGGTCGGACAAGGCGTCGACGCCGACGAACTTGAACTGGCCCGCGAGGTCCGCGAGGGATCCGTTCGCGGGCGTGCCCGTCACGGCCCAGCGCCGCGGCGACGCGAGCGCGCAGCACGCGCGGCTCTGCTTCGTCGTGCCGCCCTTGATCGTGTGGGACTCGTCGAGGACGACGCGCCACCACGCGAGGCGCTCGAGGGGCGGCGTCCAGCGGCGGCCGCTCGTGATGCAGGCCTTGGCCTCCTTGGTGTTGCCCGCGTAGTCCGACGCGAGGACGGCGTAGGTCGTCACGACGATGTCGAAGTCCTTGAGCTGCTCCGGGTCCGTGATGCGGCTGCCGCCGTAGTAGCGTTAGACCCTGGGCGCCGCGGCCTCCATCTTCTCCGTCGCCTCCTGGACCCACTGGCCCACGAGCGACACGGGGCAGACGACGAGCGTGCCGCGCGCCCGCGTCTTGCCGCCCGTCGCCGCGGACGCCCACGCGTCGGCCCACTGCTGGGAGTCGCGGTCCGCGGGCGCCGGGTTCGCCAACACCAGCGCCGCCGTGATGACGGTCTTGCCCATGCCCATCTCCTCGCAGAGCAGGCCGCCCGCGGGGCCCGGCGCGTCGCCGGCCGCCGGCGCGCGCTTGCACGTGTTCAGCGCGGGGCTGTAGAGCAGGCCCGGCGCGAGCGGCGCCCAGACGTGGGCGTTCGCGCCGCCGGGGAGCCGCTCCTGGTCGAGCATCCACCGCACGGACTGGCGCTGGAACGGCAGGAGGCGCACGGACAAACCCGCGGGCTCGGCCTCGTGCTCCGCGTGGCCCCGGTTCTCGAGGTCGCCGAGGAAGCCGCCGACGGAGCCGCCCGCGCGGCGCGCGCGGGGGGACTCGAAGGCGCGCTGCTCCTCCCTGAGAGCGCCGAGGCTCAGGGCCTCCAGGCCGCAGTCCGTCGACGCCCAGCCGCCGGCCGTGGAACTCCGCGACGACACGAGCCGCTCGCCGTCCGCGGCGTCCGGCGCCACCCAGTCGAGCGCCTCGTCGTCGTCGTCGCGAAAGCGGCCCGTCGCGTGCTTGGCGACGTCCGCGGCCCCGAGCGCGCGCGCGACAGCGAGGATGTCGACGCGTTTCTGCCGACTCTGGCGGACCTTGCCGCGGCCCGACTTGCTCCACTCCGCGGGCAGCTTGAAGCCCTCGGGACCCACGTAGAAGGCGATGGTGACGACGCCGCGCGCGACGACGTCGGACGCGTTGCGCCGCGGCTTGATCTTCGCGCCGACCTTGGCGACGAGCGCGCCCGGCCCCTGCCAGGACGGCTTCGTGAAGATGTCTTCGGCGAGCTCGTAGAGCTCCGCGGCCCGTTTCTTGTCGTCGGCGGCGACCGTCCCGTCGACGATGTAGAAGCTGCTGCTGCGGTCCCCCACCACCTGCTTGAGGCCGTTCGCGATGGCCCGGCAGACGACGCTCGGCTTTTCGTTGATGACGCGCGCGAACGCGCCCTCGGCCGCGGCGCGCTCGTCGTAGCGCCAGCCCGGGTTGGCCGCCCAGTTCTCCTGGTAGTCGCCCTTTTGGCGCGGATCGTCGGCCTTGATCTCGACGGCGATGTCGAGCCGGCCCAGCAGCGGCGCGCCGGCGACGGCCTCGAGCCGGCGGTCGCAGCCGCCGCGGCCGCCGCGGTGCATGCCGCAGACCTCGCAGGCGTCCTTGCTCCGGTGCGCCGCGACCTGCTCGCCGCACGTCGCGCACGTGTGGGCGACGGTCACGACGTTGTCGCGGTCCACGGTCACGTGCTCCTCGTCGTCGTCCGAGTCGGGCCCGTCGCTGTCGGAGCCGTACATGTTGTGGAACATGCCGCCGTAGCCGCCGTAGGTGTCGACGTCCATGGTCCAGAACCGGAGCGACAGCGCGGCGCCGGGGGCCGCCGCGCGCACGATCTTGAGGTCCCGGGCCGCGCGGCCGTGGTCGTCGGCGACCTTGTAGCAGACGCAGCCCGGCTCGAGCGCCGCGGACGCGGCGACGCAGTCCTTGTCGACGCGGCCCCGCACGTAGAGCACGCGCGGCCGCGACGACGCGCCGAGCCACTCCGCGAGGACCGCGCACTGGTCGCAGCCGCACTTGGACTGGAGCGCGCCGTTCTGCTTGCCGTTCGCCTGCTTCGCCTTCTTCTTCTTCGCCTTCTCGCGCGCGTTCTGCCAAAAGGAGGAGCCGGCGTGCGCGACGCAGTGGGCGCCCCACGACTTGCAGTCGCCCGCCGGCGCGTCGCAGACGTAGCAGTAGCACTGGGCGCAGTGGCCGGCGCAGACGCTGAGGCTCCCGACCTGGAACTTGTGCTTCGGGCAGTCGCCGCGCGCGTGGGGGAGCTTGCACTCGTTCTCGACGCCGAGGATGGCGACGTCGTCGTCGATTTCGATGATCTCCTGGTTCGTCGGCACCGTGCGGCGCGCCGGTTGCGATGCTTCGGTCTTGACCATTCTTCTATTTGTCTTTTCGCGGTCGTGGACGAGCTTCCGGCGGCGGGTTTTGCGCTCGAGCGCGGGCGTGAGCTCCCGGCGGCGAGTTTTGCGCTCGAGCGCGGGCGTGTGCGTTCGGACTAGCTCTCGGCCACCTGTGCGTGCGCTCGGACTGGCTCCCGGCGGCCCCTGCGCGCGCGTCGACGCGACGAACTGTCAGTTTGGGCTAGGGATCGATCTGGGTACCCGGGTTGTGCAGCACCTCGAGCCAGCTGTAGTTGACTCAAAGGTGCAGTCCAGGTTTACGAAGACCCCCCTAGCCCAGCCCGAAGCCGTCCTTGAGATTGATGATGCCGCAGTTGTGGATCTTGCAGTCGTCGACGGGCCGCTCGTTCTTCGTCGGGAGCGCGCCGATCTGGCGGATCGTGGCCATGCCCTTGACGACGCGGCCGAAGGCGACCGCGGTCTTGTCGAGCCAGTCGAGCGCGTTGAGCGTGATGAAGAACTGCGTGTTGTTCGTGTGGGCGCCGTCGTTCGCCATGGCCAGCACGCCCGGCGCGTCGAACTTGACGGCGAAGTTCTCGTCCGCGGCGTCCTCGACGATCTTCGCGGAGCCGCCGCTGCCGTCGAAGATGTCGCCCGACTGGACCCAGCCCCCGGGGACGACGCGGTGGAAGGGCGCGCCGCGGTAGTGGAGGAGGAGCTCCTTCTTCTCGCCGTGGCACTCCGCCTCGCGCTTGCCGAGCTCGCCCGTCGTGAGCGCGCGGAAGTTGAAGCACGTCTTCGGGCAGAGCTGGTTGTAGAGCTCGAGGACGACCTTCCGCGGCTTGTTGTTCTGCGTGTTCGCGTTGAACTGGACGTCGAGGAACACGAACTGGTGGCCCGTCGCGTTGAGCATCTCGAGGTAGCGGGCGTGCGTCGACGCGTCGAGCGCCTTGTTGTCCGGCGGCGCCGGCGCGCGGCCGAGCTCCTCGGTGGCCAGCGCCTCCAGTTCCCGGTCGCCGCCGACGTAGTGGAACGCGCCCTCCCACTCGATCAGAACGAGCGGAGATTTCGCGTGGCCGCTACACTTGCCGCCGACGGATACGTTCTTCTCGGCCAGGTAGACCTCCCAGTCCGGCTCGAGCATGGGCAGCACGCTCAGGGCGTAGGAGCCCTCCGTCGCGCCGGCGCAGATCTCCTCGCCGACGGCCGCGGCCTTGCTCAGCTTCACGTCGTCGGCGAGGCCCGCGACGACGATGGTGCAGTCCGTCGGCGGCGGCGCCGGCGCGGGCGTTTCCTCTTCGATGGCGTCGCAGTCCTTCGACTCGTCCTTCGCCTCGTCCTTCTCCTCGGACGGCATGCCGACGCAGCCCGAGAGGGCCGTCTATAACCGAGCGCTATCGTCGAGCGGATACAGGCCAGAGGTGCCGACGAGGTGCACCTCCTGATGGTGGGAAATCCTTGCCCGATGGCGCGCCGCAGGGCGCTCATGCTCGTCGCGCTCCAGTGCGCGTCGGCCTTCGTCGCGCCGCAGCGATCGCGCCTCGCGCCGCCGCGACGACGCGTCGCCGTCGCCGCCGACAACCGCGTCGAGGACCAGCTCGCCCTCTCCGGCGACGTCGCCGTGCTCTTCCTCTACAGCTACATGCAGAAGGTCATCGACTCGCTCTACACGCTGGCCTCCATGGTCTCGGACGACGTCGCCACCGACGAGATGGACTTTTTCCGCGACCCGTCCTTCGCCGCGGCCGTGCTCTCCGCCGCGTGGCTCGCGGGCGTGAGCACCCAGGGCGGCCACACGTTCGCCGCGACGCGCAGCGGCGTGCCCAACGCGCTCGCGACCGTCGCCAAGGGCGGATTTCTCGCCCTCGGCGTCATCATCGCGGGCCTCGCGGCGCGGAGCGCCGCGCTCGGGCTCGACGTGTGCCCGCAGGACGTCGGCTTCGCCGCGGGGCTCCTCCCCGTCGTCGGGTCCTGGCGGTACGTCCTCGCCGAGCAGACGGACCTACCGTAACCCCGGGTTGTAGATGTCGCGGTTCTTCCAGAAGGTCCCGTAGTAGTTGGATTCGCCGTGCCTCCGGTCGTGGAGCCTGTCCCGGAGCGCGCCGTCCTGCGCGAAGAGGTTCTCGATGCGCGCGTGGGGGTCCTGGGACGGCGACGTCGTCCGCTCGGACACGGTGTGGAAGATGTGGGGCGCCCGCCAGCCGCAGGGCGCGGCGACGTCGCCGCCGGCGCTCCGCGCCTTCGCCGCGCGGCCGAGCGCGCCGGGTCCCGTGACGTAGAGCGACGAGAGCTTGCCTTCCTCGGGATAGCGCCGCGCCATGACGGTGTCGACGACGGCTCGAATGGTCTCACGCAGGACGGGGTGCGACGGCGTCGACATCATGAAGCCTACGGGGACGTCCGGTGAAGCCTACGGGAAAGCCGCCCGTCGCGCACCGTTCCAGAGGACCAGCGTTTCCGCTCGGTCCTCGGACGTCGCCCAGAGATCGCGGCAGACGTAGAGGAGGTCGCTGCGGTTCGTCAGCCGCGCCCGGCGGTCCTCGAAGCCGTCGACGAAGGCGTCGACGTCGCCGTTCAGGCGCATCTTGCAGTCCAGGTAGACGCCGCCGCAGGCCCTGAAGGAACAAGGTGATGGAATGTTTGAGCGCGTGGACGCACCAGAGGATGCAGTAGCGCCAGAGATCCGCGCGGAACGCCCAGGGCCTGAGCGTGGCGAACGCGGCGCTCACGTTGGCGACGCCGGCTGCCGCGAGGCGCCGGTCCAGGGCGAGGATGCTCGCCTCGAGGGCCGCGTCGTCGTGGAACTCGAAGCGCCAGCCCGCGGGCCACGCGGCGCCCCAGTGCGGCGTCGTCAGGTTCCACATCTGCGTATCGAATTTGCCCGTGTAGTAGACCGTGCGCCGCAGGCCGGCGGTCGGCGCGGCGGCGTCGCCGCCGCCGCAGATGCGGTCTTGCGCGCTGCCATTAGCGACGAGGAGCAGCCCACTTACTATTATCTCTAGCCACCATCGTGACATATAAAAATGCACCGAGACGTCAACGCTGGATTCAACTTTTTGAAAAAGGGGCAGCCTGCCCGCTGCACAACCTCTGCGCGGCGCACCGAGCCATGTCGTACCCGCCCCACATGGCGCCGATGCCGCACGCGGCGCGCGGCATCGACGTCAAGGCCGTCTGGGAGGACCTGGACAACCAGGAGCGCGAGCTGAAGCGCGAGGCGGTCACGCTGCGGGAGATCTGGCACAAGACGACGGAGATGCACGCGAAGAACAAGGAGAAGCGGGAGGAGTTCGAGAAGAAGGCGAACCAGCACTTTCTGCCGGCGGACGCGCGCGTCGTGCTCAACGTCGGCGGCCAGATCTTCGAGACGACGGCGGGCGTCCTGTGCCGGGACCGGTGGAGCGTGCTCGCGGCGCTGTGCGAGGAGAACCAGAAGCTGCTGAAGGCGGAGCCCGACGGGTCCTACTTCCTCGACCGCGACTGGTGGGTCTTCCGCCACATCCTGCAGTGGCTGCGGAGCGGCGACCTGCCCAACGACCCCATGGTGCTCATGGAGATGCACAACGAGGCCAACTTCTACCGGCTCCAGTCCCTCGCGACCGCGATCCGGGAGCTGCCCGGCGACCCCGAGGAGCGCTTCGCCGGGTGCTAGCGACGGCGACCGGCGACCACCCCGAGGACCGGGTGCGAGCGACGACGGCGCATTTTGTTAGAACGTAAAGTGGAAGGCGACGTACTGGCGGATGGAGCAGTAGCAGGAGAGGAAGATGCCGATGGCCGGCGCCCAGTAGAGCACGCGCTGCGCCGCGCCGTCCAGCAGGGCGAAGGGCCCGCCGTCCTCGACGATGGACCGGCCCAGGTCGAGCACGGACTGGCCCTCGGTGGCGCCCGACGCGTCGGAGATGATGCGCGTCGTGATGACGTCCGTCGGCGTCGTCACGTACGCGCCGATCGCGCCGCCGAGCGCGCCGAGCGCCGCCTCGGCCTGCAAGGTGTTCACGTCGAAGACGATGTCCGGCGACTGGAGGATGAAGGTCTTGAGGCCCTCGAAGATGGCGATCTGGATCGCGCCCATGGGCACGTCCCGGTAGAGCGACGACGACCACGCGAGGAGCACCTGGTCCCGCCGGCTCTTCTCGGCGACGATCGACGCGAGCGCGTCGCCGAAGCCGTCCGCGATGCCCGTCTGCGTCATCGTCTTGCAGGCCTCGGACGGCGCGCGGATGATGGACCCGCAGAACTCGCCGACGCCGCCCGCCAGGAGGTAGACGAGCAGCGGGTTCGCCGCGCCGAAGGCCGTGCCGAGCAGCGCCGTCTTGCAGACCTCGTAGACCCCCAGGTAGAGCGCCGACGACGGCGCCTCCTTGAAGACGTTGCCCAGCAGGCCCTTGTAGAGGCCGCCGACGTCATCCAGTAAACCCGGCTCCTCGCGCAGGAGCACGGCGGCCTTGCCCTCGAAGACCTCGTCGTCGACGGCGGCCTGCGCCGCGGCCTTGGCGCTCTCCTTCGTCTGCATCTTCGTCTTGATCGTGTCCACGGGGTGCATGATGCACGTGGAGATGATGGACGCGGCGGCGGCGGAGGCGTAGTTGACCCACTCGGGCTGGGCGTCGAGCTTCTTGAGCACCGTGTTCCTCCGCTTCAGCTCCGCCTCGAACTCGCGCTGCCGCTCGAGCTGGAGCTGGATCTCCTGGCGCCGCGCGCGCACGTCCGCGATCATGGCCTCGCGCTCCTTCATCTCCGTCTCGACGAGCCGCTTGAGCTCGGCGAGCGCCGCCTCGGACTGGGTCTGCTCCTTGGACGGCGGCGGCCGGAAGAACGACGGCAGCGCGTCCTTGGCGGACTTCTCGATCTGCGCCTCGAGGTCCAGCGTCTGCCGGTTGAGCGCCTCGACGCTCGCCTCGAGCTCGCCGAGGATCGTGTCGATGCTCGGGCTCCCGAGCGCGCCCTCGCGCTGCTTCGCCTTCTTCTCGCCGAGCCGGCTCAGCTCGTCGACGCTCAGCTTCTTCTGCGGCGGCGTCGACGTCACGGCCGCGCTCGACGGCGCGTAGGACGCAAACGCGGGCTCGTCCGCGAGGACCGCGGCGCCGATGCACGCGGCGGCCGCGCCGCCCAGAAGCCGTCGCCGCGACAGCGCGGCCGGCGCGCGCGGTGCCCGCTCCATCGAATTCGCATCCTGCGTGGCGTCGCGCCGCAGGGCGCGTCGCCGCAGGGCGGACGCGCCGCGCCGCGGCGGCTGGACGAGCGGCGTGACGACGGCGACCCGGAGCAACGCGAGGACCACGAGGTGCCGCATGCTGCCTGTTCCGCCGCTCGGAGTCAGACGCCGCTCCGAGGGCCTCGCCCACCTGAAGAAATCTATTTGCTCCGTCACGGTCGACCCATGCACAGGCACGGGCAGCCCCACCCCCGGGGCGTCGTTGGGCAGCGCCTGCGACGGCCTCCTCGCGCATATGCGGTCGAGCCAGCGCGTCCAGCGCGGCAGCGTCGTCGGCGCGGCGCGGCGCGCCGGGGCCGTGCCCCTCGGCGATCTGCCGCCCATCGACAAGCTCGGCGTGTCGCTGCGGCGGGAGGAGGTCGAGGCGGCGAAGCGCCAGCTCGACGGGTCCTTCGACGCGCGGCGCTGCGCGTCCGGCGGCGGGCGCACGGACCCCGTGCCGTCGCCGCGGGAGCCGCTGGAGCTCAGCGACCCCGGCCCGGCCCTCGAGGAGGAGGATTACGGGGCCGACGACGGCCGCGAACCGCCCGCCGGCGACGAGAGCCCCGTCGCCGCGCTCCTGACGCGGCTCGCGGACGAGGCGCGGCACCGCATCGTCGTCGAGAAGAACTGGCACTTCGAGTTCAGCGGCGGCCGCCACTTCGACCGGCTCCCGCCGCGGCTCCAGGTCTGCCTCGTCGGCGACTGGCTCCGGAAATTCGTCCGGGACCTGCCCGGGTGCCGCCACGCGGCGTCGCTCGGCGGCCGGAGCTTCTGGGGCGACTGCGTCCTCCACGCCCTGTTGAAGTCGCTGAACGCCCTCGTCGAGGAGGAGCTCGCGGCCGACGACGGCGCGGGGCCGCCGCGCGAGGAGTGGCGGCTGACGGCGACGTCGCTCTGGGCCGCGGCGACGGACGGCGCGCGCGCGCCCGTCGACGCCGGTTCCGCGGACCCGGGCGAGTGGCGCGTCCTCGTCGACTGCCTCGTCGCCGAGTTCCTGGCCAACGCGACCGCGCGCAAGGTGCTGAGCGGCGCCGTCGCCGTCGAGGACTGCGGCGCGGCGCTCGCGGCCGCGCTCTCGGGCTCCTACGCCGCGGACGTCGACGTCGACGGCGGCGCGCTCCTCGGGCCCTGCCTCGTGCCGCGCCGGACCTGGACCGCGCGGGACCTGCGCGAGGCGAACGCGCTCGTGGCCGCGCTGGCGGGCCGGAACTGCGCGGAGGCGGACCTCTTCGAGCCCGTGGGCTGGCAGGCGGCGAAGCCCGAGGACGACGTGCGCTACCGCCCCTTTTCGCGGGGGGAGGAGCGCGGGCGCATCGGCCGCGTGCGGGAGGCGGTGGACATGATGCGCGAGGCCGAGCGGACGGCCGGCGCCGCGCGCGAGACGGCCCGGGACCTCGTCGAGGCCGCGGAGAAGGAGATCCGCCACGCGAAGAAGAAGGCGAAGAAGGGGCCGAGCCGCGACGCGCTCGAGGCGGCGAAGCGGAGGCTCGCGCACGCGCGCGACAACGTCGACGACGCGCAGATGCTCTGGAAGGAGCAGTGCCACACGCTCTGCGAGGGCGTCGGGTTACTGTTGCGGGCGCTGGCCCACGCCCAGGACGACGGCTGGGTCCGCGCCCTCGTGGACGCGCTCCGCGTCGACGACCCGCGCGGCCCGCTCGCGGCCAAGGTCGACGCGTTCGACGTCGCCAAGGCGAAGCTCTCCTGCGCCGACGCGACCTTCAGCGAGTTCGAGGAGCTCCAGGACTACCTCGTCGCCTGCCACTCCATCTGCGCGCCGGCGCCCTACCTCTGGGCCCACCTCAAGTGCCGGCCGGGCGAGGAGGAGGACGATCGCGCGGACGACGTCGACGCGCGCGTGGGCCAGCTCGAGCTCGACGCCGACTCGCCCCGCGCGCCCCTGGAGGCGCGGTTGGCGGCCCACCGCCGGGAGTAAAGGGAGCCTTCGATCGACCTGGCGAGCCGAGGAGCTCATTTTTGCCACACTCTGAATACGCTGGAATGGGACTCGCAGAACGCCTCTGCTTGCTCCGTCCGCGCTCCCACTGAGAGGGCCCCGAACTTGCGAAATTCGAGCGGCACAGTATGTCTGATAAGAAGGTCGTGACCCTCAAGACGTGACCCGTGGCGGGGTGGGTCCTGTGTAACCGGGGCCCCCTCGAAACGAAGATCAGGGAGAAGCTCCCCGACTACGAGGTCGAGCACGGCTGCGGCTTCCCGTTCATGGTCTGGAGCGAGGTCGACGGCAAGTCGTCGGAGAAGGAATGCGTGCCCGGGTACTACTTCCTCCCCCCGCCGCTGTCCACGAGCGTTTGCGCGACGTCGCTCGACAAGACGGCCGCGCTCGCCGCCGCCGCCGCCGCCGGCGCCGCGCCCGCCGCGGAGACGATGGAGCGCTAGATCGATACGGCGTGCGACCGGAAACATGACGCCGCGGAGACGACGGCGAGCCCCGACGCCGCCCGAGTCCCCGCGGCCGAGACCGACCCGTCGCCCGCCGAGATCCCCCGCGTAAGCATACCCCGTACTTCGCGCGCCTGCCAGACCCGCCGCGTGTACTAAAGGCCCCGTACATATACTTACGACGGGCCCTCCTGGGCCGCCTTCTCGCGCCGCACGGCCGCGCGCGCGTCCTTGCGGATCTTGCCGTTGTGCTCGCGGAACGCGTCGGGCCGGCGGAGGTCGTCGAGCGGCGCCGCGCCGGCCTCGAGCGCCTCGAGGATGCCCGCCACGGCGTCGTCGTCCCGGCCGAGGTGGCCCGCCCAGTCCCGGCGCAGCTCGTCCGCGCCCCTGGCGCCGGCGATGTCGCCCTCGCGCACGAGATCGCCGCACGCGTCCGCGCCGTACAAGTTCAGACAACTTTGGAGCGCGAGCGCCGTCGCCACGGCCACGTTCAGGCTGTCCTGGAGCCCGTTCATCGGCAGGTAGACCCTTTCGTCCGCGGCGTCCAGGAACGCGTTCGACACGCCCGTCGACTCCGTGCCGACGACCAGGGCCAGCCGCTTCGGCAGCGCCTTCGCCGCGAGCCACGGCGCGTCTTGGTCCAGGACCTTGGCGCCCTGGCCGAGGTCCGTGCACCAGATCTCGCAGCCCTCGACGGCCCGCAGCGCCGCGACGCACGCCTCCGTGGATTCGAAGGTCCGCAGGCTCAGGAACCGCGCCGCGCCCCGTCCCAGCGACGCGTGCGCCTGGTCCAGGTCGACGTCGCCGGCCCAGGCGCGCGCGGCCTTCTTGTTGCGCCGGTCGCGGCGCGACCCGGGGGTGACGCGGACGATCGTCCCGTCCTTGTAGCCCGCCGCCGCGAGCTCCGTCTTCGACATCCGCTCGCGGGCCGCGTTCCTCGCGTCGACCTCCGAGCTGTAGGCCATGTCGTTCATGCGCTTGCCCGCGGCGCGCGACAGGTAGAGCGCGTCGCCGCGCGGCGGCTGGACCAACCAGACGTGCTGCACGCCGAGGGCCTCGCAGGTGCGGAACGCGGCGCTGAAGTTGTGGCCGTCGCAGAGCCGCTCCATGACGACGATGACGCGCGCCGTGCGCCGCCGGAGCACCGTCTCGATGCGCCGCGCGAGCCGGTCGGGGTCGCCGGGCTCCTCGAGCTGTTTGGGGGCGAGCTGGTTCGCCGGCAGCGCGTTCTCCGGGCGCAGGCTGTAGGTCGCCGTGCGCCGGCGCCGGTAGAGCGCCAGCGCGGCCGCGGCAGCTGCAAGCGCGGCTGCTGCAGCTGTCGCGAGGCGCTTGTCCATGCTCGCCATGCTCGCCTAATGACCGAAGGCCAGTGAAGGCGTCGACGGCACCTTGAACTTCAACACGAGTGTTTGACGCGCCGAGCGGACCCGGTAACCAAGAGGCGAAACGCGCGGCCGACATGCTTACGCGAGGGTCGCGGCGACGGATCGGACGCCTTCGACCTCTACTTGCTGAGGCCGCGCTTGAGCGCGATCTCGTTGATGTTCCACTTCATCTTCTGGCGCGAGATGGGCATGACGCGGCGCATGGCCTTGAAGGTCTCGGCGGACATGTTCTCGTACATGTCCTCGAGGCCCCGCTGGAGGGCGCCCTCGGTCTCCTCGACGAGCGCGGCGACGGCGGCGACGTCCGCGCACTTTGCGGCCTCGACGGTCTTCGCGCTCTGGAGCTGGACGTTGCCGTCCTCGAAGTAGTGGGCGCGCACCCGGACGGAGCCGGAGACGGCGTAGCCGGCCCCGTCGACGGCGGCGGTCCACGTCGACGCCCAGCCGCCCGCGTAGAAGTTCCGCAGGTTCACTTTGTCGCCGCGGATCGCGACGGCGAGCGCGCCGTCGAGCGCGTAGACCGCGTGGTGCAAGTCGCGGGAGCCCCGGCCGCCGTAGTGGCCCGCGACGTAGGCGCCGATGGCCGCGGCGAGCGCCGCGCGAGCGGGCTCAAGCGCGTGCTCCTCCGGCGCCTCCGGCGCCTCCGCCGGGGGCGCCTCGCGCGACGGCGCGGCCGCCTCCGCGTCGTCGTCGTCATCCGGAGGCGCGTCATCCTCATCCGCCTCCGGCGCCTCCTCGGGCGGCGGCGGCTCGTAGAGCTTGGCCTCGAGCGTCGCGTGGTCGACCTCGTAGACGCGCTTCGACTCGCTCTCGACGTAGCGCGTCGGCGCGACCTCGCTCGCGTCGCAGAGGATCACGCGCGCGCCGTCCTCGGCCACAGCGACGCGCCTGCGTCGGGAGGTGTCGTTCGGGGGAAACACGGCGCGGCGGAAACGGGCGCGGGATCGCGAACAGCTCGCGCGTGTTGTACGCGCGCGCGATGCCCGCGAGCATGCCGGCGCTGAGGACGCCGTCGTCGACGAGCTGCGACGCGTCCTTGAGCACCTCGCCGTACTCGCCGGGGGGCGCCTGGAGGAGGAAGTGCTGGACGATGGCGAGCTTCTCCGAGTCGGAGAGCGCCTCCTCTTCCTCGCTCGCCTCGCTGCCGTCGACGACCGTCTCCTCGGCGTCGTCGTCGGCCATGTTTCAGTGCGTCCGTTCGGGGGGGCGCGGGGCGGCGAGCGAGGCGTCGCGTCGACGCGGTGAGATGAGCGGCACAGCGCTCGTCGCGTTTTGTGCGATCGAGGCAGCCCAGCGCCTGCACGCCCACCGGCGCCGTGCGCGTCGCTGCCCCGCGCTGCCGCTCGACGCGCCGCGATGGCGAAGAAGAAGGCGCCGAAGAAGACGGCCAAGGAGAAGGAGGAGGAGTACCTCGAGCAGTGCTTCGTGCTGTTCGCCTGCGCCGTCTTCGGCGGTCTCTTCTGGTGGTTCTGCCAGATGGAGAAGGCCGGCCCGGAGGAGCTCTGAGCGGCGCGCCGGCGCGGCGCTGGGGCGCGGAGGCGGTCCAGGCATCGGCGCAGCGCCGCATCCGTGACTTCGCGCGCGCCGCGCCGCGACGGCGTCCGCCGCTGCTCGACGGCGTCCGACGCGGCGCGACGGCGTCCGCGCTTCGGCAGGACGGAGCCGACGCGCCGGGAGCGCCTCGCTCTGCCTGCAATGCGCTTGCGACGGCGCAGACATGCTCCGTCGCCGCCGGCGACGCCGTGGACTCAGATGCTCCCTTCGAGAGGCGCCGCGAGCCGTCCGGCGCCGCGACTTGCAACGCCGCCAGCCGATCGTGCTCCTTCGCACCGCCGACGGAAAGACAAGAAGCCGCGCCCGACAGGCTCGAGCGCGAATTGCCGGCTCGAAGGCCGCGCGCGCGTCCGAAGGACCGCCGTGCCTAGAGAGTCTGGGCGCGCAGCCCTGCAGGAGAGTCCTCAGGAGGCACTCGCAACGCACAAGCTTAGACGCTCTAGTAGTGTGTCAGTAGCCACCGGGGCTTGCGCTCTAGCGGCGAGGTAGCCGAAGAGAAGAGGCGCGCGTCGCTCGCGCGGGGCGCGCCTCAGGCGTAGCGCTCGAGCGAGTCGTCCGAGTCGTCGTCCTCCCAGCCGACCCGAAGCTGGAACCCGGGGGGCGGCTTGGCGGCCAGACCCGGGGGCCGCGGCGGCGACTTCGCGGCGCGCCCGACGGCGGCGTCGCGGCGCTTCAGGGCGCGCGCCGACTCGCCGTAGCTGCAGGCCGCGATGCGCGCCGCCGCGTCCGCGGCGCCGCGCGCGCGGTCGAGGACCACGACCTCGGCGCACTTGACGGTTTTCCTGACGGCTTTCTTTCCACCGCCCGTTCTTTTTTCCGCGTTCTTCGCGATCACGTATCTTTCCGCGTTCTTCGCGATCACGTAGGCCACCCGGTCGCCGATGGCGACCCAGGCCTCGCCCGCGCGCATGTCCGCCGCGTGGAGGAAGAGGTCGTCGGACGAGGCGTCCGCGGGGCGGACGAACCCGTATTGGGTCCCCTCGCCGCGACCTCGGACTTCGACGACGGTCCCCTCGCCGCGCGTGCCCGGCTTCGGCGGCGCCGGATTCGCCCCGGGCGGCAGAGACTTGAACGCGGAGGCCACCGGCGGCGGCGGCGGCGGCGCGTCCGCGCCGCCGCCCGCGCGCTCGAGGACCACGGCGTCGGCGCACTTCACGGCTTTGATTGGCATTCCCGGCTTTCCCTCGTTCTTCGCGATCGTGTAGGCGACCCGGTCGCCGATGGCGACCCAGGCCTCGCCCTCGCGCATTTGCGCCGCGTGGAGGAAGAGGTCGTCGGACGAGGTGTCCGCGGGGCGCACGAACGCGTAGTTGGTCCGCGGCCCCGAGGTCGCTTCGACGACAATCCCCTCGGCGCGCGTGCCCAGCTTCGGCGGCGCCGTCGTCCCCGTCGCCCCCGGCGGCGGGCCGCCCGCGCGCTCGAGGACCACGACGTCGGCGCACTTCACGGCTTTGATTGCGATGCGATGCGGTCCCGTCTTTCCCTCGTTCTTCGCGACCGTGTAGGCCACCCGGTCGCCGACGGCGACCCAGGCCTCGCCCGCGCGCATGTCATTTGCGTGGAGGAAGAGGTTGTAGTGGGCGCCAGACGAGGGGCGTCCGCGGGGGCGCACGAACGCGTAGTTGGTCCGCGGCCCCGAGGTCGCTTCGACGACGAATCCCTCGCAGCGCGTGCCCAGATTCGGCGGCGGCGGCGGCGGCGGCGGCGCCCCCTTGGGTGATTTCGGGAGCGGCGCCTTCGCCGCCGCCGACGCCTTCGGCGTCGGCGCCTTCGCCTTCGCCGGCTTCGCGGCCGCCGGCGGCGCCGTCGCGGCGGGCTCTTCGACGGGCGCGTCGCCGCGCTTTTTGCTCCGGCTCCACGACCCGGGCCGCGGGCGCCGCTTCGGCTTTTCGAGGCCAAACTCGGACCAGAGCCACGCGCCGCCGAAGGCGGCCCAGAAGAACCAGACCCAGCACGCCTTGAAGATCGTCGCCTCGTAGAGCGGCGCCACCCAGAAGGCGCAGAGCTGCGCGAGGAACGCGCGGCCCCACCACTTGGCGAGAGCGTTCGACGCCTGCGGCGAGTCGCAGAACTGCCACGCGGCGCCGAGCATGGCCACGGCCATGGTGAGCAGCTCGCCGCACCACCCGGACTTGCGGCCCATCATGTACTGCGTCGTCTCGTCGAAGAAGTCGCTCGGGATCGGCGTCGCGAGGGGGATGTTGGGGTGGAGCTCCGTCGGCGAGAGGTTCGTGAAGACGCCCATGGTCGTGTAGCTCAGGGCTAGGAGCACGAGGCCGTGGTAGACGAGCCAAATAGTTCCCCCGGCGACCGCCATCTCGCCCCCTCGCGCGTCGTCAACTCGTCGAGGTTCTGCCACTCGGGGTGCGCCGCGCTCGAGTCTCGTGAAATCGTAGGTGCCGTAGCGGCCCTCTCGACGCCTCTCTCGACGCGCGACACGCCCGGGTCCTCGGAGAACGGCATACGGATGCGCAAGCCCGAGGACGTGGCGCTGGGAGTCTAGGAAGCTTAACAGGAGACGTTACCCCCGGCGGCTGCGGCGCTTGCGGTCGCGGCTCCGGGACCGGCTCCGGCTCCGGGACCGGCGGCGGCGGCGGGAGCGGCCCTCGTCGTCGCCGGCCGCGGGCGCGGGCGCCGGCGGCGCGCCGAAGGGCTGGGGCGGCGCCCCGAAGGGCTGGGGCGGGAAGCCGCGCGGCGGCGGCGCGCCGCCCCAGGCCGGCGGCGGCGCGCCGCCCATCATCACGTTCGGCGCGCCCCGCGGCGGCCCCATCATCATGTTCGGCGGCGGCATGCCCCCGAAGGTGGGCCCGCCGTTCATGCCGAAGGGCGGCGCGCCCATGCCCGGCGCGGGCACGGGCGCGAGGACCATCGGCGGCGGCGGCGGCCCGCGGTCGCCGTGGCGCGCGACGTGCTGCGCGACCGCGTGCGCGTGGGCGAGCTTCGCGCGCCGCTCCTGCAGGTCCCGGCGCACGACGAGCTGGCGCGCGGCGTACGCGCGCCACGCGCCCTCGTCCATGCCGTAGTTGAAGAAGTCCGACGGGTCCGCGTCGGGCCGGAGCCAGCCCCGGTCGACGTCCGCGCCGTCGATGTCGACGTCGAAGGCCGCGCGCCGGAAGCAGGACATCTCGCGCGCGGCCTTGTCCAGGGCCGCCTCGGGGATGTCCCCGATGTCGCTCTCGGGCGCCTCGAGCTCGACGTCGTCGTTGAGCTCCGCGCGCCGCCGCGCCTTCGCCTCGGGCGCGTCCGTCTCCGCGTCGAGCTTGCGCGTCCAGATGTTGCTGCCGTCGCTGAACGTCTTGATGCGCTTCGCGAGCTCGCGCCCGCTCACGCCGCCGCTCACGGCGCCCTGCGACGAGTCGATGATGATGCGCGCCGGCGCCGCCGCCGGCGCGTCGGCGGCGTCCGCCGCGGGCGCCGCGGCGGCGGCGGCCTCGGCGGTCTCGGCGTCGGCGGGCGCGGCGGCGGCCATTGGCTCGTCGGCGACGGGCGGCGCGACGTCGGCCATTGGCGCTGGCGGCGGCAGCTGTGGTGCGGCCTCGCTGCTTGCCGCTCGATGGAAGGGGTTCGAGGCTCGAGCAACCTCGCGCCTTCGGCTCCGCTCGTGCTCGGCGAGCCTTCGGCGCCGAGGCCGTCGACATCATCATCGCAGACGAGTGCTTGATGTGCGTGAAGTGCGAGCGGCTGATGCTGCCCCGCGTCGAGAACGACAGCGTAGGTCAGGTGTGGGAAAAGGGCGAGTTGCAGGGGCGGCGGTGCTTCGAAGCGCACCCTCGCGGATGCCAGTCACGGTGCACCGGTGGCCGCGAGTCGAGGTGTGACTCGATGGGAGCGGAGAAGTCCAGAGGCACGATGGGGCCTCCGTCGCGCAGGTGTGCTCGGAGGTGGTAGTGCGTTCAGAGCGCGCGTGAACAGGCCCGACATGCACGGCATCAGGCCATCCGCGAGCAGCAAGCCCGCAGGCCTGGATCGCGCGCGCCGCGACGCAGTGACGGCTCCGAGTCCTGGCTGTGGGTCGCTCGAGGGGGCTCCTGAGAAGGCGGAGGCCCACGGGACGTGCGCCGTCGTACGTGGCCCCAAGCTCAGCGCCCGTGGGTCCCCGTCGGCGCGCCGGCGCGTCCGGTTCGCCATCGCCATGCGGCGCCCAGCAGCCGCGGGACTCCGGGAGGACGATCGGGCTCGAGCTTGCGGGCGGTCGCCCCCTGCGGCATGCATCGGATGGGGCAGAATGGTAGGTCCGAGTAGAACTCGTACCATTCGTAGCCTTTGAGCCTCCGGATCTCTTTCTCCACCTTCGCGTAGCAAAGCGGCCAATCCTGACCCCCCCACCCGCCTCGGCGCTCGCCTCGAAGCCGACGCAGATCTGCAGAATCGGGCGGATTCTGTGATGGAGCCCCTCCTCGTGAAAGGGCTGCTGCGCCGCATCCCGGTGGTCACGCCGCGGCGCGCCAAGGGCACCATCGGCGTGCTCGCGGAGTGCTACGGCATCTGGGAGCGCCGGTCGCCGCTGACGCCGAAGCACGTCGCGGGCCTCGTCCAGGGCGGCCACCGCGTGCTCGTGCAGCCCTCGCCGCGGCGCGTCTTCCGCGACGCGGAGTTCGCGGCCGCCGGCGCCGAGGTCACGGCGGACCTGAGCGACTGCGACGCCGTGCTGGGCGTCAAGCAGCCCGCGGTCTCGAGCGTGCTCCCGAAGACGACGTACGCGTTCTTCAGCCACACGATCAAAGCCCAGGCGGAGAACATGCCGCTCCTCGACGCGTTGGCCGCGCAGGAGTGCACGCTCGTGGACTACGAGTGCATCGTGGGGCCGTCGGGCGAGCGGCTCGTGGCCTTCGGGGAGTACGCGGGCCTCGCGGGCGCGATCGGCGCGCTGTCGGCGCTGGGCCAGCGGCTCCTCGTGGAGCACGGCGTGTCGTCCCCGCTGCTCGGCATCGCGCCGGCGCGCTACTACGGGACCCTCGTCGACGCTCTAAAGGCCGTGGCCCGCGCCGGCGAGGCCCTGCGGCGGAACCCGTGCCGCGACCCCGTCGACGGGAAGCCGTTCGTCGTGTCCTTCGTCGGCGACGGCCGCGTGTCCGTCGGCGCGCAGCAGGTCTTCGACGCGCTCGGCGGCGGCGCGCGCCTCGTGGACGACGTGGGCGCGCTGGCGGCGCGGTTCGAGCGAGGGTTCGCGGACGACGCGCCGTCGTTCCTCGGCGTCGTCGTGCGGCGGGGCGACCGCGTCGCGCCGCGCGACGGCTCGCGCTTCGACGCCGCGGACTATTTGGCGCGGCCCGAGCGCTACGCCGTGTCCTACGCGGACGACTGGCACGCGAAGACGTCGCTGTTGGTGAACTGCGCCTACTGGGACGAGCGGTACCCGCGCGCGCTGCCCCACGACCGGCTGCCCGAATTCGCGCGGCTCCGCGGCGTCGCCGATTTGGGGTGCGACGTGGGCGGGTCTGTCGAGTGCCTCGAGCGCACGACGACGCCGGACCTGCCGTGCTACTCCTACGACGCGGCGAAGCGGGCCGTCGCGTCGCCGGACACGGCGTCGGGCGGCGACTTCTTCGTGTTGGGCGTCGACATTTTGCCCGCGGAGCTGCCGCGGGAGGCGTCGCAGCACTTCGGCGACGCGCTCATCGGCCTCGTGCCCGCGCTCGCGGCCGAGCCGCCGTCGATTCGCGCGTGGCCCGCGCCGCTCGCGGCCGCGACGATCCTCGAGAAGGGCGCGCTGACGAAGCCCTACGCGTACGTCGACGAGCTCCGCGGCGCGCGCGGCCGGGCGAGCGAGGCGCCGGCGGGCGCGCTCACGGCCGCGGGGTCGACGGTCGTGCGCCTCGACGGCCACCTCTTCGACAGCGGCCTCATCAACGCGTGCCTCGACGTCGTCGAGCGGCGCCTCGGCACCTTCGCGCTCCTCGGCTGCGAGCTCGAGGTCGAGCCGGAGCGCGGAAACATGCCCAAGACGTCGGCGCTGCTCCAGGTGTCCCTGCCGGGCGGCGAGGCGGGCCTCGCGGACGCGCTCGCGGACTTCGAGGCCGAGGCCGCGGCGCGGCCCGACGCGGACGCGGACCTCACGCTCCTCCCGGCCTACTGCCGCGGCCACTACGCCAAGACCATCGCGCACCAGTAGGCGGGTCGGCTTTTAATTCGCGGCGTGTTTAAACGGCGACGACTAGCGGCATGTTGAACGGCAGCTTGAGGTTGAGAAAACTGGTCTCGAGCCTCGAGCAATCGCGTCGCGCGCCTGGCACGACGGCGTCGCGCGCGACACGCGACCGTCGCATCGCTCACCCCTCCTAACCGTCGCGCCGCAGCCGTCGCCGCGCGAGCGAGCGCAAGCGCCGCACGCCGCCATGGAGATGAGCGAGCGGCGGCGATTCCGCGACGTGCAGGGCAACCCCCTCGCGGCGCGCTGCGACCCCTGCGACCCGCCGCCGAAGCGCTACTGCACCTGCGACGACGAGTCGCCGGAGATCACGACGCGCAGCATCGTCGCCCAGTTTTTCGCGTCGCTCTGCACGCTCGAGATCTGGCTCTGCCACTTCCGCGTGCCGCGCGCGGCGACGCTCCTCTGCGGCCTCGGCGCCTTCCTGAAGTTCGGCGCGGCGGGCGCCGGCGTCTTCGCGCTGACCCTGGCCCTCTACGCCGGCATGGTCGCGTCGTCCGGCGACTTCGCGCCGGGCAAGTACCAGCGCGTGCTGCGGGAGGGCATCGCGGACTAACCCCGGTTTTCTTCTACGGGCGAACCTTACGGCACTTCCCTAGAGCGTGAACGTGCCGAAGGAGGGCCCCTCCTCCTCGGCGCCGGCGTCGGCCGTCGCGACCTTGGAGTAGCCCTGGTCGAAGTTGCTGTAGCCCGTCGTGCTCGGTCCCGAGGAGATGCGGTACTTGATGGACACCAAAATGTAGAGCGCCGCGCAGACGAGGAGCTGGACGCCGGGCCAGATGAGGATCGACTTGAAGCCGAGCATCGCCGGCGTGCACGCGACGTACCTGCGGGCGAGAGGCGGCGGTCGCGGTCGCCGCGGCGCCGCGCGGCGGACGCGGGAGGGCCGCACAAGGAGGCGCGGATCCAGCCGTGGTGGAAGGACGTGTCCTCGATGAGGCGGTCCTTGAGCTTGATGCACGCGTAGCTGTGGCAGTAGAGCGCGGGCAGCTCGATGACCGCGACGAGGAAGCCGACGCCGACGGTGTACAGAGCGGCGAAGACGTGCCAGGCGCCGTCGTTGACGAAGAGCGCGACGAAGCCGATGAGCAGGCAGACGATCGTCGTCAGCGCCCCGCAGACGCCCGCGTAGCGGTCCCAGGGCGTCATCTGGATCAAGTTCGACACATCCATTTTGTTGTGCGCTCGCGTCGCGTGGGCCGCTGCGTCGAACGGCGGGCGTCCACGCGCGCTTGCTGCTCCGACTTTGGGTCCGCGCGCGCGTTCGCGGCGGCGCGCGAGGAGGTCCTCCTTGGAGGACTTGTGGCAATTAAGAAGGTGGGGACAGCATTATGGAGGCCTGACTCGGTTTGAAATCGCACAATGATCGACCTCACAGGTGACGATAGCAACGACGAAGCGCCGCCGCCGTCGCTCGTCGAGCAGCTTATTAGTTTCACGGGCGCCTCCGAGGCGGACGCGGCGGCGGCGCTCGCGGACGCCCAGGGCTCGCTGGAGGGCGCCGCCGCCGCCCTGCTGACGCGCAACAGCGGCGCCGCGCCGCCGCCGCCCGCGACGGACGAGGACCTGTCGGCGATCCGGAAGCTGCGCGACGAGCAGCGCCGCGACGACGCCGCGCGCGCGGCGGCGGCGCCGGTCCCGCCGGTTCCGCCGGTTCCGCGGCCGCCGGCCGGGAGCGGCGACCCCATGGCCAACTTCCTCGCGACCGCGGGCGCGTCAGAAATCGCGCCGCCGCCGCCGACGACCATCGACGACCAGATGGCGGCGATCCGGAAGCTGCGCGCGGCGCAGTACGGCGCGGCCGCGGCCGCGGCACCGGCCGGCGCGCCGCTCACGGTCCTGTCCTTCAACGTCTGGTTCGAGCGCGAGGAGACCTTCGGCGCGCGCATGGCCGCCATCGCCGCCCTCGCCGCCGACGCGACGGTGGTCGGGCTCCAGGAGGTCACGGACGACTCGTTCCCGCACCTGCAGCGCGAGCTCGGCCGCCGCGGCTTCGGCACACTGTTCCGCCAGACGTCGATCGCGCCCTACTACTGCTGCCTCGCGTCCAAGTCGACGCTCGTCGGCGTCGAGACCGTGCCGTTCCCCGGGTCCCGCATGGGCCGGGGCTTGTTGGTGGCGCGCGCGGCCTGGCCCGGCGTCGGCGACGTCCTGTTCGGCGTCGCGCACCTCGAGTCCTTTGTGGGCCGCGAGGTCGACGCCGCGGTGCGCGCGGAGCGCCGGGCGCAGGTGGCGCGCGCCGCGGCGACCCTGGAAGCGAAGGCCGCGGCCCACGGCTGCGCGGCCGCGGTGCTTCTGGGCGACTTCAACTGGGACGACGGCAAAGACGGCGACGCGGTCGCGGCCGCGGGCGCCGCGTGGCGCGACGCCTGGCGCGACCGCGGCTCGCCCAAGGCGAGCGAGTTCACCTACGACGGCCGGGCCAACGGCATGCTCAAGCACGGCTTCAAGCACCGCTTCGACCGCGTCTTCGTCCTCGATCGCGAGGTGAAACGGCAGACGCTCGACGCGGCGGACGCATGCGCCGTCGCGACGACGGGCTTCCGGCTCGTCGGCACGGCCCAGGTCGGTACTCGGACCATCCAGCACGAGAAGAAGGGCACGCTGCCCATGTTCCCCTCGGACCACTTCGGCGTCGAGGTCACGCTCGAGAAGCGCGCCGCGGCCGCCGCGCCGGCGCCGGCGGCGAAGAAGCGCCCGGCGGCCGCGAACGCCTTCTTCCAGCCGCGCAAGAAGGCCGCGCCGGCGGCGGCCGCGGCGACCGGCCGCTACCGCGGCGCGAAGATCCCCGCGGGCTGGGACCTGCGCCACGGCTGCCTCCTCGTGCGCCGCTGGGGCGACGCGCCGCCGCATACCGAGCGGCTCCTCGGCTTCGACTTCGACGACACGCTCGTGCCCTTGAACTACGCGCGGCCCGAGCCGAGCCAGTGGTCCCATCTGTACGGCCACGCGCCCGGCCACCTCCGGTCGCTCGACGCCACGACGGGCCTCGCGGTGCTGTCCAACGAGTGCCTGGACCGGTTGAAGAAGGTCGAGGTCCTGGAGAACAAGCTCCGGCAGAAGTGCGGCCGGTTGGACAACTGGGCGCGGGACGTCGCCGTCCCCGTGCTCTGCTGCGTCGCGCTCACGAAGCTCGACGACGACGCGCGCAGGTTCCACAAAGCCAAGGGCGCGGGCATGTGGGACTTCGCCCTCGACGAGCTCGGCGTCGCGGACAAGGCCGCGTGCAACGCGCGGAGCTGCTACGTCGGCGACTCGGACGCGGACGCGAACCTCGCGCGCGTCGCCGGCGTGCGCTACCACCACGTCAAGGACTACTTCGGCGCCATGTTCCCCCGCCCGTGAGTTTCCACTAATAAGCTTACTCGCCGAGGAGGTCCCGCGCGAAGGCCGCGAGGTCCTCCTCGCTGAGGTCCAGGTCGTCGCTCGCGGCCGCGTCGACGTCGAGCGCCGCCGCGCCGAACGCCTTGCCGACGAACGACTCGCGGATCTCCTGGGGCACGGTGCCGACGACGCCCTTCGTCGCCGCGACGGCCGCCGCGGCCTCGATGTCGATGACGCTCTCCTCGACGGCGACGGCCTGCGCCGCGACGGCCTCGACGAGGTCGGCGTCGTTCGACGCCTCGTCGGCGCCCGCGGGCGCGCCGAGGAAGCCCGGGCCCTCGGCCTGGGTCAGCCCCAGCAGGTCGACGCCCGCGGACGTCCAGCCCTCGATGCCGCCCTCGGCGTCGAGCCACTCCACGGAGGACAGCCCGCCGCCGTCGCCGCTCTCCGCGGACATGCCCTGGGGCTCGCCGCTCGTCGCCTTCTCGAGCCACTTGAGGAAGGGCTCGAGCTTCGACTTGGCGCCCTCGGCGACGATCTCGACGCCGGAGCCGTCGACGGAGTAGCGCGCGGGGCACCGCCGGTAGAGCCAGACCTGCTTCTGCACGTCGAAGCTGAAGCTCCGGCCCGCGGTCTGGGCGGCGAGCGTCACGCGCAGGCGCACGTCCTCCTCCGTGGCCGTCGCGGCGAGGCGCGTCGGGGCGGCGCGGAGCCGCGTCGGCGCGAAGGCCGTAGAGAGAGCGACGGCGCAGAGCTGCAGCAGGAGCATGGTGTTTGCAGGCGGAGCGATGCGCTGCGAATCGTACGCGGGTTGGAGCGACGCGCTGCAAGCGGCGGCGGTGCGATCCAAGCCGAGCCACTGAGGTGGAAGAGCAACCACAGCTCGCCAAGCCCCGGTTTTAATTAAGTGTAACCAATTTGTAACCATGCCAAAGTTGACCAAGTTATTGAAGGGGGTGCGCGCCCGACTGCGTCCGTCCGGGGAGGGGAGGCAGGTCCGCGGAGGGACCCCCCCCAGGAGGCAACCAGACCGAGCAGGCGCGGGGCGGCAGCTCCTGAGTCGCCTCATCAGACGACACTCAACGAACTCGCCGTGGACCGGGGGAAGTTGAGAACGAGGGCACCCGCACCCGGCAGGCAGGAACTCCGGGTGGACCAACCCGATTCACCTCGAGGACCACGAATGGAGGCCGAGGGCGCACGCCGAAGAGGACACCCGCCGGCCAGCGGGCGGGAGCAGAGGCGGCAGCAGGAGCAGAAGCAGAGGCAGAGACGACATCGGCGGCGGCGGCAGAGACAGAGGCAGGCAGCAGAGGCAGCAGAGGCGGCGGCAATAGAGGCGACAGCGGCTGCGGCAGAAAGGACAGAGGCGACAGCGGCAGCGGCGGCAGAGGCAGAGGCGAGCGACGGCTGCAATAGAGGAAGAGCCAACGCAGAAGAGGAGGATACCGCGGCGCGGACGACGAAGAACTCGCCGCACGTCGACGCAAAGGCGCGAGCAAGATCATCGCGCGGCGGCGGCGCAGCCCAAGGCGGCACGCAAGCGGAACCTAAGGAGGTGCACGTGGGAGCACACCCTGAACAGACGCAAGAAGGTAGAGAAACGAATGGACGCTGGCACATCCAAGCCCGCAAGCCGAGGCCACCGGGGGCGCCAACCCGCCCAGCTCCCCTCGAGGCTCGCGCCGAAGGCCTCCAAGCGAGGCGAGCGCGCGCGGCAGTCGCCCAACCCGCAGATGATGTCCGCGCCGATGGCCAAGAACTGGAAGTCCCCGCGCGCGGCGCCCCGCAGCCCAACCGGTGCGCGCAGCGGGCTGCCCCTCCATGAGCGCCCGCCCGACCCGACGCGCCGAGCGCCATCATCGGGTGTCGCGCAGGAGCACCCCCGCGCGCCCCCCAAAGGCCGCCCCATAAGGTGGCAGCGTTAGTTGTGCGGTAAGTTGCCGAGGGGTTTCATTTTTGCTTTCCGAGCGAGATCCGAGCCGGCGGCGCTGCCTTGCCCGAGGGCGGGCTGCCCCGCCCGGCATTATGGACGACGAGGCCGTGAGCGACGCGGCGTCGTCGGAGACGCTGGTGCGGAGCTCGAACAAGGTCCAGCTCTCGCCGCTCCAGAAGCAGGAGTCGAAGCGGCGCGGCACGCTCGAGGAGGTCGGCGAGGGGGACGAGGATCACGACAGCGACGACGACGAGGCCGCGGACTCGCCGCACGGCCCGACGGCCATGCCCTTCGCCGGCTCCGTCGTCGTGCCGACGCGGGCGCGCGGCCAGTGGACCAAGGCCACGCGGAACGTGACGATCATCGGCGCGTTCAACCACATCCGGTCCACGTTCGGCTCGTGGCGCGTGTCGGACCCCCTGAACCGCGGCGACGAGTTCGTCGTGCCCCCGGCGGACCACGAGGACGACATGGCGCTCGACGCCATGGACGCCCTGACGAACGACATCACGCGGGGCTTTTTGCCGACGATGCGCCACGCGGAGGAGAAGGTCGAGGTCATGGGCATGGCGGGCCTCGCGTCCGCGCACCACAAGGCCTCGAGCCGCACGGGAGCGTCGACGTCCCGCGCGGCGCCGTCGTCGCGGAACCCGCGCCACTCGCCCGTGCCCGTCACGAAGCGGGGCGCGCCGAGCTCGCGGTCCCGGTCCACGTCGAAGAAGCGGCGGAGCTCCGTGCTCGGCATGATGCGGCGGTCGTCCGTCGGGCGCACGATCTTCGGGCGGTCGTCGCGCCACACGGACACGCCCGAGGAGCTCGAGGAGGGCCTCCGGCCGTCGCCGGGCCGGCGCCAGACGGCCCAGGAGCTCATCGAGGGCACGAAGGCCGCGCGGGAGGAGCACGTCGAGCTTTTGGAATTCCCGCCGGACACGTTCTTGGTGAACCCCAACGGCCGCTTCTTCGTCTGCTGGAGCGGCGCCATGGTCCCCTGCATCGTCTACGCCGCCGTCGTGACGCCCTTCGAGATCGCCTTCATCGACGACTCGTGCGCGCTCTTGGTGCCGAACCTCGTCGTGGACCTCTACTTCCTGCTCGACATCTTCGTCAACTTCAACACGTCGTCCTACGACTGGGAGCAGGCCAAGTACGTGCTGGACCGCTCCGTCATCTCGCGGGAGTACCTGGGCTCGTGGTTCGTCGTCGACCTCGTGTCGTGCCTCCCCATCGACTCCATCGTCGCGGCGACGAACGCGGGGTCCGGGAGCCTCTTCGTGCGGAGCCTGTACACGTGCCTGCGCGACACGAGCGGCGGCGCCCTGGGCCTCTTCGGCATGTTGAAGTTGATGCGCCTCCTGAAGCTCCTCCGCGTGCTCCGCATCGGCCGCCTCATCGCGCGGTTCGCGGCGAAGACGCAGATCTCCTACAAGTCGCAGACCATCATCAAGTTCACGCTGCTCGTCATCGGCTTCACGCACATGTTCGCCTGCGTCATCCGCATCGTCGGGTCGCCGAGCGGCTGCCTCGCGAACGTCGGCGAGGCGCTCGGCGACGGCGACGACGGCTGGTACGACCGCGACGGCGTCTACGAGATGGCGAACCCGTCCTGCTGGCTCGCCACCGTGAAGTTCCGGCGCCGGGGGCTCTGGTACGTCTACGTGGCGGCGCTGGACTGGGCCATCAAGTCCATGGTCGGCGACGCGCTGACGATCACGTTCGGCGAGAAGTGCGTCGGCTTCGTCGTCATGATCGTCGGCGCCATCGTCATGGCCTTCCTCATCGGCGAGATCGCCAACGTGCTCACGAACTTCGACCCGGCGCTCAACGACTACCGGTCGACCATGGACAAGCTCAACCAGTACATGCACGAGCAGAAGATCACGAAGCCGTTGCAGTCGCAGATGCGCGAGTACTTCATCAACAGCGAGGCCCTCTTCCGCCAGGCCTACCACCGCGAGATGCTGTCGAACCTGAGCCCCCAGCTCCAGCGCGCCTGCGCCACGGAGGAGCTCGGCGCCTGGGTGCGGAACATCCCCTTCCTCAACGACGCGCTCGCGTCCGTCGGCGGGCTGCGCGTCGGCGTCGACGTCATGCTCCTGCGCAAGGACGCGGGCGCGCACTGGACCCAGGACGACCTCATGCCCGGGCGCATCGTCGAGCTGACGCCCTTTTTGACCTACACGGTGCGCTTCTACGACCCGCGCGCGCACGGCCACCACGCGTCGCGGCACACGGCGAACGTGCTGAGCTTCAAGCAGCACGAGAGGGAGCAGGGCGGCGACTTCGACATCCAGGTCGAGCACTTTGTGGCCCACGAGCGCGTCCACCTGCCCCTGAGCTCGCCGCTGGGCGCGCGCTTAGAAGAGGGCAACCGCGAGTGGAAGCGCATCGTCTCCGAGTTCTCCCTGGCGCTGCGGCCCAAGCTCTTCATGATGGGCGAGTTCATCGTGCGGCCCGGGTCGACGAACACGGACTTGTATTTGTTGATGCACGGCAGCGCCTTCCGCAACAAGCGGACGCTGAACCAGCGGACGCTCGAGGACCAGCAGCGGCAACAACAGGGCGGCGCGGCGTCGCTCTCGAACTTCGGCGGCTCGAACAAGAAGGGCTTCGACGAGGCGCGCTACCTCTCGGCGAAGAACTTCGCCGTCATCGGCACGGACATCATCAACACGCTCGTCGGCGCGCCCATGATCTGCGCGTACTCCGTGTCCGCGATCGGCCACGCGTCGTGCAACGTGCTCACGTCGACGGCGCTCGCGCGTATCGCGACGAACGACCTGTGCCCGCGCATCCTCGCGGAGCTGCGCCACGTCGCCGGCTGGCGCGTCTTCAAGAGCGGCGTGCTGCGCCTCGGGCGTCTGGCCATGCAGGAGCGCGAGGCGCGGCTGAAGTACTACACGACGGCCTTCGCGCTCCAGAAGGTCTTCTGGGAGAAGCTCGGCGTCGAGGGCAAGGAGAAGGACCGGCGCGTGCGCCGGGCGCAGCACGAGGGCCGCGCGCCGTCGCTCGGGCTCCTCCACCACCGCCTGCCGACGCGGAACCGGCACGTGCCGCGCCACTGCGTCGTGCCGCCCTACCGCGACTTCAAGGGCCCCTGGGTCCCCGACGACGACATCGAGGCCTACTGGGCGCGGACCGTGCTGCGGCCGGGGAGGGTCGTGAGAGCGCACGCGAAGACGTCGCGCGACACGGCCAAGTCCTACGAGGTGTGCTTCTACGCGATGGACTGCAAGCTGCAGCTCGGCGTCGACGTCAAGGTGCCGCCCGACGGCCGCACGCGCGTGAACATGCGCGTGCACGCGCGGCCGACGCCCGACGCGTCCTTCGAGAAGGCGCGGCTCATCAGCGTGTCCGAGAAGTTCGACGCCGCGGAGGGCAAAGTGAGCCGGTGGGCGGCCGTGCGGTTCCCCGAGGTGCACAAGGTCGTCGGCGCGGCCGACATCCGGAGCCGCCACCCCAAGGGGTCCACGGTCAAGGTGCGCATCAAGCACCGCGGCGTCTTCGAGAAGCGGCCTCTGAGAGCGCGCGTGTCGTCGCTCTGCGACGACGGCGCCTACGCGGTCATGTTCGAGAACGACCAGGTCGCGGCCGTGACGCAGTGGCTCTTCTGGCACAAGGGCAAGAAGTTCTCCTGGTTCGAGCTCGACCACTGCATCATCGCGATCATCTCTTCCTTCCGCAAGATGCTGCGCATCGACATGCAGATCGACGACGAGCGCACGCGCGACGACGAGGATCTCGAGGATTTGGACGAGACGCAGTCCAAGGAGGGGTCCCTGGCCTTCACGCGGCGCCTCGTGAAGACCGTCGTCGGCCGCGCCGAGGACGACCTGAACCGGCGCATCACGCACCTCCACGACAAGGTCGCGGGCCTCGACGCGAAGATGGACGCGGTCCTCGCCGCGCTCGGCAAGTCGACGTCGCCCGTCGTCCCCGCGCGCGACCTCGAGCCCGACGGCGCGGAGGCGCACGCGTCCCTGGCGAAGATCGCGAAGAAGAGCCGCGGCGGGACATCCTAAAAGTTTGTGGAATTTACGCGCGCCTAGCAGGACGTCGTCCAGGAGAAGAGCGCGGACCGCGTCGAGTTGTCGTAGTAGTTCGTCTTGTTGCGGTAGTTGCGCGCCATCTGCTTCATGTCGGTCACCTCCTTGCAGAGCACCAGATCCGTGCGGTAGGCCTCGAGCGTCTCTTCCACCGTCGCGTGCATCTTGCAGACGCCGCACCGCGCGATCTTCGCCAGCTCCTTGGGCGCGCCCGTCGCCGTGCCGAGCTTCTCGACCTCGCGTAGGATCGCGAAGCCGTCGACCAGGCGGCCGAAGACGACCTGGCGGCCGTCGAGCTCGGGCCGCTCGTCCAACAGGATCTGGAACTGGGAGTTGTTGGAATTCGGCCGCCGGCTGTGCATCGTGAGCACGCCCGCGTTCGTGTGCTTCAGCGTGTGGTTCTCGTCCTCGAAGTCGCGGCCGTAGATGGACCGCCCCCCCGAGCCGTCGCCGCGGTCGACGTCGCCGCCCGTGACCGCGACGCCGGGCTCGACGCGGTGGAACACGGTCCCCGCGAGCTCGAGGCCGTCGCCCTTCTCGCCCGTGATCAGCGACAGGAAGTTCTTCGCCGTCCGCGGCACGACGTCCTCGAAGAGCTCGCAGATGAGGCGGCCCCGGCCGGCCTCGTGCGTCGACCGCTTCGGGATCTCGACGTCGAGCCAGACGTGGACGCCCGGCCGCCGCGCCTCGCCGCCCTCGTCGTCGCCGCGCGTGCGGCCGATGACCGCCGCCGCCTTGGCGAGCTCCTTCTTCCGCAAAGCCTTGATGCGCTCGCGCTCCGCGAGCTCGCGCTTGAGCTGGCCGAAGGCGTCCACCTCGCACTCGCCGTCCTCCTCGCCGTGCTCGCGGTCGCCGTCGTCCTTCGCCTTCTTCGCCGGCGCGTCGTCGACGTCCTTCCAGGACCGCGCCTTGGCCTTGCGCTTCGTCGAGAAGTTCATCGCGGCGCTCTCGGCGGCGCGTGTGCGGCAGCGCAGGCGGGCGCGAGTCGCAGGCGCGGCGCGGCGGCAGCGGCGGCGCAGGCGGGCTGCGGCAGCTCCGCCGGCGCCCACTCCACAGCGAGCGACACCACCGCCGCCAGCCGCGCCAACCACCGCACAAACTCGACACCCCGCGCGCCCCGTCGTCGTCCCGGCCGCGCCGCCGCCGCGCGACCATGTACAACGGCATCGGCCTGCGCACCGTGCGCGGCTCGGGGACGAATGGGTACGTCCAGACCAACAAGGCCTTCGTCAAGGCCATCAACGTGCGCACGGCGACGGAGCTGAACCGGGGCGGGCTCAACAAGGAGGAGGCCTGGAAGGCGCAGACGTCCGCCGAGGGCAACGCGGAGATCTGCGAGCACAACGCGAAGCGCGCGATCGAGGCCGAGGTCTTCGAGCTCCGCGACGAGCTCGAGGACCAGGGCCTCGACGAGGACGACATCGACGTGCGCTGCGAGGCGCTGCGCGCGAAGCTCTCGAAGCAGCTGGCCCAGAAGGCGTCGCGCCGCGTCGGCACGGACTCGCACGCGGCCGCGGAAGCGAAGGCGCGCGACGACGCGCGGCTCCGCGACGCGTTCGGCATCAAGAGCGACAGCTTCGTGGAGGGCGCCGCCTTCGACCGGGAGCTCCAGGAGACGCTCAAGGCCGAGCGCGCGGCGAAGCGCGAGCGCGACGACGCGGAGCGCGCGCGGCGCGACCGCGAGCGGGAGCGCGAGGCGCTGGACGCGCGGGAGCGCGAGCTCGCGGACCGCGAGCGGCGCCTCCTGGACCGCGAGCGCGACGACCGCCGCCGCCAGGAGGACCGCTACGAGGCCCGGGACCGCCGCGACGCGCCCCGGCGCGACCGCGAGAGCGACGTCAAACGGTCGCCGTCGCCGCCGCCGCGCGGCGAGAAGCGCGCGGGCGACGGCGGCGACGACGGCCGCGGCGGCAAGAAGCGGAAGCGCGACGGCGAGGCCGTCGCCAAGCCCCGCTCCGACTCCGTGTCCTCGTCGTCCTCGTCGTCCTCGTCCTCGAGCTCGTCGTCCTCGTCGTCGTCCTCGTCGTCCTCTAGCTCCTCCTCCTCGAGCTCGTCGTCGTCCTCCTCGTCGTCGTCGGACAGCGACTAAGCGCGCACTTAGAAATCGGCGCCCAAGACACCTACTCGGCGCTCTGGGTCATCTTCCAGTAGCCGAAGCCGACGGCCGCCAGCGCGACGACGACGACGGGCGCCATCATCGCGCCGCCGCCGCCGCCCGCGCTGAGGAGCTCGTCCTTCTTGTCGAAGACCTCCGAGTGCGGCGACGTCCAGGCGCAGACGTCGGACGACGCCTTCTTCGAAAAGGCCGCGACGACGTCCTTGGCCCACTGGTCGAGCGACTTGTCGCCGCCCACGGTGTCGTTCTCGTCGACCTCGACGCGCTGGAGCGCCCGCGTCGAGCCGCACTCGCCGAGGAGCTTGTCCGTGAGGCGCGGGCAGTTCTGGAAGGTCTCGTAGTCCGTGGAGCCGAAGCCGAGGACGCAGTGCTGGCAGCCCGCGAGCGGCTGGCCCTCGGCCGCGTAGAGCGCCGTGAGGAACGTCGTGTAGTTGGACGGCGGGTCGCCGTCGCCGTAGGACGACGTGACGACGACGAGGAAGTCGTAGGCCGCGGCGAGGGCGCCGAGGCCCTTCTTCGCCGCCGCGTCGCCGGACATGAAGTCCTTCGAGGCGTCGAAGTCGACGCCCGTCCAGGCCTTGCTCAGGCGCTTGGCGTGGCGCTCGCTGCCGCCGGATTCCGTCCCGAAGATGACGCAGACCTTGGTCATCGTGTGTGCTCACGTGGGCAGGGCGCGAGGGTGCGAGAGCAGAGCTGAGGTGTGATTTAGCGTTACCAGACTCGTAAACTTGCCGGCAACGAGAGCTTCAATCACGGGTCGAGCGGCCGAAGCCGCCGCGCTTCCGCCGAAGCACCTCGAACAACAGCGAACAAGGCAGACGATCAGGCAGTTAGAGGGGGGAGAGCGCGCGCGCGGCGCCGGGCGCGCGCGCCTACTTGGACGGGTAGAACTTCTTGCCCGAGTTCGCGTGGTCGACGAGGAGGTCGCAGGGCGCGAAGCGGTCGCCGTACTCGTCGGCGAGGCGGTTCATCTTGTCGACGTAGGTCGCCGCGCCGACGGCGTCGAGCATGCGGAAGGGCCCGCCCGTGAAGGGGAGGAAGCCGACGCCGAAGACGGCGCCGAGGTCGCCGTCCGCGGGCGTCTTGAGGATGCCCTCCTGGAGGCAGACGGCGGCCTCGTTGACGAAGCGCGTGAGGTAGCGGTCCTGGATCGTCTCCACGGAGAGCCCGGCGTCGCGCCGCTTGACCTCGGACTCGACGTACGCGTTCGCCTCCGCGTTCGGCGTCTTCTTCTTGCCGTCGTAGACGAAGAAGCCCTTGCCGGACTTGCGGCCGAGCCAGCCCTTGTCGACGACGGCCTGGAGCATGGCCGGGTCCGCGCCGGCCATGCGGCCCCCCATGGTCTCGTCCGCGAGCATCGTGCGCTGCACGTGCAGCCCGACGTCCGCGCCGACCTCGTCGATGAGCGTCACGGGCCCCACGGGCATGCCCAGGTCCAGGATGGCCTCGTCGAGCTGCTTGGGCTCGACGCCGTCCTGGAAGAGGGGCGCGAGCTCCGCCATCATGGGCGCGAGGCACCGGTTCACGTAGAAGCCGGGCACGTCCTTGACCTCGATGCAGAACTTGCCCTGCTTGATGCCGACGGCGAAGGCCGCGGCCATGGCCTTGGGGTCCGTGCCCGCGTGGGGGATGATCTCCAGGAGCTGCATCTGGGGCACGGGGCTGAAGTAGTGCATGCCGAGCACGCGTTCCGGTTTCGCCGCGCCCGCGGCGACCTTGGCGATGGGGATCGCCGACGTGTTCGTCGCGAGGACGCAGGCCTCGGACACGAGGGGCTCGACGCTCTGGAAGACCTTGTGCTTCAGGTCCAGATCCTCGAAGACGGCCTCGACGACGACGTCGGCCGTCGCGGCCTTGCGGAGCCACGCGGCGTCGCCGCCGCCGCCTGGGCAGGACAAGGGTGATTCAACGTCGCTTCAACGTGAGTGTTCCGCGCGCGCGCGTTCCGGAAAAAGCATCCACGCTTCGAGACCAATCCGAGAGATGATCGCTCGTCCAAAAATCAGCCGAAACGAGTGGAAAACGGCCGAGATATGAGCCTTTGAAGTTGGGAATTTCGCTCTCTTGTCCTGCCCTGGCCGCCGCCGGGGCCGTCGTGGTAGCCCATCACCTTGGACGTGATCGTGTTGCGCGTGTAGTCCGTCATCCGGCGCCGCTTGACCTTCTTGGCCAGGTTGCCGCCGACGTAGTCGACGCCCTTGGCCAAACCCTCGGGCGACGCGTCCTTGAGGAGCACGTTCAGGCCCTTCTCCGCGGAGACCTGGGCGATGCCCGCGCCCATGAGGCCCGCGCCGAGCACGGCCACCGTGTCCAGCGCCTTGAGCGTCGCCGGGTCCGAAGCGTTGCCGTAGCGGTTCTTCTTCGACGCCGTGATGCCTGCGTGGAACTCAAATCTTCACCCCGACTTCGACGCGCGCGTCATCGAACGGTTCGGACCAGCCTCTTCGGCCGCGCTTCGAGAACTCGACGAGAGCAACCGATCCGTCCAAGAATCAGCCGAATCGACTTCGAATTGACCGAGAATTTCAAGTTTGGTCGGGGACGTCCCGAACCGGCGGTCGATTCCCACGCGGCGCGACGCCGTCGAAGAGGCCGATGAGCGCGGACGACTCGGGCGTCTTCGCGAGGCGCACGAAGGCCTTGGCCTCGAAGGCGAAGGCCTCCTCGGGGCTCTTGCCCAGCCCGTGCTTCACGCAGTCCATGATCTCGTAGGCCGCCGGGTACTTGCCGCGCGTCGTCTTGTCGACGGTCTCCTTGGCCTTCTTGAAGACGAAGTCGCGGCCGAAGCTCACGTCCTCCGTGGCCCAGCGCATCCACGACTTCTTCTTCTCCTTGAGCTTCAGCGAGCCGTTGCCCAACGCCGCGGCCTTGGCGACGGCGAGCCGCTCCAGCGCCGCGGGGTCGCAGACGGCGTCGACGAGGCCGAGCTTCTTCGCCTTGTCCGCTTTGACCTCCTTGCCCTGGAGGATCATGGGCAGGGCCTCCGTGAGGCCGATGAGCTTCGGCAGGGCGTAGGTGCCGCCCCAGCCGGGCAGGAGGCCCAGCTTCACCTCGGGCAGGCCGAGCTTCGTCTTCGGGGACGTCGACGCGACGCGGTAGTCGCACTTGAGCGCCCACTCGAGGCCGCCGCCGAGGCAGGCGCCGTGGATGGCCGCGACGATGGGGATGTTCGTCGCCTTGAGCTCGGCGAACATGGTGTGCCCGCTCAGGCAGATGGCCTCGAGCGAGTCCTCGTCGCCGCTCGCCTTCTTCGCCGCGAGCATGGAGATGTCCGCGCCCGCGATGAAGTTGTCGGGCTTGGCGGAGATGAAGACGGCGGCCTTGACGTCATTTCCGCGCGCCTCCATGAGCTCGCTCCACATCTCCTGGGCCTCGGCCTGGAGCGCCGGGTTCAGCGTGTTCATCTTCGCCTTCTTCGCATCGAGGCGCACGATGGCGACGCCGTCGGCCGTCACCTCGGGGTCCCCGGCGAAGAACTCCCAGCTCCGCGACCCCTCGGACGCCACGGGCTGGGCGCTGAGCCGCCGCCGGCCCGCGACGGCGACCTGGCGGGCAGAATACCGCAGTAGCGAGCTCATCGCGCCGAGATCAAGAACTCAGTGGCAGAAATTGCTCATTAGGCTCTCATTGCCTTCAACCTCGGTGTGCATCGGCGCCGCGCGGCGACATCCGAGGCCTGCGTCGTGTATTGCGCGCGCGATGCGCGGCCGGGCCTCGGTCGACCGGGCTGGATGTCCAGCGCCAAGGGTCTGCGCTCTCCCGCCCAAATTTCGACCTTATGGGCCCCTTCTTCGATTTTTCCGGAGGGTTACCTAGCTCAGCACCACCCAGCATCGCGAGTAGGCATGCAGCCGACGGGCCTCGGGACATGGTGCGCTTCGAGAACGCCAGGACGGATGCGCACGCCGCTCGAAATCTGCAACATGCAGGCTTCATGCGCCAAGTCGCTCGCGAGCTTGAAGACTCTCGAGGCTTGAGCACCGAGTAGCAGTCCGCGACGATGGCCCGCTCCGCGCTCTACGCGCTCCTCCTCACGGCCTGCGCGGCCCTCCGGCTCGCGCCGGCGGCCCCGCGGCTCCACGCCGGCCGGCGGCGCGCCTTCGCGCTCGCGCCGCGCACGCTCTTCGGCGGCGCGCCGCCGGAGGAGGAGTCGAAGCCCGCGGCGCCCGCGGGCGGCGGGTCGGGCATGAGCGTGCCCGGCATGGGCGAGATCTCCGAGGAGGAGATGAAGCTCGCCATGGAGTTCCGCGAGAAGATGTCCGCGAAGATGAAGGCGGTCGTCGTCGAGGGCACGGGCCTCGGCGGCAAGGTCAAGGTCACCTACGACGGCCAGGGCCAGCCCGTGTCCGTCGAGGTGCAGCCCGACGCGCTCAAGGAGGGCGAAGAAGCCGTCTCCGCCGCCGTCACCGACGCCGCGAAGAAGGCGCAGACGGAGGCGCTCGGCAAGATGAAGGGCATCATGATGGAGATGCAGAAGGACATCGCCAAGACCCTCGGCGACGGCAAGTAAGAAGGTGGTGGCGTGCTTCCGGGGGGAGGGGCGCCGCTCCGCGGCGAGCGTCCCGCGCGGCGGAGCGCAAGTGAGCGTCGCGCGCGTCGGAGCGGCGCGGCGCCGCGGGACGGGCCGACGGCTCGGCGACCCCCGTCGCGGCGCAGCCGGTGCCGCGACATCGGCGACGCGACGGCGGCCGCGGCGACGCGCGCCTACGACGTCCGAGGTCCGGTCTGGCGCGCGCAACCAACTGCACCTTTGGATTCCACATTCAACAAAGCCCTCGGAGGCGTTTTTTAGCGCCGCGCTCTCGTCGTCGCGCGGCGCCGCCGCGCGCGCCGCACGATGACGACGCCCGTGCTCGAGGAGCGGGGCCTCGTCGTGCCCGACGGCCTCTTCGAGATCCCCGACGCGTCGCCGAGCGGCGCCGACTTCCAGATCCCGAGCCAGTTCGACAACCCCCGGGGCCAGTTCCACGGCACGTCGACCTTCGGGCGCAGCGCCCGCGAGGACGCCTTCTCCTACCTGCGGTCCATCGGCGGCGGCGGCGCCGGCGGCTGGGAGGTCGCCTGCGGCGGCGCGGCGCGCTGGTGCGCGTCCGGCCCCGGGCCCGAGCGCTACGAGCTCGGCGGCGAGGGCGACGGGTCGTTCGGCACCGCGCCGCCCGTGTGCGCGGAGTTCCGCGCGCCCATGCGCAAGACGACCAAGGGCCGCACGGCCGAGGAGACCGTGCGCGAGCTCACGGAGCGGACCTGGGGCGGCGCGACCATGGGCGCGGTCGTCGCGTGCAGCGTGCGGTCGCAGGAGCAGTACGCGATGCCCCGGGCGCTGGACGCGTGCTACGGGTCGCAGTTCGCGCGGGCCGAGCGCTTCGAGAAGGACCCCATCGACGTGCGGGCCGTCCCCGGCGCCTACGAGGACGAGATCCACTTCGCGAAGACGACGGCCACGACGAAAGCCGCGGGCAACGCGCACAAGAGCTACACCATCGGCGAGAGCGAGCGGCGCGTGGCCTTCATGGAGGGCAAGGAGGGGCCCACGTCCTACATCGACATCAACGGCGAGGGCTCCTTCTACTACGACGTCATCCTCGCGGAGAAGAAGCGGCTCCAGACGCGGCGGCCCTACATGCTCTGCGGCGTGCCCCGCGAGTGCTGCCCCCAGGAGATCCCGAAGCGCAAGCCGCTGCCGGTCTACGAGCACGCGGGGCTCCACAAGGTGCTGGCGGACCCCGCGTCCGCCAAGGCCGTCCGGAGGCACGGCCCGGACCCCGTCGACGCGGACGGCGACGACCGCCACAACCTCGCGCGCGCGTGGTGGCCCAACGCCAAGCCCGGCGCGTCCTGGCCGCCGCCGAAGCGGCGGCAGCCGGGCAAGAAGACGGTCGTGCGCCAGCGCATGTTCGGGTCCGCGGACCGGCTGGAGCTCATCGACGGCATGCGCCACGCGGGCAAGCTCCGGTGCGCGGACGGGCCGGGCCCCTGCGCCTACGACCCCTGCGACCCCAACGCGCCGCCCATCACGGACGAGGCGCGGGCGTCGCTGAACCTGACCTGCGGCTACAAGGCGCCGCCGAAGACGCCCGGCGGCCGCGCGCGGAAGAAGGCCGCGCCCATCGTCGTGAGCTCCGAGGGCATCCTCGCGCCCAAGAACCTCATGGGCTTCCCGCGGCCGCCGAACTGGCTCGACTACCCGTCGCCCGCCGGGGACAAGATCCTCACCATGGTGTCGCCCGCGCGCCGCGACGTCCGGAGCTCGAAGTCGCGGCGCGACCTCAAGTCGTCGACGTCCCAGCGGCGCGTCCACGCGGCGGACTACGCCCTCCGCTCGTCCTTCTCGTCGCCCCCGCCGGAGCCCACGCCCGCCGCGGCGTAACACGCGCTCAGGGGACGCCGCGCGCGGTCGTCACGGGCAGCCGCCGGCACTCGGGCGGGACGTCGTAGCCGAAGCGGCTAAAGTCGTCGAAGTAGAGGTAGCAGGCCGCGCGGCGCACGCCGGCGTCGCTTCGGAGCGCGGCTTGGGCGCGGCGCCGCGCGGCCTCGAACGAGAGGCGCTCCGCGGCGACGGCGCCGTGCCTCCCGAGGGCCGGGTCCCACGGCAGGGGCGCGCCGACGCGCGCCGCGAGGCGCCGCAGGTCGTCGTCGAAGGTCTCGAGGCGCCCGACGAACCCGGGGCGGAGCGGCGCGACGAAGGACGCCATGGGCCACGCGTGCTCGAGCACGGCCTCGCGGACCAGGCAGCCCTCGCCGCCGGCCGCGCGGGCGTCGCGGTACGCGGCCAGCCCGGGCCCCAGCACAAAGTCCGCCAGGAACGCCCGCGGCCGCGCCGCCGGCGCCGCGCGGAGGAAGACGGCCGCCGCGGCCGCGGCCGCGGCGTCGCCCGCGCACCGCTCGGTCAGCCGCATCTCGATCTCGCCGTAGGCCGACGCGAAGCGCGCGAGCGGGTCGCGGACGAAGGTGAAGGTGACGGCGGGGCCCGCCGTCGCGTTCGCCCAGACGTGGAGCATGTGGTGGTGGAGCGCGTCGTTGCCCGCCTTGAAGACGCGCACGTAGGCCAGCCGCGGCGCGCGGACGACGAGCGGCGTCGGCCGCCGCCGGCGCCACGCGCGCGCGATGGACGCGTCCGTGGGCGCGGCGGCGACGCCCGCGGCGGCGCGCGCGCGCGCGAAGAGCTCCGCCACGTTCACGGCGCGCTGCTCGCGCACGGCGCGCTCGAGGGTCGTCGTGGCGTTCCAGGCGGCGGGTCGCGGTCGCGGCGGTCGCGTTGGCGGCGCGGCGAACGACGTGAGCGCGAGCAGCAGCGTGCCGGCGATGCAGGCGGCAGCGATGCAAGCGGTGGCGCAGCGGCGCCGGCGCATGCCTCCTCACATGGGTCGATGGGCAGCCATCGTGCCGTGTGAAACGAGTTTTGGTGAAGTCGTCGCCACATGCTTGCCCATCTCTCGCGCCCGCGTCCTCCTGACCGCTCGCGCGCCGTTCCGTGCGCTCGTCGCCCCGACGCTCAACACAACAAATCGACGCGTCACGATGTCTCCGCCGCTCATGGCCCGCGTGAAGCGGTGCCTCGCCCACCCGGCGCTCCGGCGCCTCGCGCCCGTTGGTCGCGACGCCTTAGCCGTCTTCATGTATTATTACGTGGGTATCGCCGTGCTCAAAAGGCTCGAGGAGTGGCACACGGGGAAGACGATCTACTTCCTGTCGATGACGCTCACGACCGTGGGCTTCGGCGACGTGACGCCGACGACCGTCGCGGGCAAGTGGTTCGTGACCGCGTACGCGCCCGCGGGCATCGTCCTCGTCTTCTCCATCATCGCACGCTACATGAGCGCCGTCCAGGGCTGGCTTCGACGGGGCACGGAGGCTTTACCGCGGCGTCCGAAACCCGTCGTCGACGTTCGAAACCCGTCTCGCGCGTAGGCGGCCCTGGCGCTCCTCGGCGTCCGCGTCGTCGACACGCGGAGCCTGCCGATCGACGAGTACCGGCCGCGCGACGTGTCGCGCGTCGTCAAGTACTGGAAGCGCTACCTGCTCGCCGCCGCGCCCGTGGCGCTGCTGCTCGCGGGGTTCGTGGTCGGCGTCGCCGAGTTCCGCAAGGGCGACGACGAGCTCGAATGGTCCGACGCAATCTACTTCGCGGTCATCACGTCGACGACCGTCGGCTACGGCGACTTTAACTTCCACCACTCGCGGGGCCAGCGCTTCACGATCGCGCTGTCCGCGTACACGATCCTCGTCGTCGTCGTCCTCGCCAACTCCATCGCGGAGCTCTTCGCGATCCGACGGCGGCAACTTTTACGGGACGAGGACGTCTGCGACTTTGGCCCTACTCCTTTGGACCTCGAGGAGATGCTCCTCGACAAGTACGCGGCGCTCTCGGCGGAGGACGAGCGCGCGGGCGCGGAGCCCGCCCTGTCCGAGGCGGATTACGTCGTCGCGACGCTGGTCAAGGCGGACATCGTCGACGACCAGATCTTGTTCGCCATCCGCCGCAACTTCCACTGGGACGCGCTCGCGGGAGCCACGAAGTTCTCGACGATGATTACCGCCGAGGACGTCCACGCGCTCCCGAAGCGGCCGTCGAGCGCCCAGCTCTGGGTCCCGGCGAGCCTCCGGGGCTCTGGACGCGCGCCGCCGGACGACGAGCCCTACGACGCCTGGCGCGCGCGCTACTGGGAGCCGCGCCTCGCCGCGCGCCGCGCGGAGCGGAGCGAGCGGCGCCGCGAGCTGCGCCGCCGGTCGAGCGCGTACGCGTGGGCCGCGGCCGCGGCCGCGAGCGACGCCTTCGACGACGACGCCGAGGACGCGGTTTAAGGTGTCGGTACGAGTGTGTGGAGCAGTGTGAGCTGCCCCAAAGTCGCCTCGACGCGTCTCTAAACGTAGAGGGGCGGGGAGGAACCGCAGGGCGGGAGGCTGAGGGGCCTCACAGGCGCCAAAAGTCGCCAAAGGTCCCGCGGCAAAACCTCACAGCATGACGCGCTTGCTACGCGTCGTCTTGCTCGGCGCCGTCGCGTCCGCGGGAAAAACGCGGCGGGAGAAGCAGGCCGGCGCCGCGGCCGACGCGCCAATTAAGAAAACCATCGGGTCAAAGAAGGGCCCGCCGGCGTGGTGGAATTTGGGCCACGGCATCGGGTGCCCCTTCTTCGAGGCCGAGGACCCGGGGTGGCACTGGGTCGGCCCCCGGGGCGCGAAGCAGACCTGCAACGCCACGCAGAAGAAGCCGCCGGAGAAGCGGGCCCGCCTCTGCCGCCAGACGGGCGCTTCCGGCGTCGCCGCGGCGGACGCGTGCCCAAACGCGTGCGTCCGCTGCTGCGCCGGCGCCTCGTTCCTCGACGCGTCGCCCGGCCCGCGCTGCGACGCCGTCGCCCGCGAGTTCGCGGACGCCGCGGCCGCCGCGGCGACGCTCGAGAGCTTCTGCGACGACCCGCCGCCGCGACGGCACGACGACGCGAACCGGACGCACTACCCGGGCCCGCGCGCGGTGGAGAGCGCGTGCTTCGGCATATTCCAGGAGGCCCACGTGTCCGCATCGCCCGGCGACGCGGCGCTGAGCCGGGACATGCAGGCGAGCTGCTGCAACTACCAGATTTTGAACCGCGGGCGGAGGAACGCGTCCGCGATCATCCGGGGCACGATCGAGGACACGCGCCGCTACCTCATGTTCCCGCGGTCCCAGATCGAGGCCGCGCGCCACTACGCGGCGACGTCGACGCGCGACGTCGACCTGAACTTCATGGGGCGCCTCTACGACGGCGACGGCGACGACGGCGCGTCGCTCCTCGACTACGCTTTACGGAAGGACTACGACCCCGTCGTCTTCTCGTCGCGCGTCGCGGCGCGCATGCGCGCCTGGGTGCTCCCCTTCGTGAAGCGCTACTTCACGGCGGACTCCGTGCTGCTGGACACGTCGGTCAAAGACGCCGCGACCCACGTGCCGCTCGGCGCCTACGACCGGTCCGTCGGCGGCGACGGCGCGCTCGCGGGCTTCCGGCCCATCGCGCTCAACTTCACGACGGGGGCCACGACCTGCAAGAAGGCGACCTGCGACCCGGCCTACTACGAGAAACTCGCGCGGTCCCGGTTCACGCTCGCGCCCGCGGGCGACATGCCCTGGTCCCTCCGCTTCTTCGAGGCCGTCATGGCCGGCTCCGTCCCGATCCTCTCGAGCAAGGAGCACGCGGGCCGCAACCACGCGGAGAAGACGCTCGGCTACAAGTACCTCCTCGTCTCCGAGTACGTCGCGCGGCGGAGGCGGTTCCCGGGCGCGGCGCCCTACTGCGCCGAGTGGGCGGACCACAACCTCGCGATCTTTCTCGAGCACCAGTCCTACATCGAGGACCCGGCCACGGTCCGCCCGCGCCTCGACCGGTGCCTCGCTGAGGGCTTCGCGTGATTACTTTATGTCGTAGTCTCGGCGGACTCGGCGCGGCGGGATTGAATTAATTCGAACGAACGAACGTGGTCGTAGTCTCGGCGGAGCGCGGCGGCGGCGACGTCTCGAGGATGCGCGCGCAGGCGCCGGGCATGAGCTTGCAGAGCGAGAGGATGTGGATGTCGTCGAGGTCGTGGCCGTAGGGGTCGGCGAGCTTCTTGGTGGTGATGTTGATCGCGAGCGCGGCAAGACTTAGGCTACACTCGCGCGTCGAGGCACGCGAGGTTCTTCCTCGCATCCTCGTCGCCCTTGGCAGCGGCTCGCTCGAACCAGTATCTGGCTTTGCCGACGTCGACTTCCGTGCCTTTTCCATCGCGGTACCAGCAGCCAAGGTTATACTCTCCATCGGTATAGCCTTGATTCGCCGCGAGCGCGTAGTACCGGACCGCTTCTTCAAATTTCTTCTCACAGTAAAGTAAAACCCCCAAATTGTTTTGCGCGTGTGCGTCGCCCCGGTCCGCGGCCGCGCGATACAGCCGCTCCGCCTTCTTCTTGTCCAGCTTGACGCCTTCCCCGTCCTCGGCGTCGTACATTTCCCCCAGAAATGCCATCGCGTCCACGTCGCCGAGCTCCACGGCGCGCCGGTAAATCTTTGCGGCTTTCTTATCGGATTTCACGAGGCCCAACCGACCGCCGCGGTACGCACTTCCCAAAAACGTAATCGCTTCCGGCACCTCGTTCTCCACATGGCGGCGAAGACGCGCGAGGTTTTCCGCGTTATCTTCCGGGTACGGTACACGACAGAGGGGACACGCGTTGGTGCCGATCTTGCCCTCGCACGATCGGCAGACCTTTCGGCAGCAACAGCAACGTAACACCCACTCAGCATTCACGTCCCACTCCTCGAGGCAGATCGGGCACCGCGACCCGTACCGCGCAGACAGCGGCTCTCGCTCCGGGTTCGCTTCGCGCCGCGCACGGGCGGCCTCGTGTTCCGCCGCGATGCGCGCGCGGACCTCGTCGGCGTGCGACCGCGGCGCGGGGCCGTAGAACACGTCCCGCGGCGGCGACGGCGCGCGCGTCGGCGCTTCCGCCCGCGCCGCCTCCGCGGCCTGGATCTTCTTGCAGACCTTCCGGTGGCCCCGGTCGCGCCAGTCGATGCGTTGGCAGTCCGTCGAACAGTAGGCCGTCGTGCCGCAACCTGCGCAAGCCTTGGCTTTGTCGGCGCCGCAGATCGTGCAGGTCTTGAGAGTGTCGAGTTTTTTGCCCTTCGCTCGGGCCATGCGATTCTCATACTCCAACTTCTTCTCCTGCCACGACATGACTCGGGGCGCGTCCTATCGCCGCTCCTCTCGAGGTCTCGACTCGACTTCGCGAGCTCGCAAAGGCAAAATCGCTCAAAGCCTACTCCAGGCCTAAGCCCACCCCTCAAGCATCGCGCTCATGTCGTTCTCCATGCCCCCCTTGGCGGCGTCGTCGTCCTTGCGCCAGGCGGGCTTCGCGTTCAAGAATGCCAGGCACCAGACCACGAAGGTCGGCGCGGAGAGGCGCGCGGCGACACGACGCCAAGGCCAAGCGCGACTCGCCCGCGCGCAAGAGCAGGATCTCGGGCCCGGGCGAAGCCGCGGCGTAAATATTGTTAGGCTCTATGCTCGCGCGTCGAGACGCGCGAGGGCACCTTTAGCATCCTCGTTGCCCTTGGCAGCGGCGCGCTCGAACCAGTACCTGGCTTTGCCGAGGTCGACTTCCGTGCCTTCTCCTTCGTGGTAACAAAGGCCAAGGAGAGTCTCCCCGGGGGTAAAGCCTTGATCCGCCGCGAGCGCGTAGTACCGGAACGCCTCTTCATGTTTCTCCTCAGAATCAAGTAACTTTCCTACATTGCATTGCGCGACCGGGTCGCCCCGATCTGCGGCCATGCGATACAGCCGCTCCGCCTTCTTCTTGTCGAGCTTGACGCCAGTTCCATGCTGGTGCAATATCCCAAGGTGTACCATCGCGTCCACGTTCCCGAGCTCCACGGCGCGCTTCCAAATTTTCGCGGCTTTCTTATCGGATTTCACGAGGCCGAAGTAACCGCGGCGGTACGCATTTCCCAAACTTGTAATCGCTTCCGGTACCTCGTTCTCCACATGGCGGCGAAGCTGCGCGAGCTGCTCCGCATCGCTTCCTAGCGGTAAACGACAGAGAGGACACGCGTCGATGCCGATCTTGTCGTTGCACGATCGGCAGACCTTTCGGCAGCAACAGACGAGAAGCACGCCCGGCAGATTCACGTCCCACTCCTCGAGGCAGATCGGGCACCGCGACCCGTACCGCGCCGACTGCGGCTCCCGCTCCGGGTTCGCCTCGCGCCGCGCCCGCGCCGCTTCGTGTTCCGCCGCGATGCGCGCGCGGACCTCGTCGGCGTGCGACCGCGGCGCGGGGCCGTAGAACACGTCCCGCGGCGGCGACGGCGCGCGCGTCGGCGCTTCCGCCCGCGCCGCCTCCGCGGCCTGGATCTTCTTGCAGACCTTCCGGTGGCCCCGGTCGCGCCAGTCGATGCGTTGACAGTCCGTCGAACAGTAGGCCGTCGTGCCGCAACCTTTGCAGGGCCGGGCATCCTTCTTCCCGCAAATCGTGCATATGTTGAGCGCCAGCTTCGTACGGGTTTTTCGCGCCTCGTACTCTCGCTTCTTCTTGATCAATTCCGGGTCCATGGCCTCTTACCGCGCGCGTCCTTGCGTCGCTCCAGGCTCCTCGGCCGATCGCAAAGGCAGAATCGCTCAAAATCTTACCCCGGGTAAGCCCACCCCTCAAGCATTGCGCTCATGTCGTTCTCCATGCCCCGCTTGGCGGCGTCTTCTTCCTTGCGCCAGGCGGGCTTCGAGTTCAGAAACGCGAGGCACCAGACCGCGAAGGTCGGCGCGGAGCGGAACGCGGCGACGACGACGCCAAGGCCAAGCACGACTCGCCCGCGAGCAACTTGAAGCGCAGCATCTCGGGCTCGGGCGACGACGCGGCGTATAGACTTAGGCTACACTCGCGCGTCGAGGTCCGCGAGGTTCCTTGTAGCTAGCTCACTGCCCTTGGCAGCGGCGCGCTCAAGCCAGTATCTGGCTTTGCCGAGGTCGACTTCCGTGCCTTTTCCGTCCCTGTAACAGCAGCCAAGGTTGTTCTCTCCATCGGTAAAGCCTTGATCCGCCGCGAGCACAAAGTAACGGAACGCCTCTTCAAATTTCTCCTCATGGTAAAGTAAAATCCCTAAATTGGATTGCGCGACCGCGTGGCCCCGATCTGCGGCCATGCGAAACAGCCGCTCCGCCTTCTTCTTGTCCAGCTTGACACCACTTCCATTCTGGTACGAAACCCCAAGAACTACCATCGCGTCCACGTTCCCGAGCTCCACGGCGCGCTTCCAAATCTTCGCCGCTTTCTTATCGGATTTCACGAGGCCCAACAGACCGCGAAAGTACGCCTCTCCCAAAAACGTAATCGCTTCCGGCACCTCGTTCTCCACATGGCGGCGCAGACGCGCGAGCTGTTCCGCACTATCTTCTGGGCACGGTAGGCGACAGAGGGGACACGCGTCGATGCCGATCTTGCCCCGGCACGATTGGCAGACCTTTCGGCAGCAACAGACGCGAAGCCCCCCCATAACATTCACGTCCCACTCCTCGAGGCAGATCGGGCATCGCGACCCGTACCGCGCAGACAGCGGCTCCCGCTCCGGGTTCGCCTCGCGCCGCGCCCGCGCCGCCTCGTGCTCCGCCGCGATGCGCGCGCGGACCTCGTCGGCGTGCGACCGCGGCGCGGGGCCGTAGAACACGTCCCGCGGCGGCGACGGCGCGCGCGTCGGCGCTTCCGCCCGCGCCGCCTCCGCGGCCTGGATCTTCTTGCAGACCTTCCGGTGGCCCCGGTCGCGCCAGTCGATGCGTTGGCAGTCCGTCGAACAGTAGGCCGTCGTGCCGCAACCTGCGCAAGACTTGGCCTTGTCGGCGCCGCAGATCGTGCAGGTCTTGAGAGTGTCGAGTTTTTTGCCCCTCGCTCGGGCCATGCGAGTCTCATACTCCAACTTCTTCTCCCGCCACGACATGACTCGGGGCGCGTCCTATCCCTCTCGACTCGACTTACTACAGTACCGCGACCCGCAAGGCAAAATCGCTCAAAATCTTACCCCAGGCTAAGCCACCCCTAGAGCATCGCGTTCATGTTGTTCTCCATGCCCCCCTTGGCGGCGTCGTCGTCCTTGCGCCAGGCGGGCTTCGCGTTCACGAACGCGAGGCACCAGACCGTGAAGGTCGGCGCGGAGAGGAACGCGGCGACGACGAGGCCAAGGCCAAGCACGACTCGCCCGCGCGCAACTTGAAGCGCAGCATCTCGGGCTCGGGCGACGACGCGGCGAAAAAGTTAGGCTATAATTGCTCGTCGAGGCGCGCGAGGGCACCTTTAGCATCCTCGTCGCCCTTGGCAGCGGCGCGCTCGAACCAGTACCTGGCTTTGCCGAGGTCGACTTCCGTGCCTTGTCCGAGCCTGTAACAGCAGCCAAGGCTGATCTCTGCAAAAGTTTCGCCTTGATTCGCCGCGAGCGCGAAGTACCGGAACGCTTCTTCATGTTTCTTTTCAGCATCAAGTAAACTCCCTAAACTGTTTTGCGCGTACGCGTCGCCTCGGTCTGCGGCCATGCGATACAGCCGCTCCGCCTTCTTCTTGTCCAGCTTGACGCCACTTCCATCCTCGTACAATTCCGCAAGGTGGCTCATTGCTTCCACGTCCCCGAGCTCCACGGCGCGCTTCCAAATTTTCGCGGCTTTCTTATCGGATTTCACGAGGCCGAAGTAACCGCGGCGGTACGCAGTTCCCAAAAACGTAATCGCTTCCGGCACTTCGTTCTCCACATGGCGGCGCAGGCGGGCGAGGTTTTCCGCATCGCTTTCTGCGCGCGATACACGACAGAGGGGACACGCACCGATGCCAATCTTGTCCTCGCACGATCGGCAGACCGTCCGGCAGCAACAGACGCGTAACATGCCCATATCATTCACGTCCCACTCCTCGAGACAGATGGGGCACCGCGACCCGTACCGCGCAGACAGCGGCTCTCGCTCCGGGTTCGCCTCGCGCCGCGCGCGGGCGGCCTCGTGTTCCGCCGCGATGCGCGCGCGGATTACGTCGGCGTCCGACCGCGGCGCGGGGCCGTAGAACACGTCCCGCGGCGGCGACGGCGGGCGCGTCGGCGCTTCCGCCCGCGCCGCCTCCGCGGCCTGGATCTTCTTGCAGACCTTCCGGTGGCCCCGGTCGCGCCAGTCGATGCGTTGGCAGTCCGTCGAACAGTAGGCCGTCGTGCCGCAACCTCGGCACGCCTTGGCCTTGTCGGCGCCGCAGATCGTGCAGGTCTTGAGAGTGTCGAGTTTTTTGCCCCTCGCTCGGGCCATGCGATTCTCATACTCCAACTTCTTCTCCTGCCACGACATGACTTCGGCGCGCGACGACGACAGGGGGGGCGCCTCCAGATCGACTCTCGATCGACCACCTGCTCTGAGAATTGCGATTAATCGCCGATTGCTGTGGCGAGACTGAGCGCGTCCATGGCACACCCGCGCGCCTGTGAGGCTCTCTGAGCCATCGACCGCGCTCGTCGCGTACGTTTAGAGACGCATTGCAAGAGCGTGTCTGCGAGCCTCTCTCGCGGGCGCGGAGCGACGCAAAACGATGCGACGCCTCCTCGCTCTCTGCGCCGTCGCGTGCGCCGAACCCAAACAACGCGGTCACAATAGCTCCGCGCCGAAGCCCTACGAAGGCAAAGGGAGCCTGGGGTGGTGGAACCTGGGCCACGGCGTCGGGTGCCCGTTCCACGAGCCGGGCGCGGGGAGCTTCGTCGGCTCGGACGGCGCGCGGCGGACCTGCGCCCGGCTCCAGACGAGCGCGCCCGACGTCCGACGGCGAGCCTGCGGCGCCGCCGCGGCGGCGGCCGCGTGCCCGAACGCGTGCGTGGCCTGCTGCGACGGCGCCGCGCTCGTCGGCGGCGGCGCGGCCGACGGCGCGTGCGCCGCCGTCGGCCGCGAGTTCGCCGACGCGGCCGCGGCCGCGGCGACGCTCGAGAGCTTCTGCGACGACCCGCCGGCGCGGTCCTACGACGACCACGCGCTGACGTTCTTCCCCGGCCCGCGCGCGGCGCAGTCCAAGTGCTTCGGCCGCTTCCAGGAGGCCCACGTCCACGACTCGCCGGACGACGCGGCGCTGAGCCGCGACATGCGGGCGACGTGCTGCAGCTTCGCGGCGCTGAACCGCGAGCGGGCCCGCGAGCGGCGGACCATCCAGCGCGCGATCCGCGGGAACCTTCCGGGGAATCATCCGGCGGGCGACCGCTACCTCATGTTCCCGCGGTCCCAGATCGAGGCGGCGCGCGCGCACGCGTCCGCGTCGACGCGGGACGTCGACGTGAACTTCCTCGGGCGGCTCCACGGCGACGACGACGGGTCGCCGCTGCTCGACTACGTGTTGCGAGAAGACTACGACGCGGACGTCTTCTCGACGCGGGTGGCCGCGAGCATGCGCGTCTGGCTCGGGCCCTTCGTCGACGCCTTTTTCACGGCCGAGTCCGTCCTCGTGGACACGTCCATAACCGACGCGGCGACGTACGTGTCGCGCGGTGCGTTCGACAAAACGTCATCCGCCGCGGGCTTCCGGCCCATGTCGTTCAGCGGCGTCAACGCGAGCAGCTGCAAGCGCGCGACGTGCGACCCGGCCTACTACGAGAAACTCGCGCGGTCGCGCTTCACGCTCGCGCCCGCGGGCGACATGCCCTGGTCCCTCCGCTTCTTCGAGGCGATCATGGCCGGGAGCGTGCCGATCCTCTCGAGCAAGGAGCACGCGGGCCGGAATCGCGCGGAGAAGACGCTCGGCTACAAGTACCTCCTCGTCTCCGAGTACGTCGCGCGGCGGAAGCGGTTCCCGGGCGCGGCGCCCTACTGCGCCGAGTGGGCGGACCACAACCTCGCGATCTTCCTCGAGCACCAGTCCTACATCGAGGACCCGACCACGGTCCGCCCGCGCCTCGACCGGTGCCTCGCGGAACGGTTCGCGTGAATATATTTCGAGCGTAATTGGCGACGCATACGAATGCGTATGCCTACGGGTTCATCCACGACGAGCGCGTCGAGGCGACGCGGCCGGCAGGCTGGAGGGGTCGCCGGCGAGGCCTCACGAGGAGGCTACGACTAGTACGAGGCCTCTCAGGCCTCCTCTCGCGCCTCGCAGCGGGGCGCCTCCGCCGTGAAGCTGAGAGAACCTTCGCTTCACCTCGACCGCTTCGTCGTCTTTGCCGTCGCTGTGCGCCACCCGTGTCTACTCTCTTGGTGTCGCATTCGATTCGCATATGCCTTTGGATCATGAAAAAGTGTCGGGGAGCGGCGCCGAGGATTTGCGCCCCCCGGCGGCGACGAGAAAGCCGTTCATCGGTCTGTCGTGCGAGGCGACTACAAACGAAGCTCGGGCCGTTATCGAAAGCCCCATGACACTTCTGCGCGCGAACCGCGACGCCGGGAGACCAGACGAACGCGCTCGCGGGCTCGTCGTACGAAAAAATACGCACTCGGCTCGTTCGCGCCGTCGTCGCGCTTCCGCCGCTCGCGCGACCGCATCCCCCGCAGGCACCTCTCATCATGGGCCAGGCCGAGTCATCCACCGTCAAGTCGTCTCAGGACGAGGAATCGATCTACTTCCAGACGTCGCTCGTCGTCGAGGGCGAGCGGCTGTCGCCCATCGCGTACTACCAGGAGAGCGCCGACGACGCCACCTCGACCGCGTCCTCGGCCTTCTTCTGCGCCGAGGCGGGCAGCAAGTTCGAGATCAAGGTGACGCTCGCGCGGCCGCCGCCCGAGGGCGTGCTCTACGGCGCGCGCGTCTACGTCGACTCCGGCGCGCCCGACGTCGTCTACGAGGCCTGCGGCCCGGGCCGCGGCTCCGACGCGTCCGCGGCGTCGACGACGGACCGGTCGACGCCGGACCACTACTTCTGGCTCGGCCCCGGCGAGACGGAGTACGTCGTCCGCGGCTTCTTCGCGAACAAGCTCGAGTCGTACCCGTTCGCGTTCGGCTCCGCGGCGGCGTCGTCCGCGCGCGCGGCGCTCGCGGACGCGAACGGCGAGGCCGCGCCGCCCGAGAAGCGGGCCCGCGTCGACGACGCCGCCGCGCGCGCGGCGAACGAGTTGGGCTGCCTCCGGCTCCAGTTCGCCAAGGTCACGCGGTTCGTCGCCGTCGACGCGACGCCGGGCCCGACGGCGCCGCGGCGCGCGTCGCTCCGGGGCGCCGCGGCGGAGCTCGCCGACGCCAAGGGCACGCACATCGCGGCCAAGGCCGGCCGCGAGGCGGAACCCGACGCGGGCGCGTCCGCGCTCGCGGCCGAGGCCGTGCTCTCGCCGAAGATCATCCACGAGTCGCGGCTCTTCTACAACGATTTCGCGGGGTACCGCGCGCGGTCGAGCCTCGGCAAGGCCATGCTCGAGCCCCTCACGTTCCAGGGCCTGCCCCTGTCGTGCTTCGCGCAGGCCGACGTCCGCCGGCGCTGCGTCGACGCGATGCTCGCCGCGAACTGTGTGGAAATCAAACAGTGAGCTGGGTTATCCCAACCAAACTTCAGAACTCTCTATCTCGGCCAAACCGCAGTCGATTCGGCTGATTTTTGGACGAATCGATTGCTCTCATTGAGTTCTCGAAGCACGGCAGAAGGCCCTGCGTCGAAACCGGCGCATACGCTCACATTGAAGTCGGGTTGAAGATTTGATTCCCACTCAGGCCGCGAAGCAGCGCGCGGGCGCGGACGTCGCGACGAAGAAGCGCATCTGGTCCTTCGGCGGCGGCGGCGCGCCGGCCCCCGACGCGCCCGCGGCGAACGCGCCCGTGCCCGTCGCGGACCTCGCCAAGTTCCTCTGCTCGACGATCTCGCCCGCGGCGTCGCGCGCGGTCTGCCGCGGCCCCGGCGACTACGACGGCGACTACGGCGAGAAATACGTCCAGGTCCTGGGAGACGAGGCCCACCGCCTCCAGGACCTCGCCGCGAACACCGCGGCGCTCCTCGACTACTTCGCCGCCAAGCCGGACCACTACGACCTCGCCGCGATGGACGCGGCCGCGCCGTCCGGCTGGCTCGGCGCGTTCCAGGCCGCCGCGCCCGCGTCCTACGCCGTCAGCTTCGCCGTCCTCTCCATCGACGACTGAGGGGCAACACGCAAGCCGGGGCACAAGCATACGCCCCAAAGACCAAAGACCCTCGATCCCTCCCCCCACAAATTACGGCATGTCGGCCTCGGCGCGGCACCGGTCGACGTTCGGTCGGACGGTGCTCGGGTCCGCGATGTAGGACTGGTGCTCGAGGAAGATCGCGAGGTTGTGCGCCGCCCATTTGTCGCAGTACGGGACCGCGCCCGGGAACCGCGTCCGCCGCGCGACGTACTCGGAGACGAGGAGGTACTTGTAGCCGAGCGCCTTCTCCTCGGCGTTGCGGCCCGCGTGGTCCTCGCTCGAGACGACGGGGACGGAGCCGGCCATGATGGCCTCGAAGAAGCGCGTCGACCAGGGCATGTCGCCCGCGGGCGCGAGCGTGAAGCGGGACCGCGCGAGCGTCGCGTAGTAGGACGGGTCGCAGGTCGCCTTCCGGCAGGTCTGGACGCTGCGGTTGCCAAAGGCCGACACCCATGCGACGGTCATGGGCCGGAAGCCCGCGAGCGTCCCGCCCGCGACGGTCTTGTCGAAGGCGCCCAAAGGCGCGTAGGTCGCCGCGTCCTCCGCGGACGTGTCCACGAGCACGGACTCGGCCGTGAAGTAGCGCTTCACGAAGGGCAGCACCCAGCGGCGCATCGACGCGGCGACGTGGCCGCTGAAGTCGAGCGCGACGTAGTCGCCCCAGGCTTTTTGGGTATACTCGAGCAGCGCCACGGGCGCCCCGAGGTGGAGCCGCCCGAGGAAGTTGACGTCGACGTCGCGCGTCGATGTGGACGCATAGAAGCGCGCCGCCTCGACCTGGGACCGCGGGAAGAGTAGGTACGGCTCGGGATCCGCGCTCTTCGGATTCCGGTCGCGCCGGTGGCCCGCGCGGATGCGCTCGCGGATCAGTTTCGGGTCGCAGCACTCGCGCTGCATGGCCGTCGCGTTCACGGATAGGTGCGCCTCCTGGAAGCGGCCGAAGCACGCGCCCTGGATGAAGCGCGGGCCCGTCATGAACGTCCGGGTAGTAGTCGCGCGAGCGCGCGCCGGCGGGTCGTCGCAGAAGCTGTCGAGCCGCGCCGCTGCCTTGGCGGCGTCTGAGAACTCGCGGCCGACGGCGGCGCACGCGGCGTCGGGCGCGCCGCCGCCGAAGAGCGCCGCGCCGTCGCAGCAATGAACGCACGCGTGCGGGCACGCTTCGGCCGCGGGCACGCCGCCGGCGCCGCGCTTCCCGCAGAAGAGCCGCCGCTTGTCCGGGTCGGCGCGCTGGAGCCAGGCGCAGTCCCGGTGGTCGCCGCCCTTGAGCGTCCACGACGCGTCCGACGGCTCGTCGAAGGGGCACCCGATGCCGGGACCGATGTTCCACCAGCCGAGAATACCAAAGAGGTCCCAGGGCTTCTGCCCCTCGCGCGACGGCTTGCGGAAATCGGCCTTCTCTGATGGTTTTGTGGCGGCGGCGACGGCAGAGAGGGCGAGGAGGATTTGTCGCATCGCGCCGCGTCGGCGCGATGTCGGACCTCGACTCGCTAAATACCACAGCCAAAAACTGCCAAGAGAGGAGGAGTGGGAGGAGCGACTTGCGCGTCGACACTTTTGGACGAGATCGTAGGATGGGCAAGAAATCGCGCAAGCCTAAGAAGGTGGCGGGCGAGAAGAAGGGGGCCGCCGATGCTCAGACGACGGTAACAACGGGGGAGAGTGAAAACACACCCGGGCACCCGGCAAATCATTGGCCGGCTTTGAACACTGATTGTGGCCTTGGCGGGAGTGTTGTGGGGCTATTGGCGGGAGTTCAAGATCTCCACACACCACAAGACAGTGATGAGGAGCTATCAAAGATTCCTGGATATTTTGAATCGCGCGGCAAGATGATGCCGACCCTGTCCGATCTCGCCGCCGCGTACCGTTACGATTTTTCCGAGGACTTCGTCGCGACGCAGATGGCGTATTGGACGGCCCTCTATGCGAACATCGAAAGCGCATGCGCGCGCCAGCGCCGCCGCGCGGCCCGTCTGCCCACGCCCGCCGAGGCTCTGCCCCATCCCGTCGAGGCTTTGCTAGCGGCGTGCCGCGATGGCGATTTGGATCAGATTCGTTCACGCCTCGAAAGCGGTTGCAACATCGACGCGATTGTTTCACTGCCCCCCCCGCCCCCTGATTCTCAGTGTGGAGCGACGCGAGTCGTGCAGTGTGGAGTCTTGACGCCTTTGTTCAGCGCTTGCGTGAGCAACCAGATCGAGGTCGCTCGATTGCTAGTCAACCGAGGTGCCGACGTCGAGCTGACCACGCCGGAGGGGAGGCTTACGGCTCTCCACGTCGCATGTATCGCCGGAAACTATGGCATGGTATGCTTACTGATCTTCGTGGGCCGCGCAACCGTCGACTGCATGACGGACGATGGTGGTACGCCGTTGTCGATAGCAAGCTCGGATGGTCACCTGTCCATAGCGAGACTGCTGATAGACCGCGGCGCCGACGTAAATCGAACGTACGAAAATGGCTTTACGGCACTGCACCTGGCTTCCAAAAACGGTCACGCCAAGGTCGCGAGGCTGCTGATCGATCGCGGCGCGGAAATAAACGCAGCGACGGCCGATGGAGAGACATCCTTTTTCGCGGCGTGTGAAGAGAATCACTACGATGTCGTCGAACTACTGATGCAGAAAGGAGCAATTACGAACAAGGCAGCCGAAGGCGGCATTCTGCCACTGGAAATCGCCTTATCCAACGGCCACTACGCGGTTGCCGAACTCCTTCGGCCCGGAATCGTGGGAGCTTTGGAAGACTTATATGCTCGGCCCGGAATATGTGGGAGCAATGACGGCCAGCTCCTCGCCGAGCACATAGAACGGTCCGGCGATGACAGCCAGCTCTCCGCCGAGCATGCTGCGGCATTGGCACCGCTCAGGGCTCGTCTCGCCGAGCGGAAGGCGGCCGAAGGCCAGTAAAATTTGAGAATCCCCCAGCACTTACCTCAGATCCAGTTAGTCGTCGTCGTCGTCGTTGATCTGGACCGCCTTCCGGATCCAGCTGATGAGCTCGGGCTCGCGGGAGTCGTCGCTGTCGGAGCCGCTGCCCGCGGCCGCAGAGAACGAGCCGCCCTCGCGGTCGAAGAGCTGGCGCGCGGCGCTCGGGCTCGCGTCGAGCCAGCGGCGGCGCCGGGGTGTCGTAGGCCGGCTCCGGCGGTGGCGGCGGGTCGTCGGCGCCGCCCGCGGCGGGCGTCGCACACACCGTCCGGCACGCCTACTAGGCCTCCTACTTTTTAGGAGGGCCTTGCGGTAAAAACAAAGTGAGGCAGCGATCAAATCTCGATCAAGGCCTGAGGCACCGCCGCATCGCCCCGTGGCCTCAATCCCCACGCAGCCACTCCAAAATTAAGGCCTATACCACAGCAAAGTGCGGTCAAGCGATTCAGGCCTGGATGCACCTCATATTCCTCTTCCTCGCGCACACAATCGCAGCGACTCCAGAGCTCCCTTGGTCGTGCTCGGAGGATGGTTGCTGGCCGCAGACCTGGGTTTTAGGAGGTCAGAAATGTGGGTCGACGGCCATCTACAAGTGGATCCATAAGCGCTTTTCAATCTGCGCCGCCACGCCTCAGACGCGCCGGCGCCTCGCGACGCCGAAGTGGCGCTCGCGGCAGACGAACGACCTCAAGGAGACGCACTTCTGGGGCGACGCGCACGAGGCGTGGAACGCGACGCCGCGGACCGCGCGGCGCGGCGCGGCGAAGCGGCTCGCGGCGCAGTTCACGCGGCTCTACCCCTCGAACCGCCGGAGCGAGTGCCTTCAGGGCTTTTTCGAGGCGACGCCCGCGAACCTCCGGCACCTCACGGCGCCGGCGGAGCTCGCGGCGGCCGTGCCCGCGCCCTTCAAGGCCGAGCTCCGTTTTATCGCCGTGCTCCGGGAACCGATCTCGCGCGACCTGAGCGCGTTCAACGCGCAGCTCGGGCGCCGCGTCCAGTGGTGCGCCGCGTGCCCCGTCGCGCCCGGGTCGACCTACGAGGCCTTCGTCGCCTGCCGCCTCGCGAACGCGGCGGCGGTCACGGACGGCGCGGCGGCGACGTACCGCGGGCGCTTCGGGGGCCGGCGAAGCGCGGGCTGCCACGGCGATCTTCACACGGGATTCTACGCGGCGCAGATCGAGCTCTGGAGCTCGCACTTTCCCCGGGCGCACATCCTCGTGCTCGAGTTCTCCTGGCTCGTCGTGCATTTCAACGACGTCCACGGCGGCCTCGCCGCGTTCCTCCGCTTCCCGCCCGCCCGCGGCGACCAGAGGCTCCCGCACACGAACTCCAAGGAGCGCGCGGGCGAGCGGCGCGAGGTCACGGCCCAGGCCAACGTCTCCTGCGCCGTGCGCGACGAGCTCCAGGCCATCTACGGGCCCCACAACGACCGGCTCTACGCGCTCCTCGCGACGCGGGACGGACCGCCGGAAGAGCCCGAATTCCCGCCCTTCGCGCCGATGCCCTGCGTGTCCTAACTTACGTGGTTGCACTTGCGTCGTCGTCGTCGACGACGCAGACCTGCTCCGCGCGCCCCCCGCCGACGGCGGGCGCGCAGTCGGCCGCGCGGCCCGCGAGGGGCCCGAGGCGGAGGTGGTGGAGGAGCGCGGCAACGGCCTGCACCAGGTTGAAGGCGAAGATGGCCGCGACGACGCCCGCGAGGCCCGCGTGCTTCGCGTCGGCGACGCGGAGCCCGACGAGCATGGCGCACGCGCCGAGCGCGGTCTGCGCGGCCAGGAAACCGAAGCGCCCGAGGCCCAGGAGCACGCCCTCGGCGACGAACGCGACGCCGTTCACGGGCTGCGCGAGCGCCATGAGGAGCGCGGGCGTCGTCGCCGCGTCGACGACGGCCGGCAGCGGCGAGAAGAGGCGGATCAGCGGCAGCGCCGCGACCTGCAACGCGCCCAGCGCCGCGCCGACGTAGAGGCCCCAGGCCAAGCACCGGTCCGCGAGCCGCGCCGCGTCGCCCGCGCCGGAGCCGTCGCCGAGCGCCGCGGGCACGAGCGCCGCGGCGCTCGACTGGAGCGCGAAGAGCGCGACGCCGCAGAGGAGCCAGAACTGCTGCGAGATCGCGTAGGCCGCGGCCTGGACGCCCGTCGCGTCCATGGCCTGCGTCGCGCGCGCCGCGGACGCGAACGCGCCGTTGAGCGCCAGCTGCCGCGCCTGCATGGCCGCGCCGCCCGTCGCGAGCGCCGCGAGCGCCTTTTTTGTAGGGGCGCGGCGCCAGAACGACTTCGCGAGCCGCGGGCCGCCGACGCGCCGGCTTAAGAGTTCGAGGTAGACGAGGCAGCCCGCGAGCTCTGAGGCCGCCGTGGCGAGCGCGGCGCCGGCGACGCCGAGGCCCGCGGGGAAGATGAGCAGCGGGTCGAGGACCGCGTTGAGCGCGTTGTAGGCCAGCGAGATGCGGAGCGGCGTCCGCGTGTCGAGCAGCCCCCGGTAGGCCGCGAAGCACGTGCTCGACAGGAGCGCGGGCAAAAAGCCGAGCGCGCGGAGCCGCAAGTAGTCCGCCGCGGGCTGCACCGCCGGCGCGCCCTGCGGCAGGACGATGGCCTCCAGGAATTGCACCGGGAAGCCGCAGAGGCAGATCGTGCCGAGCAAACCGGTCACCCCGCTGACCCAGAGCGAGTCGCGGACCGCTCGTCTCAGGCCCTCATCGTCGCCGCGGCCCTTCGCGCGCGCGACCTTGGGCGCCGTCAGCGTCGGCACGACCGCGAGCACGAAGAAGACGGCCGAGTACGCCGCGTTCGCCGCGCCCATGCCCGCGAGCGAGATCGCGTCGCCCATGCGCCCGACGAAGAACGTGTCGACCATGCCGACGAGGGGAAAGACGACGAGCGAGAAGATGGCCGGCACCGCGACGGCGGCGATGCGGCCGTCGAGCGCGCTGAAGCGCGGCGACAGAGCCTCGGCGAGCCGGCTCGCCGGCAGCGCTGGTGCGCTTCGCGGCGCGCGCTGCTGCTGCTGCTGCAATGGCCGGAGGTGACGTAGCTGCGGTTTAGGGCTCTGGAACGCCTGCGACGAGGCGACCAGCGCTGCTAGCACGGTCAACATTGCGCGGCGCATCACACTGCAATGACGGCAAGCAAGCGGCATCATCGCTGCAAGGCCTTAAGGACGACGATTCCCTGGCGCCGGCCGATAGCCCCTGAGTTTTGTCTTCCGGCGTCGTCGCAGCGCGATGTCGTCGCTCCGCGACCGCCTGCAGTCGTTCCGCACGGCACAGAGCAAACTGAACAAGCAGCCGGCCTTTTGCATCTTCTCGAACAAGGTGCTCGACGCGCTGTGCGAGGAGGTGCCGACGACGCTGGCCGCGCTGGGGCGCGTCAAGGGCGTGGGCCCGTCCATGCTGTCGAAGATCGGCGACGAGCTCCTCAAGATCACGGCGGGCGGGACGGGCGTCGCTTCCGCCGCCGCCGCCGTCAAGCGCGCGCCCGCGGCCGCGGCGGAACCGTCGGCGCTGTCGCTGGCGTTCTTCGCGCCCAAGCCCAAGAAGGCCAAGGGCGAGTCGTCGTCGTCGCGGCCCGCGCCGCCCGCGGGCCCGCCGCCGCCGAAGCGGAGCGACCTGAACGCGGAGCAGCTCCGCGCCGCGGACATGGTCGTCGTCGACGGGTCGAACGCCTTCATCACCGGCAGCGCCGGTACCTCTTCGGCGTCCATTAAGCGTTACATTCCCCGCCCGATCCCCACTATCTTATGTTGCACCGAACAGGTACGGGCAAGTCGTTCCTGACCAAGTACTGCATCCACGAGCTCAAAAAGAAGCACGGCGACGACGCCGTCGCCGTCACGGCGCCGACGGGCATCGCCGCGCAGCACGTCGGCGGCGTGACGATCCACTCGTGGTCGGGCATCGGCCTCGGCAAGGGCCACCCGGGCGCGCTCGCGGCGAAGGTGGCCAAGCAGGGCCCGGCGACGGCGCGCTGGACCGCGGCCAAGGTGCTCGTCATCGACGAGGTGTCCATGCTCGACAGCGAGCTCTTCGAGGCGCTCGACGGCATCGCGCGCGCCGTCCGGAATAACGACGCGCCCTTCGGCGGCATCCAGCTCGTCGCCGTCGGCGACTTCTTCCAGCTGCCCCCCGTGGGGCTCGGCGGCCCCTACAACAAGGGCTTCGCCTTCGAGGCGCGCGCCTGGGAGCGCGCGGGCCTGTCGCCGCTGCGGCCCGGGTGCGTCGTCCTCGAGACCTGCGTCCGCCAGCAGAACGACCGCGCCTTCGTCGGCCTCCTCAACGAGATCCGCGAGGGCGACATGTCCGCCGCGACGCGGCGGCGCCTCGACGACTGCCACGTGTCGCGGAAGCCGCCGCCGACGGACGCGATCGTGCCGACGAAGCTCTACTGCACGAACCGTAACGTCGACGAGGAGAACGCGCGGCGCCTCGGCGCGCTGCCGGGCGCACCTGTCGACGTCGCCTCGCACGACGTCTGGAAGGGGCCGGCGCCGAACGCGGACGCGCGCAAGTGCTGCGGCGACAAGGCGGACAAGAGCAACGCGCCGCCGACGCTCCGGTTGAAGGTCGGCGCGCAGGTCATCCTGCTCAAGAACATGCCGGACCTGGGCCTCGTGAACGGCTCGCGCGGCGTCGTCACGTCCTTCGCGCCGACGGACGTCGTCATCAAGGAGCTCCGGCTCTCCCAGTTCCCCTGCCCCATGGTCGAGTTCGCGAACGGCGTGAAACACCGCGTCGCGCCCGTGTCCGGCTGGTACCCGGCGAACTCGTCGAACGCGGCGCTCGTGCGCACGCAGCTGCCCCTGCGGCTCGCCTGGGCCCTGACGGTCCACAAGTCCCAGGGCATGACCCTCGAGCGCCTCCAGGTCGAGCTCGCGGGCGCCTTCGAGTTCGGCCAGTCCTACGTGGCCCTGAGCCGCGCGACGAGCCTCGAGGGGCTCTGGCTCAACGGGCCGCCGCTCCGGCCCGACTCGGTGAAGGCGCACCCGGCGGTGAAGCAGTTCTACGACGCGCACAAGCGCCGCCAGTCCCGGGACCGGTCCTTCGCGCCGGCCGCCGCGGCGCCGCCCGCGCCGTCCTTCGCGCCGCCGAGCGCCGCCGCGGCGCCGCCCGCGCCGTCCTTCGCGCCGGCGAGCGCCGCCGCGGCGCCGCCGAAGCCGGTCATCACCGCGGAGATGCGCGAGCGCATGCGCCTCAACAAGGAGGCGGCGCTCGCGCGGCGGTCCGCCGCGAACACCCGCAACTCCGGCGCCTCCAGCCGGAGCTCCACCGAGCCTCAGCCCGCGCCGCCCCAGCCCGAACCGCCGCAGCCCACGCCGCCGAAGCGGCAGGGCGTCGGCCGCGCGCTCCCGTGGTCCGGGTCGGCGCCCGCCGCGGACGACGCGGACGACTGGGCCTAAGCCACATGTACCTGTGGCCATGCGGCTTCTGCTACTTCTTACGCGTGTTCGCCTTCCAGCAGCCGTAGCAGCGGACCTTCCACGCGGGCTCCTGCGCCGAGAGCGGGCGGCGGCAGTCGACGCATTCGCGCGTGGCCCGGGACGCGCCGGACGGGCCGCCGCCGCCGAGGGACGCGCGCTCGCGGTCGTAGAGCTTGACGGACACGGCGTAGCGCGCGGCGAACGCGTCGAGCTTCGCGCGGTACGCCGGCCACTCGCCGCCCGCGAGGCCGCAGCCGACGTTGAAGGGCATGGCGACGGCGCTCGCGCCGCGCGCGGCCATGAGGCTGCCGAGGCAGTCGAGCGCCTCCTCGAACCAGCCGAGGCGCGCCGCGGCGGAGTCGTCGCCGTCGCGCCGCGGCAGGCCCGGCGACCGCTGCGCGAAGAGCGCGACGACGACCTTGCCTTCAACGTCGCGCGGCTCGACGGACCCCGGCGTCGAGTGGCCGCGGCGATCCTTGTAGACGTTGGCGGCGGGCCACTTGGCGAAGAGCACCTTCGCGAGGCCGCGCGCGCCCCTGGACTCGCAGTTACCCTGGTGCGCGACGTAGGGCTCCTCGGCGTTCAAGAGGTCGCCGCCGACGACGATCTCGACGCCGGCGGCGGGCGCCTTGCGCTTGAGCGTCGAGGACGGCGCGTCCGTCTCGTTGGTCGACGGCGCTGCCGATCGCGCTGGTCCGGGCGCTGGCGCAGAAGTAAGAGCGCCAGCTGCCGATCGCGCTGGCGCAGAAGTGAGAGCGTCATCGTCGTCGCCTGTCAAGTCGATCATTGTCGCGCCTCGGGTCCTGGCCCTGTCTCATGCGACGGCTTGTGGGCAACCGTGCCAACATTGACGGCATCATCTCGAAATCGTGAGGTATTGTGTGGTGTGGCTTCCCGCTTCCTTCGGCAGCCTCCCTTGCAGCCCCTCCCGCCGACCACAGACCATGGGGGGCGCGTCGAAGAAGGCGAAGCCCCAGGGTAGCGACGCCCCGCACGAGGGCGCGCGGGACTGGATCTTCCACGCGCGCTGCTACGACGTCGTCGGCGCCCACCACGAGTACATCATCTCCAAGTCGACGCTCACCGTCGAGGCGCGCTTCCTCGACGCCCACGGGCGCACGGCGCGGGCCCAGGACGGCGAGGACGAGGGGTCGAAGAAGACCATCGCCTTGGCGCGGACGAAGCCGCGGGAGAAGAACGTGATGACGCACGGCTGCGACTGGACGACGCACCTGCCGCCGTCCGCGGCCGAGGTGCTCCACCTCGAGGAGATGGACAAGGAGCTCAAGCAGGGCGGCGCCACGACGAACAAGAAGCACGAGGCCGCGGCCGCCGAGGCGCGCGAGCGCGCGCTCGTCGAGGACGAGGACCAGCACGAGTCGCGGCTCACGCTCCGCCTGCCCGACGCGGAGTGGAGGACGGCGAAGCTCAAGTTCTCCGTCCACGAGCGGCTCTGGAACGACGTCACGGACCACAGCCTCGGCCACGTCGAGGTGCCCCTGAGCGACTGCTGCCGCGTCGACCGGGGCAGCACAAGAGAGCGACATGCCCGACTTCAAAGGCTCATATCTCGGCCGTTTTCCACTCGTTTCGGCTGATTTTTGGACGAGCGATCATCTCTCGGAACGGTCTCGACGCGTGGATGTTCTTCTCGTGACGCGCGCGCGCGGAACACTCACGTTGAAGCGACGTTGAATCACTCTCGTGCCGCCCAGGCGTCGACGCCGCGTCGTTCGGCCAGCCCCACGGCCTGCGGCCCAAGTCCTACACGCTGCTGCGGACGGGCATGACGGGCGACACGACGCACAACGGCACGCTCCGCGTCGTCCTCTGGGCCCAGCCGGCGCACCACGACTACCCGCCGAGCCTCCGGAAGCTCGCGGATCATTGGCGGCGCTTCGCGGCCGCGGCCGCCGCGCTGTGGTTCGTCGCGCTGTGCCGCTGGCTGCGGGCGCACCACGCGCTGTTCGTCGTCTTCCCGCCGCTCGCGCTCTGGTTCTACCTCGAGCTCCCGCAGCTGTTGGGCCTCGCGCTGACGAAGATCCTGGGCGCGGCCGTGCCGGGCCTGGGCCTGAGCATGGGCGCGCTGCGGCTCCACGCCCAGTTCTACAGCGACCCGGCGGCGCCGCCGCACGCGTCGCGGGAGGCCATGCTCACCGTCGGCGTCGACGACTTTCGACTCGCGAACGACCCGGACGCGGGCTACGTGCACGCGGACTTTGTGGCCGTCAGGGCAGCAAAAGGGTGATTCAACGTCGCTTCAACGTGAGTGTTCCGCGCGCGCGCGTTTCGGAAACAGCACCCACGCTTCGAGACCGTCCCGAGAGATGATCGCTCGTCCAAGAATCAGCCGAAACGAGTGGAAAACGGCCGAGAGAGGAGCCTTTGAAGTTGGGAATTTCGCACCCTTTTGCTGCCCAGGTCGCAGTGAAGCAGCTCACGCTGAGCTTCGCCGTGGACATGAAGCGCTTCGGCCTGGGCCTCTTCTCGGCCTACAAGCGCCTCGTCGCCGACGAGGACGGCGCGGACGCGTCCGCGCCCGCGGCGCCCCCGGGCTCGCCGGGGGGTTCGCCGGGGCGGAACGCGCGCGGCCCGACGCACGCGCGCGTCTTGCTCGCGGCCTCGGGCCTCGCGCCGCGGGACCAGTTCTTCCACAAGCGCGACGGGTCCCTGGACCCCTTCGTGCGCGTCGCGGCGCTCTCGCGGCCGAACGCGGCGCCGCCGGCGGACGGCCTCGGCGGCGCGTACGACGTGTCGCTGCTCTGCCGCGCGTCCGGCGCGTCCAGTGAGAACGTCGTGTCCTGGGGCGAGCGGAGCGACGTCTCCGAGTACGAGCTCGACCGCCACCCGAACGTCGCCGTCACGGAGCACAAGACGCGCGACCTCGACCCGACGTGGCTCGAGTTCACGGTGCCCCTCGAGGCCCTCCGCGAGAAGCTCGCGAGCTCGCGGACCGCGCGCGACGGCCGCTGCGTCCACTTTTTGGTCTACGACAAGGACCCGGAGGACCACGTCGACGCGATGTTCGTCGGCGCGACGGACGAAGTGCCGCTGCTGCCCGGGTCCGGCGTCAAGGTCGGGGACTCGCGGACGCTGAACCTGACGCTGCGCAAGAAGGGCGCCCCCGCGGGCAAGATCGCGGCGACGATCCAGTACGTGAGCCTCCGCGCGGACAAGAAGCGGCCCGCGGTCGCGTGGTCGCCCTTCCCGTCGGAGCACGCGAAGATCCGCGCGGCCTTTGGGGCCGACTTCGTCGCGACGCACCTCTTCGCGTTGAAGATCCGCGAGTTCAAGGCGCGGGGCGTCACCATCGCCTTCGACATCGGGGCGCGGAACGGCGAGTTCAACGTCAACAACTACGTGCGGCGCCTCGCGGAGGGCAAGGTCGGCCAGGCGCTCGCCGCGCGGCGCCTCAAGGCGCCGAACGTGCTCCACGTCAAGGTGGGCCGCGTGCGCTGCGACCGGGAGCACCTGCCCCGGGGCCACAAGCTCTACGCGGTGCTCACGGTCCGGGGCGAGTCGAAGGAGAGCCGGCGGTGCCTCGCGGACGCGGCCGGCGCCGCGCAGCGTCGAGCAACAGGAGTGTTGTTTCGCGTGAATTTCGCCTGAAGATGTGAAGAAATCCGACCCCGTCGCACTTGGTAGGCGCCGCGGGGCCCTTCAACCTGCGCTGGCAGGTCGACGTCGTCGACCCGAGCGCCGTGCTCCACGTCGAGATCTACGAGGACCTCGTCGGGCCGGACCACCTCGTCGGCCAGTGGATCGTGACGCTGAAGATGCTCGTCCTCGCGCCGACGTACGTGAGGGGCGACGACCTGGAGGCGAAGACGGAGGCGAACGCGTTCTGCCTCACGGGGTCCATGGAGCTGCGCGACGCGACGTGGAAGACGGCGACGGGCGACCTGGACCTCGAGCTGTCCTGGGCGCGCGACGAGGACGACGGGCCCCGGGACCACGACGACGTCCTCGCGAAGCGGCCCTACAAGGCCATGGACCAGCTGAACTTCTGCTCCGCGGAGACGAACCTGAAGATCGGCAGCCTGTCGGCCGTGACGACCATGCTCCAGGACTTCCCCGTGCTCTTCGACGTCCGCTCCTTCGAGCTCTCGCAGATCAACTTCCACCTCAAGGCGCTCTTCATGGGCTTCCGCGGCGAGCAGGAGAAGGACATCCACGCCATCTACGTCGACGGCCTCGACCTCCGCGAGAAGCTCGCCGCGAAGCCGGGCCACGACGGCATCAACCTCTACGCGCTCGCCTTCCGCTTCGCGACGCACCTCGTCGGCCCCGTGCTCGCGGAGGTGTCCATCACGGACTCCCTCAAGTCCATCATGGCCGGCGTCGGCTCGGGCCTCCTCTCCAAGGCGACGCCGCATTGAGACTATCGTAACTAGGCGCGGAGCATGACGCTCTCGATCTCCGCGCCCGTGTCGCCGACGCTCGCGGACACGTTCTTCGTCCGGCGGCGGATCTCGGTCTCGGAGACGGCGAACATGACGTGCTCGAACTTCCACGCGCCGCGCACCTCCGTCATGTAGATCTTGTCCGCGTCCTTCGTCGTGACGAAGTAGAGCGGGAGCCCGTTGCTGTCGAGGTCCTCGGTCTTGGACCCGTCCATGGGGAACTCCATCTCGACGTTGCCGAAGCTGCTCACGTAGGCGCCCACGAGCACGTTGTCCTTGTTGAAGAGGAGGAACTTGCCCCCGATCAACGCCGTCGCCGCGCACTTGATCATGTAGGACACGCCGAGCTCGTCCAAAAACGCGTCGAGGTCGCCGTCGACGCGGTCCAGGATCCAGGTCCCGTGCATGTTCCCCGGCAGGGCGTCGTCGGCGCCGGGCTGCGACGCCTCGGCCTCGGGCTTGGGCTGGAGCGGCGCGAAGATGAGGTCGAGGATCTCGCGCGACATCGTCAAAGGCTTCTGGAGCAGGTCCTGCATCTTCTCCACGGGGTTCTCCAGGAGCTCCTTCATGTCGCCGACGAAGCCCTTCTCCGGCTCCGGCTCCGGCTCCGGCTCGGGCTCGGGCTCGGGCTCCGGCGCGGAGCCGAACCACGACGACGAGCTCGCGGGCGCGGGCGCGGGCGCGGGCGCCGCGGCGGCGGGCGCGGGCGCGGGCGCGGCGCCGAAGAGGGTCGCCGGGTTGCTGGCGAAGTTGGCCATGACGGAGCTGTGGCCCGCCTCCGCGGCCTTTTTCGTCGTCTCCGCGATCATCATCGGCGCCGAGGCGATGGCGTAGGGCACGGCGACGCCGTAGTCGAGCACGCCGGGCTCCTTGGGCGGCTCGGGCTCGGGCTCGGGCTCGGGCTCGGGCTCGGGCTCCGGCTCGGAGAAGAAGTAGGACGACGTCGCGGGCGCGGGCGCCGGGGGCTCGGCGGCGGCCGCGGGCGCGGGCGCGGGGGCGGAAGACCCGAACATGCCGCCCAGCAGACCCGGCGACGCTTCTTCCTCCTTCGCGGGCTCCGGCGCTTGCTCCTCGACGGGCGCGGGCGCGGGGGCGGAAGACCCGAACATGCCGCCCAGCAGACCCGGCGACGCTTCTTCCTCCTTCGCGGGCTCCGGCGCTTGCTCGTCTACGGGCGCAGGAGCGGGCGCAGAAGAACCAAACATGCCGCCCAGCAAACCGGGCGACGCTTCTTCCTCCTTCGCGGGCTCCGGCGCCGGCTCCTCGACGGGCGCGGGAGCGGGGGCGGAAGAGAACATGCCGCCCAGCAGACCGGGCGAGGCAGCTTCCTCCTTCGCGGGTTCCGGCGCCGGCTCCTCGACGGGCGCGGGAGCGGGCGCGGAGGACCCAAACATTCCGCCCAGCAGACCCGGCGACGCCTCCTCCTTGTCCGGCGCCGGCGGGGGCTCGTCCGCGGGCTCGGCGGCGGGCTCGGCGGCGGGCGCCGCGGCCTTGGACAGCGCCGCCACGGGCGAGGTCAGCGCGCCGAAGAGCGCGCCCGTCGCCTCGCTCGCCGCGGCGGACGGCGACGACTTGCGGGCCAGGCCCAGGAGCCCGTCGTCCTCCTCCACGGGCACCTCTTCCACGGGCTCCGCCGCCGGCGCGTCCTCCGGCTTGTCGTCGCCGCCGTCGACGGTGTTGGACCCGCAGCAGCTGCCCTCGGTGCCGAAGATGGCCTCCATCATCTTTGCGCTTGGCGTGGAGTCGTGTCCAGGCAGCCCACGAGCGGCGTGGATGGCTGCCAGTCGTGCCCGGGCAGCCGAAGGATTTCATACGGCACTCAAGCCGAAGTTGGCGAGCATCCACAAACATTGCGTCCCCAGCCAGTCGCGATCGGCTCGCGGGCATACACGTCTACGCAGCTTGGCGCGCGGCCGCTCGCATCCGGGACTTCGCGCGCTTCGCGTCGCGTCGTCGCGGCTCGACGATGTCCAATGCCGCGCGCGTCTTCGTGCCCGACAAGGAGCGCGTCTGGGTGCCGGCGGAGCTGCTGTCGTCCGACGGCGCCAGCGTCACCGTCGACGTCCTGCGGCCCGCCGCCGACGGCCCGCTCGAGGGAACCTCCACGGTGAAAGAGACGGTCACGCTCACGCTGGAGGCGCCCTACGGCGACGCGAGCGCGCTGCCGCTGCAGAACGAGGGCCTGGGCCCCGAGGGCGCGACGGACATGGTGAGCCTCGACTACCTCCACGAGGCGTCCGTGCTCTACAACCTGCGGACGCGCTACTTCAGGGAGCTGCCCTACACCTACACGGGCACCATGTGCATCGCCATCAACCCCTACCAGTGGCTGAGCCACCTCTACCGGGACGCGGACCGCGCCGCGTACCTGGACCGGCCGCGGTCCGAGCTCCCGCCGCACGTCTACGCCATCTCCGCGGCGGCCTACGTCGGCGTCTCGGAGACGTCCGTCGGCGGCGCGTCCACGGGCCTCGACCAGTCCATCCTCGTCTCCGGCGAGTCCGGCGCGGGCAAGACGGAGACGGTCAAAATCATGATGGGGCACCTCGCGTCCGTGGCGGCCGGCGCCGACGGCGCCGCGGCCAAGGACGGCGTCGTCGAGCGCGTGCTCCAGTCCCAGCCCTTGCTGGAATCCTTCGGCAACGCGAAGACGGTGCGCAACGACAACTCGAGCCGCTTCGGCAAGTTCACGCAATTGGAGTTCGACGTCGGCACCGTGGGGTTGCGGGGGGACCGGCCGCCGCTCGTCGGGTCGCGGTGCCGCACCTACCTCCTGGAGAAGTCCCGGGTCGTCCAGCAGGCCCCGGGCGAGCGGACCTACCACTGCTTCTACGGCGTCGCGCGCGGCGAAAACGACCCGAGCGGCTGCGCGCCCGACCTCGCCGCGCTCCGCTACACGCGCGAGAGCGACCTCGACACGGGGTCCATCGAGGGCGTCCCCGACGGCGACCGCCACGCCAAGACCTGGGAGGCCCTGGCCCTCGTCGGCGTCGAGGACGGCGACCGCGCGGCGTTGGCGCGGTGCCTCGGCGCGATCCTCGTGCTCGGCGACGTGGACTTCGAGGCGACGGACGCGGCGGACGACGACTGCGGCAGCTCCCGGGCGACGGCGGGCCCCGCGGCGGAGCGGGCGGCTTTGGCGCTCGGGGTCCGCGGCGACGACGCGAGCCCCGTCGAAGCTCTGAGCCTCGCGCTCACGGAGCGGACGATGCGCGCGCGGTCCGAGGTCTACAAGGTGCCCCTCAACGCCCAGGCGGCGCGCGACGCCCGCGACGCCCTGGCGAAGGAGATCTACGTGCGCGCCTTCGACTGGATCGTCAAACGCATTAACGCGTCGACGTCGTCGTCGGGCGAGACGTCGACGTCGGGCGGCGACCTCGCGTCTTTAGCCAACGGCGTCGACAAGGTCAAGGTCGTCGGGCTCCTCGACATCTTCGGCTTCGAGTCCTTCGCCGTGAACCGCTTCGAGCAGCTCTGCATCAATTATACCAATGAAAAACTCCAGCAGAAGTTCACGCTCGACCTCTTCAAGACCGTGCAGCAGGAGTACGACGACGAGCGCGTGCCCTGGACCCACGTCGCCTTCCCGGACAACGCCGCGGTGCTGGCGCTCATCGACGGGCGCATGGGCGTCATCGACGTGCTCAACGAGGAGTGCGTCCGGCCCCGGGGCTCCGACGAGGGCTTCGTGTCGAAGATGAAGAGCCTCCACGGGTCGGCGACGGACGAGTCGGGCCCCTCGGCGCGCTTCGTCGCCGCGCGCATCCGCAAGGACCAGTTCACGGTGAAGCACTACGCGGGCGACGTCACCTACACGGCGGAGAAGTGGTTGGAACGGAACAACGACGCTTTAATGGAGGACCTGAACCTGCTCGCGCGCCACGCGACCTTCAAGCTGCTGGCGGAGCTCTTCGCGCCCCAGGCGCCGGCGGCGAATTTAGGCGGCGGCTCGAAGCGGCGCGGGTCGACGCTCGTCGCCGACACGGTGTGCACGAAGTTCAAGAGCCAATTAAGTCTGCTGATGGAGACCATCGAGAAGACAAAGGTCCAGTACGTGCGCTGCGTCAAGCCGAACACGGTCAAGTCCAAGGCGAACTACGACCTGGCCATGGTCGTCGACCAGCTCCGGTGCGCGGGCGTCATCGAGGCGATCCGCGTCGCGCGCGCGGGCTACCCGAACAAGCTGCCCCACGCCGAGTTCGCCCGGCGCTTCGCCGTGTTGGCGGAACAGCCCGCGGCGTCGGCGGCGGCGCTGGCGCAGGACCTGCTGGGCGACGCGGCGTCGGATTCGTACGACGGCGCCTACGCGGTCGGCGTCACGCGCGTCTACTTCAAGGCCGGCGCCCTCGAGGGCCTCGAGCGGCTCCGCGCGGCGGCGCTCGGCGACAGGGCGACCAAGGCCCAGGCGGCCTGGCGCCGCGTCGCCGCCGTGAAGCGCTGGACGCTCTTCCGCCGCGGCGTCGTGCTCGTGAGCGCGCGGTCGCGGCGCGCGACGGCGCGCGCGGCCTTTTTGCGCCTCAAGGTCGCGTCCATCATCGCCCAGTCCGCGCGGCGGTCCCTGCTGGCGCTGCGCGTCGTCAAGCTCCGGCGGCGCGTGCACCGCGCGACGAGGATCGCCGCGGCCGCGCGGCGCCGCGCGGCCGCGTCGGCCTACGCGGCGAAGCGGCGGTCCGCGGTCGTCCTCCAGACGTCGGCGCGCAAGTGGAGCGCCGTCGCCGCCTTCGTTTTGGCCCTCGCCGAGGCGAAGGAGCAGGCGAAGATGGAGAACCAGCTCGCGGCCATGGAAAAGAAGTTGCGCGACATGGAGGCGTCCAAGGCCGAGGCCGCGGCCGAGGCGCTCGCCAAGGCCCAGGCGACGCTGACGCCCGTCGTCGACGAGGCCGCCGTCGCCGCCCTGACGCAGGAGCTCGACGATCTGAAGGCACAGCGCACCGCCGAAGGCGTCGAGTATATGACGATGCTCCAGCAGCTCCGCGGCGACAACGACAAGCTCCGCAAGGAGGCCGACGCGCTCCGCCGCGAGGCCGCGGACCTCAAGCGCAAGGTCGCGGACCTCGAGGCGGGCCAGTCCCTCAAGTCGGACTGGATGGCCGCCGCGCGGTCCATGGCGGGCGCGGACGCGGCGCCCCCGCCCCCGAAGCGCGGCGGCAGCCCCCGCGGCGACCGCAAGGCCGCCGTCGAGGAGACGCCGGCCAAGCCCGCGGCGGCGCCGGCGCCGGGCCTCTTCGCGTCGAGCGCGCCGAAGCAGAGCCGCTTCTCCGCGCTCGTCGGGTCCCTCGGGTTCGGCGCCGCGACGCCGACGCCGAAGAAGGCCGCGGACGACGCCGTCTCGGCGACGCCCGCGTCGTCGACGAAGAAGGACAAGCGCGCGCCCCACATCGCGCGGCCCCTGAACCGCTTCTGGCAGGACATCCCCGCGGGGTCCCTCGCGTCCGCGTTACCGCGCGCGGGCCACCCCGAGGACGCGGGCTCCATCCACCTCAAGGTCGGCGGCCAGTACCTCTGCGCCACGGGCTCGCGGGGCTGCGCGGCGGCCAAGGACGCCGACTCGCCGGCGAAGCCGCCGCCGCAGAGCGACGCCGCGGACGCGTGCTACCTCCGCTGCGAGCCGCCCGTCTCCGTGTCGTCGCAGCTCGCACTGGCCAACGGCAAGTCGGCGTCGGCGGGCAAGGGCGGCGACTTCGGCTACCGCACGGCCATGGCCTTCAAGGTGGAGCGCGTCGGCGACGGCGCCTTCGTCGACGGCGCGACGGACGAGGGCTTCGGCGTCGTGTCTCCCGGCCGCGACGAGGAGCTGCTGAGCGGCGCGACGTTCCGCCTCAAGTCGGAGCTCACGGGGGGCTACGTTTGCGTCGGCGGCCTCTTCCAGCGCTACTGCCTCTGCGCGTCGGCGTCGTCGCCGGCGGACGCGGCGACGTTCCAGTTCGTCGCGCGGCGCAAGCCCGACGACGGCTCCGAGTCGTCCCCGGACCGGGGCCTCGAGGACCTGGCCGTCGTCGAGGCGGCGGCGTCGACGCCCAAGGGGCCGGGCCGCGACACGTCCATGGAGCGGCTCCGCGCGCGGCAGCTGCTCGTCGCGCTGCGCGTCGTCGACGGACCCAAGGCGGGCCACTTTGTGCGCGTGCGGCCCGACGCGTACGTCAACGTCGCGCCGCCGGCGTCGGCGGACGCCGCGCGGGGGTCCCTGGCGCCCGACGACCGCGCGACGCCGCTGCTCTCCGTAGAGCTCCTCGTGCCGCTCCAGTCGTACGAGATCACCTTCGTGTCCTCGCAGCTCGGCCTCATCGTCTCCAAGACCATGCCCCTCAAGGTCGTCCGCTTCAAGGACGTCGGCAACACGACGGCGCCCGCCGCCGAGCTCAGCGGCCGCATCGGCGTCGGCGACGTCCTCGCCGCCGCGGACGGCAAGGACCTCCTCAACTGCTCGCGCCGCGAGGCCGTCGACGTCATCACGTCCACGAGGCCCATCACCATCGGCTTCCAGGTCGCGCGCCCGGAGCCGCCGCCGAGCCCGGCGCAGGACCTCCTCACGGGCTAGGGTCGCAGAAACGGCGGCGCGTAAGGTTCTCTCGACGATGGCGTTTCACACGCGCTTCTTGATAGATCTACTCGGACCGCCTCGGCGCGGCGGCGCTTTTCGCGCGGAGCTCGCTCGTCGCGCGGGGCGGCTCACGCGTCGCACGGCGGCGCGTTGGCCTCGTCCACGGACTCGCAGCGGCGGCGCGCGGCGCCGGACATGGACGTCCGGACGCGCGTGCGCGGCAGGACGAAGCCGGCGACGTCATCGGCGAGCTCGGGCAGGTGCAGGCAGTCGCGCGCGACGAGCTTCGCGGCGAGGAGCGCGCCGTAGCGGGCCTCCTTGTAGCGCTCTCTCGCAGCTTACCCCCTAGGCCCCCCGCGCCGCGATGCCGAACACCTGGGCCGTGCGGTTGTCCCCGGCGACGAGCGGCACGGGGTAGATCATCGGCGAGGCGGCGATCGTCGCGGTCTTCACGTCGACGAAGAGGAGGTGCGTGTTGATGGAGGCCGCGTCGGGCTGGCAGGGCGCCGCGGCGACGAGCACGCCGTCGTGGACCACCGCCGTGCTGGACCAGTTGTCCGACGGGTTCTCGAGCGAGAGGCAGCCGCGCCCGAGGTCGCGGACCGTGGCGGCGCCGCCCTCGCGCGGCACGAAGACCAGCTGGTAGCCGGATTCGAGGATTGTCGTCGCGTTCGACGCCAAGACCCAGAGCCCGCCCGCCGTGGAATCAAAGTCCATGTCCAGCGCGATCAAGCCGTGCGGCAGGACGACCTCCGTCTGCGTCCGCGTCGCCATATCGTACCTGATGAGCGGCACTTCATCCTCGGCGCCGAGCGACGCCGTCGACAGGTAGACGACCCGGTCGTCGAGGCCCGCCGGCCCCTTGATGTACTCTCCCCAATTTTGGGAGATGACGTGGGTCTCGAGCACGGTGCCGTCCGGCCGCATGACGACGACGCCGCCGACGAGCGGCCTCGGCTCCGCGCCAACGTTCGTGATTCCCGTGATGACCAAATCGCCGTTGGCGCGCCGCTTGATGTTCGTGTGGTGGTCGTCGAGGTTCTCCCACCAGGGCAGCGGCGTGGACACGTTGACTTTGACGGTACCTGTCGCGACGTCGACGCCGAAGAGGCTCATGTTGGCGCTCGGCGGGCAGTTCTTGTACGGCAAAGCGTCGCAGCTGTAGCCCACGGTGTACGCGATGCCCCCGTCGACGACGAAGCCGCAGCCGCTGGACATGCCGTCGAGAAAGTGCACATCGTCGACGACCGCCGCGCTGCTCAGCGCGACCGCATCGCCGGAGGCGTCGATGGGGCCCAGCGCGAGCTCCGCGGCGTAGATGGCGCCGTTGGGCAGCGCGATACCAGCCATGCCATAGAGCGCCGGAAGCTCGGGCGCTGCGCTTGCGGCGGACGCGAGCAGCGCGAGTCGGGCAGCCAGCGTGAGAGCAGTCATCGTGCGAGCGATTTTGGTTATTGCCGTCAACATCGGGCGGGGTCTTCGGGTGCGCACCCCCTTCAATAACTAGTCCAACATCGTCAACGTGAACTGGCGAAGCAGGAGACGATGGCCGGGGCCGCCGCCGCTCTCCGCCTACGGGCGCGGCGACGCGCTCTCAGGCGCGGCAAGGCGCCGAAGCCGTCGAAGCAAAGCCAGGCGCCAAAAGCGCCACCTCCGAAGCGCGTCAAGAAGAGCCGGGCGCCGCCACAGCAAAGCAGCCAAGCCGCGCCGCAGCAAAGCCAAGCGGCGCCGCCCGCGACGCAGAAGCAAAAGCCATTACAGCTCATCAACGAACAGCTCAAGCTCGCGAAGCAGGCCGGCGGCACGCCCGCGGTCGCCGAGCGGCTCCGGAAGACGCTGCTGCTCGCGGAGCGCGCGCGCGCGCGCCGCGACTCGCCGCCGCTCGCCGCCGCCGCGCGCGAGGCCGCGCGCGACTACGCGGTCGTGCTCTTCCAGCTCGGCCGGTCCGCGGACGCGGAGGCCGTGCTCCGCGCGAAGTTCCCCGAGGCCCGGTTCCGCCTGAGCGACGAGGTCCTGCGCTACGGCGCCGCGCCCGCGGCGGCGCCGCCCGCGCTCGCGCCCCGCCAGTGCGCGGCCTTCGACGACGCCCTGCCCGGCTGGCTCTTCGACGCGCTCGCGCGCTGCTTCGCCGCGGACGGCGGCTTCTGGCCGGCCCACGGCTACGACGTCGACGGCGGCGGCGCGGGCTTCTTCAGTTACGTGCACTCGATCGCCGACGACGACTCGGACTCGGACGGCGACGACGAGCCGGCGACGCGCGTCGCCGCGCGCGCGCTCCGCGGCCTCTTCGCCCGGGCCATGCCCCAGCTCGAGGCCGCCCGCGCCGTCGAGTGGTGGGCCCACTGCCGCCCCCACGGCTGCGGCCACCAGCTCCACTTCGACAGCGCCGACGAGGGCCGCCACGACGGCGAGGGCCCGCGGCACCCCATCGCGTCCGTCGTCGTCTACCTGACGGAGACGCTCGGCGGGCCGACGCTCGTGACGACGCAGACCATCGCCGACGCGCGCATGCCCGTGCGCGACTGCGCCGCGCTCGTTCCGCCGAAGGCGAACCGCTGCGCGGCCTTCGACGGGCGCCTGCTCCACTGCGTCGTGCCCGGCCGCGGCGCCGCGCCGGACCCATGCGCGCGGCGCGTGACGCTCATGATCTCCTACTGGCGGGAGCCCCACGCGGCGCCCGCGGCCGGCGGCGGCGCGCGGGCCGCGATGCGCTTCCCGCGGCGCGCGCGCGCGCCGCGGTGGGCGCGGCCGTTCTTCGCGGCGGCGCCCGGCGCCGAGGCGCCGCGGAAGCGCAAGCCCGCGGCGCCCGTCGCCGTGGGCCGCCTCTGGACCGCCGTGCCCGACGGCGGCGACGACGGCCGCGCCGCCGTGCCGCTCCCGCCCTACGACGCGTGCTTCCAATAAAACCACTTACGGATTCGCGAGGCTCACGAGGAGCGGGAGCGAGAGGCGGGTCTGGTCGCCGGGGAGGACGACGCGGTGGAGCGTCGGCGACCGGAGCGGCGCCGCGGCGCGCGTGTGCGCGCACCGCGTCCACTCCTCGCCCGGCGTGAACAAAACGGCCCCCGCGCGCGCGTCCACGGCGGCCCAGTCGCCGTCGCCGACGACCTTTGGTTCCGAACCCATGGTCGGCAGCCCCACGGAGCGCACGTCCGCCGCGGTCCAGGCCGCGTCGTCGCGGCGCGGCGCGAGGACCTCGAGGCCCGGACCCGTCGACCAGAGCAGCGTGCAGAGCGTGTTGTCGACGTGCGCGCCGAGGCGCGGCGCGTCGCGGCCGTCGTCCGTCGCCGGGTAGCGCCGCAGCGAGAAGCGCGCGTCGAGCGCCGCGTCCGGCGGGAAGCCGGGAGCGACGGCCGCGAGCGCTCTTCGCGCGAGCGCGACGAGGTCCGCCTTCAACGCCGCCGCGTCGGCGACGCCGTCGAGGGCGAAGGCCTCCTGCCGTGCGCCGCGGCCCGCGCCGTGCGCCGCGCTCGCCGCCGCCGCGACGGCGGCGCAGCGCGCCGCGAGGCCGTGGCCCTCGAGGGCCACGACGGGCGACAGCGTCGACGCGAGCGCCGCGCGCACGTCGTCGCCGGCGGCGACGTCAGTCGCGGAGCAGTCGAGGACCGGCGGCTTGTGCAAAGGGCGCGGCGACGACCCGTTCGCCATGCTATTGTCGACCAGCGGCGAGCAGGCGACGCGCTGCGAGGGCGGGCGCAAAGGCGCTCTCGCTGCCGCAAAAATGAGTGAAGCTTTTCAGGTCCTTGAACTTCATGTTGAGCGGCAAAACAGCATATGGGCAGCGCCGCATGACTCGACGATGATCCATCCGCACCACTTGCCCGCCATGGCGCAGCCGGAGCCCGGCCCGGCGGGCGACGGCCTGGCGGACCTCGAGGACGCGCTCGCCGCCGCCGGGTCGTTTCCGGCGGAGATGAAGCACGAGGAGCGGACCATGGACGCGCCGCCGGAAGGCGTGGCCTACGACATGGCCATCGTGACGCCGGCGGCGTCCGCGGGCTACATGCGGCGCGTGCGCCGGGACCTGGAGCGCGCGGGCTTCGTCACGGACCTCTTCGAGTCGCACGCGCTCAAGGGCAACGAGGCCGTGCTCTTTTTGAAGCTCGGCGTGCCCGCGCCGCGGCTCTTCGAGTTCGCGGCGGCCTGCGGCGCACCGGCGCGGCTCGGCGTCCTGTGGCCGCGACGATGTTCGAGAGATTTTGGGTGGGAAACCAATGAAACATCGTCACCGTCGCGCTCGCTAGGCGCGGCTCCACCCGGGCCGGCTCCGGGAGGCGTGCGCGGCCCTGGACCCGCCCATCGCCTTCGAGAAGCGGCCCGTGGAGGCCGGCGGGTCGCTCGCGGAGCTCACCATCGAGGAGGGCCTCTACCCGCCCTTCGTCCACATCTACGCGGAGCTCCGCGCCGACAAGCTCCCGCTCTACATGAACTTCGTCACGCACAACCGCCACAAGGTCATGATGCGCATGCTCACGGCGTCGCGGGACCTCGCGGGCCCGGGCGGCGCGCCGCACCCCGCGCGCGGCGCGGGCCTCAACCCGCGCGCCGCGGCGTCCCCTTTTCCGCGGCGCGCGCGGCCCGGACTTTCGTCCGACCCTCGCAGGCGCCTCATGGACAAGGTGAAGCCCTTCGTCGACCACGAGGCGGCCGCCGCGCTCGCGGCCAAGGGCACCGTCGGCAAGAAGCTCGGCGCGGTCGTGCCCATGCGGCGGCGGCGCAACTCGCGGACGATGGACGACGGCGACGCGGACCTCGGGCCCGAGTGGGCGACGCTCATGCTGCTCCACGAGCCCGCGACGGACCCGGACAGCCGCCGCGCGTGGCTCACGGAGACGTGGATCCGGGCCTACGTGCCGCCCTGGAAGGTGCCCATCCACAAGATCCGCGACTATCTGGGGGACCTCTTCGGCTTCTACTTTTTATTCCTGAGCGTGCTGGCGAAGTGGTGCCTCTACGTCGGCGTCATGGGCGTCGCGGTCTTCCTCGCCGCCGCGACGGCGCCGGAGTCCGAGTCCGGAGGTCCGAACCAGAGCCCGCGGCGCCAGCTGCCGAGCGTCGTCTTCGCGCCCGTCCTCGTGCTCTGGGGCGGCGCGTTCTTCGCAGACTTCAAGCGGCAGCAGGCGTCCTACGCGAAGGAGTGGGGGTCCTACGCCTGGGCCGTCGCGCGGCCGAAGACGCGGCCCGCGTTCGTGGGTATCCCCCAGACGGACTTGGTTTACGGCAAGATCGTCATCGACTGGCCCGACTCGCGGCGGCGCAAGGCCGTGTTCCTGTCGTGGCTCGTCGTCGCCGCGCTGCTGCTTCTCGCCGTCCTCGTCATCGCGGCGATCACGAACTTCAAGCAGAGCTACGGGCGGGAGAGATACCTGGGCGGCTTGGTCAGCGGCACGGACCTCGCGACGGTCGCGTCGATCGCGCAGGTGCAGGTGTTGAACGGCCTCTACAAGGACGTCGCGCGGACCATGACGCGGCGGGAGAACTGGAAGACGGACGCGCAGTACGCGGACCACCTGACGTCGAAGCTCGTCCTCTTCAAGCTCTGCAACACGTTCGCGTCCATCGTCTTCGTGGCCTTCCTCGACGCCTTCAACGCCCACGGCTGCGGCGCGCTCCGGCACAAGGGGGGCTGCCTCCACGAGACGTACCTCGTCATCTGGCCGCTCTTCCTCTCGGGCGCGGCCGCGTCGTTCCTGGGCCAGTTCCTCGCGCCCTGGGTCCAGCACCGGCGCGTCGTCGCGAAGACCAGGGGCGTCTACGGCGGCGACGACGACGAGGACCCGCTCCGCGTCGTCGCTCGGCGCCAGTTCGTCGAGACGGCCGAGTACGACAACATCGAGGACACGATCGACGACTACCTCGAGCTCGCGGTCCAGTTCGGCTACGTCGCGGGCTTCGGCGCCGCGTTTCCGCTCGCACCGCTCCTCTGCTTCTTCCTGAACACGGTCCAGCTCAAGCAGGACGGCTACAAGCTCCTCTGGTTCCACCGGCGGCCCCTGCCCCTCGAGGTCCGGTCCATCGGCGTCTGGGAGAAGATCTTCGGCCTCATCCTCAAGGCGTCCATCTTCTCCAACTGCGGCATCGTCGTCTTCACGGCCGAGGTCACGCACCACCTGAGCCCCCAGGCGCGCTTCGCGTGCTTCGCCTTTGGCGTCTTGGTGCTCTGGAGCGCCTTAGCGCTCCTGGACCTCGCGTACCCGCCGCTCAGCGAGGCCGTCGTGCTCCAGCTCGTCCGCCAGGACGCCTACGTGCGCCAGGTCATCTTCGACGTGACGCCGGAGGTCCTCTTCGACGAGTCCGCGGACGTCGCGCCCGTCGACGCGGTCTCCCAGGACATCGCGCGCAAGGACCACAACGACGACCTGTCCTACCTGCGGCTCACGGCGCAGCTGCCCACGTCCGCGATCCGCGTCAAGGTCGAGCGGGAGATGATGCGCGCGCCCGAGGACGACGTCGAGGCGGCGCTGTAACTTTTCGGGGGTATCAATCTACGCGCGCGCGCGCGGCGGACGGGCGCAGGCGCTTCAACAAGTGCTTCAACGTGCTCGGGCTCTTACTAAAACTTAACGACTTGCGCCGGCCCCCAGCCGAGGTCCCCGAGGAGGCCCGTCACGGCGTCGGCCTCGCCGCGCGGGCCGCAGAGCGCGTCGTAGAGCGGCGGCGGGCCGCAGACGAAGAGGAGCGCGTCGTCGCCGGGCTTCGGGAGGTGGTCCTCGACGAGCTTCTCGTCGATGAAGCCGCGCGCGTGGGGCGACGCGGACCCCTCGGGCTCGTGCGAGAGCACGTGGACGACCGTGAGCTGCGCGTGGCTCGCTGACCAGTCGTCGAGCGTCGCCTTGGCGAGGATGTTGTCCGACGACCGCGACCCGTAGAGGATCGTCACCTCCGTCGCGTCGTCGGCGGTCCCGAGGATGGCGTGGAGCGCCTGGAGCATGGGCGCGATGCCCGTGCCGCCCACGAGCATGCCGACCTTCTTCGCGCCGAAGCGGGGAAGGGATATTGCTTCTTCACGTTGAAGGGGATGTGCTTGAAGTCCGCCGCGGCGCCGACGGCCAGCGTCGCCATGAACCGGCTCAGGTTGCCCGCGTCGTAGACCTACTCAAGTAGTCGCGTTGCTGTTGCCGACTCCAATTCGAGAGGGAAGAACGCACCTTCATCATCAGCTGGAACTTGCCGGCGAGCGCGTTCGTCGACACGGGCGTGTAGGGCCGCACGAAGGGCTCGCCCGCGGCGTCGGCCCCGCCCCTGGCGAGTACGCAGGCGCAGGTCGACAGGTTCAGCGGCTTCGCGTCCGCGAGGCCGAACGTCACCACGATCGTGTCCTTGGAAACCCAGAGGCGCTCCAGGAGCGGGCAGGGCGTCCAGTCCTCGCCGATGGCGCACTGCCCCGCGGGCACGACCGCCGCCGTCGGCGCGCCGGCGCTCCACGGCTCGAGCGGCGGCGGCGCCGTCGCGTCGCTGCCGGCGCTCACCGTCGTGACGCTCGCGCCCGTGGCGGTGAGTTCCTTCGTCGAGGTGGCTGCCATACCTACTCCGCGCGCCGGCGGCAGCGCGGCGCCAAGATCGAGGACGACGACGCCGACAACGAGGCCCAGACTCGACAGCTCAGTCAGCGCGCTAAGGTGTTGGCCTTACACTGAACGCAATATGAAGGCAACAACGGGCAGCCACGATGTGGTAGTGAGAGCCGATGGACGCGGACGAGCTGTCGCAGCTCCCCCAGGCTCAGAAAGACGAGCTCTTCCGGATCGCCTGCGGCGCGACGCCAGCGTCGCGTGCATGTCGCCTGAAACGTAACCTCGTCGCGCGCAGGCGCGTACGTCGAGGGAGCGGACGGCTGCTACAAAGGCGAGAAGGTGAGCCATGGCATCGTAGTGTTGCGGGCATTGGTGCACCCGCCCGCAGGTGAAGCATAACTTGAAGCGCGCCGAGAAGCTGCTCGAGGCCGGCGCCGACGTCGACTCCAAGGACGCGGAGGGCTGGTGCGCGCTGCACTGGGCCGCGGCCGAGGGCCGGACGCGCGTCATCGCGGCGCTGCTCGGCAGGCGCGCGACCGTCGACGCCGTCGACCTCGCGAACTGCACGCCGCTCTGGTGCGCGGCGTTCAACGGCGAGTACCAAGCGGCCCTCCTGCTCCTCGCGGGCGGCGCGGACTTGACGATCAAGGGCCAGCCGCGGGGCGACGCGTCGCCCTCGGCGCCCGGGCTCGCGGCGCGGGGCAGCGTCCTCTGGCGGTGACGATTTTCGAGAGATTTCGGCTGGGAAAACGATGAAAAATCGTTACCGACATGCTTGGTAGGCGCGGAGCCAGTCGAAGGCGGCCCTGGCGGACATGATCGACGCCGAGAAGGCGCTCCGCGACGGGGACCCGCGCCGCGTCGCGAAGCTCCGGGAGGGCGCGATCCCCCTCGACGAGTTCAAGGCGAGCCTCAAATCCAGGGACCGGAGCGAGGCGCGCATCCTGCCCATCTCCATGAACCCGTATCGCTAAGAGCTTACTGGGGCGGGCGGGTCCCAGGTGGAGACGTACCAGTAGGGCGCGCCGTCCGCGGTCTCCGCGCGGGTCCAGTCGAGCCTCGGCGGCGGCGCGGGCGGCGGCGCGACGTGGGCCGGCGTGATGTCGGCGAGGGTCTCGCAGCCGCAGAGCGCCATGGTCCGCTTGAGCTCGTCCTCGAGGATCTCCAGCACGCGCGCGGCGCCGGGCGCGCCGCCCGCGGCGAGGCCGTGGAGCACGGGCCGGCCGACGAAGACGCCGGACGCGCCGAGCGCGAGGGCGCGGAAGACGTCCTTGCCGCGGCGCACGCCGCCGTCAACAATACCGGCACCGCGCCGCCCGCGCCGCGGACGCACTCGCGCAGGACCTCGGCCGTGCCGGCGACGCCGTCGAGCTGGCGGCCGCCGTGGTTCGACACGACGATGCCGTCCGCGGTCGCCGCGGCGATTTCGGCGTCCTCGCGCGTCATGACGCCCTTGACGACGACCTTGAGCGACGACGCGGTGCGCATCCAGGCGACGTCGTCCCACGTCATGTGCGCGGCGATGCCCGGGTGGCGCGGCAGGCCCGCGGCCTCGAAGGTGCGCACGGCGGGGAACGCGCCGAGCTGGTCGCCGACGCGGCGGAGCCAGGCCGGGTCGCGGTACGTCCGGAGGCGGTTGCCGTCGACGGGCGTGTCGACCGTGACCACGACGGCGAGCACGCCAGACGCCTCGGCGTGGCGCAGCGCCGCCGCCGCGTAGGCGCGGTCGAGGCCGCCGGCCGCGTCGCGCGGCGGGTAGAGCTGGACGAGGAGCGGCGCGCCGACGGCGGCGACGTCCTCGAGCGGGTGGCCCCCGAAGTGGGGCACGCAGAAGGCGCCGCCGCGGTCGCGCGCGGCCGCCGCGATCGCGACCTCGCCGTCCGGGTGGCTCGCCCGAGCGCTCGCGAAGGGCGCGACGTAGACAGGTGTCCGCGTCGCCGCGCCGAAGAGGCTCGCGGACGCGTCGGGCGCGCGCGTGGTGGCGAGGACCCGCGGCCGCAGGAGCACGTCCTCCCAGGCGCGCCGGTTCCGCGCCTACCGAGCATGTCGGTAACGATTTCTCTTCTTTTTCCCGGCCAAAATCTCTCGAATTCGTCACCACCACAGGACGCCGGTTCCGCGCCTTGCTCGTCTCGTCCTCGGCGCCGTAGTTCACGTACAGCGCGAGCGCCTCCGGCAGCAGCGCGAGCGCGGCTTCTTCGACGTCGTCGAGCGACCGGAGGTCGGCGAGCGCGTCGGCGTCGAGGCGCGGCGCCCCGTCGAAGGCCTTCTTCGCCGCGCCCGACGCGAGGGCCTCGCCCGTCGGGTGCTGGAATCCGGCGGGCGTCGCCGACGTCATGATCGCCGCGCCGCCGTCCGGCGCGAGCGCGCCGACGCGGTAGGGCCCGCCGACGTCCGCGAGGACGCCGGCGCCGTGGAGCGCGCCGAAGGCCGACGACCCGTCCTTGCCGCAGTATTGCTGGAGCGCCGACGCGCCGCCGGGGTGCTGCGCGAGGAACGCCGTCACGTCGAAGACGGAGGAGTTGATGGCGACCCAGCAGTTCTTCGCGCTTCGGTGCTCGCCGAGCTCCCGGCGGCTGTAGGACCGCTCCGCGACGGGCATGCCGTCGTCGCCGACCGTCGCGCCGTCGCAGGCCGACGCGCCCGCCGCCGCGCAGGCGCCGGCGCGGGCGACGAGGGCGCGGACGAGGCTGCCCATTTTTGCTGCCATCTTATTCGGCGACCCATTCAATGTCAGAAACCTGCGGTCTTCTTGAAGAAGCACAATGGGCTGCCCTCCAATGGGCTGCTTCTTAGTGTTGCTGCTCGCCCGCGTCGCGGCCGCCACGCTGATCGGCGACGACGTGCCGCCGGCCGTCGCCGAATCCGTGCGGGCGCTCCTGAGCGGCTTCGAGGTCCCGGAGGCCCTCGTCCTCGGCAACGTCTCGGGCCCCTGCGACGCCCTGGGCCGCGACCTCGCCGACCTGGGACCAGAGGCCTACGTCGTGAAACGCGTGGGCGGCGTCGTCTGCGGCCGGGGCAACGGCGTGAGCGCCGCGGCGCCCCGAAACATCGGCAGCGCCTTCGCGGCGTACGACGTTTTAGAGCGCCTCGGCTTCGCGTTCCTCCACCCGCTGCGGCCCGAGGTCCCCGCGGTGCTCGCGGCGCTCCCGGGCGACCTGAATGTGAGCGAGGCGCCCCGCCTGCGCCGGCGCGTGCTCCACGTCCACACGGAGCACCCGCTCGAGTCCGCGGAGCTCTTCAACGGTGTGGACGCGGCGCTCGCCGACGGCTCGAAGGTGCCCTGGGCGTCCATGGTCGGCGAGGCGCGGCGCGCCTTCGAATGGTGCGTGGCCAATAGGCAGAACGGCGTCGAGTGGGTGCTGCTCCACGACGAAACCATGGACGACGCGAACTTTACCGCGTCGGCCGCGCGCGCCTCCCGACTCCGCGGGCTCACGGACCTCGCGCGGAGCTTCGGGCTCGCCCCCGGCGCCGACGTGCCCCTCGTCGAGCTCCAGCAGAACGCCTGGGTCATGACGTCGCCCCTGCGACCCTGGGCGCGCCAGGCCGCGGACGTCCGCGCGCGCGTCGACTGGCTCGTCGAGCAGGCCGGCTTCGAGGTCCTCTCGACGGAGAGCGGCTACAGCGAGTTCTTCCACCCCAAGTGCGCCGAGATGCTGCGGCTGATGGACGAGCTCGCGAACTACACGCACGCGACCTACGGCGCGAAAGCCTACATCAAGGTCCACGCGGCGACGGGCGAGACGTGCGCCGATTTCCCGGACCCCGCGACGGGCGACCCGCTCAACTTCAACTTCCTGCCCCAGCGCGCCGCCGGCGTCCGGACGCACATGTGTAGAGCACACACTCATCGCGCAGGTTCGCGACGCCGCGCCTCGGCGTGCTGCCCCACCCGGTCCAGGCCTACGCGCTCGACGAGCCCACGGGCGGCACGTACGGCAACGCCAACTACAGCGCCATGGACGCGTGGCTCCGGGACGAGGCGACGAGGCGCGACGTCGTCTACCACCCGGAGACGAACTACTGGGTCAACGTCGACGTCGACGTGCCCCTCTTCCTGCCGCTCTACGGCGCGAACCGCGTCCGGGACCTCCGAAACCTGGAGAACGCGCCCCTCGGCGGCCAGAACATCTTCGACAGCGGCTGGGAGTGGGGCGCCTGGCTCTCGGACGTCGTCGCCGCGCGCGCGGCCTGGCGGCCCGCGCCGTCGTTCCGCGCCGCGCTCGCGCCCGTCGCGAAAGCCGTCGGCGAACGGGCCGCGGACGTCGTCGCGGAACTCGCGGAGGACCAGCGGCGGCTCCTCGTCTTCGGCGGCGGCGCGCACGTCGGCGATTTAGGCGTCCTCTCGGGCTTCGGCTACCTCAGCGGCCGCGCGGCGTGGACGGATTTACTGGAAACGCTCGGCGTCGCGAGCACGCGGCCGGGCCGCGTCGCGCCGACGGACCACGGCCACCCGCTCTACGGCCGCGTCGCGCCGCTCCTCGCGGACATGAACGCGACCTTTGCCGCGCGCGCGGCCGAGCTCGCGGCCCTCGCGCGAACCGCGGCGGAGGGCTCCTTGGTCGCGGAGCTCGCGGACGCCGCGGGGCTCCTCGTGGGCCGCGCGGCCTTCGTCGCCCACATCTACGCGGCCCAGGCGCCCGGCGCGACGGCGACGGCGAAGGCCGCGGCCCTGGGCGGCGCCCGCGCGGCCCTCGACGCCGCCGCGGCCGTCGTCGCGCGCCGCGAGCGCCACTCCCGCGCGGACGTCGGCCGCGTCGGCGGCCGGCGCGACACGCCGACGGCCTACGGCTTCGGCTACCTGTGGACGGTCAAGACGCTCTTCTACTGGTGGCGCGACCTCGGCAAGGCCATCGCCGGCGTCGCCAACGACCCCTGCTACCTCAACGAGGAGAACGCGCTCGAGGTCGCCTTCGGCGCGGACTGGGCCGCGGCCGCGGGGCCCGAGATCCGCGCGTTCCTCGCCGGCCTCGGCGCGGACAAGGCGGCCGCCTGCTTCAGCCCGCCGCCCGAGGAGTACGCGTTCCCCCGGGACCTCTTCCGCTACTAAGAAGCGTCGCCCGCGGGCATAGGCCTCTCGGCGCGCCCTCGCTGCTCCTCCTAGGCGCACGACGTTAGGGGCGGCACGGCCGCGACGGTCGGGTAGCGCCGCGCGAGCGCCGCGGCGCAGCCCGCGAAGCGCTCCCGCCACCGGGCGGCGCAGCGCCGCGCGTCGCCGCCGGCGCACGCGTCGGCGACGCGGCCGAGGCCCCGGGCGCAGCCCGGGTCCGGGAGGCCCGCGGGCTTGGTGAAGTTCGCCGTCGTCGCGCGGAGCCAGGCGAGGTAGGCGCCGAGGCGCGGCAGGAGCGCCTTGTTCCGCGCGACGCAATCGATGCGCGCGGTGCCGTTCGCCGGCGCCGCGGTCTTCGCGAAGAAGGCGCGGAGCTTCGACGCCGACGGCACGCCGAGGAAGCGCGCCATGGCCGCCGCGTGCGCCGCCGGGTGGCGCCGCGCGTGGTCGAAGCTGAGGTACAGCGTCCGCCGGCAGTCGAACGCGTGGCCCTCCAATTTGGCCATGGCCTTGCCGAGCGCGGTCTCCTCCCGCGCCAGCGTGTCGACGCCGCCGCCCGGCCGCGCGTCCCACTTCCAGAAGCGCCGCAGGATGGACTCGTGCGTCGCCAGAACGTCGCGGACGAGGACGACGTGGTGCCGGGATTTCGAGAGCTTCGGGTAGTTCGGCTTGTCGGAGCTGAAGCAGCGCCACGCGTGGCCGCGCCGCGCGCGCTGCGGCGCCTTGGCGTAGGCCACCGCGTCTTTGGTCGTCGACACCTTGCAGCAGCCGCCGCAGGCCGAGAACGACTGCTGGCCGCCGCAGCGCTTGCCGCCGCAGAGCGACCGGTCGAGGCCCTCGAGCCAGTGGTGGCCGACGCCCTCGACGCCCGCGGTCTTGAAGCTCGACGAGGCGCCCTTGGCGGCCCAGCCCTCGGCCTCCTGCACGCGCAGGCACCGGCCCGCGGACGTCGTCGCCGGCCAGATGGTCCGGGCGACGGCGAAGTAGTCGGCGAGGGCCGCGTCGTCGCCGCTGCCGGACGCGCACGCCGCGGCGGTGAGCAGCGCGACGCGCGCCGCGAGCATGGTCGACGCGGTGCCAGCGCGGCGCCTGACGCTGCTATGGTAGGGCCATCAGAGCGCGCGGCAGGCCCCCATTGCGACCTGCCTGAGCATGCTGTTCAACATGCACCTACAGCTGTTAAGATGCACTCCGCAGCCGAGATCTAGCACCGCGCTACCCAAACCACAGCGCGCCGACGACGGCGGCGACGTGGGCGACGAGGGGCGCGGCGGCGAGGGCGGCGAGGGCGGCGCGCGGCGCGGCGTCGACGGCGCCGTCGTCGCGCGCGTCGGGCTCGGAGACGGCGGTGACCTCCGCGGCCGCGAAGGCCGCCGCGGCGCCGGCGTCGGCCGCGGCGGCCTGGAGCGCGGCGTCGACGTCCGCCGGCGACGCGTCGGCGAGGTCGCCGCGGAGCGCCTCGGCGGCGACCTGCGACGTCACCGCGACGACGTAGCTCGCGACGACGCCGGCTTCGTCGAGGCGGCGCCGCGACGCGGCCGCGAAGGTCAGGCTCACGTCGTCGGCGTCGGCGTAGAGCGACAGCGCCGCGACGGCGTCCCGGAAGACGGCGCTCTGGGCCTCGGCGTCGGCGAGCGCGAGGCCGTCGACGGCGAGCTCGCCCGAGACGGACCACTCCGAGAGGTCGTCCGCGGCCCCTTCCAGGTAGCACGGGTCGTAGGCGCCGAGGTAGGCGTAGCACCGGCCCGCCTCGAACTCGACGTCCGCGCAGGACGCGTCCGTGCCCGACGCCGCGTAGCGCCAGCGCCGCTCGTACTCGAGGTTCATGAGCGCCGTCAGCTCCGCCTCGCCGAGGGTCAGGATCGACGTCAGAAACGCGTAGGTCAGGGGGAGCGCCGCCTCGATGTCCTCGCGCGTCTCGATGCCGCCGCTCGCCGCGTGGTTGAAGAGGCCGTCGGAGCAGACGTCCCGCGCGTACGCGTCGCAGTCGTACCAGCAGCAGCCGTCGCCGCACGTCGCGCCGCCGCCGTCGTCGCCGTCGTCCGCCGCGACGTCGCAGGACGGGCACTGCGTGCACCAGGACTCGGGCACGCCCGCGTCGATGACCTCCTGGCACGTCCAGCCCCGGTCGGCGATGATGTCCTCGCAGGACGCGTAGCACGCGTCGTCGTCGGCGTCGTGGTCGTCGCAGGTGCCGATGACCGCGGGGCAGTAGGCGCCGCCGGCGTCGTCGTCGCCGTCGGCGCAGTACGTCGTCGGCACGTCCGCGCGCTCCGTGAGGTACGCCTCGGTCATGTACGCGAAGTACTCGTCGATGTTGATGTAGCGGTCGTCGCCCTCGGCCTGCCAGGCCTCCTGGAGCGCCGCGGGGCCGATGTTGTGTTCGTAGCCCGCGTAGGGGCAGCAGTTCGCGTAGACGTTCACGTCGCCGCCGCCCGTGATGTCGGCGATGGCGTCGTGGAACGCGTGGAGGAGCTCGTGGATGAAGACGGAGCCGCCGTCGTAGAGCGAGTTCACGGTCTCGCGCCACCGCCAGGCCTCGACGGCGCCGACCTTGGCCTCCGTCGCGCCGCCGTGCCAGCCGCTGTAACTGAACTGCTGGTCGTAGCAGTCGGAGTCGTCGTGCTTGTGCCGCTCGCGGAGGAACGCGGACTCGTCCGCGGGGTAGTCGCAGTAGTCGAACTCGAAGTAGATGGGCACGTGGCGGAGCACGAGCTCGTAGGTCCAGGGGCTCAGCGCGTCGTAGCGGCGCTTCGTCTCGTTGAGCAGGGCCGCGAGCCGCGGGCCGTAGTCGAGGCTCGCGTCGTCGATCTGCGCGAGCGTCGCGTTGTCGAAGCGGCACTTGAAGCCGCCGAGCACGCGCTCGTGGTAGACGCCCTCCTCGACGCCCTCCCACCGGCCCTTGTCCGCCTCGCCCGAGGCGCAGATGGGATTGTACGTCGCCTCGGCCGGGGCCGTCTGCGACAGGCCGCTCCTCGAGAGGCGCGCGGACGCCAGGAGCAGCGTCGCGCGAAGCATGGCGGCGAGCGCCGGCTGCCCCAGCAGCGCGCGCGAACAGAAGCGAGAGCGACGCCCGGAAGCGCTCGCAGCTTTGTTGTTTGGTGTTTGGAGGAGGTCCTGATAAGCTCGGGCCGGCCGCCGGAGCGGACCTCGTGATCTCGTTTTTGATTGGTCGAATTTCTTCAGGCTTTTATTTTGAACTTCAAGTTCGTTTCCTGAAGATTTTCAGCCAATCAGAATCAAGCCAGGGCATCACGAAGCCCGCGATCCGCCGCCTGGCTCGCCGCGGCGGCGTCAAGCGCATCAGCGGCCTCATCTACGAGGAGACCCGCGGTGTCCTCAAGGTCTTCCTCGAGAACGTCATCCGCGACTCCGTCACGTACACGGAGCACGCCCGCCGCAAGACGGTCACGGCCATGGACGTCGTCTACGCGCTCAAGCGCCAGGGCCGCACGCTCTACGGCTTCGGCGGGTAAATCTTCCCGCTGAGCCCGGGCGCCTCGACACCAAGACCAAGACCCGCCGGGCCGCCCACTCACACAACCACACCGGTGTTTTCGAACACCACCCTTTCGGAGGAAGACTTTCGCGGACCGCGGCCGGCGCTTCGAACATTCGCTCGCGGCGCGCCTCGCGCTTCGCGCTCGTTCGATCGACGGGGCCGCGCCGCTCGCGGGGTTCGAAGTCGGGGGCGTTAAGAACTAAGCCATAGTGCGCTGGTAGGAGGTTAGGGAGAGCTAGGAGGCATGCTCGTCGTCGCCATCGGCACGTTCCTCAAGCTGCTCGCGACGGTCGCGGCCGCGGGCCGCCGCCGCCGCCGGGCGCGGCATACGCGCCCATCCCCGCGGGCGACGACGGGGACGCTTAAAGAGCGCGGCCTAGAAGTCGGGGCGGAAGGCGAGGACGCGGGGGAAGACGGCGTTGGGGAGCTCGACGAAGACGCGCTCGTAGAGGCGCTCGCTGGACTCGGCGACGGCGCCGGGCGCGCGGAGCTCGCGGCGGAGCTCGAGGAACGGCGCGTCGCAGTAGGGGCGCTGCGCGGTGCAGTAGGGGCGCCAGCCGCCCGCCGCGCGGACCGCCGCGAGGACGTCGGCCGTGGCCGTGCGGCCGCGGAATCGCGCGCGGGCCTCGGGGTCGTCGCCGTAATTGGTGCGCACGTCGAGCCACGCGCCGCGGCTCAGGAGGAGCTTGCACATGTCGGTGCGTCCCTTGGCGGCAGCGTAGTGGAGCGCGGTCCACCCGCTGTAGGTGCGGTCATCGACTCGCGCGCCCGCGTCGAGCAGGAGGACCGCTGCATCAACACGACGGCACAATGCGTGCATCAGATGTGCATCGTTGAACGAAAAAGACACGACGATTTGTGAGCTCAGGCGCGCGGTCTCTGGCTGCTACATAATCGCGTCCCAGCCGCCGCGCTTAAACGCGTCCAATGGCTTCGTTGCGCGTCGCGCTGTGCGTCGCGCTGCTCGCGCCGGCGGCGGCGCTCCAGCTGTCCGCGAGATCGCCGCTGCGCCGGTCAGCCGTCGCCCGCCACGCCGCGCCGTCGCCGGCGCCGCCGCCGGCGGCGGCCAGCGCCGCCGCCGGCCTGAAACGGCGCGTCGCGGGCCTCGGCCGCGCCGCGGCGACGGGCCGCTTCGGCCGCGCCGGCGCCGCGGGCCCGCTCGCCGCGTCCGTGTCCATCAGCGACGAGTCCAAGGCGGGCCGCGTGATCCCGCTGCTCTCGTTCATCGGGCTGTGGTACGCGTTCAACGCGTTCTTTAACGTGCAGAACAAGCTCATCCTAAACCAGTTCCCCTACCCCTGGGTCGTGTCCTGGTTCCAGCTCGCGTCGGGCCTCCTGTTCGTGCTGCCGATGTGGTTTACGAAGCTCCGCGCGCCGCCAAAGGTCGACCGGTCGCTCGTGCTCAAGTTCCTGCCCATCGCGGCCCTCCACTGCGGCGGCCACGGGCTGCAGGTGAGCAGCATGGGCGCGGGCTCCGTCTTCTTCACGCACGTCATCAAGGCCACGGAGCCCGTCATCGGCACGTTGGTGCTTTTAGCGTTCACGGGCAAGATCGCGCCCTGGTGGGTCAACGCGTGCCTGACGCCCATCGTCGGCGGCGTCGCCTACGCGGCCTTCAAGCCGGGCACGTCCTTCCCGCTGAGCGACCTCGTGGGCTACGCGTCGCTCGCGGCTTTGGGGTCGACGGTCGCGTTCTCGATCGCGAAACTCCTGGCCAAGTCGCTCATGGGCAAGGAGACGAAGCAGAAGTACAACCTGACGGCGCCGAACAACTACGCCTTTCTTACCATTTGCTCGACGACGCTGCTGCTGCTGCCGTCGGCGCTCGGCGAGGGCGGCGCGGCGCTCGCGGCGTTCCAACAGATGCCCGATCAACTCGCGTTCGCGCGCCAGCTCGTCGCGTGCGGCTTCCTCTACTACGGCTACAACGAGATGGGCTTCCGCGTCCTGGACCTGCTGAGCCCCGTGTCCGCCGCCGTGGCCAACTCGCTCAAGCGCGTCGCGATCTTGCTGGCCGCGGTGCTCTTCCTCGGCGAGCAGGTGTCCACGCGCAAGATCATCGGCTCCAGCGTCGCCATGGGCGGCGTGTTGCTCTACTCGTTGGCGAAGACCAAAGCGTCCAAGCTGCCCCCCAAGCCCGTCGAGATCGAGGTCGCCGTCGAGAAGCCGGGCACCTGGCAGCCCTAGGGGACACCGCGCGCGCTCGCCCTCCGACTCCGGGGTAAGCGCTTTTCGACTTTGTCAGCCGCGAACGACGGTACAGACGAATTTACGTGAGGCCTGCGAATTGGGGCTCCCCAGATCAGAGGAAGCCGCGGGGCGCGGAGCGGAGCACCGCGGGCCTCCTCCCCGGCCGGAGCTCGAGGACCTCCTTGGGCCCGCCGTAGTACGCGCTCAGCCCGGTGTCGATGCGGAAGACGCTGTCGTCGCAGCACGCGTTGATGCCCTGGTTGAGCTGGGGCGTGTGGCCGACGACCATGCGCGCGCAGCCGAGGGCGTCGAGCGCCGACCGCGCGTCGCCGCACTGGCGCGGCGACGGCTCCGCGCCCGCCGGATGCGAGTAGGACCGGCTCCAGACGGGCGAGCTCGGCGACGGCGACAGCGCGGGCGGCAGGCGGCCCGCGCCGCCGAGCCACCGCGCCGCGTCGCCGTTGAGCGCGTCGAGCAAGGCGCGGGAGCCGGCGCCGGGGCCCGGCGCGTCGCCGCCGCGCGCCTTGCGCCGCGCGGCCGCGCCGACGGTGAGAGCGACGACGTGGAGGCCGCCGTGGCAGAAGAGCGTGTCGCCGCAGACCCGCGCCACGGGCGCGTCGCCGCAGAGCGCCGCCAGCAGCCTCGCGCCCTCGCCCGAACCCGGCGCGAAGGCGCGCTTCCGCGCGGCCACGAGCCACTCGTCGTCGCGCGACCCGGGCGACCGGCCCGGGTCCGTCTCGCACGCGCACCTCACCAACGCGCCCCGCGACGCGAAGCGCACGTCGCCGAGCACGTTGAGCACCTCGTGGTTGCCCAACACGAGGTGCACGTCGCCGCCCGCGTCCGTGGCGCGCGTCTTGAGGTCCGCGAGGTACGTCAAACAATCCCAGTCGCCGTCGCCGCGGTCGAGCACGTCGCCGCAAGAGACCAACGTCGCGCCCGGCGCCGCGACCCAGGCGTCCTCGCGGTCCACGAGCCCGGACAGCCGCAGGCAGCTCCGCAGCGCCTCGAGGTCGCCGTGGACGTCCCCGATGGCGACGACGCGGTCCGTGCTGGTGGTTGGTGGCGGCGCGGTGCGCTGCTTCGTTGGTCGCCGGTTCTGCGGCGTGTACGTGAAAGCGATGGACGCGAGCAGCGCGGCGGCGAGCCGCCGGCCCGTCATGGCTGCAGCGGCGGTCAGGCCACGGCGCGGAAGCGGCGCGCACTCACCTTGCGGCACTGCAAAGCTGAGTGAGGTCGAGTCGAGCGGCAACAACCACCTTGAAGCCAGCTTGAAAGCGAACATCTTACACACGTCAGAACCGAAAGGCCCGCCCGAGGGCGCCCTTGACCTGGGACTGGCGCTTCGCGGTCGCGCCGGACGTGAAGGCCGAGGCGCCGGCCCAGGGCGGCGCGGAGATGGGCGTCTCGTAGACGGCGAGGCAGCTCGCGAGCTCGCGCTCGGCCTTGGCGCCGCCGGCCTCGCGGCGGAGGTGGCGCAGCAGGAAGGCCGCGGCGGCGCTCAGCACGGCGTCGGGCCGCCGCGAGTCGTGCTTGCCGCCCGCGTGGGGCACGAACTTGGTCTCCGGCGCGGCCGTCGCGGCCGCGAGGAGGCGCCGGCTGTGGTCGACGCGCACGAACGTGTCCTCGTCGCCGTGGACGAGGCAGACGGGGCAGACGCAGGCGGGGATCGCGTCCTCCGCGTCGACGTCGCGGACGTTGAAGCCCGCGCGGTAGGCCACGGACGCGGAGACGACCTCGATCGCCGCGTCGACGAGGAGCCCCGTCTTCACGTGCTTGTCCAGCAGGTCGTGGCACAGGTCCGGCAGCGAGCTAAAGGGGCTGTCGGCGACGACGCAGGACACCAAGGGATCCAGCGTCGACGCGGCGAGAATCGCCGCGACCGCGCCCATGGACCGCCCCCACAAGGCGACGTTGCCGTCGCAGAGCTCCGCCGCGCGCAGCTCGTCGAGCACGGCGAGCGCGTCGTGGCGCTCGTAGTAGCCCAGGCTCACGAACTCGCCGTCGCTGAGGCCGGAGCCGCCGCAGTCGACCGCGCAGAGCGACGCGCCCAGCTCGAGCGCGAGCTTGAGCACCTGGAGCGCCTCGACGCGGCACGACGCGTCGCCGTGGAGGTACAGGATGCAGGGCGTCTGCTTCGGCGGCCGGTGCTCGGGCCGCCAGTGCGACACCTGCAGGGCGTAGTCGAACTTGTTCGTCACGGAAAAGTCGACGCGCTCGACGCCGACGACGCCGGGCTCGAGGAACCGGCGCGGGAACATGAATTTCGACGGGCCGAGGTCCGCGGGGCCGTAGCTCGCGCGCGGGGGGCGGATGATGAGCTTGACGACCTGCTGGTACGCCTCCTTGGCCTCGCCCGCGCGGCCGCGGTCGCCGCCGTCGACGCTCAACGCTCTTTCCCGCCGCCTCGGCGCGCGCGGCTCGACGCCGAAGAGGGACCCGTAGACGGCGGCGCCGGCGGCCTCGAGCGCCGACGGCGCGTCGTCGCCGTCGCGCTTCGCGGCGCCCGCGCGCAGCGGCGCGCCGCCGTCGTCGACGAGCTGCCGCGTCCTCGCGATCGTCGTCGCGAGCGCGCGCCACCACCGCGTGCGGTCCGCGCCGTCGTCGAAGCCCAGGGCGAAGCCGTCGCCGCCGGACACGCGCACCTCGATGTCCGCGCCCTCGCCCCGGAGCTCCGCGTCGCCGTGGCGGAGCGACGCGGCGCCGCGCGGCGCGTCGCCCCGCGCGAAGGCCGCCTCGTCGTCGAACCAGCGCAGCGTCCAGTCGAGCTCCGCGCCGCCGGGCTCGCCGTCGGCCCGGCCGAGGACGAACCAGCGGGTGGCCTCGCGGGACCAGCCCAGGGGGCCCCGGGTCCGCCGCGCGGCCGACCCCCGGAGCGCGGGCCAGCCCTCCCTCCGCGCGCGCTCGTCGCCGGGGCAGAACGAGAGCTTCCCGCCGAGGTACGCGCTCAGGTGCTGGACGCGGAGCTTCTCCGCGGCGTTGAGCTGTTTCTTCTCCACGAGCCGGCGGAGCTCCGCCTTGCGCCGGAGCCGGTAGTCGTCGTCGTCGTCGCGCCCGGGCGTCCGCGGCGCGTCGGCCGAGGCGCCGCCGCTCTGCTGCGACATGAGCCGCTTCACGCGCCCGACGGACCGCGGCGACAGCTCGCGCCGGCCCATGAGCTCCGCGAGCTCGTCCTTGGGCGTCGGGTCCCGGCGGACGACGCGCGTGTTCTGCGACCGCGCGTTGACCTGGATCATGCGGCTCCGCGGCGGTTGGGGCATGCGCGCGCTCACGGCCTCGGCGCCCCAGCGGATCTCGAAGGGCAGGTGGCGCGAGAGCTGCACGGCGCCGCCGGCGGGCCGCTTCGCCATGGCGCGGTCGATGGTGGCGCACTGCGACCGCGGGTAGGGCGTCCACGCGCCATCCGGGCCGCAGTGGCTGAAGCTCGCGCCGCTGTCCTCCTCGTCGTCGGAACTCACCACCTCAAAGTCGATGAAATCAGACATCCCCTTACGAGCATTCCATGCTTATGCCGGGCGGGGCGCGGCGGCACTGTCGGCTGCTTACCCTCTAAGTGGAGATTTTAAGCGACTTCTTCGGCGCCGCCCTCATCGACGCCTCGCCCGCCCCCTCGACGCCCCCGCAAACGCCCGCCGCTCCTCCTCCTCCGACGCGTCGTGCACCGCGACCACGCGCGCGATGTCGCAGTCGCAGGAGAGCCAGTGGTTCGGGCCGTCGCAGGACGAAAGTCAGTGCGACGAGGACGTCACGAACACGTTCAAAGCGCTCCCGGCCCACTCGGCCTTCGTCCGACTGTCGCAGGACTCGTCCTTCAACGACGCCGCGCCGACGCCGGCCGACGCGTCGGGGGTGACGCGAATCACCGCGAGCGCGTCGTCGTCGGAGCGCGGTTCCGCCGTCGACGCCGCGCCGCGCGAGGCGCCCGCGGCGACGCCCCGGCCCGCCGTCGCCCCGCCGCCGCCGCGCGCCGCCGCGACGGTCTGCCGGCCCGTCGCCGCCCCGCCGGCCGACGAGCCCGTGCCCGTGTGCTACGCGTGCCGCGTCGCGACCGCGCCCGACCTCGACGACGAGGGCCGGCAGCGCGTCAAGCCGCCGTCCGCGAAGGACGTCCGCGAGAAAGCGCCGGAGCGGCTCCTCTGGCGCTGCCCGCAGTGCGAGAAGACGTGGCGCCCCGGCGCCCCGCCGACCGCGCGGCCCCGCCGCGGCCGCGACGCGTCTCGATGGACGATTCCGCGCGCAGGCTCATCGGCTGCGCGTACCGCTGCGGGGCGTGCTACACGCTCGCGAACTTCACGGGCTGCCGGCGCCACGAGACGCACAAGTGCCGCCGGAACCCGTCGCGGGTCGACGCCGCGCGGCGCCGCGCCCGTCGCTTCCGTTTCGCGATTCCGCCGGACGCGCGTCGCCGTAGGCGTCGGACGGCGCGGCGGCGGCGGTGCCGCACGCCGCGGCCGTCGTCGAGTCGGAGTCGTCGTCGGAGTCGTCGGACGACGGCCGCGAGGACTCCTCGGGCCCCGCGCCGCACCCGTCGGCCGGCGTCTTCGCGTCGCTGCGCGCGCCGGCGTCCCGCCCCTTTTTCCTTTTCCGTGACGACGCGGTGCCTAGGTGGGCCGCGGGCCGGCGCGGCGGCCGCGTCGATGCGGCGGTGCCCCTCCGCGTGGCGCGGACCGGCGACGGGACCTGGGACCTCGCGGCCGGCGCGCCGCGCGCGACGAACGTCTGGGCCCCGGCCGTGGCGCCGGCGCCGCGGCCGCCCGTGGAGATCAAGGTGACCCTCGACGCGCCGGACGCCGCGGGGTCCGACTCGGACCGGACGCGCCTCGACGAGCCGGGGGACGACGAGCCCGCGGCGGCCGACGAGCCGCGGGAGCCGCCGGCGCGGCGGGACGAGGTCGAGTTGTCGGCGCGGCGGGACGAAGTCGAGCCGCCGACGCAGCGGGGCGAGGTCGAGCCGCCGACGCGGCGGGACGAGGTCGAGCCGCCGACGCGGCGGGACGAGGTCGAGCCGGCGACGCAGCGCCAGTGGAACGATTCGGCCGAGCCGCCGACGCAGCGCCAGTGGGCCGCCGAGGCGCCGCCGGCCGACGACGACGCGGACCGCTGGTCCGACGGGAGCGGCTTCGCGCTGCCGCGGCGCGAGTCCGTCGACGCCGTCGAGGCGGCGCCGCCCCGCGACGGCGGCGACGACGACTTCCCCCGCTTCTCCGACGGCGGCGGCGACGACGGCGCGGCCGCGGACCGCGCGGACCGGGCGGCGGGCCGCGCGGCGCGCAAGGCCGAGCGCGCGCGGCTCCGCGAGCGCAAGGCCGAGCGCCGGGACCGCCGCGAGCGCAAGCGCCTCCAGCGCGAGGCCCGCGCGGCGCCGGCGGCCCCGGCGCCCGAGGACCAGGTCGCCGCGCTGTCGCAGCTCGTCGCGGCCGCGGCGGACGGCCGGCAGCGGGCCTTCCTCGAGGGCTTCGCCGGCCGCGTCCGCGCCGGCGCCTTCGCCGCCGTCGCCGACCTCCACGCCGCCATCTTCGCCGAGGCCATGGCGCCGCGGCCCGCGGCGCCGCCGCCGCGCCGCGCGCCGCCGCGGCCGCGGCCGCCGCCGAAGCGCAAGCGAACGCCGGACACGCCGCCGAAGCGGGCCGAGCCGCCGCCCTACGACGGCACGTCTTCGGAGTCGTCGCCCGCGGGCCCGTCGCCGCCCGCGCGGCCGCGACGGCTCCGCGCGGCGCGCGACCGCCACGTCGACTACGCGGGCCGCGGCCTCGACGCCGCCGTCGAGAAGGCCTGCGCCCGGGGCATGATCTACAGACGAGTCTAAGAGTCCTCGGGCGGCGGCCTAGCGCGGCGTCCCGGCAGCGGCCGGGGCGTCGCCGCGGGCCGCGGCTCCCCGCCGGCCGGGAGCGCGTGGATGACGCCGTCGGCGACGGAGCCGGCGCCCCAGAGGCCGATGCGCACGCCCCGGTCCTCCTGGATCTGCGGGTGGCCGAAGTCGCGCGCGAGCGCGCGCGCCGTCGCCTCCGCGTCCGGCCCGCCGCCGAGCGCGGCCGCGAACGACGCGACGTCCGGCGACGTCCGCGACCCGCGCCAGTCCAGGAAGTGGATGACGTCGGCCTCGACGAGGCGGCCCTCGGGCGGCGCCTCCGTCTGGCGCAGCTTGCCGTAGCGGGCCTTGCGCGACCGCTCCTCGCTCGTCGGCGGCGCCGTCGGCTGCGACGTCTCGGTCTTGAGCGCGGGGCCCATCTTGTAGAGCTCGGCCAACAGCTTCGGGTCGATGTCGCCGGCGGACTGGGGCGCCCGGCCGTCCTTCGTCGGCGGCCGGAACTTGGTCATCGGCGGCAGGCCCGCCTGGGACCACTTGGGCGGCGGCGCCGGCGGCGGCTCGGCGGCGGCGGCGCCGCGCTGCACGACCTTGGAGAAGAGGTTCCTCAGGAAGCTCGACATGTCAGCGCGGTGCTGCGCGCGCGGTGCGTCGCGCTGCGCTGGCGCCTCTAAGACGAGGCCAGAGCTCGCTGTGTGGCAAGCGCTTCACCACAAATGCACCTACGACCTGGTTGCCGTGGCTGCCCCGTCGAATCGACCGTGCGCTGCAATGCGCCGTCCTCCCCACGCCAGCCCCGGGTCTCGATTTAGATAGCATCGATCATGGGCATCGTCTACAGCATGACGCTCACGGCGAAGCGGCTGCGCATCACGCCGAGCCAGTACATCAAGCTGCGCCACCTCATGCTCGTCTGCGAGATCGACGCGCGCGTCGTCTGGCGCATCGCCTGGGAGTTCAACAATATTGATATTGATCGCAGCGGCCAGATCACGTCCATGGAGCTCTTCAACCACTACGCCGTCGCCGACACGGTGTTCAACCGGCGGGCCATGACGATCATGGACAACGAGCCCCCGGACAAGATGAGCCTCGACGTGCTCGAGTACACCGCGGCCGTCTACAACTACTGCAGCATGCAGAAGGTCCACCTCCTGCATTTTATTTTTGCGATCTTCGACGAGGACGGGTCGGGCTACCTCGAGATGAACGAGTTCGTCGCGCTCGTGAACTACGTCTACGACCGGCCGCTGACGCAGCGGGTCCTCGAGGCGCTCGACAAGTGCGACTTCACGGAGTCGGGCATGATCACGCGCGAGGAGTTCGTGACGCGCTGCAACACCTACCCCATGCTCGTCGCGCCGGCCTTCGAGATGCAGGAGATCCTGCACAACGCGATCCTGGGCGTGAAGTTCTGGGTGAAGCACATCGACCGCCGCTGCGAGCGCCAGGACGACCTGCTGGAAAAGCTGCGCGAGATGGACCGGTGCTACATGGAGGGCGGCTCGCTCCAGCACGTCGGCGACTCCATGCGCGACGAGGAGGTCGCCAAGTCCGCGCAGGAGAAGGCCGACGAGGCCGCGGCGACGCCCAAGGCCAAGGCGACGCTCGAGCAGTCCATCTCCTTCAACGGCGGCCGCATGTCCATGCGGCACAAGGACGTCGAGGCCGTCAACCGGCGCACGTCCATCATGCTCGCGCAGGACCGCGAGGCGACGGCCGCGTCCGAGGAGGCCGAGCGGCTCCAGAAGCTCGAGAACTCGGAGTACATGAAGGACCTCGAGCAGGCCGAGAAGGAGCGCTTCTCGTCGACGAACGTCACCTACCGGCCGAGCCGCAAGCCCGGCGAGGGGCCCAACATCCAGCGCGACGCCGCGACCTACTCCAAGCTCATCAACGTGAAGAAGTACGCGACCTTCCGCAAGAACATGGAGAAGCACCGCATCCAGAAGAGCGTCGGGACCCACGCGGGCGACAAGGTCGACAAGGGCGGCAAGCTCGGCAAGCTCGTCGACGACGTCCACCGCGTCTACGTCGGGGATTGAGCGTTACACATGTTCTTACAAAGCGGCGCGCGGGGCTCACTCGTCTGGCTCGTCCTTGGCGACGCCGAGCTTCTCGAGCTTGTCGCGCTGCGCGTAGCGGATGCGGAGGGTGGAGATCTTGGCGCCGACGTCGTACTCTCTCCGATTGTGGACGCCGTTCGCCGCCGGCGCGAGCTCGTCGCCCGTGCGCGTCATGGCGCCGGCCTTGGCCTTTTTGCACACGGCCTTGTTCGTGCCGTCGAAGCCGCCGGACGCGCCCCGCTTCACGCCCCGCTTCTTCTCGCCTCGCGTGCACTCGTGGACGTCGAGCCGGATGCTCTCGAACTCGCCGAGCTTCGCGGGGTCGACGGCGCCGTCCACCGATTCTCCGGCGTTGACGCGCACGAGACGCGGGCGCGCGAACAAAAGCTCGTGGACCGCTGAGGAAGAGCTCCCCGGTTTCGACTGCTTGCCCTCCATGAGGCGCACGGCGCCGGGCTTGATTTTCGTACCGTACGCGGGCTCGCCGTCGACGTAGACGCGGAGCCAGCGCAGCTCGTTCGAGTGGTTCTCCACGCGTAGTTTGTAAGGCGTCACCGGCCAGGCTTGCGTGAACTCCTCGCCGAATGGGTCGGTCTCCACCGTCTCCTTGGGGTAGCTCACGCCCTTGACGAAGAGGTTGGCCTCGATGAAGCCGTCGCAGGGCGGGCATCCGGGCACTGGCGCGAATTCTTCCGCCTTCGTGTCGCCGAGCACGACATGCATTTCAAACGCGCCGTCGGCAGTGAGGACCATGGTGCTTGACAGCGGCGCGGGTCGACCGGTCGTGTCGAGCAAGCTCTTTTTATAAATGCCACAACTGGCGCGCGGCGCCGGCGAGCCGCGCTCCGGCGCCGCACGCGACGCGGTGTCGACGCAGGACTGCGCGCAAGTAGACCCAGGCGCGCGCCACAAACCAGCCACCGGAGGGAAGCACACACAGGACCCGGGGACTGAGCGTTACACATGTTCTTACAAAGCGGCGCGCGGGGCTCACTCGTCGGGCTCGTCCTTGACGACGCCGAGCTTCTCGAGCTTGTCGCGCTGCGCGTAGCGGATGCGGAGGGTGGAGATCTTGGCGCCGACGCTGTAATTGGTCATGGGCTTGCCGACGAAGGCGGCGGGCGCGAGCTCGTCGCCCGTGCGCGTCATCGCGCCGGCCTTGGCTTTCTTGCAGATGGCCTTGTTGACGCCGTCGAAGCCGCCGGACGCGCCGCGCTTCGTGCCCCGCGTCTCTTCCCCTCGCGTGCACGCGTGGACGTCGAGCCGGACGGATTCGAACTCGCCGAGCTTGGCCGGATCGACGGGCGCGTCCACGTTCTCGTCGCGCCGCACGAGGCGCGGCCGCGCGAACAGGAGCTCGTGGATCGCCGACGCGCCTTGGTCCGGCTGCGATTGCTTGCCTTCCAGGACGCGCGTCTCGCCGGCGTTGATGCTGCAGCCGTAGGCCTGCTCCCCGTCGACGTAGACGCGGATCCAGCGCTGCTCGTTCGAGTGGTTGCTGACGCGCACCTTGTACGGAGTCACGGGCCACGCCTGCGTGAACGTCTCCCCGAAGGGATCAGTCTCGACCTCCTCCTTCTGGTAAGACACGCCCTTTACAAAGAGGTTGGCCTCGATGAAGCCGTCGCAGGGCGCGCATCCAGCCACTGGCGCGAACTCTTCCGCTTTCGACTCGCCGAGCATGACGTGCATTTCAAACGCGCCGCAGGCAGTGAGGACCATGGTTGCTTGACAGCGGCAGCGGGTCGGCGCGGCGGCGCGTGGGTCGAGAATCGTCCCGCTCGAGTTTGCCGCCGACTCGGAGGCTCGCCGGAGGCGTCGCCGGGGGTACGCCGCGTGCCGTCGACGCAGGACTGCGCGCAAGTACACCCAGGCGCGCGCCACAAATCACACACACAGGCCCCGTTACGCCCCCTTGGTGGGGGACTTCGGCGGGCGGATCTTGCCGAGGCTTTTGGCGAGCGTCTTCCGCGCGGACGAGAGGAAGCCGCGCTTCTTCGGCCGCTTCTCGTCCTCGCCGCCGTCGGACGCGGAGAGGACGCTGCCCGAGGAGAAGGCGTTCGAGGAGCCCGTCGACGCCGCGCCGAGGCTCGGCTCGCGGCGCTCCGGGATCGCCGGCGCGCGCGCGGCGGACTCCTGCCGGTACGCGAAGCCCGCGAAGAGGTCCGCGCGGACGTCGGCGCAGAGGCTCTCGCCCTCGTGGCTCAGGTAGGCGTGGGCGTCGCGCGCGTCGAAGGACGTCGCCGGCGCGGCCGCGTCGCCGCGGTCGGCCGCGTCGCCGCCGTCGCCGGCCGCGTCGAGCGCGGCCGCGAGGAACCCCTCGCACCGCAGGCGGTCGAGCTTCGGCCGCCGCGCCGGCTCCTTGGCGAGCAGCGCGCCGACCGTCGGCCGCGCGGCCTCCGGCAGCGCGCCGAGCCGCGGCGCCTCGTGGAGGATGTTCCGGAACAAGTCGCGCGGCCGCTCCGCCTCGAAGGGCGTCGACCCCGCGCACATCTCGTAGAGCAGGATGCCCAGGCTCCAGTAGTCCACGGCGCCGTCGTAGGCCGTGCAGCTCTTGAGGAAGAGCTCCGGCGCCATGTAGACCAGCGTGCCCGCGAACGACCTCGACCGGCCCCGCGCGGCGTCGTCGCAGTACGCGGCCAGGCCAAAGTCCGCGAGGAAGGCGCGCCGGCGTCCGTCGAGCAGGACGTTCGCCGCCTTGATGTCGCGGTGGATGACGCCCGACGCGTGGAGGTGGCCCACGGCGAGCGCGACGCGCGCGCCGTGGCCCGCGGCCTCGGCCTCGCCGAGCGGCCCCGCGGCCGCGAGCCGCGCGTCCAACGCCCCGCCCTCGTAGTAGGCCGTCACCAGGTACAACCGCGTGCGGCTCTGGAAGCTGTAGCAGAGGTGGACGAGGCACGGGTGGCGCACGGTCCGCAGCACCTCCTGCTCGACGCGCGCCGTCTCCTGCAAATTCCGGTGCGCGAGCTTGCGCTTGCTCATGACCTTCATGGCGAAGGTCGCGCCGGCGTGGGCGCCGCGCTTGCGCCGCACGAGCACGACGGCGCCGAAGGCGCCCTTGCCGAGGAAGCGCAGGGGCTCGAAGTCGCTCGCGGAGTCGCGCTGGTGGCTCATCTCGCGCGGCACGCGGGGAATCGGCGACGGCTTCGGCACGGCCGTGGCCGACGGCGACGCGAGGCCCTTGCGCGCCCGCTTCAGCGGACTGCCCTCGAGGGCCATGGCCGCCATGGTTATCGACCAAGCCCAGCCGAATTTTCACGGTCTTGCTGGCGTGATGCGATTCGAGACGTTGCTCAGTGCAACGTCGACGACAACATGGCCGACGTTGGTGCTGTTACCGAGCCACCACCAGCAAAGCAGCCCACCCAGCGCGTGTGCAGCGGCGGCGGTATGGGAGAGGTCACGAAAGTCCAGGCGGAGCCCGTGACCAAGGAGCTCCTCGACGAGGATGGCGTCCCCATCATGCAGTACGCCCTCGCCGTGCCGCAGGGCTTCGGCGGGGACGACGGCGTCACGGCCTGGCTCGGGCCCGAGCGCGCGCCGCCGCTGCCTCTGCCGGAGCTGATCCCCGGGGACGAGGCCGACGACCCGGCCTTCGCCGCCTGGCTGCGGGCCGCGCCCCTCGCCCCGCGCTGGGTGAAGAGCGAGCGCGACTTCCTCGACCTCGTGCGGTCCGAGTGCCGCGAGGAGCTGGCGAGGGCGCCGCCGTACCCCGAGGCCTACGGCGAGCGGCGCCTCCTGCGGTTCCTGCGCCAGCACAAGAAGGCGGACAAGGCCCTCGCCGCCGTCAAGCAGCGCGCGCCCCGCGTCCCTTCTCGACGTTCGACGCGCGCGCGGCGCCCGCGCGCCCGGGGGCGCGCGTTTTCTGGCCGCGAACCCGCGGGCGCAGGTACCTGGCCTACCGGCGGGAGAACGGCCTCGACGAGATCCTCGCCTTTCTGCGCAAGGGGGACGTGCCCCAGAGCGGCTGGCCCCTGGGCGACTTCTTCAAGGACCGCCTCGCGGTGTGCCCGTGCTCCACGTCTTTATTCGACGTCAAGGGCAACGCGCTCTGCGTCGAGCAGTACGGCTTCTGGCCCGCGCACCGGCTGCGGGACGTCACGGCCGAGGGCTACATCGCCTGGCAGACCTACGCCTTGGAGTTCAAGTCCATGCAGCTCGAGCGCATCGCGCTCGGCCGCGAGCGCGTGCTGTTGCGAGCGGCGCACGCGCAGTGGGAGGCGAACCGCGCGGGCGCGGCCGGCGGGTCGCTGCGCGAGGGCTGGGGCGAGATCGCGCGGCTCTGCACGATCTTCGACATGAAGGGCCTGACCTTCGGGCACGCGCTGCTGCCGGGCGGCTACCGCATGGTGAAGCAGCTCATCCCGCTCGTGCAGCGCTACTACCCGTGGCTCCAGGACACGACGCACTTCGTCAACGCGTCCATGGCCGTGTCGACGTTCTTCGCCTACCTGCGCCCGCTCCTGCCGAAGCACACGCAGCGCAAGATCTACATCCACGGCCTCGGGGCCACGGGCGCGCTCACGGAGGAGATCCGGCCCGACTTCCTGCCCGAGGCGCTCGGCGGCCGCGCGGTGTGCCTGGACCTGGCGCCGCCGCCGACCTGCGAGGAGTACGACGCGCGCGTCGCCGCGGGCGACGCGGGCCTGGCGACGGCGACGGCGGCGGAGGCGTCGCACGACGACGCGCGGCCCGTCGCGTCCGCCGTCGTCCTGCCGGACCCGCCGCGCATCCCGCCGGCCGCGGCGGACGCGGAGCGCGCCGAGGCGCCCCCGGCCGCGGAGGCGCCGGAGAAGCCGCCGCCGCCGGCGGCGGAGGAGGAGGAAACCGCGCGCCGCGAGCCGGGGACCATGGTCCCGGGCATCGAGATCCCCGTGCACAAGCACGGCCGCCGCGGCCGCGCGGAGCGGAGCTTACGGCTGGACCCGGGCGAGGAGCTGCAGATCCTGCCCGCGAAGAAGTGGCGCCTGCTCAAGAAGACGCGGCGCCTGCGCATCGCCGAGGACCTCAGCGCCTGGCGCGGCAGCCGCACGCACGGCGCGAAGCCTCCCGAGGGGCCGCGGCCGCGGACGCAGCTCCAGCGCGACGCGAGCCTCCGCGCGTCCCAGTACCCGCCGAACTTCGTCATCCTCGCCACGGACAAGGGCAAGCTGGTCACCCTCGAGCTCGCGACGGAGCACCAGGCCGAGGCCCTCGTCCACGCCATCAAGCCCGCGCGCCGCGCGTGACCGGCCGCGCGCCGCCGCGGACCGCCGGGCTTGGCGCCCCGCGCCGCGGCGTGTGTCGCTCGAGATTTAAGACGCCGCCCTACTGGAGCGCGGAGATGGCCGCGACCTCGTCGTCGCCGAGCGCGAAGCCGAAGAGGTCCAGGTCCGACGCCATGTGGTCCTTGTTGTCCGTGCCCGTCACGACGGCCACGCCCCGCTGGAGGGACCACTTGAGCGTGACCTGAGCCGTGGAGACGCCGTGCGCGTCCGCGATCTTCTTGACCGTCGGGTCGCCGAGCACGGAGCCCTCGGCGCCGCCGAGCGGCGACCAGGCCTGGAGCTGGATTCCGTGCTTCTGGCACAGTTTGAGCATGTCCTCGTCGTGCTTCTTCGGGTTCCACTCGACCTGGTGCAGCGCGACGGGCACCTCGGCGACCTCGAGCGTCTCCTCGATGTGCGTCGCGTTGTAGTCGGAAATGCCGACGGCGACAGCTTTACCGAGCTTGACGAGCAGCTCCATGGCCTTCCACGTCTCCTGGCGGACCTTGGTCCCCGGGTCGTAGTAGGGCGACGCCGCGCAGTCCGCGGACGTCGTCACGCCGTAGCACTCGGGCTTGATCGCGAAGGGAAAATGGATCAGGAGGAGATCGACGTAGCCCGACGTGTTGACGCCGTACTGGCCGAGCATCTGGAGGTTGTCCTCGTGGCATTGGATCGTCGCCTGCATGCCGAGCGCGCCGGGGCACTTCGTCGTGATGAAGAGCGACTCGCGGTCGGCGCCCGCGACGGCCTCGCCGATCTCGACCTGGGTCCGGTAGTCGTTGGCGCCGTCGATGTGGCGGCCGCCGAGATCGAGCCAGTCGCCCACGGAGGCCTTGGCCTTGGCCCGTACGCATGAGTAATCATTGTCCGCGCAGTCGCCGTAGGACCCGCGCCAGGTTCCCAAAGCCACGGCGGGCATCATGAGATCGCCGGTGGCCGTCTTGATGGGCACGCATGTCTCCGGCTTGGCGGCGCAGGGCAAATCCGCCGCGGCCGTGCGCGCCAGCGCGAGGAGAGCGGCGACGAGGCGCGGCATGGCTTCTGCGTCGATACCGAAGCCGGGCTGTGGCTGCCGGCTGCGTCGATCGATTGCAGCGGAGGCACCAAAATCAGTTGCTCCGCAACTTGACCTCGTTTTTAGGCTCCGTGGCTGCCCGATGCCCTGACAAATCCCGAAGGAAGACCTGCCATGTCGAACGTCATCTGGACGAAGCGGAACTCGTGGCCGCTCTGCGACGGGCCCGACGTCGCCGGCGCCTTCAGGCCCATCAAGGTCGTCGGCGAGGGCGCCTTCGGCGTCGTGCTGCTCGTGCGCAAGGTCCTGGGCCCCGGGCGGGGCAGCACGCACGCCATGAAGATCATGCACAAGGAGGCCGTGGACCGGCGCGTGCTCGTCGCCGAGCGGGAGATTTTAGGCAAGGTCTGCGGCATCGACAGCCGCTTCCTCGTGCGGCTACAGTACGCGTTCCAGTCCCGCGACAAGGTCTTCTTGGTCATGGAGTACTCGGGCGGCGGGGGCCTCGTGGACCACGTGGCGAGGTGCGGCGGGAGGCTCAAGAAGGACGCGTCGCGCCGGCTCGCGGCGCAGCTCGCGAGCGGGCTGAGGGACCTGCACGCGCACTCGATCATCCACCGCGACCTCAAGCCCGAGAACGTGCTCCTCCACGACGACGGCTTCGTCAAGATCGCCGACTTCGGGCTGAGCACGCTGTGCCCGACGACGGTGCAGCGCGGCGGGCCGGCGGCGCGCAAGGCGGGCTTCGCGGGCACGGTCGAGTACGCGGCGCCCGAGCGCCTGCAGAAGACGGGCGGCGTGACGACGGCGGCCGTGGACTGGTGGGCCTTCGGGGTCATCCTGTTCGAGTGCGTCTGCGGCCGCACGCCCTTTGGCGCGGCGACGGCGCGGGACCTCTTCATCAACGTGTTATTCCGGGACCCGGCGTTCGAAAACGCGTTCGACGACGACCCCTTTGCTAGGGATCTGCTGGAGGGGCTGCTGCTCAAGGACCCGCAGGCGCGGCTCGCGCCCTGGAACGACCGCGCCTTCGCCCAGTTCGTGGAGCACGCCTTCTTCAACGGCGACTTCGACAAGTCGCTCGCCGCGCCCGTCGGGCCCGCGGCGCCGCCGCCGCCGCCCGAGGACGACGGCGGCGCGGACGAGTCCGTCGAGGACGTCGCCGCGGCCTACTTCAAGGACGCCGACGAGTCGCCATCGAAGAAGAGCGTCGCCATCGCGGGCTTCGAGTTCGCGGCGTGCGCGGCCGCGGAGGACGACGAGGAGCCGCTCATCGTCGGCACGATCGACGGCGAGGAGGTGCGCGAGCTCCCGCCGAAGCACCGGCGCCCGAGCGACACGTCGGCGACGAACAAGGCTTTTTTATTTTGCTGCTCGGCTTTGGACGGCAAGAAGAAGAAAAACTTGTACAAGCCCGTGACCTACGACCCGCCGCGGCGCGCGACGTCGTCGGACTCGACGTTCTCGATGCCGGACTTCGACGGCGCCTTCAACGTCTCCGTCGTCGACCTCGCCGGCGACGGCAGCCCGAGGAAGGAGGCGGGCGACGACGACGAAAGCCGGGGCTCCCTGGGCGACGCGCTCAAGGACATGCTCTTCTTCGTCTGCTACGAGGATCCGGCCGCGGCGCCCGCGGCCGCGCGCGACGCCGCGGCCTCCGACGACGCGGCGTCATAGTTTTTTTAAACGGCGTCGGCGCCGTTCATCGAGACGAACGCGTAGTGCGCGGCGTCGTACTCCTGGCGCGCGACCTGGCACTGCGCGAAGGGCGCGCAGCAGACGAGGCAGAGGCAGTCCTCGACGCACGGGTCGCCCTCGACGGCCGTCGGGATCCCGTCGCGCTTGCGCACCGCGACGCGCACGACGACCATGACGGCGACGAGAGCGAGGTGCGTGAGCCAGCCGAGCCACGTCGCGACCTGGTAGAGCGTCGCGTTCATGGGCGAGGAGCCGACCGCGATGAGCGCCAGGAGCGCGGCGAAGACCATCATCAGCGTGTAGCCGCCGACGATGAACTTGCAGCTGCCCGGCTTCACGAGCCGCTCGTACAGCTGGCCCGCCACGACGCAATCGCAGCAACACACGGCGGCGCCGAGGCAGTCGCAGAACGGCCAGCCCCAGGGATCGTGCGACAAGCGGCCCTTCGCCGCCGATTGCGTCACGACCGAACCGGGCTGGGGCTGCGTCGTCGTCGCCATGGGGCTGGTCGTGGCCATCCCCGCCGGGCAGCTTCGGAGCTGATCGTGCCTCGATGATGCCTCGCGAGCGCCGATGCTGAGTTTTGAACGAGAGCATCGAGCTCGAGCATCCTGCGTCCTCGGCACCCATCATTGCATCCACCAGTGTAATGGCCGGCTTCTTCGAGCGCCTCGCGGCGCGCTGCGCGTCCCAGGAGACGTTCCTCTGCGTCGGCCTCGACCCGCGCGCGTCGAGCGCCGCCGAGGCCGAGGCGCTCTGCGTGTCCCTCATCGACGCGACCCACGACGTCGCCTGCTGCTTCAAGCCCAACGCGGCCTTCTTCGAGGCCCACGGGTCGGCGGGCCTCGAGGCCCTCAAGCGCGTCATCGCCAAGGTGCACGCCGTCGGCGGCCTCGCGCTCCTCGACTGCAAGCGCGGCGACATCGGCGCGACGGCGGAGGCGTACGCGAAGGCGTGCTACGACGACCTCGGCGCGGACTGCGTGACGCTGTCGCCCTACCTGGGCTACGACGCCATCGCGCCCTTCGTGACGGGCCCCTACGCGGGCAAGGGCTGCTTCGTGCTCTGCGCGACGTCGAACGGCTCGGCCGAGGAGGTGCAGTCGGACGAGCTCCGCGGCACCGTCGCGGCCCTCTGCGGCGGCGCCTGGGCGGCCCGGACGGCGGAGGCGAGCCGCCCCCTGGGCCTCGTGGTCGGCGCGACGAAGCCCGCCGCCGTCGCCGCCGCGCGGCGCGCGAACGGCGCCGCGTGGATCCTCGCTCCGGGTGTGGGCCAGGGCAGCAAAAGGGTGATTCAACGTCGCTTCAACGTGAGTGTTCCGCGCGCGCGCGTTCCGGAAACAGCACCCACGCTTCGAGAGCGCTCCGAGAGATGATCGCTCGTCCAAAAATCAGCCGAAACGAGCGGGAAACGACCGAGATAGGAGCCTTTGAAGTTGGGAATTTCGCACCCTTTTGCTGCCCAGGCGTCGGCGCCCAGGGCGCGTCCGCGTCCGACGTCGTCGCCGCGGCGCTCGCGGGCAACGCCGCGCCGTCGCGCGCGTCCCTCCGCCTCGTCGTGCCCGTGTCGCGCGCCGTCGCCAACGCGCCGGACCCCAGGGCCAAGGCCGCCGAGCTCCGCGACGAGATCAACGCCGCCGTCGAGTGCGCGCTCGCGCAGCCGCCGCCGGCGTCGATCGCGCCGCACCAGCGCGCCTTCATCGACTGCGTGCTCGACACGGGCGCGCTCAAGTTCGGGGCCTTCACGCTCAAGTCCGGCCGCGCCTCGCCCTACTTCTTCAACGCGGGCAAGGTCTGCGACGGTCCCAACGTGCTCTCGCTCTTCGAGGCCTACGCGGCCGCGATCGTCGCCTCGGGCCTCGACTTCGACGTCATCTTCGGCCCGGCCTACAAGGGCATCCCCCTCTGCGCCGGCGTCGCCGCCGCCCTCGCCGGCCGCGGCGTCATCGCGCAGTTCGCGTACAACCGCAAGGAGGCGAAGGACCACGGCGAGGGCGGCACGCTCGTCGGCGCGGACGTCGCGGGCAAGAAGGTCTTGCTCGTGGACGACGTCATCTCCGCGGGCACGGCCGTGCGCGAGGCGACGGGCATCCTGAAGCAGGCCGGCGCGATCCTCGTCGCGGTCTGCGTCGCCGTCGACCGGGAGGAGGTCACGGGCGGCGCGGCGCCGCCGGAGCCGGGCGCGCCGCGCGTCTCCGCCGTCGCCGCCGTCCAGCGCGACCTCGGCGTGCCCGTCGTGCCCATCGTCACGCTCACGGACCTCCTCGCCTACCTCGACGCGGCCAAGGGCGGCGACGCGGAGACGGCGAAGCACGCGGACGCGGTCCGCGACTACCGCGCGGTCTACGGCGCGCGCCGGTCCTAAGAAGAGCTCGAGGCGGCTTAGGAGGCGGGGCGAAGCACGCGGACGCGGTCCGCGACTACCGCGCGGTCTACGGCGCGCGCCGGTCCTAAGAAGAGCTCGAGGCGCGGGCGGCTTAGGAGGCGGGGCGCCGCGGAATTGGGGCGGCGCGCCACGTACGGCGAGGAGCGTTCTACTCCTTCTCGTCGGCCTCCGCGGCCTCCGCGGCCTGGGAGAGCCAGTCCTCGCGCTGCTCGAGGGCCTTCTGCTTGAGGTCGAGCATGTGGTCCTCGTTGAGCTTCTGGTACTCCATCTCCTTGTGCTCCTCCTGCATCTTCTTCTTGAGCGCGAGCGGCCCGTTGTTGTAGTCGCCGTCCTCGCCCTCGAGCGCGAGGCCCGGCATCCAGGGCGGCAGGCGGTAGTACCAGGAGTAGAACATGGGGCCCTTGCCGCCGGCCAAGCCCGCGGAGACTTTTTGCGGGTAGACGTCGATGCCCTCGCCCCACCAGCGGTCCTCCTCCCACTGCGGCACGTTGTAGCTCACGTAGCCGAGGCCCTGGAGCATGTAGTGGACCTCGCGCAGGTCCAAATCCTTGAGCAGGTGCACCTCGCTGAGCCCCGTGAAGAGGCGGATCGACTCCTGCTCGCCGTGGTGCTCGCCGTAGCAGAGGCGCACGTACGGCGGCGTCGGCGCGAGGCCCGCGTCGTCGCCGAGCTTCCACCCAAAGTCCTCCGTGCAGAGGCAGAGCTTCGCCTCGTCGACGGTGAAGGACCCGAAGAAGCCCACGCGGTCCTTCTTGACGTAGCCGAACTTCTTGCCCCACGTCGGGCAGAGCCGCTTCACGTACTTGACGTAGTCCTTGAGGTGCACCGCGCCGACGATCTTCGCGCCGCGCCGCCGCCTAGGGGGGCGGGGATGGGCGTGGGGCGCGCGGGGCGCGCGGGGGGTTTGAGGGCGCACCCGTTCGAGTCGGGGTTGTCGTGCGTCGCGTCGACCTCGATGTCCCAGTCCGGCACGGGGCAGCCGTCCTCGTCGTAGCCCACGCCGAGCGGCGGGTCCCCCTCCTTCTTCGGGTTCCCGAGGTGGTCGTAGAGCTGCTTCATGGGCTTCTGGCCCTTCTTCTGCTTGCTGATGGGCTCCCCGGCCGTCATCATGGTCGACGACGGGGTGCGACGCCGCGGAACGCGACGAACACGGGAGACCTGCGGACGAGCGGTCGCGTGCTGCGTTGCCGGTCGCGGCGCGCGCGGCGGGGTGGCGCGGGCGCGCGAGGCGCGGGCAGCTCGCGTCGGCTACAACCAGAAACGCGAGACGGAGGCGTCGACACACAATCGTTTCGATGAGGAGAAAGAGCAAACAACAAGGGGTAGGCTAGGGGTCGCCAGCGGCAAAAAACACGCTCTGCGCGCGGCCCATAGATCCGCGCACACACAATTAAAAGTTCACGGGCGAGCGCATGAAGTTCTTGAAGCGCTCCACGTGGCGGTCGTGCGTCGCCTTGTCCCCCGCGTACTCGCCTTTCACCGTGAGGACCGCGAGGCAGGCGCGCTCGCCCTTGTCGCACTCGCGGCCGCTCGCGCCGACCGTGGCGACGAGGGTATAGAAGCGCTTGACGAGCGTCTCGAACTTCTTGGGCCAGTCGTTGACGAGGACGACCGTCGACGCGGTCGCGTAGCCCGCGGCCTTGATCGCGGCGGACGCGTGGGCGCGGCCGTCGATGAGGACGACGTCGAAGGACGTTTCGCCCGTGGCGTCGATGGCGCTCACGTACTGGAGGTGCGCCTCCACGAGCTTCCGCGGGTACGTCTTGCCCTCGTCGCGCTCGAGGCGCCCGAAGGCCTTGAGCGAGAGGCGGTGGGGCGTGCAGGCCACGCGCGGCGCCGCCAGGGGCCGCGCCCCGTCGAGGCAGCCGAGGAAGGGGCGCCTCCGCAGGCACTCGCACCAGGGCGCGTAGTGCTCGGCCGTGTAGCCGCGCGACGCGAGCGACGCGAGGAGCTCCGCGCCGCCGCCGCCGCCCCACTGGAAGAAGGTCTCGGCGCCCAGGGCGTAGCCGGCGACGACGGCGGCCTGGGCCGGGGCCAGCGACGGCCGCAGGAACGCCGGGCAGCCCGAGCCGCCGCCGTAGTGCAGGAACTCGCCGAAGATGGGCGCGCACGGCAGCGCGAGCGTCACGCAGTCCGCCGACGCCTCCGCCGCGGCGCAGGCCGCCATGGCCGACAGGGCGTGCTTGGCGCGCTCGAACTTCTTCACGCCGAGCGTCGGCAGCAGGTCGCCGACGCCCCAGGCCGACAGCGACGCGCGCAGGGCCGCGAGGCCGGCGTGCGTCGTCGTCCCGTTGATGCCCATTTCCGCGAGCGGGTCGGCGCCGAGGTCGCGCCCGCCGCGCACGAGCAGCGGGCCCAACACCAAGGCGAAGCACCTCATCTCACGAGGCGATAACCTCATCGTCGAAGCACCATAATATCGACGGGCAGCCTCACTGCAAGTTGAAGGGGCAACGTTTTAGGAATGCCGAAAATCGCACTCGCCATCCAGTCCAGAGAGCTCCATCTACTCACGCACGGCAGCCCCGTCCGGGAGCGCCGACCCTCCGGGAGCGAAGACGCAGGGCCCGCGCCACATGGAGTTCGTGCGTCGCAGCCTCCAGGGCGAGGAAGGCGGCTTCAGCGTCTGCTCCGGGGGGCGGGACTGCGACAGCGACGCCGGGGCGAAGCCCGTGGAGATCCAGCCCCTGCGCGACGACGGCCACGGCAGCGACAGCGACGCCGTGGAGCCGGCGCCCCAGTACGCGAGCGTCGAGGGGCCCAAGGACGAGCGGCCGGGCCTCGAGGGCGCCGAGCGGCCCAGCTTCCTGAAGAAGCTGAGCGTGCTGAGCGACGCGGAGCTCGCCGCGTTCGGGTCCATGTCGCCGGGCGGCTCCAGCCGGGACCTCGGGGGGGGCGGCGACGACAAAAAGAAGCGCGCCCGGGCGCGCGCGTCGACGAACTTCCGGGGCAAGTCCATGCAGGAGGCCATGGACGAGGCGAACCGCGAGAACGCGACGTGCCAGCAGTGCGACGAGTCGCAGGTGTCGTTCCCGACGAATTTGGAGGGCTACTTCCCCGTGCTCGACCCCTACAGCTCGAACCGGCTCGTCTGGGACTTCTCCATGCTCGTGCTCATCATGGTCATCACCATCGTGACGCCCTTCGAGCTCACGTTCCTCGAGGGCGCGCCGTGGGGCAAGGGGTTCTCCGGCGACGACGCGACGGGCATCTTGTTCGTCTTCTGGCTCAACCGGTGCTCCGACGCCTGCTTCCTCTGGGACATGGTGCTGGCCTTCCAGACGTCCTACTTCGACGGCGACCGGGGCGAGTGGGAGACGCGGAAGCGCGTCGTCGCGACGCACTACCTGAAGACGTGGTTTTTACTAGATTTGCTGTCGCTCATCCCCTACGGCCTGTTGACGGACCTGAACCTGGGCCAGGCGGGGTTTTTACGCATCATCCGCCTCGTCCGGCTCATGAAGTTGTTGCGATTGGTGAAGCAGCCGCGGATCATGGCGAAGCTGAAGAAGTACTTCACGATCCCCATGAAGCTGCAGACGCTGCTCAAGTACTTCATCCTGCTCTTCGTCATCATCCACTGGACGGCCTGCGTGCTGCGGCTCATCACGTCCTTCGCGCTGGGCGACTGCCACCCCGCGGACGACGACGGCACGCGGTGCCCGCGGACGTACCTGTCGACGTCGCGGCGCTGGGAGGCGGGCCGCGTCTGGCCCCAGTACGCGTCGGCCGTGCTCTGGGCGTTGGGGGCCCTGAGCGGCGAGGCCTACGGGGACGCGAACTCGGAGGAGACGGTGCTGAACGTCGTCGTGCTGCTGCTGGGCATCGTCGTCATGGCGTTCCTCGTGGGCGAGCTCGCGAACATTTTGGGCAACTTCGACCCCGTGGGCAACGCCTTCTCCACGACGGTCGACGGGCTGAACTCGTTCCTCATCGAGAACAACTTCCCGAACATCCTCCGTCTCAAGCTCCGCGAGTACATCATCCTCTCGGAGCCCATCTACCGCGAGAAGTACTACATGGAGCTCATGGAGGCCATGTCGCCGGGCCTCAAGCAGGCCGTCGCCCAGCACCGCCTCAGCGACACGGTGCGGCGCATCAACTTCTTCTCCTACGCCATGCGCCGCGGCTGCGGCATCGTCGTCCACGCGACGGTCTCGATCGCGCCGCTCGAGGCCTCGGAGCCCGACGACGACGGCGACGCGCCCCCGCCGCGGCGCGCGAAGATCGTCGCCCTCCGCAAGCGGGGGACGCTGGACGTGGAGTACGACGGCGGCGAGACGGAGACGCACGTGCCCTACGAGCGCGTCGTCGTCGGCAGCGTGTCGTCGCCGACGGTGAACGACGAGATCCAGCAGCTGAGGACGGCCAACTTCCTGTTCATCAAGACGCGGTTCATCACGTCCTTCGCCATGAAGCTCGACTCCCAGCTCTTCATGCCCCTGGAGTCCATCATCGACCCCCACTGGAGCCGCATCGACTCGCTCTACATCATCCACACGGGCAAGGTCGCGCAGTTCCGGCGGAAGCGGAACATCAAGTGGGACATCGAGGTGTTGAACTTCGGCGAGGCGCTGGGCGAGGACATCGCGACGCTCGTCGTCGGCAGCGGCCGCCGGCGCGTGCGCCACTACCTCGCCAAGGCCGTGAACTCCGTGCAGACGTACCGCCTCGACGCGGACGACTTCCTCGAGATCATCCGCGACGAGAACTGCAAGCCGCTGCTCAAGCACGTCCACGTCTTCGGCGCCTGGCAGATCGTGCGCATCCTCGTCTACGCCGCGGGCGTCACCGCGCGGCGCAAGGGGCTCACGCTCCGCCAGTTCTTCCTCTCGTTCGCCGACTTCGACGACGACGCGCCCCCGGACGACGCCGCGGACGGCGGCGGCGGCGCGCCGCCCGCGGCCGCCGTGCCCGTCTACAACCGCGCCTGGATCGAGCGCAAGCTCCGGGACCTGGACCGCCTCAAGGCCATCGGCGCGATCGACGACCAGGAGCGCGCGGCGGCGCGCAAGGTCGCGCTCGACCGCTTCGCCCTCGCCGACGACCCCAACGACCCGGAGTTCACCTCCTTTCTATGGAACCAGGCCCAGAGCGTCGCCGAGGCGTCCTGACCGGGCTCGTAGCATGCCTAAGTTGGCCGCGTGCTAACATATGGATCCCGCAGCCCGAGCGCTCCTTTATGCTTCCTTCATGCTGAAGCCAAGGTGACGGCAATTCGATCGAGAGCGGCGCACTTCCCTCGGCCGCCGCCGCCCACAGCCCAGCAGCTCCGCGTCGTGCAGCGCCCTCCCGTGTGCGCCAGCAGATCGCCGCGCCGTGCATCGCATCGCTGTCGGCAGCGCTCGTGCCGTCGCGTCGCATCGCCTCGTCGCATCGCGCCGGGCGAATCTGTCGCATAACACAGCATGGCCGACGAGGCCAAAGCAATAAGCCTCGGCCACAAGAAGTGGATCATGGAGTTCATGAAGGCCCTGCCCGAGGGCAAGTGCACCTACGAGGACCTCGTGCAGGAGGGCGAGAAGCACCACTGCGACACGCTCGGGGCCATGTTGAAGCTCCTCAAGCGCGACAAGGTCCTCGGCTACAAGCCCATGTTCCTCATGCGCGGCCCGGCGCGTCGCCGCGCGCGCGGCCGCCACGCACGAGACGACCGCGCCGCAGGTACCCCATGAACAAGGGCGAGGAGGTCACGCTGCTGAACAAGGACTACGTGCCCGAGTAGGCGCGGCGCGTCGTAGGGGTGGTTAGGGCGCCGCTACTGCCAGGACTGGCGCCGCGTGCGGTAGGCGGGCCCGTCGTTCGCCGGCGCGCGCTTGTCCGGCGGCGGCGCGGCCTTCTTCGCGGCCGCGGCGGCCGCGGCGGCGCGCGCGTTGTGCTTCGCGTTCGACGCGCAGCCGACGACGAAGGGCCCCGCGAGGGCGACGAGGGCCGCCGCGGCGAAGGCGCCCGGCTCGTCGGCGACGAAGAGGCTCAGGGGCAGCGGCAGGTACGCGGACGACCGCGCGCCCGCGCCGGCCAGACCGGCGAGGCCGGACGCGGCGTAGGCCGCGACGTCGAGCGCGCGGTCCCGCGCGAGGAACGGGTGGCAGGCCTCGACGTAGTCGCCGCAGCAGAGGTTCACGAGCAGGCCCCGCAGCGCGAGGTCGCCGTCCGCGCCCGCGCGCGGCGGCGGCGGCGCCGGCGGCGCCGGCGACCCCTCCGGGTTTCCCTTCGGCGGCGGCGCCTGGCGGGGCGACGGCCCCCGGGGCACGGCGAGCTGCGCCGCGCAGGCGCCCGCGCCGACGCAGCAGAGCGCGAGCACGTCGAGCGCGCCGACGGCCGACATCGCGAGCGCCTCGTGCTCGAGGAGAATAACGGGCAGGAAGTAGGCGTGGTACCAGCCGCGCCGCGCGCCGTGCTGGAGCGCGACGGCCGCGGCGGCGTTGAGGAGCGGCTGCCCCAGGGCCCGCGCGACCGCGGCCCGCGCGGCCGCGGCGCACGCGTCGGCGACGGGCGCGACGGCGACCCAGAAGGCGACGCCCAGGCCGGCCGGGAGCGCCCCGGCGACGAGGAACGTCGCGAGCGTGCCCGGCGCGCGGAAGCGCGACGCCAGCGCGAGCATGTGGGGCGCGAGGACCGCGTACGCGACGGCGCCGAGCGCCGCGGCCGCGGGCGACCCGCCGCAGAGCGCGCCGAGCAGGGCGCCGCCGAGGCAGGCGACGGCGCCCAGGTCCCGGGCGTATTTCGTCGCCACGAAGGCGCCCGCCGCCGGCGCCAGGAGGCGCTCCGAGTCCGGGAGCACGCGGAACTTGGCGAGCACGGCCGCGCAGACGAACGCCGGCAGCAGCTCCGCGGCCACGGACCGCCAGGGCGGCGCCTCCTTGCCGAGGAAGGACGCCGGCGCGTAGGCCTCGCCCCAGCAGCCCGCGAGCGACGCCGCGACGCCGATGGCCTTGGTCCGCGCGGACGTCGCGACGGAACCGCCCGCGTTGCCCGCGAGGCGGCAGCCGTGGTCCGCGGCCGCGACGGCCAGCGACGACCCGCCGCTCCCCGCCACGGGCACGCCCGCCGCGCCCGCGGCGAGGAGCGCGCCGCAGTTGGCGCCGCCGAGCCGCGCGTCCGCGGACACCGCGACGACGCCGTCGAGCGTCGGCACGGTCTTCGCGAGCGCCGCGTCGAGCTCCCGCGCGCGCTCGTTGACGGCGCGCAGGTCGCTTCTCAGCAGGCACTGGGGCTCCGCGGACACGGACGCGTCGACGATCCAGAGCGACGCGGGGCTCCGCGCGTGCGCGCCGTCCAGCGGCGCCTCGCAGCACACGAGCTGCGCGGCGACGACGCACGCGCCGTTGGACACGAGCGCCAGCTCGCCCTCGAGGGCCTCGAGCAGCTCGTGCGGCGTGCCGAAGAGCACCGCCGAGCCCCCGGACGACCCGACGACGGCGACGCGCCGCCGCGACACGGGGTTCGCCAGGAGCACGCCGTTGTTCACGTGCATCCTCGTCGGGCGGCAAAAAAGGGCTGTGCGGGGGGGTCCGAGAGGTGGCGCGCGGCGCGCGGCGCGATGTGGTGTGGCGAGGCGGTCGGCGGACTGCGGCGCGGCCGTCGTCGATGTGCCCTCTGGTGTCGAGCCTGATCGCTCCGTGGAATGGCTTCAATTGCTGGGCACAATCACCGCGTTGCCGTCGGAGAGGCAGTCTGAGGCAGCCCTCTGATGGATGCCCTCTCCCAGCGCAAACGCTTGGACACACTCTTCGTCATCACGTCCGTCGCGCTCCTCGTCGTCGGCGCCGCCGGCTTCTTCCGACCGACGTCCTGGGCCGTGCTCTTCGACGACGGCGCCGAGGTCGCCGCGCGGCACATCCAGGGGCGGCTGCACCTCAAGGAGACCATCCGTCTCTTCTCGTCGTTCATGATCGGGCAGGCCTATGTCATCTGGTCCGCGCGGCGCGTCGTCGACGGCGGCGCGCGGCGCGATATGACGCGAGGCCTCTTCTGCTCGACGGCGCTCGTGACCGTCGCGCTCGCGCAGGCGCACCAGAGATCGACGACGCTGAGCACCGGCGCCCACGGCGTCGCGTGCGTCGCGTTCTTCGCGGCGCTCTCGCTGGGCTACGGCTGGTTCGGCTTCTGCCAGCCGCCGGCCGTCTTCCGGGGCCTCGGCCGCGACGGCTAGAACTTAAAGACCGCGGGGTTCGCGAAGTCCTCGGCGATGATGGCGTCCATCTTGTCCTCGTGCTTCTCGATGAAGGCGAGGCCGCTCTTCCGCGCGTCCGCGGCGGCCGCCGCGTAGAACGCGTCGTCGGTCATGAGCGCGTGGATGAGGTTCGCGAAGGGCAGCGCGACGTCCTGGGGCGCGATGTGCAGCAGGCAGCGCAGGAGGTGCTTCGACACCTTCTCCTGGCGCTTCTCCGCGTCGCCGCCCGCGGCGACGACGTCGTCCGGCGGCGGCGGCCGCGGCCGCTCCATCATGTCGTCGAGCGTCGTGTCCCGCAGCAGCTGGAAGCCCGCGTGGTCGTAGAAGTAGGGCGTCCGGATCTTGAGCCGCGCGACGGGGTTCGCCTCCGTCAGGCCGCCGTGGTCCGTGGACACGACGGGGATGCCGCGCGCCGACGCCTCCATGGTCACGAGCCCAAAGGCCTCGGGCCAGATCGACGGCACGATGAGGACCTTCGTCTGCGCGTAGAAGTCGTCGACGTTCTGCGTGCCCATCTGGATGTCGACGTTCTCGAAGCGCTTCAGGATGTGCTGGACGACGCCGTTCGTCCAGGCCGTCGCCACGCAGAGGAACTTGGTCGTGGGCATCATCGGCGACAGCGCGGCGATCATCGAGAGGCCCTTGGGCGCGCAGGGCGAGATGATCGTCACGTACTCGCGCTCGATCGCGTCGGCAAAGTGGGGCATCCGGTGGCGCTCGTAGTAGCCGTAGCAGGCCCCGTAGCACTGGCGCGCCGTCGGCGGGTTCGGTAGCCCCCGCGCCGCGTAGGCCTCGGGCGCGAACCGGTTGTGGTAGTCGGCGACGTGCTGCGAGTCCGTGAGGAGCCGCCAGCCCGCGAGCACGGCGTAGAGCTCCTCCCGCTGGTCCTCGTCCGTGTTCGTGAACGGGCCCCAGGGCGCGCCGGCGTAGTCGTGGCACATGGCGATCTTGAGCGGCGCGTCGCAGTGCGCCGACACCCACCGCGCGACGCCGAGCTCCGGCGAGCTCACGACGACGACGTCGTAGGCGCCCGCCGCGATCTGCGGGTCGCAGCCGAGGCGCACGCAGTCCACGTCCAGGCCCTCCCACCGGCGCGCCTCGCGCTCGTAGTGCTTGAAGACGAAGTCGACGGCGACGACGCGCGCGGCCAGCGCGCGCTTCGCGTAGCGCGTCAGCGCGTACGTCAGCGTCAGCCCGCCCGTGGGCCGCTTCGTCATGTCGCTGCTCCGGCCGCTGTTGTCGTAGACGAAGAGGTTCGCCGTCGTCACCATGAGCACGCGCGGGCCGGCGTAGGGCGGCCGCGCGGGCGGCTGCGGCGCGACCTGCGGCGGCGCGGCGGCGGGCGGCCGGCGCGGCGCCGGCGCGGGTGTTTTGTCCGCGGCGCCGCCGCCCTTGGCCGCCGCGGCCTTGCGCGCCTTGACGAAGTCCTTGAAGCTCGACATGGATCACCACACCATAGGCGACTGGGGCTCGAGATTGGGCAGCCCGAGGGGCCGTACATGTATCAGCTCAGCTCAGCTCATCTCAGCTCAGCGGCCGTATCAGCTTCAGCTCCGGCGAAGCTGCCACTGGAGCAAGCGCCCAAGTGGAGTGCGTCTGAGAGAGGCCGAGCTTCTGGGCGCGTCGCGCGCCTCGGAGCGCGGCCGACGATGATGCAGGGCCTGGACAACTTCAAGCACATGCTGGGCGTCATGTACATCACGGCCTTCGCGCTCATGGCCGGCGCCTTCGTCGCCGAGAACCGGGGCTACCTCATGAGCGTCGTCTACGCAGAGGAGGTGGCGCTGGAGGCGTCGTGCCTCGAGGCCGCCGCCGGCCCGGTGCTGAGCGGCTACGACGTCGTCGCCTACTTTTCGCTCGCCGACGGCGCCGACGCCGTCGCGGGCTCCGCGGCGCACAACGCGACGTACGGCGGCTACACGTTCTACTTCTCGACGGCGGCGAACCGGGCGACCTTTTTAACCGACCCGAGCGCCTACGCGCCCCAGTTCGGCGGGTTCTGCGCCTGGGGCATCGCCGAGGAGTCGCAGTGGACGAAGGCGACGCTCGGGCCCGACGCGGATCCGAACGTGTGGCAGATCGTCGACGACAAGCTCTACGTCTTCATGTTCGACAAGCCCGAGTCGAAATTCATGGGCACGCTCGTCGACGACGACCTGGACGCGTCGGGCTCGACGGCGACCTACGTCGCGGACGGCGACGCGCGGTGGACCGCGTGGTTCGGCGACGACGTCGCCTTCAACACGGGCTGCTTCTGGTGGGACGCGTCGTCCGACACGGCCGAGAAGGCGGCGAACCAGGAGGCGCCGGCGCGGCCCTAATTTTGGAAGAGGAGTAGCGATTTAGCGTCTAGAGGAGCGAGCGAGAGCGCGAGGCGGGCCGCGCGGAACAGCGGGGCCCGGCCCCGCGCTCGCGAGAGCGCGAGGCGGGCCGCGCGAAAAAGCGGGGCCGGCGTCGTGGTGGTGGGAGAGTAGTCAACAAGGCTGGAGCACACAATTGGGAAGAGAGAACGCGTGGAGAGATGTTTGGGCGAACCTCGCCGGTGAGATCGACGGCGGGCGAAGACGAACCGGCGGCGGCCGCGGGCTTCAGAGGAGGAACGGCTCCTCGGGCGGGAAGATGTCGGAGAAGTCGTCGGGGAAGATGTGGACGTCGTCGTCCTCGAGGTTGGCGCGCCAGTGGCCGTCGGGGCTGTGGGGGCGGCTCGGGAGCGGCGCCTCGGGCGGCGGCGCGGCGAAGAACGCCGCGGCGACGGGGCCCGGCGCGCCGTCGGGCCCGAGGCCCGCGGCCGCCGCCGGCGCGGGCGAGGGCCAGGGCGCCGGGGCGCCGTCGCCGCCGTCGCGGGCGTCCGCCGCGGCCGCGGCGACTTGGCCGTGGTAGGCCGCGTCGTGCGCGACGACGATGGAGAAGGGCGCGTAGCCCGGGAAGGGGCTCGCGTAGAGGCCCGGGCAGAGCACGCCCGCCGCGCCCGCCGGCGGCGCCTTGCGCTGGAAGACGGAGAAGGACGACGCGCCGGGCGTCGGCGCCCAGCGCGCGCCGCGGTCGCCGCCCGGCGGCGGCGCGCGGCCCGGCGCGGGCGCGGCGACGGCCGGCGCGGGCGCGAGGTGGAAGGCGATGCCCGGGAGGTGGGCGTAGTGGCCCTCGGCGAAGGCCTCGGCGAAGCCGCCGGCCGCCGCGCCGCGGGGCACGAGCACGGACGCGTCGCGGAACCCGGGCGGCGCGGCGCCGCCGCCGTCGAGCGCGGGCAGGAGCGCGACGGGCGGCGCGTCGGGCCCGAGGTGGGCGAGGAGGGACCCGGGCCGGGGCCGCGGCGGCGCGCCGGGGCACTGGGGCTTGGACTCCGACGCGGCCTCGGCCGTCGGCGGCGTGAGCGGGCTCGTCGGCGACACGCGGACGGGCGTCGCCGGCGCGTCCTTCTTCGCGGCCTTCTTCGCCTTCTTGTCGCCCTTGCGCCGCGTGCGCTTCGCGCGCCGCAGCGTCGACCGCTCGAGCACGGGCCGCAGCTGGAGCAGCTCCACGGGGTCCATGTCCGTGAGCTGGTCGCCCTTGATGCGCACGTAGACCGAGTTCTGCGGGCTCGAGCTCTTGTGGAGCTTGTTGTAGCCGAAGTTGTTGAGCTGGCGCTGGAAGGACGAGTAGTGCTCGTGGCGGAAGTAGGTCGGCAGCTTCTTCTCGAGCTCCTTGGGGTCGGGGATGATGATGTTACCTGGGGACGACGGGTCGCTCTCTTGCGGCCGAAGATATCGACGCGGCGGCGCGCCTTCCTTGGTCCACTGGATAAGTTCGGGCTCCTCCTGCGGCGGGGGGCGGCGTCCGGATAGGGACCGTATGCGGGGCGGCGGCGCACCTGGATGAGCTGCACGAGCTTCTCGAGGAAGGGGATAATCTTGCGGCGCCGGGGCCGGTACCTGATCACGACGGCGTGACGCGCGATGCGCTTTCCCGCGCGCGAGCGGCCGCGGACGAGCGGGTCGGCTCTCTTCGGCGTCGACGCGCGCTAGCGGAGGGGGGTCTTTTGGCGGGGGCGGCGGCCCCGCGCCGTCGGATCGAGGAGGAGCGTCGACGCCGAGGCGCGCGCTCGCTTGCGCGGGGCAGGCGCGCTGTCGTCGCTGAGCTCGGCGTCGGAAGCGACGTCGGACTTCATGGTGCAGGCCGAGTCGAGGGGGAAAATTGACGCCGTGCGGGCGGCCCGTATCGCCGGGGCGGCCGCCGAGCAACAACCTGGTTGAAGGAAAAGATGGTGAAACCGTCCGCCGCCCCAGCGCGGAGCCGCGCCGCGGGCGAGCGGGGGTAGCGGGCGGGCAAGAGACGGCCGCGAAGGACGCGCGCGCGCACCTGGCTTAATTAAATTCCGCGATGCTGCTGCGTCGCCAGCAATTTTTGCGCGTCGACGAGAGCAGTATCACAGGGCACGAACATGAAATGTGAGAGGCTCTCGGTGACCGGACAATGTTGAAGAGCTTTGGACACAGGCGGGTCGAGGGGGCTTTCATATTGATCGCATAAGACGACGGTGTCGACCCGCAACGGCAGCGGAACGGACGGGGATGGGCTCGTCGATCCCGCGCGCGACCGCGCGGCCCCGGCCGCGCGAAACCCGCGGCCGGCCGCACCCCGTGCCCATGCCCAGCGTACAAACTAGCCGACCCACTTTTAGTCGTCCCTCACGACGGGGTGGCTACAGACGCCGCTGAAGCCCGTCTGCCACGCGTCGTCCTCGTCGTCGGAGCCGAGGTCGGCGTACGCGTCGTCGACCTCCCGGAGCCTCGCCTCGCGCTCCTCCTTCTTCGCGCGCTTCTTCGCCTTGAGCAGGGCGACGACGCTGTCCTCCGTCGCCGGCGCCTCCGATTCGTCCTGGAGCCGCGGCGCGGCCTCGGACGACGGCGCGGCGGCCTTGTCCGCGCGCGCGAGGAGCGGCGCGAGGCGGCTCTCGTACCAGGCCTGGTCGAGATTCCGCCGCTCGTACTCGTCGTCGGCCTCCGTCGCCTCGGCGGCCTCGTCGTGGGCCTCCTGCTCCCGGACGCCGCCCGCGAACTCCTGAAACTCCGCCCAGGCCGCGGACTCGTCCTTGGCCTTCTTCTTCTCCGGGTCGATGCCCCGCGCGCGGAGGTCCGCGTCGGCGTTGTCGAAGAAGCCCGCCGGGAGCACGCCCGCCGCGGCGGCGGCGGCCGTCGCGTCGTCCTCGGCGGACGCGGCCGCGGCCGCGGGCGCCGCGGCGGGCGCGGCGGGCGCCGCCGCGTCGCCGCCGCCGTCGTCGTCGTCGTCGCTGCCGTAGGCGACGAGCGACGCCGCCGCGGTCGGCTCCGGCGCCGCCGGCGTCGCGCCGGACGCGTCGAAGAAGCCCGCGGGCAGACCCGCGGCGGCGGCGGGCGGCGCGGCCGCCGTCGCCGGCGCGGGCCGCGTCAGCGACGCGACCTTCTTCGTCGCCTTGGGCTTGGCCGCCGTCGCCCGCGGCGGCGGCGGCGGCATGGTCATGGCCTCCCGCTTCGCGCGCGCCTTCTCCGCGTCGCGCCGCGCCGCGGCCTCGGCCTCGAGCTTCGCCTGGCGGAGCGCTGCGGCCTTCGCCTTGACGTCGCCGCGCTTGGCCTTGCCGTCGCGCTGGCGTTTCAGGGACTTGAAGTCCATGGTTTGTCGCGCGCAGCGGTGCGCGTCGCAGTCAAACATGTTCATGCCAATGGTGAAGAATTGGTGAAGTCCTTCGAGTACGAGCATGGGGCAGCCACTACCGCAGCGGCTCCCACCGCTGCTGGGGCTGCTCGCAGCCCTCGTGGGAGGCGCTCTCGTCCTCTCCGGCATCCTCACGCAGCGACGGGCGCCCGTCGCCGCGCTCGCCGCGGACCCGGCGCCGTCGGACGGCGCGGAGCCAGCGGACGGCGCCTCGGCGCCCTCGGACGCCTCCGCAGCATCGGACGGCGCCTCCGCAGCATCCTCGACGCCGTCGACGCACGTCTACGTCGTCCTCATCGACGACGCGGGCTTCAACGACGTCGGGTACCACAGAGCGCGGACCTCGGCGCGGCGACGCCGTTCGTCGACTCGCTCGCCGAATCCGGCGTGCGGCTGAGACGCTACTACGCGCACACGAGCTGCACGCCGTCGCGGTCCGCGCTCCTCAGCGGCATGTTCGCGTCGAGCGTCGGCATGCAGGAGAAGGACGTGCTCTCGGACAGCCCCTTCGGGCTGCCCCTCGAGCTCGCGCTCTTCCCCGAGCGCGTGCGGCAGCTCGGCTACGCGACGCACCTCGTCGGCAAGTGGGACGTGGGCCACGCGGTGGAGGCCTACTGGCCGACGCGGCGCGGCTTCGACACGTTCTTCGGGCTGTTGACGACGGGCTACGACGACTACTTCAACCACACGATCAACGGCGGCATGGGCGTCTTCACGAGCCTGAGCAACGGCACGGCCAACGCCGCGGCCGAGTACGACGGCGCCTACTCCACGTTCGCCTTCGGGTCCGCGGCGCGCGAGGTCGTCGCGCGCCACGACGCGGCCGAACCCCTGTTCCTGGAGCTCGCGTTCAACGCGCCGCACTACACCGTGAGCGTGCCCGACGCCTACCGGGCCACGCCCGAGTTCGAAACTCTGGCGGCGTCTCTCCCGGACGGCCACTCGCACCTCCGAGAAACCTTCGCGGGCGCGCTGCGCCTCGTGGACCACGAGGTCGAAGCGCTGGTGGCGGCCCTGAAAGCCAAGCGCATGTGGGACGACTACGTCTTCGTCTTCGCGTCGGACAACGGCGCGTCCTGCATGGGCGACGGCGGGTCCAACTACCCGCTCCGGGGCCGCAAGTCGACACCGTTCGAGGGCGGCCTGCGCGTGCCCGCCTTCGTGCACAGCTTGAAGCACGCGCCCGACGCGCGCGTCTCGTCGGCCGTCGTCCACGTCAGCGACTGGCTCCCGACGATCGTCCACGGCGCCCTGCGCCAGGCCGCGGACCTGTCGCAGAACGGCGGCGTCGCCCTCGACGGCGCGAATCGGTGGAAGGCCATCCTCGGCGAGGACGACGCCGCGCCGCACGCGGTCATCGAGTCGTCGTACGTCGACGAGCAGTTCGCGGTGATCCGCGGCGACTACAAGCTCGTCTACTACCTGAACAAGTACAAGGACGAGGGCGCGTGCTGCGACAACGTCGGCTGGTGGGACGCGGACGGCACGGACGTCCTGAACGCGTCCGCGCCGGCCTCGGGCGTCTTCCGGTCTCTAAATCTCTTCAAGATCCTCGACGACCCGCGCGAGACGACGAACCTCCTCGACGTGACGCGGCGGCGGCTCTCGGACGAGGCCGCGACGGCGCTGGACGACCTCGCGGAGATCTACTGCTCGTACTACGCGAGGCCCTGTGTGGAATTCAAATCTTCAACCCGACTTCAATGTGCGCGTATGCGACCGTTTCGACGCAAGCTCTTCGGCTGTGCTTCGAGAACTCGACGAGAGCATTCGATTCGTCCAAAAGTCAGCCGAATCGACTTCGATTTGACCGAGCTAGAGAATTCTGAAGTTTGGTCAGGACCACCCAAACCAGTGGTTGATTTCCACACAGGCGAATCGAATGGCACCCGCGCTCTACTACGAGGCCGAGGACGCGGACGCGATCATGGGTGCGTGGAGCGACAACGGCGACGTCGTGACGTTCTGGATGGACGACGCGGCCACGCAGGACGCGTACCCGCTGTCGGCCTACGGCTACCGCAACGACTCGTCCTACCGCGCGATCGAGCCCTTCTCGTCCTGCGGTAAGCGTTCGTCGTAAAAACGGGGGGAGGCGCGCGGCCGCGGATGGACGGCGGGCGCGCAAAAAGGCGGGGGGGTGAAAATGGGCCCCGGCGGGGGAATGGGGGGGCGTCCCCGCCGGGCCGCGCGCGCGTTCCTAGGTGCGCTGGAAGGAGACGAACTTCATGGCCAGGAGCGCGAGGCAGTGGAAGACGAAGACCTGGAGGACGAAGACGCCGAAGACGGAGAACTTGGAGTGGCCGGAGAAGGACCAGTAGTCGAGCCAGTAGGACGCGTCCTGGTCGTCGTCGCCCGGTTCGCCCTGCATCTCGTTGAGCACGAGCGCCTCGAAGGACCAGCGCGCGAAGGAGAAGTTCGTCGCCCAGGACCAGTAGGTCGGCACCTGGTTCACGGGGATGGAGTAGCCGCAGAAGAAGATGCAGAACTGGAAGAGCGCGCTGTACAAGTTCAGCGCCGACTGCTGGTTCGGCGTGATCGCCGCGATCAAATTCGAGAACGCGTAGCCGCAGAGCGACAGCCCGAACATGACGAGGAAGAAGAAGACGAAGTAGCCCGAGAAGACGCCGCCCCGGAGGCCCACCATGGGGTAGGTGATCACGGAGTAGACGAAGACCAGGGGCACCTGGACGACCGCGTTGATCGCGCACCGCGCCGCCAAGTACGGCAGCTCCGCGTAGAAGCCGGAGGACACTTCCCGGTAGTACAGCGCGCGCTCGTCGAACATCTGGGGGATGGCTTGCAGGTTCGACATGGTGATGAACTGCTGCGAGAAGTAGGTCACGGACGCGAGCGAGTGCGCGTCCGTCTGGTCCCAGTAGACCACCCCGTACCATAAAGCCACCACTAAATTGCGGATCATGGCGATCTTCAAAGCCTGGCGCGTGTGCGACAGCACGAGGGCGTTGCGCAGGCAGTGGACCTTGAAGTGGAAGAACTGCTTCATGATATAGGTCATGGAGAATATATTTCCGTAGCTCGCGGACGCCTGCGTGAGCATCGCGTCGTAGTCGAAGCCCTCGGGCACGGGCGCGGCGAGGCCCGGGTTCGCCTCCATGGGCCCCGCGCCCTGCTTGGCGATGTCCATGAGGTACTCGGCGGCGTTGCGGTCGCCCGCGACCTGGTCCGGCCGGAGGCTCTCCAAGGCGCCGCCCGGCGGCCCCGCGTAGACGCGGCGGCCGTCGCCGATGACCAAAATCTTGTCGAAGAGGTTGAAGATCTCCTCCGTCGGCTGGTGGATCGTGCAGAGCAGCGTCGCGTCGCGGGCCGCGAGGCGGCGCATGGCGTTGACGAAGTCGAGGCTCATCTTGCTGTCGAGGCCCGAAGTCGGCTCGTCGAGGTACATGACGGCCGGCAGGTGGACCATCTCCACGGCCACGGCCGCGAGGCGCCGCTCGCCCGTGGCCAGGGCCTTCACGAGGACGTGGGACGACCCGTCCAGGGCGAGCATCTGCAGGATGGAGAGCACGCGGTCGCCGACGGCCGAGTCGTTCGGCTTCGAGAGCCGGAGCAGCGCGGCGATGCGCACCGTCTCCTGCACCGACAAATTGGAGATCATGACGTCGTGCTGCATGACGTAGCACTGCATGCCGTGGCGCTGGGCCGTCGTCGGCTGGGCGCCGTTGTAGAGCACCGCGCCCTTGCCGAAGCCGACCGTCTTCCGGCCCGAGATCAGATCCAAAAACGTCGACTTGCCCGCGCCCGACGGCCCCATGACCGCGAGCGTCTCGCCCGGGCTCACGGCCGCCGACACGCCCCGCAGCAGCGGCTTCACCATGGGCTTGCCCTTGGAGTCGGTCACGCGCACCGAGTAGTAGACGTCGCGCACGACGACCTCGACCGGGTCGCCCTGCTTCATCGACATCACGGAGGACGTCTCGCTGTGGAGGTGGTCCTTCAGGTCCACGGCGACGGCGGCCTGGGCGTCGACCGTCGCCGCCTTGGCGAGCTGCTCCGGCGTCACGGCCTGGAGCGTCCGCGGCTTCTCCCGGAGCGGCGGGAACGTCACCGCGCGGACCACCACGATGAACGCGACCAGAGGGATGAGGTAGTAGACGATGGGCGTGTCCGTCGGGTACCCAAAGGTCGACAGGATGTCGTGCTGCGACAGGTCCCCCCAGCCGTCGTGGAAGACGCCGCAGATGACGGCCTCGTAGGCCCAGCGCGTGAACGACACGAACATCAAAGCGTACGCCGGGTTCGTCTTCTCGATGACGGGCAGCTTGATGGGGTAGCCACTCGTCTGGCTCCAGATGTAGACGCCCGGCTGCCAGACCGACATGGCGACCTGGGAGGAAGACGTCCAGGCCGCGAGCATCTGGGCCCACGCGAAGCCCACGAGGTTCGTGAGCTGCGTCACGAGCAAGTACCAGAAGAAGACCCACGCCGCGCCCGCGACCTTGCCCGACCCGACGGAGAAGAAGACGACCGTACTAAAAAGCACGTTGACGAAGACGAGCCAGGGCAGCGGCGCGATCGTCGTCGCGACCCAGTAGACCAGGGGCCCGTAGGCGCGCGACGCGCGCTCGTGTTCGAAGAGCGCGCGCTCGTCGAAGAGCGTGACGATGCCCCGCAGGTTGCCCAGGATGCCGAACATCAAGGAAAAGTAGTAGCAGCTCTCCAAATTCGCCGCGCCCGTCGACGTCAGCGGCTGGGACACGAACGTCGAGGAGTAGAGGAAGCCGATCCACGCCATCTTGAAGAGCGACGTCTTCCAGATGGACGTCGACCGCTTGAACTGGGTCATGGACCGCCAGACGAGGGCCCAGACCTGGCGGTACTGGTCCGCGTCGCTCGTCGTCAGACCCGGGAGCGTCGCGCTGGGCACGGAGACCGCGCGCTGCACCGCGCCCGCCGCCGCCGCGCCCGCCGCGGACGCGGAGAACGCGCCGGCGAGCTTCGACGCGACGCCGCCTAAAGCGCTGCGCTCCGCCGCGGCGACGGCCAGCAAAAAGTCCGCCGGGTTCTCCCGCGGCGCCGGCGCGCAGTCGTGGGGCGAGCCCGCGAAGAACGCGACGGCCTTCGCCGCGGGGCCCGCGTAGACCGTGAGCCCGTCGCGGACGAGGAGCACGTTGTCGCACTTCTGGAAGACGTCGGCCGAGGGCATGTGCAGCGTCGAGATGACCGTGCGCCCCTGCTTCTGGGCGACGGAGTCGTGCACGTGGCGCATGACGTCCAACGCCGTCGTACTGTCGAGGCCCGTCGTCGGCTCGTCGAGGAGGACGACGCGCGGGTGCGCGATGAGCCCCAGGGCGACGGCGACGCGCTTCTTCTCGCCGCCGGAGATGCCGCGCACGGTCTCGGAGCCGATGCGCACGTGCGCGCACTTGGTGAGGCCGAGCAGGTCGATGATCTCGTCGGCCATCTGCTCGTGGCCGTCCGCGTGGCGGAGCCGCGCGGACGTCGCGACGATCTCGCGCACCGTGAGCGTCGAGATGCAGTTGAACTGGTTCTCCCGGGAGACGAGCGTGATGAGGTGGCGCCACTTGGGCGACGCGAGGTTGCCGTCGTAAAGGATGCGGCCGCAGACCTTGCCCTCGTTGCGCTGGCACGCGAGCAGGTCGAGCATGGACGACCTAGACACGCGTCGGTTTCTCCACGCACGCGCCGTTCGTTGTCGACGCGGGCGCCGCGCATCCAGGGCCCGCTGCGGCCCATGCAGAACCAGACCTCGCCGGGCTGCGCGACGAAGTTGACGCCGCTGAGCTCCATGGACATGCCGCCCTTGGCCTCGCGCGCGTAGCCCAGGTCCTCGACGCAGACGCAGGCGCCGCGCGGCTGGAGCAGCGACGCCCGCTCATCGCCGCCCATCGTCGCCGCCTACGGAACGCAGCGGCACGGTTGAGCGCGGGACACCGCGGCCGCTGGCGGCGGACGCCGGCGGCGCGCGAGGGTCGCGTCCGGAGCGGCGCCTGGGCTCGCGCGAGTGGCCCGGTCGAGGCCGACCGACGGGGCGCTGCGCACGCCTCGACGTTTCGGAGACGCGCGGACGTCTGCGATGCGAGGCTGCCGCTCGTCGTCAGCCGATCTGTGGCCGCGAGCCCCTTGTGGAGGTTTGCGCTCTCGCACCTGTAGCCGCTCGTCACTGTGGCAGAAGTTGCACCCTTGCGTATGTGAGGCGTTTTTGTGTTGCGAGCCGTGCAACCAGAAGCACCGGAGTCGCGTAGTCGACGCGCACGATGCTGCCATGGCTCGCGCTGCTCCTCGCATCGTCCGCCGCGTTATTAAGCGACTACAAAGCGCTCATTACGCAAGTAACAACACCAAATAAGCCGAGAGTCAAAACTAGCGTCGACGTGATCCTGTCCTCCGGCTTCTGCTGCTTTAGCAGCCACGCCGGCTTCCTCGACGCGCTCGAGGCGTCGCCGTGGCGCGTGCCGTCCGCGATGGTCGGCACGAGCAGCGGCAGCCTCGCGGCGAGCATCTACCTCGCGAGCGGCTGCTCGGCCGACGCCGTCGCGGCGGAGCTGTCGGCGTCGGCGCCGCTCCGCAGCTGCCGGCCGTCGCGCACGCCCTGGCGCGGCGTCCTGTCGACGCGCGCGCTGGAGCGGCGCCTCGCGCGCGTGCTGCCGCCGACCTTCGAGGACCTGCCCGCGCCGCTGGCCGTCGGCGTCTTCGACGCGAGGACTGGCGCGCCGCGCCTCGTCTCGTCCGGCGATCTGGTGAAAGCCGTCGCCGCGAGCTGCGCGGTGCCGCGGCTCTTCTCGCCCGTGAAACTCGCCGACGGGCGCTACCTCGACGGCGGCAAGAAGGACAGGACGGCGCTCGCCGCCTACCGCGCGTGGCGGCCGGGCCGGGACCACGTCGTCCACCTCGTCAAGGCCGCCGGCGCGCCGCTCGAGCCGCGGGACGGCGTCGACGCGGAGGACCGCGTCGTCCGCACGCCGCGCGCGGCCGCGCAGCTGTGGAGCCTCGGCGACTTCGACGGGGAGCGCACGACGGCCATGGCGCTCGCCACCGAGCGGCTCCAGTACATGTATATGCACTAGCGCCAGTAGGGATTCTAATTCAGAGGGACATGGGCGTGTCGCGCGCATCGTGGGCCGCGTGGAGGTCGTCGAAGCGGTCCTCGGCGGGGGCCGCCACGCAGGCGCCGCAGCCGAACATGGACAAGGAGACGTCGCTGCGCGGCGGCGGGGTCGGCGGCGGGGCGACGACGGCCGCGTCGCGGATCTTCTTGTCCGACTTGGACCGCTTGCTGCGCCGCCGCGCCTTGCGGTCGCGGGGGGTCTCGAGCTCGGACGCCTCGGACGCCTCCGTCATCGCGACCTCCTCGGCCGCGAGCATTTGCGCGGACGCCTCGTACTGTTCGGAGTCGCGCGAGAGGGGCGTGCGCAGGCTCAGGCGCCAGTTCGCGGAGACGCCCTCGGGCTTGTCGTCCCACGACCGGCACGCGAGCCCCAGAACGAGGACGATCAGATAGACGGCGGCGAAGAAGATGTTGAGTCGGCACAGCTCCGAGTTGAAGCCCGTGTAGGGGGAGCCGGAGATGTCGCCGTCGCCCCACCAGGGGTAGAAGGAGAGGAAGATCTGGAACGCGAAGAAGAAGGGCACGAAGTAGCGGCGCGCCCAGCGGTCCACGGAGAAGGCGTCGCGGCCGCCGTAGAGCAGGTTGAAGAGGAAGAAGACGACGTTCTTGAACGGCCGGCCCGATCCCGCGCCGAGCTCGTTCTGGCGCCGGTAGACCTTGTCGAGGTAGGTCTCGTCGCCGCCGAGCGCGAGCGCCATGCGGTTCATGCGCGAGCTGTGGACCGTCAAGACGAAAGCGACGAGCTGGAACGTGATCATGGACGAGAAGTAGAAGTCGAGCCACGTGGAATCCTTCGTGACCTTGGCGTCGTACATCATGAACTGCGCCGTGAGGATCGTCGTCATCGCGAGGCCCGACCGGTCGATGCCCGACCCCTCCGTGGGGACCCAGAAGACGAGGAAGCCGAGCATGTTCAGCGCCCAGCCCACGAGGACGTAGGTCGAGACGACGTAGGCCGGGTTCCGCGTGAACTTGATCGTGAAGTCGACGCGGCCGAACGTGCTGCCCGTCGACGAGTCCGTGTAGTCGACGACGGCCTCCTCCTCCGGGTCGAGGTAGCCCTCGGGCCCGTCGAAGATGTTGTAGCCGAGGTCGCCGACGAGCTCGACCTGGTCCACCGTCGCGGCGGTCGTGACCTCGAAGGCGCACTCGTGCTCGTCGTAGGGGTAGGGCGCGATGTTCATGTCGCAGATGAAGTCGCCCACGGCCTTGAACGTCGCCCGGACCGTGCCGTCGGGGAGGATGGACGCGGGGAGCACCTTGATAGACACGAGGGAGACCGGCGTGATGAGGTTGTCGACGTAGATGTCCGGCGACCAGATGCGATCCGTGTCGACGTAGAGCGTGCCGTTGTAGATGTTGACGTCGAACGCGAGCCGCGGGTCGCGCCACTCGAGGCGGATCCAGACCGTCGCGGCGAAGCTGCCGCCGGCCGTGTCCACGTCCTCGATGCCGACGTCGCGCGCGCCGACGCGCACGACCGTCGGCCCCACGCCGCTCTCGGGCTTCGCGCGCACGTCCGCGGCGTACGTGCCGCCGAGGAGGTCCGACACGACGTAGCCCTCGGCGTCGGCGTACTGGCACGACGTCTCCGTCTCGAGCTGCGCCGCGTCGTCGTCGAAGAAGCGCTGAAGGTCCGCCGTCGTGTTGTAGTCGTTGGCCCGGACGACGTCGATGACGTTCTGCATGGACAGCCACGCGCCCATGCCTGTGTGGAAATCAAATCTTCAACCCGATTTGACCGTTTCGACGCGATCTCTTCGGCTGCGCTTCGAGAACTCGCCGAGAGCAATCGATTCGTCCAAAAGCCAGCCGAATCGACTTCGATGTGACCGAGCTAGAGAGTTCTGAAGTTTGGCCCCGAGCTCGCTGGTTGATTTCCACGCGCGCCCACGCCCGGCGTCGACATGTACTGGTCGCCGTCGGCGACGATCTTCCCCTGCTTGAGCATCCAGTCCTCGGTCCAGTCGAAGCCCGCGATCAAAATCTTCGCCGCCGCCGCGGGGCTCAGCGTGTCCTCGATGGCCCGGAGCGCGCCCTTGACCATGCGGTCGTTCGCCGCGACGATCAACGACGCGGACGAATCCTTGACGAGCGCGGAGAAGGCCAGGTCGTAGGCCGTCTCCTCGCGGAAGTAGGCCCGCAGCGACGAGTGCTCGAAGATCGTCGCGCCGCAGTGCTCCTCGAGCCACGCCAGGTTCGCGTCGACGCGCGAGTCCGCGTACGCGGCGCCGTACAGGCGCATGGCGCGGTGGATGGCCCCGTAGCCCGTCGTGCGGCAGATCTCCTGGGCCACGAGCTCCGCCGCGTTGATGGGGTCCGGGTTGAAGTTGAACTGGAAGCTCGTCGCGTTGGTCAGGCCGTACGCGGCCAAGTCGACGCCCTCGGCGATGGGGAAGAACGCGCCGCCGGCTTGCAGCAATTCCGCGTAGCTGGCCTCGCCGTGGCGCATGGGCCCGACGACGAGCACGTCGCGCATGTGCGCCGTGCCGTTCATGATCGTGCCGATGATTTCCGCGACGTCGTCGTCGCTCGCGGCGAGGAGCGACTGCTCGTAGGCGATGCTGCCCTCGAAGCCCAGGCGCACGGGGCCCCAAAAGTCCTGCAGGTAGTCCTCGCCGGGCCAGACGCCGTAGATGTATTTGAAGCTCGAGCCGGACGCCGCGGGCAGCGACGCCAGGGACGCGAAGGCCGCAAATATTCTCGTCGCCATCCTGTAGCTACTTACTGATGCATGCATTAGATATATTCTAAATTGATTTCTTCACCTTGGCTTCGCTAAAAGTGATGGACTGCGGCGAAATCTGAGGCGAGCACCCACAGCAGCAGCAGCAGCAGCATGGAACGCGCTCGATCGCAAAACCCGAGCGTCGTCATGCAGCATCGCTGCCGGCGGAGCTCGGCGAAGCCGGAGCGCGTCGAACTATGCCACTACGACTGGCCGGACGCCGGTCCCGAGAACGACCACGCCCACCGGCCCAGCGTGTCGGCGTCGACGTCCTACGCCGACAGCGGCCTCACGGTCCGGTTCCGCGTCGACGACGACTTCGTGACCTGCGCGCGCACGGCCTTCAACGACCAGGTCTGCGAGGACAGCTGCTGCGAGTTCTTCGTGTCGCCGGGCGCGCTGAGCCACGCGGCGTCGGACTACTGGAACTTCGAAATCAACGCCGCCGGCACGATGCTGTGCTACCATTGCTTCCCGGGCAGCGGCGAGCGGCGGCCGCTCTCGCGCGACGACGCGGCCTGCGTGCTCGTCGAGAGCTCGCTGCACCCGACGCGGGCGACGGCCGCGGACGCCGGCGTCGCGATAGAGCCCGGGGACGCCGCGACGTCCTACGACCTCGAGTTCACCGTGCCCTGGGACGTCTTCGGCGGCGAAGACAGCCCGGCGCCGGCGGCGGGCACCGTGTGGAGCTGCAACTTCTACAAGTGCGGCGATCGCACGAAGCACCCCCACTGGGGCTGCTGGGCGCCCGTCGGCTCGCGGCGGCCGAACTTCCACCGGCCCGAGGACTTCCAGCAGCTCATCTTCTCCTAACGACACGTTTAAACGAACGAACGATGCGGGTCGACTAGAGGGCCACGGTCGCGGCGCCGAGCGCGAGCTGCGCCATGCCCGCGCCGGCGCCGAGGACGCCGCCGACGAGGATGAGCGTGAACTCGTCCTCCTGGAAGACGGGGTGCAGCAGGTTCTCGAACTCGGCCGACGGCAGGGCCTTGAGCTTCGCCGAGAGGTCCGCCTCCAGGTCGAGCGACGCGTCGATGAGGTCGTGGGCGCCGTGGCGCTCCGCGGCGGCGACGGCGCGGATGCCGCCGATCGCCGCGTCGAGCACGGAGTCCGGGACGACGAAGGGCAGCTCCCGCCGGAGCAGCGCGCGCAGCCGCGGCGCGCGGTCGCCGTCGACGAGCTCGGCGAGCAGGCGCGGCGACGTGAGGACGCGCGCGCGCAGGAACGCGGCGAACGCGTCGGAGACCTCGGGCTGCCGCTTCTCGAAGAGGCCCTGGACCTCCATTCCCAAGACGTCCACGGGCTCCACGGGCTCGAAGACGAGCTTGATCGCCACCCAGTTCGTCGCGTAGCCGACGACGGAGCCGGCCAGGGGGAGGAGTACGCGATACGGGTGGTAGAGCCAGACGGCCGCTTGGCCCACCCCGAAGAGGAACCCGAAGCCGAGGCCCGACCGCACGAGAAAATCGAGCTCGACGCGCGCGACGTCCTGAAATAAGTCGACCAGTACGGACTTGTCGCGCAGGAACCTACCGAGTGCTTCGGTGACGATGTTTCATCGTTTTCCCACCCAGAATCTCTCGAGAATCGTCCGAGCCGCAGGACGCTGGCGAGGAACGCCGTCGAGACGACGTGCTCGAGGTCCAGGATGTCGTCGATGTCGCGCTGCATGGCGCGCACGCACCGCGCGAGCGCCCAGGGCAGCGCGGGCCTCAACATAAACGCCCACGCGGGCCCCGCGTCGCGCGCGATCGCGTCGGCGACGGGTCCGCAGAGGAGACCGCCCAGAGCGCACGCGTCGATGCGCCCGAAGGCCTCGGGCAGCGACAGGAGCTTCGCGGTGATGACGTCGACGAGCCGCGCGGACATTTGTTCGCACTTCGTCGGCACGACGCCCTGCCAGCCGAAGAGGCCCCACGGCGAGTCCTTCAGGCGCCAGAGCTCGAGACCGATGTAGTCGATGGGGTAGAAGAGCATTTGGACCTGCGGGCGGCGGAACCTCCGCCGGCGCGTCGCGCGCGGCCGCGCGGCGCCGGGCGACGCGCGCCCACGTAATTCGTGCCGAAGCCGACCGCCGCCGCGACGACGGGTATCGTCCAGTAGGTGCCCGGATTGTTCCGGAGGCGCTCTCCGGCCGTGGTCGTGCTGCGGCGCTGCTGCGCGCGTGCAATGCCTCGCATCGCGCCGCGAGCGGGCCCGCATCGCGCCAGCATGCTCCGTAACGAGGGCTGCCTACAACTGGCTGCCTTAATTAACCAGCCAACATTCGAACAACATGCTCAATCCTGCTAAGAATTCTTGCTTGACTCCTCATTGAAGAAGTTGTTGAAGGGGAGGCCCGCCCGAGGCCGCGTCGTCTCGTTGAATTAAGGCGCAGCCGCACGTGCGGGAAGCGGGGTCGGGCCGCGCGCGACACCGTCCGGGGCGGTGGTCGCGGCGGCGGCCGTCATGGGGCTTCCCGCGGGCGCGCGCGCCTAGGCGTCGTCGAGCGCGCTGGCGATGGCCCGCACGAGGGACTGGGAGCCGTTGGTGCGGCTCGCGCCGTGGGGCCCGCGCAGCACGTTGCCGTTGGAGCCGTCCCACCACTTGGCGACGGACCGGTCCCGGCGGACGACCGCACGGTTCGGCACGAACGCGATCCGCGCGGCCGCGACGTTCTTCGAGTCGATCCAGAAGTGGGCGAGGTGGGGCCACTTGCGGCGCGCCTCGCGCGCGCAGACGCGGGGGTCGTCGTCGATGCAGACGGCGACGAAGGCGACGCCGCCTGCGGCCGCGACGTCGCCGAGGGGCGTGGCGCCCGCGCGGCACCGCGCGGCGAAGGCGTCGAGCGAGTCGAGGCTCCGGCCGCCGCGCACGGGGCATCAGGGGTCCACGGCGACGACGGGCTCGCGCGTCCGCGGCGCGTCGTTGGACAGGTAGAACTCGACGACGAGCGCCGCGGCGTCGAGCGCGAGGAAGAGGTGCTGCGCGACGCCCGTCGCGACCTCGAGGCACTTGAGCGCGGGGAAGAGCGCCAGGGCCCGCGCGGCCGTGTGCTCCGCGTGCGCGGCGGGCACGCCCTGCTGGTCGAGCCACGCGAACCGCTTGCTCGGCGGCGCGCGCTCGGGGTGCCGCCTCTCGACGCCGGACCGGTTCCGCGTCGTCTCGCTCTGGCGCTGGTGCAGGAAGTAGGTCGCCGACGCGTCGCGCCGCCGGCTCAGCAGCGCCGCCGCGGCCACGGCCTCGTCGCGCTCCAAGCCGCTCATGCGCCGCTTCGGCCGCGGCGGCGCCGGCGCGACCTCGAAGGACAGTGCGTCGTCGTCGTCGTCCTCGAGCTTGCCCTCGCTGTAGCCCTCGCCGTAGAGCTCGCCGTCGCCGCCGCTGTCGTCGGCGTCCGCCCAGGCCACGCGCGGCTCCTCCTCGGGCTCCGGGGCAGCCTCGACGACCTCCTCGGGCTCCGGCGCCGGCGCCGGCCGCTTCTTCTCGAGCTTCCGCCGCGTGTACTTGCGCCAGGCGCGCATCGTCAGCGGCAGCCAGCCGCCGCAGTCCTCGACGAGCCGCTCGGTCATGGCCTTGACGGCCAGCTCCATGTTAGCTGCTCAACCGTTAGGTTGTTATTGATGCCTTCTTGACGGCAATTATAAGCCAGGATTTCAGCATGGCAGAATCGCCTCGCTACCAACGATGATGCGCTTGTTCCTAGTGATGGCTGGCGTCGGCGTCGCCAGCGCCGAGCTGTTCTTCGTCGGCAGTGGTGGATGCGACGTGCTAGATCATGGTTGCGTGGACGATCCCAAAAACGAGCGCTTAATAGGGGCAGTCCAAGTGGATGCCACGGGCGCGCTGTCGTGGCCGCAGTTCGAACGCGTGGACGCCGGCGGCATCCCGTCGTGGCTCGTGACCGACGGCGACTGCACCTGGGCGGCGCTGCACGACACGAACCGCGTGGCGAGCTTTCGCAATGACAACGGCGCGCTCGCGCTAGTGGCGTCGGAGCCCTCGGGAGGAAAGACGCCGCTGTACATGGAGCTCTCGCCCGATCGCCAGCTGATGCTGATCGCAAATTACGCAGCACCAGACGACGGAACGAATTCCAGCGGCGCGTCCGTCGCCGCGTTCTCGCGGCGCGATGGCTGCGGGCTCACGCTAGAGGATTCTGCTGCTGTAGATGCGCCGTCGCACGTCGACCCCGACGGCCGGCAGGGAGCGAGCCACATCCATTCCGTCGTCGTCTCGCATCGGCTCCCGGGGATCGCGTTCGCCTGCGACCTCGGCGGCGATCGGATCTACGGGTTTCGCTACGACGGAAGCGGCCGGCTGCGCCGCGTCGGTTCGGCCGCGTCGCCGCCCGGCGCCGGGCCGCGGCACGCGCGGGAGCACCCGTCGCACAACGTGCTCTACGTGTTGCACGAGATGGGATCGTTTCTCCAGGCCTGGTCCTTTACCGAGGCCTCTGGCGAGCTCGAATTCGAGCCGGGGCCGATCGTCTCCCTGCTGCCATCGGCGCCCTCGAACAGGTCCAAGGCGGCCGAGCTGCTCGTCCGGGGCAACTACATCTTCGCGACGGTCCGCGGCGAGGACAGCGCGGTCGTGTCCGTCGACGTGTCGGAGCCGCTGAAGCCGTTCGTCGCGTCGCGCCGGACCGAGGACGTCGACGCGTTCCCCCGCGGCGCCGCGTTCGCCTCCGACGGCACGCTCCTCGTCGCCGGACAGCACGGGAGCACCGTCGCGTCCTTCTCCGTCGGCGACGGAGGGGCCCTCGAACACGAAGCGACGCTCGCCGGGAGCGTCCCGCCGTTTCCGGCCGCGTTCGCGCCCGCCTAGAAGAAGTCTCGACGTTCGCTCGGCCCATGCATGAGATGCACATGTATGAGCAACGGAAAGGCGGGGGGCAGTTCGGGGCGGGCGCTCGAGTGGGCACTTTCAAATGGCCTCGACGGTGGACGAGTTGCAGAGCATGATGTTGAACATGTCGTCTTCGTAGCCGTCCCCGGCGGCGTCCGGGTAGCGCTGGATGGGGATCTGCTCGTCCTCGTCCGTGAGCGTCGCGTCGTCGGCCTGCGGGTAGGCGCAGAGCCAGCTGCTGCTCTTGGGCGGCTCCGGCGCGGGCGTCGAGTAGTCCTCCGTCTCCGTCGTGTACGTGTAGGTCGTCTTCGCGCCCGTGCGCGTGGAGACGTAGGTGAAGCTCTCGTTCTGTTCCAGGTGGATGGTCTCGGGCGTGGCGATGACGTCGCTGAACTGGTAGCCGCGCGGGCTCTGGGCCTTGGAGCTCTCCGTCGTCTTGAAGGGCTTGTGCGGCTTGTACTTGGCGTAGGCCAGCCCCTCGTAGTCGTTGTGGGCGTTGAGGATGCGGCCCACGAGGTCCGCCTCGGCGTCGTCGTCGTCCTGGGCGACGAGCTCGCTGACGTCGGCGACGAAGCGCGCGGGCGCGTTGAACGCGACGACGACGGACGTCGACTTCGTCGCCTGGTCGAACGCGGACGACACGACGACGCCGACGGCGTTGCGCGACTCGAGGCCCTGCCAGCCGTGGAGGGGCTCGATGACGTCGTCGCCGATGCGCACGAGGGAGCCCGGGATGGGGATCTCGAACGTCTTCGGCGGGCCGACGCGGTTCGCCGACGGCCGCCGCTTCGGCCGCGCCTCGTCGGGGTGGGCGACGGCCAGGCCGTCGCCCGCGACGCGGTGGATGTAGTCCGGGTAGCCGCTCGACGCCGCCGGCTCCTCCGTCTTCTCCTCCGGCGGCGGCGGCGGCGGCGCCGCGGGCGCCTCGCCCGGCGGCGGGCCCAGGATGATGGGCTCGTCGGACGCCTCCCGGACCTCGGCCTCGACCTTGTCCGGGCAGATGTAGCCCCCGAAGAACTCGACGAGGCGGTGGTCGTAGAAGATGTCCCGGTCCTTGCAGAGCGCCGCGAAGAGCTTCTTGAGCCAGACCTCGAGCTCCGCCTGCCGCTTCTCGCTGCCCTTGCCCAGCGTCAGCACGGCCTGCTTGGCGTGCTCGGGGAAGGGGGGCAGGCCGCCGGCGACGACGACGCCGCTCTTCAGGGCCTCGGAGAGCTTGCGGCACTCGGCCCAGCGCTTCCAGACGCTCCAGGCCTTGGACGCCCGGTCCTTGACCTCGAAGCGGCCGCAGCGCTCCTCGGAGATGACGCGGATCTCGTAGAGGATCTTCTTCTCCCTCGGGTCCCGCTTCGTCGACGGCACGAGGACGTCGTACATGACGAACGGAGGCCGCAGATGGGGAGCCCAGAGCCGTCCGCAGCCAAAAATGCGCCGAATCAGCCGTCGTTGAACCAGTTGCACTTCGCTTGCCCCGGCCGCTTAGATAGCACGGCGGGTAGCGCGGGCTGCCGGCACCCGACGTTGGGTGCGGCCGACGGCCGACGCGCGCGGCGGCGGCCGGAGGCTCTCGCGGCGGCCGGCGGGTGCTCCCGCAGCGCCGCAGCACCGGAGAGACACTCCTAAGCGCGGCGGCGACGGTCGGCACGTCGCGCGCACGACGACCGCGGCGCCATGGCCAAGGTCCTGGAGGCGCTCATCGCCAAGGGCCGGCGCGTGCGGCGGCCCCGGGAGCAGAAGGAGGTCGCCTTCGGCCTCTGCGACCTCTCGACGCACGTCGAGCTCCACGAGCGCATCGTCAAAAAAGGCGGCATCAAGTCGCTCATCAACCTGCTCGCGGGGTCGCAGGACAACGAGGCCCAGCGCTTCAGCGCCCTGGCCATCGGCAACTGCGCGTCGGCGAGCTTCAACCGCCTCGCCATCGTCGCCGAGGGCTGCCTGACGACGCTCATCGACTACACGGCCGCGGAGAACAACGATTTGATCGGCCGCCAGTACTGCGCGATGGCCATCGGGAACCTGGCCGCGGAGCCCATGAACCACGAGGAGATCGTCAAGTCCGAGGGCATCAACGCGCTCATGTGCCTCCTCAAGACCGAGGACATCGAGTCGGGCCGCTACGCGGCGTTCGCGCTCTCGAACATCGCCGCGAACGCGAACCACCGGCAGCAGATCGTCGACGAGGGCGGCGCGGCGGCCCTCGTGGCGCTGGCCTGCTGCGAGGACATGAACGCCCAGCGCCAGGCCATGTCGGCCCTGCGGGGCTTGTGCATCACGCCCCAGTACCGGCCTCTGGTGGTCCAGGAGGGCATCCTGGACCCCGTCGTGCTCATGGCGCGCACGGACGAGATCGACGTGCTCCGGGAGGTGTCCGCGGCGCTCAACTGTTTGTCGTCGGTCGAGGAGAACAAGATGGAGATCTGCGATCGGTCCATCTCGACGATCATCGCCATGCTCCTGTCGGGCGACGTCGAGACGGAGCGCCACGCGTGCTGCACGATCGCGAATTTGGTCGAGCTCGCGGAGCTCCACGGCCGCTTGCTCGAGGAGCGGGGGTTGGCGCCGTTGGTGGCGTTGGCCCTCTCGGAGGACGTGAACACGAAGGGCGAGGCGTCGCGGGCCATCGCGAATTTGGCGTCGAACGCGGACGTGCAGCAGACGCTGCTCAAGGAGGGCGTGCTGCTGCCCATGGTGAAAGCGTTGGAGATCAACGACATCAACTGCCAGCGGTTTTCCGCGCTATGTCTGGCGAATTTGGCGACGACCATCGCGTCGCAGATCAAGGTCGTCCAGGCCGGCGCGATCCGCCCCCTGATCGCCCTGGCCCACGACCCCCGGGGCCAGCTCGAGGGCCGGCGCTACGCCGTGCTCGCTCTGGCGAACCTGAGCGCCACGGTCGCGAACCACGCGGTCATGATCGAGGAGGGCGTGCTCCACGCGCTCTTTTCGTTGTCGAACTCCGCGGACGTCATGTCGCAGTACTACGTGGGCTGCGCGCTGGCGAACCTGAGCTGCGCCGTGACGAACCACGGCATCATGGTCGAGCAGGGCGGTTTGCAACCCCTCATCACGCTGGCCTACGCCCACGACCCGGACGTGCACCAGCAGGCGGCCGCCGCGCTCCGGGGTCTATCGGTGTCCGCGGAGAACAAGATGAAGGTCGTCCAGGAGGGCGGCCTCGAGCCCCTGACGCGCCTCCTCGCGTCCGAGGACGTGGAGATTTTGAGAGAGGTCTGCGCGGCGCTCAACAACCTGTCGCTCGGCGACGAGAACAAGTTCGAGATCGCCAAGTGCGGCGCGGTGCCGCCGCTCATCACGCACTGCCAGAGCGACGACATGATCATCGCCGCCCAGTCCTGCGCCTGCCTCGCGAACCTGGCGGAGATGGAGGAGAACCAGGAGATTATTGCCAGGGAGGGCGGCGTGCGGCCGACGATCGCGGTGATGCGGTCGCGCTACGTCGAGGTGCAACGCGAGGCCGGGCGCCTCCTGGCGAACTTGTGCGCGTCGGACTCGGAGACGTCGGACCTCATCGTCAAGGGCGGCGGCCACCAGCTCCTGATCTCCTACCTGCTGAGCCAGGACACGGCGTGCCAGCGCGTCGGCGCGCTCGGCATCGGCAACCTGTGCACGCAGGAGCGGCACCGCGTGCCCCTCATGGACTCGGGCGTGCTGGAGCCCCTGTGCACGCTGGCGCGGTCCGAGGACATCGAGCTCGAGATCCAGCGCTACGCCGTCTTGGCCATCGCGAACCAGGCGTCGACGGTCGACAACCACGCGGCGTTCGTCGCCGAGGGCATGCTCCCGTTGCTGATCTCGCTGTCGAACGCGCCGGACGCCGAGGTGCGCCAGTACGCGGCCTACGCCCTGGTCAAGGTGGCGCAGAATTCGGACGTGCGGAAGCAGGTCACGGACGAGGGCGGCCTCGAGCCCGTGCTCTACCTCGCGCGCACGGACGAGCCCGAGATCCAGGTCGAGGTCATCCCGGCGATCTGCACGTTGTCCTTCGCGGAGGAGAACAAGGTCGACATCACGAAGAACGGCGGCCTGCCGCCCATCATCGCGGCCATCCGCGACGCGAACGTCGAGACGGCGCGCATGGCGTGCTGCGCGCTGGCGAATCTGTGCGAGGTCGTCGAGAACACGTCGCTCATCATGGACCACAACCCCGTGCCGGCGTTGATGGAGGTGCTCGTGGGCCAGGCGCCCCTCGTGCAGTGCGAGGCCGCGCGCGCGATGGGCAACCTGGCCGCGAACATCGAGTACGGCGACGAGATTTTAAGGGCGGGCGCGCAGCGCTACCTCATGATCATGCTCCGGTCCGAGGAGGAGCGCTGCCAGCGCATGGCGGCCATGGCGCTCTGCAACCTCGCCTCGAACCTCCAAAACCAGCCGAAGATGATCGCGACGGGCATCCTGGAGCCGGTAGTAGGGGAGGCGCACCTCGCGCTGGACCCCAAGTCCAAGTCGGACTTCGAGTGCGTGCGCTACTGCCTGTTGATCCTGGCGAATTTGGCCGTGTGCCAGGCGAACCACCCGGCGCTCATGGCCGAGGCGCTGCCGACGCTGGCCGCGTTCGGCAAGCATAGAGATGTGAAATGCCGCCAGTACTCGATCTTCGCGCTCGGCAATTTGTGCTCCAACGGCGAGAATCTGGAGGCCGTGGTCCAGGCGGGCTGCCTCAAGATGCTCATCCGCTACGCCTTCCCCTCGACGGACGCGGGGTCGACGGACGTCCAGTTCCAGGCCATCGCCGCGATCCGGGGCCTGGGCACGCACCAGACGATCCGGCTCCAGCTGGTCCGCGAGGGCGCGCTCGAGCCGTTGATTTTGGCGGTCCAGTCGGAGTCCGTCGAGGTCCAGCGCGAGGTCGCCGCGGCGCTCTGCAACCTGGCGCTGGCGGAGGAGAACAAGGTCACCATGGCGCGGTCGGGCGTCATCGGCGCGCTCATCGCGCTGATGCAGAGCCGCGACGTCGTCCGCGAGACGCACGCCTGCGCCTGTCTTGCGAACCTGGCGGAGATGGTCGAGGGCCGCACGCAGCGGCGCCTCATCGACGAGGGGAGCCTGCGGTACCTGCTGCTCTTGGCGGAGTCGCCGGACCCGGAGGTCCGGCGCGAGGTCGCGCGGGCCCTGGCCCTCTTCGCGGCGAAGCGCGACTCCCAGGCGGCGCTCCAGCGCGCCGGGTCCATCCCCCAGATGGTCAACTTCGCCCGGGGCGAGGACACGGTCGCGCGGCGCTTCGGCGCGCTCGGCATCGGGAACCTGGCCATCGTGACGACGAACCACCAGGAGCTCTTCGACTCGGGCGCCGTCGCCGCGCTCATGCCGCTGGCGACGTCGGACGACCTGGAGACGCGGCGCTGCGTGTCCTTCGCGCTGAACAACGTGGCGTCGAACGAGAAGAACCACCGCGTGCTCGAGCGCATGGGCGTGCTCCGGCCGTTAGTTACCTTGCTCCGCGACAAGGACCAGGACACGCACCTCCAGGCGTGCCTCGCCGTGCGCCAGCTGAGCCTGACGCCCAAGTGCCGCTTCCAGTTCGTCGAGATGAAGGGCCTGCAGCCGCTGCTCGCGCTCGCGGACAGCGACTCCATCGAGGTGCAGCGCGAGCTCGCGGCGGCGTTGCGCAATTTGAGTTTGAGCGAGGCGAACAAGATTAGCATCGTGCGCCACAACGGCATGGACGTGCTCATCAAGTTCGCCCACTCGCTGGACGTCGAGATCGCCCACCAGAGCTGCGGCGTGCTCGCGAATTTGGCGGAGTCGCTCGAGAACCAGGGCCCGATGATCGAGACGGGCCTGCTGCAGCACCTCAAGTTCGTGCTCCGGTCCAAGTCCGTCGACGTCCAGCGCGAGGCCGTGCGCGCCATCGCCAACCTGTCCGCCGAGTACTCGCACACGGCCGCGATCGTCGCCGCGGGCGCGCTGCTGCCGCTCGTGCCGACGCTGAGCTCGCCCGACTTCCTCTGCCAGCGCTACGCGGCCATGGGCGTCGCGAACCTGGCGACGAACATGGGCAACCAGGCCAAGATCCTCCAGGCCGGCGCGCTCCAGCCCCTCATCTCGCTCGCGCGCCGCGACAACGGCGACCTCGACAGCCAGCGCTACGCGGTCTTCGCGCTCTGCAACGTCGCGGCGACGCGCGCGAACCACGCCCAGCTCGTCCAGGCGGCCATCGTCGAGCTCCTCGCCGCGCTCCTCGAGGACCAGGACTCGCAGATCCGCAACGCGGCCTGCTTCGCGATCGCGAACCTGAGCAGCAACTCCGCGAACCACGAGGAGATCCTGCTCCACGGCTGCCTGGGGCCCCTGGTGGCCTTCGCGGCGTCGCCGGACCCGGCGGCGCAGCTGCGGGGCGTCCAGGGCCTGCGGGGCCTGTCGACGGACGCGAAGCTCCGCGACGAGATCGTGCGAAGAGGGGGGTTGGAGCCGCTCCTCGCGCTGACGTCGTCGCAGGACGTCGAGGTCCAGATGGAGGTGCTGGCGACGCTCTGCAATTTGAGCCTGTGCGGCTGCATCGGCAACAGCCCCATGCAGTTCCTGCGGTCCGTGGACATCGAGACGCTGATCTCGTTCCTGTGCTCGGCGGACACGACGTACCGGCTGTTCGCGGCCGTGACGCTGGGCAACATCGCGAGCGACCGGAGCCTCCAGGAGGAGGTCGTCGACGGCGGCGCGCTGGCGCCCCTCGTGACCGTGGGCAACGCCGCGGACCTCGAGACGCAGCGGTGCATCGCCTACGCGCTCTGCAATCTGGCCGTGGACCCCGTGCGGCGGCCCGCGATCGTCTCCGAGGGCGGCCTGCCGCCGATCATCAGCCTGGCCTGCTCCGAGGAGAGCGCGGACGTCAAGGCCGCCGTGTCGACGCTCCGGGGGCTGAGCTCCGCGCCCGAGGCGCGGCGGCCCATCGTCGTCGCGGGCGCGCTGGAGGCTCTGGGCCTCGCGGCGCGGAACCCGGACGACGTCGAGATCCGGCGCGAGGCCGCCGCGGCCATGAACTCGCTGAGCCTCAACGAGGACAACAAGGTCGACATCTCCGACAGCGACGCGCTCCAGCATCTGGTCGCTTTGGCGCGCGACGACGACGTCCCGACGCTCCGCCAGGCCTGCGGCGCGCTGGCGAACCTTTCCGAGAACGAGAAGACGCACATGTCCATTCTCGCGTCGGGCGGCGTGCCCCTGGGCGCCCACCCGCCGCGGCGCGCCAAGGAGGGCCGGGAGTCGACGCCGTGGATCGCCGACGCGTCCGCCGGCTTCCTCAACGATTTGGTGACGCAGGCGGACGTGGGCCTCGCGCGCGAGGTGAGCCGCTGCATCGCGAACATCGCCGCGAACCACGAGACCCACGACATTTTGTTGGACTCGGGCACGTGCGTCGCCTTGGTCCGCGCGGCGAAGAACGGCGACGCGCTCGTCGCGCGCTTCGCGACGTGCGGCCTCCTGAACATGGCGACGAACTGGCGCAACCACGCGGGTCTGCTCGAGGCCGAGGGCCCGAACGTGCTCGTGGAGCTCGCGGGCGGCGGGCGGCGGCGCTGGACGCGCATCGGCGCGGACGGCGCGCCGTCGCTGGCCGCCGAGGGCGGCGCGCCGCCGAGCCCGCTGGAGCAGACGCACGCCGTCGTGTCGACGGCGGGGCTGTTGGGCGACATCGAGAACGAGGACAACGACGACACGGAGCAGGAGATGCAGCTCGTCGACGACCTCGGCTACGACCTCGAGGCCCGGCGCTACGCGTGCCTCGCGCTGGGGAACCTGCTCACGCAGAACGACAACCACGACGCCGTGCTCGAGGCCGGCGCGCTGTCCGTGCTCGTCGACTCCATGACCCAGGACGACCTCGAGACGCGCTTCGACGCCGTCTTCGCGTGCAACAAGATGGCGACGCGGACGGACAACCACGACGTCATGGTCGCGGGCAACATCATCGCGCCCCTCGTGCTCCTCGCGGGCGACGACGACAAGCACGCGCGCTGCCAGGCCTGCGCGACGCTGCGCCACCTGTCGACGCACGCGGAGTCGCGCGTCGCGATCGTCGGCGGCGGCGGTCTGGTGCCGCTGTCGACGGCGGCCATGGTGCCGGAGCTCGAGACGCAGCGCGAGGTCGCGGCGTGCTTGTGCCATCTCGCCTTGGCGGACGCGAACCGGGCCGACATCATCCTCTCCGGCGCCGCGCAGCCGCTGCTCGCGCTCTGCCAGTCGTCGGACGTCGAGGTCGCGCGGTTCGCGTGCGGCGCCATCGCGAACGTCGCCGAGGACCCCATGACGCACCGCGCCATCGGCCACCACCTCAACGGCATGCACACGCTGATTTATCTGATGCGGTCGCGCCACGTATCCGTGCACCGCGAGGCGTCGCGCGCGATGTCGAACCTGCTGTCGTCCGAGGGCAGCCACAGCATCTTCATGGCCGAGGACGGCCTGCGGTCCTTGTTCGCCATCGCCTGCAGCCGGGACCAGGAGTGCCTCTACAACGCGGCGCTCTGCTTCCGGAAGCTGAGCCCGAATTTAGCGAACCACGACACGATCGTCGCCAAGGGCGGCCTCCAGCCCCTGATCGGGCTCGTGGGCCTGCGGGACGTGGACACGCAGCGCCAGGCGGCGGCGGCGCTGCGGGACCTGGCGACGAACAAGGACCACAAGGTCACCTTCGCGGAGGAGGGCGGCCTCCGGTGCATGATCGCCGTCGCGCGCGAGAAGGACCTGCAGCTGCGCGTGCTGGGCATCTCGGCGCTGCGCCACCTGAGCCTGAGCTCGCGCATCAAGCGGCCCATCGTGCGCGAGGGCGGCCTGGGGCCCGTCTACGAGTGCCTCATGGGCGACCGCGACGAGGCGGAGCCCGACGACCCGCGGACCGCGGACATGACCATCGGCACGGCCGAGGGGCTGGACCTGGATTTGTTGGCCCAGTGCGCGGGGTTGTTGGGCAACCTGGCGGAGGACGCGCAGAACCAGCTCGCGCTCGTCCGCGACGGCGCGTTCGCGCCCTTGGTGCGGCTGTCGCGCGTGCCGCACGCGGGCATCCAGATGGACGTCGCCCGCGCGCTCTGCAGCATCAGCGCCCACCCGGACAACCAGGTCGGCGTCTTCGGGCCGTCGGAGCTCGAGGCGCTCTTCGATTTGGCGCTGAACACGGAGGAGAACTGCGGCCGCGACGCGGCGATCGCGATCGGCAACCTGTCGACGATCACGAAGAACCAGGTGACCATGGTCGACCTGGGGGCCCTGAAGCCCCTCATCGCGCTCCTCGAGTCGCCCTTCTCGTCGTGCCAGCAGTTCGCCGCGCGCGCGCTCTGCCGGCTCTCGGCGCACACGGCGAACCAGCCCAAGGTCGTCGAGGCGGGGGGCATGCAGCTCCTCATCAACGCCTGCCGCAGCGGCGAGCCCGAGGTGCGGCGCTTCGCGTCCATGGCTTTATGCAACGTCTGCGTCCACGAGGCGAACAAGGTCAAGGTCGTCAAGCTCGACGGGTTAAGACCGCTCGTGAAGATGCTCGACGACCCGGACAGCGAGCTCTGCCGGCGCTACGCGGCCATGGCGTTGTCGAACCTGACGAACGAGAAGTCGAACCAGGAGCACGTCGTGCGCCACGGCGCCATCCTGCCGCTCATCCGCATGTCCTTGGACGCGGACGCGTTCCCCGAGTGCGCGCGCTTCGCGGGCTTCGTGCTCTGCAACCTGGCGTCCAACCGCATGAACCGCGTGCCCCTCGTGCGCGCGGGCGCCCTGGGGCCCCTCGTGACCATGGCGGCGCGGGACGACGGGCGTTTAGAGGTGCAGCGGTCCGCGGCGCTCGCGCTCTACAACATCTCGTGCGCGGCCGCGAACCAGATCGCCATGGTCCGCGCGAACGCGACGGCGGCGTTGATCAAGCTCTGCAAGTCCGTGGACGTCGACTGCAAGCGCTTCGCCATCATGTCCCTCGCGAACCTCGCCGCGAACATCCAGACGCGGTCCGTCGCGACGCGCGGCGGCGGGTTGCAGGCCGCGCTGGGCCTCCTGCGCGATTTTGAAGTTGACGTCCGACGCTACGCCTGCATCTGCCTCGGGAACATGGCCAACTTCCCCACAACTCAAGTCCAGATCATCGTCCACGGCGGGTTGCCCGCGGTGTTGGATCTGGCGTCGGACGACAAGGACCTCGACTCGCAGCGCCAGGCGCTCATGGTTTTGGTGAACGTGACGTCCAACGAGGCGAACCACCCGGCGGTCATGGCCAAGGGCGCGCTCAAGGTGCTCATGGCGCTCGCGACGGACTCGCCGGACGCGTCCGTGCGCGAGTACGCGACGTTCAACGTCGCGAATTTGAGCTCGGACCCGGACCTGCTGGCCCAGATCGGCCGCGCGGGGGGCGTGCCGCCGCTCGTGTTTTTGGCCCAGTCGAACAACATCCACAGCCAGTGCCTCGCGTTCGCGGCGCTCCGGCGGTTGACGAACGAGCCGGAGAACCGGCGCCGCTTCGTCAAGAGCGGCGGGCTGCCGGCGCTCGCGAGCGCGGGCCTTTCAGCGGAGCTCGAGATCCAGCGCGAGGTCGCGGCGTGCCTCTGCAACGTGACGCTGGAGCCCGAGGTGCGCTTGGACGTCGCCAAGGTGTGCCTGCCGGCGATGGTCCATTTGGCGCAGTGCGGCGACCGCGAGGCCGCGCGCCAGGCCATGGGCTCGCTCGCGAACTTGGCCGAGGACATGACGACGCACACGCACGTCGCCGCCTACGGCGGGTCGCGCTGCATGGTCGCGTTGATCGACCACGACTCCGTCGACATCCACCGCGAGGCGTCGCGCGCGATCGCGAACTTATTGACGTCCTTCCACCACCAGTCGACGATCATCTCCGACGGGTTGCCGGGTTTGGTGCATCTGGCCCTGGGGCCCGACGGCGAGTGCCAGTACAACGCGGCGCTGAGCTTCCGCAAGCTCACGCCGAACAAGGACGCGCACCAGGGCATCGTCGACAACGGTGGCCTCGAGGCCCTCTTCCAGCTGCTGGAGATCCGCGACTCCAAGGAGGTGCCGACGCGGCGCCAGGCGGCGACGGCGCTGCGGGACCTGGCGGCGAACCCGGAGCTGAAGCTGGTCTACGCGGCCAAGGGCGGCATCGACGCGATGGTCGCGCTGTCGAAGAACCGCGAGCTGAGCCTCCAGTGCCTCGCGACGGCGTCGCTGCGCCACCTGAGCCTCCACGACGAGCTCAAGCGGCCCCTCGTCGAGGCGGGCGCGCTGCCGCCCCTCGTGCGGAACGCGTCGCGCGCGAACGAGGACCTCCAGTGCCAGGTCGCGGGCTTCCTGGCGAATTTGAGCGAGGAGACGGAGAACCAGATCTCCCTCGTGTCCAACGGCTGCATCCCCGTGCTCTGCACGCTCGCGCGCGTCGAGAACGACGAGATCCAGCAGGACAGCGCGCGCGCGCTCGCGAACGTGACGTCGAACGAGGAGAACCACGTGACGGCGTACCGCCAGGGCGCGTTGCAGGCGCTCGTGCACCTGTGCGGCAGCGAGGAGGACGTCTGCCAGCGCTACGCGGCCATGGGCCTGCGGTTCCTGTCGTCGCACCCGGAGGTCCGCGTCTACATCGTCAAGGAGCAGATGGTGTCGCCGTTCCTCGAGCTCGCGCAGTCGCCGCTCCTGGAGTACCAGCGCACGGCGGCGGCGGCGCTGGCGTCGTTCACGCTGAGCGTCGAGAACAAGGCGAGCTTGTTGCGCCAGGGCGGCCTGACGACGATCCTCGTGCTCGCGCTCTACACGGATTTGCAGGTCGTCCGCGACTCGGTCTTCGCGCTCGCGAACCTCGCGGACGCGCTGGACCTGCAGAGCGACCTGGTGCGCGAGGGCGCCATCGAGACGCTGGCCAAGGTCGGCGAGGCCGAGGACGCGCGCGTGCAGCGCGACGCCGCGCGCGCGTTCGCGTGCCTCACGCAGTCCGAGGAGGTGCGCGCGCGCGCGGTGTTGGGCGGGTCGCTCCCGGCGCTCTTCAAGCTCGCGCGGTCCCTGGACGTGGCCTGCCAGCGCTACGCGACGCTGAGCCTCTGCAACCTGAGCTGCGGCGAGCACAAGGCCAAGGTCGTGGAATTCGGGGCCATCCGGCCGCTCATGTTCCTCGCGCGGTTCCCGGACATGGAGATCCAGCGCTACGCGTCGCTGGCGCTGGCGGCGCTGGCGCTGGGCGACCACGGCACGAACAAGGAGCGCATCGTCGAGGAGGGCGCCGTGCGGCCCCTCGTGGACATGTGCCGCTTCCCGGAGGCGCGCATGCAGCTCTGCGCGGCGCTGGCGTTGAACGCGCTCGCGCTGGGGCCCCAGGCCATCACGAAGCTGGGCATCATGCGCGAGCAGGGCCTGGAGCCGCTGCTGAATTTGCTCCAGAGCCACGACGAGGAGTGCCAGTTCGCGGGCGTCTACGCTTTGGGCTCGCTCTCGGAAGACGGCGAGGTCAAGGCGCAGCTCGTGGAGCTCGGCGCGATCTCGAAGCTCGTGGCCATCGTCTACGACTGCAACCTGGAGATCAAGCGCGCGGCGGCCTACTTCTTCGCGCGCCTCGCGGAATCCGTCGAGTTCCACAGCCACCTCGCGTCGGACCGCGCGCTCGAGGCGATCATCGCGATCGCGTCCCTGGAGGACGTGGAGTGCCAGGAGGTGTCGGCCTTCGCGCTGGCGCACCTCGCGAGCGACCGCGAGCTCCAGGTCGCCCTCGTGGCGCTCGGGGCGCTCAAGCCCCTCGTGGCCATGATGTCGATCCAGGCCGAGCCGCGCCACTACGCGGGGCTCGCGCTCCTCAAGCTCGCGGACAACTTCGAGAACCACGTCGCCATCGCCCAGGAGGGCGGCATCCAGGCCCTGCTGCGGCTGGGCCGCGAGCGGACGACGGACGAGGAGCTCCAGTACAAGGCCGCGCTGACCGTGGGCACGCTCGCGTCGAACGCCGTCAAGATGATGCCCCACACGTCCGAGACCCACGGCGGCGGCGCCGCCGCGCGCCGGGGAAGATCCGAGATCGGCTTCGGCGCGGCGGCCATGCTCCAGGCCCGCGTCACCCAGGAGACGAAGCGCGGCACGGAGGAGACGCTCTCCTACCTCGACAAGACCGCGTCCCAGGACCCCAACGCGTCCAAGGGGCACCACTGACCGGCCTTCGCGTAATCGTCCGTGTGATCGGGCGCGTAGGTGGCTGGGGGTGGCCGGGCACGCCGGCGGGCGCCGAGTCGTCGGCGCGCGGCGGCCGGGTACATATAGAAAATAGTCAAGCTATGAAAACCAGAGTAGCGATCTTTTGTCCGAGACGCACCATTTTCTTCAAAATTGCGATGAAGGGCACCTGGCGGCGTCCCGAGGCCACCCATTCACAAAAATACTTCCAGGTACCGCAGCGTGTGGCGTCGGACAAAGAATACGTGTTATCTTCTGTCCTCGACCAATGAAATCGCTGGAATATGCGACTGACTTTAATTTTTCCATAATATAACTATTTTCTATATGACGCTGGCGACAAAATCGCGTTGCTCCACAGCCGACGCGCTTGAAGCAGGCAGCCGCGAGCTGGGCCCAGAAAGAACGCGTCGAAGCGTCGCCGGCCGCCGACATGGGCGTCCAGCTCTTCAAGCTGTCCCTCGCGACGCTCGCCGTCGTCTCATCCTTCACGGCGCCGGGCGCCCCGGCGCCGGCGCCCCGGTCGCTCGTCAGAAGACACATGGACCTCGACACCGTGCGCCTCGTGGGCGACGGCGCGGCGGCGTTCGTCGGCGGCTCCATGGGCGTCGCCGGGACGCTGGCCGTCTACGAGAACAACAGATTTCATGCGAAACAACGCGTAGTCTGCGCCTACTGTGCGTCCGCGCCCCGAAACCCCTTCCGCGCCGCCCGCCCCCCTCCCCCACCCGTCATCCGCGTAGGCGAGGGCACGGGCTACCTCAAGTGCGCGACCTGCATGGGCACGGGCCTCCTCGCGGACGGCAGCAAGTGCCACACCTGCGAGGGCGCCGACGCGGCCAGGGCGGACGGCAAGCACGTCTGCGTCAACTGCGAGGGCACGGGCCTCACGATCCCCGCGGCCTTCGACCGCAAGGAGATCAAGGCCCAGGACGACGAGATCGAGCGCCAGCTCGACGAGATCGGCATCGCGGCGCTCGCCGACGACATCATCCGCGCGGAGAATCGACCCGGCGACATGCTCGAGGTCGGCCGCATGCTCCAGCGACGAGCGATCAGGCGAGTGTCCGGGAAGGCGGGCGACGACGCGTCGTCGGGCGGCGACTGAGGCGCGGCGCCGCGTCCCGGAAAAAAATGTCCGTTTCGCGCGCGATGATGATGACCTTCCCATAAACATTCGCAGTTGAAGCCGAACAAGGATCTAATCGTCCTTCTGTGGCAAGTTAATGTACTTCCTTGGATGTCCGAGCGCACGTCGCATCGACCGGCCTTCGACCGTCGCGCGCGAGTCCAACGCGAAACCCTCGCGCCTCCGACGCAGGCCCCGGCCGCGGCCGCCGCTTCGTGTTGTTGTTGTGGGACCAGCGCTTCGTAATTCGGGTCCAGACTGTGGTCCTGATGTTCGCCCATACGCGGGCGCGACTACGCGAGTCATAAGTCCAGTGCGAGGTGCTCGTTCTTCGAGCGATCGACGTGGGTCCACTCGCGGGGGCGCGGCGCCCGGGAGAGCTCGGAGGCGCGCGCGTAGCACCGGAGGAGCGCCCCTCGCGCGCCCTTGGTTTGGTTGATCGACTGGAGCGAGGGGTGCCGCGAGTGGATCACCGTGAGGGGCCCCGTCGCCTACGACGGATGCTCTCTACGCCCCTCGAAGCGGCGGGACGCCGCGGCCGCACCTCGACGATGCGGGACCGAAGGTCGTCGTCGCCGAAGCACTGCTTGGCCCAGAACTCGCGCGGGACGGCGCCCAGCGTCACGAGGACCTTGAGCTTCGGCAGGAGCTTCAGCAGGGAGACGAGGTGCGTCGCGTAGGGCTTCATGTCCTTCAGCGTCGGCTTGCGAATCTTCGTCGCGCTGCCGACGTAGAAGGGGCAGGCGTTCCACACCACGACTCGGTCCCTCGCGAGCCCCGCCGCTTCCTTGAGCTCCGCGTCGATGACGGCCGTGACGTCGTCGTTGTTCGGGCAGATGAAGCCGCTCCCGCCGCGCGCGACGGACGCGTTGCCGCTCGGCGCCTCCATCAGGAACAGCACCGTGGCATCGACGCCGCCGCCCAGCGGATCGAAGTCGGGCAGCGTCGCGTCCTTGGCGGTTTCTCGGAGCGCGGCGACGTACGCGCGCAGCGGCCGCACGCGCGCGACGTCGAGGGCCCGCGCGGCCGCGAGGTTCGCGAGGTTCGCGAACGACCGAGGACGGTCCATCCAGTCCGCGTCCGCCGCCTCCGGTGTGGGCGTCTCTCTCGGCTGCTTCGCCGGCTTCCGCGGCGGCGTCTCGGTCCTCGGCCGCTTCTTGGACTCCATGGCTTCGGAGGCGGGCAGCTTGAGCGGTCGGGCAGCTCAAGCAGGCGGGCAGCTCAAGCAGGCGGGCAGCTCAAGCAGGCGGGCAGCTCAAGCAGGCGGGCAGCTCAAGCAGGCGGGCAGCTTAAGCAGCGCAGCTCTGCGAGACCAGACAGGCGGGCAGCAACCGAGGCAACGCTGCGGAGAGCAGCTCACCTCGAGAGCCGCAGGCTTCAAGTTGAAGTCGCGCGCTCGACAGTGCTGAGGCAGTGCCGCAGCGAAGCAAGCATGGTGGCCTCGACACAGCTGCTCCTCGGCGCCGCCGCCCTCCTCCTCGCCCCGGCGCGCGCCTTCCTGGCGCCCCACACGACCACCCCGTCGACGCGGACCGCCGCTCCGCTCGTCGTGCGCCACGGCGTGACGAAGAAGAACCGGCGGCGCGTCACGGAGAAGAACACGGGCGGGTCCGTCGGGGCGAACGCGCGGCGCAAGCGCGAGGCCGAGGTGCCGAACCGCATCTTCTTCGCGAACGTGCGCTACGACGTCACGGAGGACACGCTCAAGCCCTTCTTCGGCGCGGTGGGGCCCGTGACGCACGTGAAAATCGTCCGCGACTCGTTCACGGGCCAGTCCAAGGGCTACGGCTTCTGCACCTACAGCGACCCGCTCTACGCGACGACGGCCCTGCGGTCCCTCGACGGCCAGCCCGTCGAGGGCCGCCCCATCCGCCTCGACGACGCGACGAGCCTCGCGAAGCGCCGCAAGGAGAAGAAGGCGACGGCCGCCTTCGAGATCCGCGAGTCCAAGCGCGCCGCGCGCGCCGCCGGGGACGGCGCGGAGTAACTAGTCGTCCGTTAGCGCGTCTGCAAAAAAAGGGGCGGCCTAGTCGAGGTCGAGGAGGCCGGCCTCCTTGCCGCCCTTGAGCATCGCGTCCGCCTTCTTGGCGCGCGGCGCGGGGATGGGGCTCCCCGGCAGGGGGAAGCCCGGCCCGTCCTCGTAGCCGAAGATGAAGAGGTCGCGGCCCTTCTGGAGCACGACGCACTCGCCCGACGCGTCGTCCTCCACGAGCCCCGCGTGGACCGCGTCGTCGCCGAGGACGAAGCCGAAGTCCTTGTCCTCGAGGAAGCAGAGCTTGCCCGACGGTTTGACCAGTAAATGCTTCGCCAGGTCGGCGAAGAAGGGCTCGAAGTCGACGACGTAGTCCTTCGCGTTCTGGAGGTAGATGACGTCGTAGGGCCCCATCTCCTTGAGCGCCTCGAACTCCGAGAGCGCCTTCGCGCGCGCGTCCGCGCGCACCAGTTTCACGTTGCCGTTGACCAACACTTCGGAGACGTAGTCCTCCTCGTCCTTGACGTCCGGGTCGCGGCCCACCTGCTTCAGGTCGTCTAAGATGCCCAGGCGCGCCTTGTCGCTCGGGTCCGCGACGACGATCGACACGGACCGGTCGACCAAGTCCTTCAAACGCGACGACACGAGGCCCGTCGTCATGCCGAACTCGAGGAACTTGCCGCGCTTCGGCAGGGCCGTGGCCAGGCACCGCGCGACGGCGTCGACGCGCAGGTCGTCGTCCGCGCGGTCCTGCTCGAGCTGCTCGCGCTTCTTGTCGGACGACGTCCAGATGGCGTCGACGGAGTTGGCCTCGCGCTCGAAGAGCTGCGCCGAGTCGCCGAGGTCCTCGCAGCGCAGCTCGTTGGTCAGGCTGTTGAAGAGCCCCACGCGGCCGCGCTTCTCGAAGTTGATGAGCAGCTTCTGCATGAACGTCTCGTCGCGGAGCATGCCCCGGAGCAGCGACGACAGCGCCTTGCGCGGCTCGCCGTGGGGCGTCGCCGTGCGCCACATGGGCACGATGACGTTCTCCACGAAGCGCAGCTCCACGAGGAGCACGCGCTCGGGCCGGTAGTTGACGACGGACGCCATCGCCGCGGCCGCGCCCGCGACGGTCGCCTCGGCGTTCGGGTCCTGGTCCGCGGCCTCGAGCAGCGCCTGGAGCGTCGACAGGGACCGCCGCTCGTCGTCGTCGACGCCCTGGTTGAAGCCCGCCGTGCGGCCGCAGGCGCCCAGCACCGTCGCCGCGGCGTTGCGCGCCCTCCGGCTCGTCTTGTAGAGCTCGGGCACGTGCGTCCGCAGCGGCTCGTGGCCCCGCGGCGAGTCGAGCGTCAGGAGCGGACGGTACGCCATGCAGTCCACGAGGGCGTGGCCCACGTCCGGGCAGCCGAGGCAGCAGGCCGCCAGGACGCGCAGCGCGGCCTCGGCGAGCGGCGGCGGGCCGTGGATGAGGGGCGCGAGGAAGCCCCACGCGCGGTCCTCGGAGAGCGCCGAAATCCAGCCGTCGACCTCGTCCCTGCGCCGCGGGTCCGCGACCAACGCCTCGAGCTCCTCGGCGACGAGCTCCAGCGCGCCGACCGCGTCCTCGACCTTGCGCTTGTCCAGGTGGTCCGCGCGGTAGTAGAGGAGCTCCTGGCCGTCCGTCTGGAGCTTCGTCGCCCAGTCGACCGTGCTTCGTCGCGCGGGGACCTCGGCGTCCTCGTCCCCATCGTCATCCTCGGCCTTGGTCGCGCCGTCCTTGAACATCTGCTTGAGCGGGTAGCCGAGGATCGCGTCGGCCTTGGTCGTCGTCCGCTCGCCGGCGGCCGCGCGCGCGCCGCCGCCCGCCGCGCGCGCCTTGGCCCGCGCGACTTTCGCTTTCGCGGACTGGGCCCGTTGCTCCTCCTGGGCGCGCTGGCGCGCGGCGACGTCGTCGACGGAGCGCATGCGCAGCGTCAGCCGCGCGACCTCGCCGGAGCAGGCGACGAGCTCGTGCGCGTACTTCAAAAGGTCGCGGAACCCCGCGCGGACGTCGAGCGCGCGGCGCGCGGCGGCGTCCGTCGTCACGGCCCGCAGCGTCCGGGCGCCGCGCTCGGAGACGTCGCGGTTCGGCGACTCGAGCATCTTCACGAGCGCCGAGATCTTGAGGACCTTGGCGGCCGCGACGCGGCTCGGCTTGTGCTCGCAGAGGAGCGCCGCGGCCTCGGCCGCGCAGCGCTGCGCCGTCGCCCACTCGTTCTTCGTGTAGCGCGCCGTGTCCATGCGGAAGCCCATGGCCTTGGGCGTGAGCACGCTCATCTTCTGGAGCCGCGCCAGGCAGTCGCGGCCGAGGCGCGCGCCGAACTTCTTGGCGAAGTGGAAGTCGCGGCTCTCCGCGTCCGCGGACGGCGCCGCGAGCGGCGCGAAGAACTGCTTGATGGCCCGCCCCGCGCAGCGCTTCGCGCCCAGCAGCTCCACGAGCAGCGCCGCGCCGTGGTACGCGCAGTGCATGTCGTCCTGCAGCAGCGCGGCCTGGAGCCGCCGCACGCCGCCGACGTCGACGAACTTGCAGAGCGACGCCTCGTCGCCGCGGACGAGCGTGCGCAGGCGCACGAGGGGCAGGGACGCGCAGCTCGCGTGGAGGGTCTCGTTGCCCTCGACGAAGCCCGCGAGGAGCTCGAGCGCGCCGGCCGCGCGCGCGTAGCGCTGCACGGCCGGCGTCGGCTGCTGCGCGAGCGCGCCCTTGAGGTCCGGCTGGAGCGACTCGATGGCCGGCGCCAGCACGTCCAACAACTTCGCCGCCCGGGCGCAGGCGCCCGCGTCCCGATCTAAGATCGCGGCGTCCGCGAGCTCCGCGAGGCCGTCGAGGCACTTCTTCGTCTCGAGCAGCTGGAGGTCCTCGCCCTTGGCCGCGGCGGCCTTGGCGCCGACGAGGCCCGCGACGCGCTCGAGGGCGCGCACCTCCTTGAGCGCGTCGGACGTCTCCTTGGCGCCGAGCGCGAGCCGCGCGGCGACGTCCTTCTTGAGGTTCGGGATCTTCCGCAGCGCCGCGGACGCCTCGAGGGCCGCGACGTAGGCGTCGGCGGCGATGGCGAGCTGGCCGAGCTCGCGCGCGGCCTTGCCCCGCCGGTTGTGGGCCTTCTCGACGATGGGCGCGGTCGTCGCGGTGAGCGCCGGGTCGTCGCCGAGCGCGTCGAGCGCGTCCTCCGCGTCGCCGAGCGCCTCGAGCCAGTCCTTGAGGCGCATGCGGCACTCGCTCCGGTTGCTCAGCAGCGTCGCGAGCGTCGCCGCGTCGACGGGGTCGTAGAGCAGGCCCTCGGAGTACTCCGCGATGGCCTCGTGGTACTGGCCGCGCTTGAAGTAGACGTTGCCCATGACCTTGTGGTCGTTGGCGCGGTCCGTGCACGACTTCCACCGGCAGTAGGGCACGGGCGACTTGACGTCGTCGGCGAGGGCCTGCCACTGCTCGTGGGGGATGGACAGGCCGTCCGTCAGCGTGCCAAAGTAGGCCTTCTTCTCGTCGATGCACCCGAGGATCCAGCCCATCTTGAACTCCGTCCGCGCCTCGTTGACGGGCTGCTCCTCGCGGCTCAGGGAGAAGACCTTGTCGCAGCCCTTGGGGGACCCCTTGGCCTTGACGTAGACCTGCGCGGCGCGCGGTCGCGTTCTCGGCGCGACGTTTCGACGAGCGATGCTCTGCGCGGAGGGCGCGACACCCACTCTCCGCCCTCGCCCCACCGCGACGCCCACTCTCCGGGGCGAGGGCGCGCGGAACGCCCGCGCGCGATCGCCCCCGCGCGGCGCCGGATAGAGACGGGCGCCTCGTTGCGCCAGCCGTAGTCGTCGCTCCGCTCGTAGAGGCCGTTGCACTCCGCCGCGCCGCAGTCCTCGACCTCGTAGGACCACATGACCTCGTCCTTGCGGGTCTTCGCCGCGGCGTCGCGCGCGTCCCACTTGGCCGCCTCCTTGTCCTCCTGCTGCCTCTTGAGCGCCTCGGAGAGCTTCGCGACGCTCTCGGGCGACTGGTCCTCCATGGACACGAAGTCGCAGGTGTTGTGGCCGAACTCCGTGTTGTAGCGGTGGCGGTTGATGCTGATGCCGTCGCCGAGCTCCTCCGTCTCCATGTACTCCATGCCCAGGCGCGGGTCCGCGCCGCCCCCGCCGATGCTCACCATCTGCGGCGGCATCGTCTCGGAGCGCCTCTTCGAGGGCGGCGGCGCTAAAGGTGTCACGCGCGCGTCGAGGTCGTCGTCGCGCAGCGACGAGGTAGACGACTTCGTCCAGGCCCTGGCTGCCACAGAGTTTCTCTCGAGGCTGGGGACAGCAACTTGACTTCAACTTTCTGCGAGCACCCGGCACGCGCCGCAGAGCTGTCATCGCCGCCCCCGCTGAAGAAATCGAGGTGCAGCGCCGTACCTTTTGCTGCGGCGGACTTCAATCGCCCGGGCGTTGCCGCCGTGGATCTCGACCGGCGCGACGCCCACGACTCGGAGCGGGCCGCGCTATGGAGCGATGCTACGCGTGTGGCGGTCGAGACGCAGCACATCCGCCTCTTCCTCGAGCAGGCCGTCGATGTCTATCTGGGCATCGCGGAAGTCCGGTTCGTGGAGCTGCGCGGGATTGCGTCCCTCGAGGAGGCGAGAAACTGCGTATATCTTACCTACGCCGGGTCCTACAGCTACTCATATGTGGCTGGGTTGGATAAGATGTCGGATCGAATGGCGAGATACGCTTTCGAGAAAATCGATGGTAAAGAGGGCTCCGCCAGTGGTGATGGGCACCTTTGGCAAGCTCTATCTCGGCGCCATGACCACCGATTTGCAAAATTCTTGTTGCATCTGAAAGCCGGCACCGTCGTCTTGCGCGCAGAGCCAATAACTCAAAAACTTCAACAGCATCATAAACCCGACTTTTTATCCAACCCAGCCACATATGCCCTCTCGAGAGGTCTCGGACTCCAACGAGGGCGACCCCCGGGGCCCGGTTACTCGTGCTCCTACGAGCGACCCCACGGGCCTGCCCACGGGCGCGCCCACGGGCCTGCCCACGGGCCTGCCCACGGGCGACCCGACGGCGGACCCGACGGGCGCGCCCACGGGCCTGCCCACGGGCCTGCCCACGGGCGACCCGACGGCGGGCCCGACGGGCCTGCCCACGGGCCTGCCCACGGGCCTGCCCACGGGCCTGCCCACGGGCGACCCGACGGCCGCGCCCACGGCCGTCGATCAGTGCGACGTCGAGCTGCTCCCGGACAAGGACTCGTGCTCGGTCTCGTCGCAGTTTATTGGTTACCACTGCAGCAAGACGCTCGACGGTAAGTACGATGCGGACGGGGGCTGGTACGCCGCACATCTCCAGACGACCAACCAGTGGATCGCCTACGACCTCAAGGAGACGCACACCGTGACGGGCGTGTGCCTGGTCTGGGATTGGTACGCGAGTATCATGTACGGGGCCACGAGCGTGCGCGTCGACATTTCGTACGACGGCTCGAGCTGGTTCGAGGAGGCGACCTACGACGAGAACAACGGCATGCTCGCCGGCGACGGCGACCCGAGCTCGCTCCCGGACGTCATGGACGCGTGCTTCACCCTCAAAAGCGCCGTCGCGACGCAGCACATCCGCCTCTTCCTTCAGCAGGGAGTCCACTTGGGCACGGAGGACGACTACTTGGGCATCGCGGAAGTCCGGTTCCTGGAGTCGGGCGGGCCGACGTGCGCGCCAACGGCCGCGCCCACGGGCGTCCCGACGTACTCGCCCACGACGCACCCGTTTGCAACACCATTTCCGTGAACCTACGCAATGCACACACCCCCAAACCACCCCTCTCGACCGACGCGCGGGCTCCGGGCCGCGGTCGCCACGCGGAACCTCGGCGCCCTCGCCGCGCTAAGGCTTACCGTCGTGCTGCTCCGCGAGCGTCGCGAGCTCGTCGAAGCTGTCGTGGTGCGGGTGCGACATGTAGTCGTAGGACGCCCGGAGGCCCGAGACGCCCGGCGACTGCTCGCCGACCGGCGGCGCGTCGGACGCCGTCACGACGACGACCTCCGCGGGCGCGGCGGCGGGCGGCGGCGGCGGCGGCGGCGGCGCGGGCGCGGGGGCCGCGCCGCCGCCGGCCGCCGCGAGCCGCGCCTCGAGCGCGTCCAGGCGCCGCTCGAGGCGCGCGGCGACCTTCGCGGCGACGCGGCCCTCGAAGCCGCGGTCGAAGCTCTCGGCCCGCGCCAGGTCCGCCGCCGGGGCCTCCTCCCGGTGCCAGTCCGTGAGGACGCGCGCGAGGTCGCCGTTCTTCATGGCCTTGACGAAGTTGATCTTGAAGGACGCCCAGACGCCGTAGCGCGCGATGTACTTGCGGAAGGTCTCGAAGCCCGGCTTCGAGATGATGTCGAAGAGCGCGTCGGCCTCGAGGACGAGCAGGCGGCTGATCATCGTCGCGCGCGCGTTGTACCAGGCCGGCCGCGGCGCGTGGCCCGCGACGATCATCGCCGCCGTCTGGTCGCCGAAGCAGCCCCCCTCCGTGAGGAAGGACATGGCGTAGGGGCGCAGCACGTCGCGCCCGAAGACCATGACGCGGCCGCCGTCGACGACGTACATGGCCGACGTGAGCGTGATGTCCTTGCGGATGACGTAGTCGCCGCCCATGAAGAGGGTCGCCACGAGGGTCTTGGCCATGTTCGTCACGAGGAGCTTCGTCACGTACTCCATGGTCTGGACCGCGCGCTGGACGCGCGTCGACTCGTCGCGGAGCGAGATGCGGTCGTGCGCGACGCTCCGCTCCGCCGAGAAGTCGTCGAGGTAGCGCACGTCGTAGTTCATGCCCGGGCAGATGCGCGTGATGACGGCCTCGCGGCGCACGCGGTCGAAGGCCGACGCGTCGTCGTCGTCGCCGCCGCGCGGCTTCTTCCGGGGCCGCGGCCGCCGCCGCGGCCGGATCACGAGGCGCCGGCCGACGACGAGGCCGAGCGTGCACTGGCGCGCGTAGGACACGAGGGGCGTCGTGACGACGCGGTGGCCCAGGCGGAAGTGGGCGATGAGCTCCTGGAGGTTCGGCGACAGCTTGTCGACGAGGTTGCCGTGGAACTTCGCGCGGAAGAGGCTCTCGCTCTGGCGGAGGTAGTCCCGCAGCTGGTCGCGCACGGGCCGCGGGAAGTTGTTGTCGCTCGCGAACTTGTTCATGTTGTCCACCGTGCGCTTGAACTCGTTCGACGCCGGGTCCAGGTTGCACAAGATGTTCGTGAGGTCGCCGAAGAGGAACGCGACGAACATGATGCCCACGAGGTTCGACACCTGGGCGGGAACCGAGAGATTCGACGTCGCTTCAAGGTGAGTGGTCCGCGCGCGCGCGTATCAAAAACATCACCCACGCCTCGAGACCGTTCCAAGAGATGATCGCTCGTCCAAGCATCGGCCAAAACGAGCGGAACACGGCCGAGATCGGAGCCTTTGGGAATGTCGCACGCTTTTCCCGCCCTGTTCGACGCGATGGACAGCACGCCCTCGGCCGTCGTCATGTAGGCGGACTGGCCCAGCATGGTCTGCACGGCCCAGTCGAGCGAGTCGACGTAGGACGCCCAGTTGCTCGGCCACGACGTGTGGCGGAACGTGAGCGCCTTCCAGACGAGGTACGAGTTCGTGCCCGCGTTGTCGCCGCCGCCCCGGTGGAAGTCGTGGGCGAGGCGGATGCTGCAGGCCTGGAGGTGGAGCATGCCCACGAGGCAGCCCAGGTACTTGGCGACGACGTGGGCCTTGAAGGACATCTCCGCGAAGAGCGGGATGTTCGCCAAAATCCGCGGCGCCTTCGCGACGCGGAGGAGCTTCGCGAGGCGCACGAGGCGCACGAGGCGCAGGATGGCCAGGCCGCTCGACTTGCGGTAGAGGTACTCGTAGGGGAGGAGCGACACGACGTCCAGCCAGAGGTAGCAGGACGCGTAGTGCGCGGCGATGCGCCGCCGCGACGTCACCCACTCGCGCCGCCACGCGTCGTAGTAGCCCGTGTGGAACTGGAGCACCAGGTCGCCGAGGAAGCTCAGGTCCGCGACGCAGTTCGCGACGAAGAGCCCGCCGTCGAGGGGCACCTTGTTCACGAAGGCCAGCTCGAACGGCGTCACAAACATGACGTAGACGACGAGCGCGAGCATCCACGCGTCCCACCACGTGCGCCAGGGCGCGCTCGGGTCCAGGGCCGCCCAGGGCGAGCCCCGCGCCGGGTAGTGCACGCGCAGGACCGCCTCGTGCTCCACGGTCCTGGCGTCGATGTACGAGTCGTCGAGGTCGAAGAACTCGCTGTGCGGCTCCGCGTGCTGCGTGATGTGCGCTAAACTGTCGGACATGCGCCGCGACAGGCGCTTGAGGAGCGGCGCGCGCGGCGGCGGCGGCGAGCTCGAACCGTCGCTGAAGCCGCCGCTCGACACGCCGGGCGACAGCTTGCGGCCCGTGTAGGCCGACGGCGCCAGGGGGTCGCTGACGATGATGAGCGACTGGCGGCCCTGCTGGGCCAGCGAGTGCATCTTCTCGTCCTCGGCGCGCAGCTTCGACCGCCGCCGCCGCTCCGCCTCGTCCCGCGACGAGCACTGCGCCTCCATGGGCTGCCTGTTTGGGGGTGTGCCCATCGATGAGGGGAATGCGGCAAGTTGCACTTCAAGGTGGAGGCGCCCAGACCGGCCAGTCGGACCGCCAGTCACTTGCCTCTCTCTCCCTGGCGCATCTGCGATCCTCCCCGCCGACGTCTGGAGGTGCTAGATTATCCATTAGCAGGAGCCTCAAATCGCCTCGTCGTAGGGCGCGTAGATGGCCGCGAGCCGCCCGAGGCAGGCCTCGACGGCCGCGACGAACTCCGCGAAGTCGCTCCGCGCGCGCGTGTTCCACTCATTTTTGTTGTAGCCGAAATCCGCGAGCAGGTCGGCGCGGTCGGGCGTCATGAGCAGGAGCGCTTTGGCGGCGGGCCGGACGGCCCAGTTGTGGTGGCGCGCGAGCGTATCCTCGTACGACGCCGTGATGATCTCGCACAGCTCCGAGGGTCGGTGGCGAGGTCCGCGCACGCGAGCACGCTCTCGAGGAGGCGACCGATGAGGCTGAGGATGCGCGCGTTCCAGAGCGACGCGACGAAGACGCTGTCGTCGTCGTCCTTGGCGCCGCGCGACGCCTCGTCCGCGACGGCGGCGCCAACCTCGATTTCCTCGAACGCGTCGTCGGCGCCGAAGCGCGTCTCGAGCTTCGCGACGTTGACGTTGACCATCGAGGTGATGCCGCAGCCGAGCGAGTCGAGCCACGGAGTCAACGCGGACGTCGCCGCGAGGAACGCGCGGCCGTCGAGCGCGCCGTCGTCGCGCGCCGCGGCGCGGAACCACGTCGCTGATGCGTTCAAGGCTTCGCCGGCGGCGGTGAGCTGCTGCGACGGTTCACGCTCGCTCGTTTCGGCTTTGTCAGGTTCGGGCGTCGCAATCTCCGCCTTCGCAAGCATAAAGCCGAGCTCGTCCGTGAGGCTGGAAAAGTTCGCCATCGTTTTGGTGTTGTGGTTCGGCGGAAGGAGTGATACGGTCACGGTCGCGCGCGCGACGCAGGGCGAGCTGCGTTCGCGTCGACGCGGGTCGACCACGTCTCTCTCTAGCGCATTAGGCGAAGCACCCCGCCACGCGCCTATCGCGTCTGCCACTTGCTTGGCGATCGCCTTTGTGGAGATCTTGTGGCGCTTGTCGGCGCCGCCGAATCGCGGCAAGACCGCGACAAAAAATAAACCGGTGTACCCCAGAATCTCAAGAAACGCGAGACAACACGATGAACCCAAAGAACGAGGGGGGCGACGAGCCCGAGTGGAAGAAGAAGCAAAGAGAATTCGAGCAGGTCAAAGCGAGGGCGAAAGCCCTGAAACTCCGCACTACCTGTTCGATTTGCTCGGCTACCGCGAAGCTCCCGTGTCCGTGCGGCACGGCTCAATACTGCACGACGGACTGTCAACGCATCGACTGGCGCGACCGGTTTTCGAAAGGCGTGCAAGAAGATCCGAAGCGAGCGCGCGGCGGAGGCGGCCCGGGCCGAGGCGCCGACGCCCCCGCCGTCGCCGCCGCGGGACGTGTTCTACGGCCCCGCGCCTCGGTCGCACGCCGACGAGGTCCGCGCGCGCATCGCGGCGGAGCACGAGGCGGCGCGTCAGCGGCGCGAGGCGAACCCGGAGCGACAGCCGCTGTCTGCGCGGTACGGGTCGCGGTGCCCGATCTGCCTCGAGGAGTGGGACATGAATGTTCCGGGCGTGCTTCGCGTCTGTTGCTGCCGAAAGGTCTGCCGATCGTGCGAGAACAAGATCGGCACCGGCGCGTGTCCCCTCTGTCGCCTACCGCCCACGAAAACCAATGCGGAGGAGCTCGCGCGTCTTCGCCGCCATGTGGAGAACGAGGTGCCGGATGCGATTTGCTGTTTGGGAGAATTGTACCGACTCGGTAAATTTGGCCTCGTGAAATCCGATAAGAAAGCCGCGAAGATTTACCGGCGCGCTGTGGAGCTCGGCGACGTGGACGCGATGAGACACCTTGGGAGATTGCATGAGACTGGAAGTGGCGTCAAACTGGACAAGAAGAAGGCGGAACGGCTGTATCGCGCGGCCGCAGATCGGGGCGACGCGCTCGCGCAAAACAATTTAGGGGCTTTACTTGATGCTGAGGAGAGATTTGAAGAGGCGTTCCGGTACTACGCGCTCGCGGCGGATCAAGGCTATACCTCTGGAGAGTTCAACCTTGGCTGTTGTTACAGGGACGGAGAAGGCACGGAGGTCGACCTGGGCAAAGCCAGATACTGGTTCGAGCGCGCCGCTGCCAAGGGCTACGAGCCAGCTATAGAGTCCCTCGCGGCCCTCGATGCGCGAGTATAGCTTAAATCTTTACCCCGCATCGTCGCCCGAGCCCGAGATGCTGCGCTTGCGCACGGCAGTCGTGCTTGGCCTTGGCATCGTCGTTGCCGCGTTCCTCTCTCTGGGAACACTCTCCAGATGGGATCTATATATTATTACGGCCGCGGTGTGGACGTGGACATCGACGAGGCCAGACGCTGGTTGGCTCCCGGCGCCGCCAAAGGCCACGAGAAATCGAAGGAGGCGCTCTTAGCTCTAAATAATAGCGGCTAAACTCTTCATCGCAGAGCTCTATGAGGCTCCACCCCGCCGTCAGAGGCGTCGAGGCGACTTCACGATCGTTGAGGACTGAATCGACGTGTGAAAAGGAGGCGTCATCCCTCGTCGGCCTTGAAACCTTCGCCGCGCGTCGCGCCTCCCCCGACCCCTGCCGGCCGTTCGCGGCGCGGCCGCGGCGGGGGGGCACCGGTCGCGGCGTCGCCCGTCAGCGCATGCCCAACTTCTTCCCCCAGATTCCCGGGACCGGACGCAAGCCGGCCATGGCGACGCCGCCGCTCGCCGTCTTCTGGGACTCGAGCGTGCGCCACGAGGCCTTCGTCGACGAGCACAACAAGTCGCCGCAGCTCGCGGCGGTGCTGCCCTGGGACGACGCGACGTGCGACGTGCGCGTCGTCGCGAACGCGTGCCTCGAGGCCGCGCTCTGGGCCGTCGCGCACCCGCCGCCCGGCCGCGTCGCCGTCGTCGCCGGCGCCGACGCCGACGCCTTCGGGGGCCACGCCTTCGTCGGCGACGCGATCAAGCGGCTCGTCGCCGCGGGCTACGAGGGGGTGGCAGTGGTGGGCGAGAGGCCGAAGGGCGACGCGGCGTTCGTCGAGTGGCCCGCGCTCCGGAGCCGCGTCGTGTCGCCGGAGGCGCCGGCCCGGCCCGCCGCGCTCGACGACGCGCTCTACGTCCAGGGCGCCGACGCGCTCGCCATCATCGCGCACCTCCGCCGCGTCGACCCGCGCGGCGACGGCGTCCGAGCGGGAGCGCCGCTCGTCGACGCTCACGCCTCCCTGCACGCAGGTACCCCATCCCGGACGACGTCGAGCCGCCCTGGCTCGCGGGCCGGTCCGCGGTGCTCGTGTCGTCGCTCTACAACTACGTGCGGAACCTCGCGCGCGGCGCGCGCGTCGACCTCGACGGCCTCGAAAGATCGGGCGCCGTCTTCCGCGGCGGCGCGGCGCCGCTCCAGTGGGTCGTGGGCTCGGCCCAGGCCTTCGAGGCGCCCGCGCCCCTGCCGAGCCGCGCGCCGCCCCTCCCGGCCGGGGGCTTCCCTCACTTCCCGCCCGGCGCGCTCCGGCGCCTCGCGGAGGACCTGCGGGCCTGGCTGCTGCGGCGGCCCTGGCCCCACGAGGCCGTGCTGAGCCGGTCGGGCGTCGCGCCGTTCCTGGGCACGCTCGCGGGCACGCGCGCGTACCCGTGCGCGCCGTCGACGTCGCACGTCCGGGCCGCCGTCGCGTCGCACGGCGTCGACGCGCACCTCGCCTGGGAGTCCCACAGGGAGCGGAACAACGGCGCCCTCGTCGTGCGCGCCATGCCCCGCGACGGCGACGGGGCCCTGGACTCGTCGGGCTACGCGGAATCGCTCGGGAGCGGGTCGCCGCCGGTGCACTCGTCGTCCGGCGCGCACCTCGCGGGCTTTGGGAGCTCGTCGTCGCTGGGCAGCTTCGGCGACTTCGGGAGCGCCGCGACGCTCCAGCGGACCTGGAGCGGCGCGTCCCTCGCGCGCACGTCCGCCGCGTCGCTCGCGAGCCTCGGCTCGTTCCCGTCGTCCGGCAGCCTGAGCGGCGACCTGTGTGGAAATCAACCACTGGTTTGGGGGTCCCCACCAAACTTCAGAACTCTCTATCTCAATCAAATCGAAGTCGATTCGGCTGATTTTTGGACGAATCGATTGCTCTCATCGAGTTCTCGAAGCACGGCCGAAGAGTCCGGCGCAATCCGTTCAATTACGCGCACATTGAAGTCGGGTTGAAGATTTTAATGACCACGCAGGCGGCGACCCCGCGGCGCTCGCGGCGCGCGACGCGGCGAGCCACCAGCTCGTCGACGACCTCTACGACTGGCTGGCGCGCCAGCGGCGCCGCGAGGTCAAGTGCGCGGACTTGGTGCCCTTCTACGCGCAGTTCCCGCAGTACCGCAAGGGCGGCGGCCAGGGCTCGGGCATCAAGCACGCGATCCTCCGCTTCGGCGCGGGCCGCCTCACGTGGATCGAGGCGGGCGCGCCCGTGAGCCACGCCGTGCCCGCGGGCGCGGCCGGCGGTTTAGCCGGCGGCGACGCGCGCATCGCGCTGCTCGGGCCCGGCGCCGCGCCGCGCTACGCGCGCGCCGTCGCGCCGTCGCCGGACGCGGAGGCGCAGCGCAAGCTCGCGGGCGCGCAGAAGCGCCTCCACGTCGCCGTCCACGACTACGAGCTCGTCCACCGCGGCGCGGCGCTGCCCCTGGGCGAGGTCGCGGGCGCGTACCGCCGCGTCCACGGCCACGACCTCGACGACGCGGCGGCGCTGGGCTGCCGCGACCTCCGCCACGTGCTCGAGACCGCGGGCAAGCTGCGCGTCGTCGGCGACGCCGTGCGCTGCCGCACGCCGCCGGCGGAGCTCGGCTTCGTCGAGGACCTGCGCCTGTACGTCGCGGACCGCGCGGCCGCGCGGCCCGAGGGCATCTCGTTCGCGGAGCTCAAGGACCAGGTCAAGGCCTTCGGCCGCGCGCGCCACACGTCCGTGCGCTTCCTCCGCGGGGGCATCCTCGGCGTCGTCAACAACGTGCTCGTGCCCGAGGTCGTCACGCAGCTCGAGGCCGGCGGGCCCTTCTTCGCGACGCGGCTCCTCCGCTTCCCGCCGGGCCGGTCCTTCCTTCCCGCGCCGCCCGTCGTCACGGACGACGGCGGCGACGACGACGACGACGACGGCTACGCCTACGACACGGACCTCGTCGCCGCGTGCCTCGACTCCGTCCTCGAGTTCTGAACATAGCCCCCCCGCCTCCCGGGCGCGGGGGGGGCGAAGCTCCGGGGCCGCGCCCCGTCGAGCGCTCCCCCGCCCCCACCACCGAGCGTGTGTTGAACATCCCACCCTCGCCGACCCTCTATCTATAACATGTTTGATCGAAGACCAATCGCGCGATAGATGACATTGAGAGTCTGCCGCGCGGGCTCTGAAAAACTAGTCCTCCCGGTACTTCTCCGACACGAGGCCGTGGAGGCCCTCGGCGTCGAGGCCCGCGGCGGCCTCGACGACGTCGCCGCGGAACGACGGGTCGCCGCAGACGGACTGCCACCGCGGCACGAGGTGGCCGTGCGCGTCGAGCCACGCGAGGGACTTGCGGTCCTGCTTTTGGCCGTCGTTGTCCTGCGGGCGCGGGACGAAGGCGTGGTCGAAGGTCCGCGCCTCGCCGTCGCCGTAGAGCCAGCCGCACGTCTCGCGGTAGCCGTGGATTTCGAAGCCCGCGCACGCCCGGGCCGGGAAGGCCGCGTCGCACTTCTCGCACCGGGCGTGGCCGTCCGAGAAGCCCGCGCATTTGCAGCAGCGCGCGTTCATGTAGCCCTTCTTCGCCGCGTACTGCTCGAAGGCGTCGCTGTGCTCGAAGCGGAAGTTCGAGAATTCGAACGCGCCGAGCTCCGCGGCCGTCGGGCTCCCGTCGACGAGCACGCCGAAGTTCGCGTTCTGCACGTAAAAGTCCGACGCCGAGACGTTGGCCGCGCGCGGCGCCGCGCCCGCGACGCGCTCGCCGAAGCGCGCGCGGAGCGCGTGCTTGGGCGCCCTGAGCATGACGCGGCGGAACGCGACGTCCTCGACGCGCTCCCCCGGCGCGACGGGGCCGATCGCGATGCCCCGGCCGAGGAGCAGGGACGCGTCCTCGACGGCCACGGCCGACGACGCGCGCACGACGACGGCCTCGTTCGCGCTCTCGAGCGTCGCGACGCGGCACGACACGCGCCGCGACCCGGCGACGAGGAGCGCGTTCGTGTTCTTGTAGCTCCGGAGCGGGTCGCGCCGGCTCGCGCCGAGCCCGACGCGAATTTTTTCGAGCGCCACGTCGGCGCTCGCGACGACGGCGACGCCGAACGTCGGAGCATTGGAGAGCGAGAGGCCCCGCGCGGCGCAGCCCGAGCACTGCTCGAACTTGAGGAGGCCGTAGCCCCGGTGCGCCATTATTTTGATGCCAAAACTTTTGCTCGCCATCTTCACCGTCGGCACGATGAGGCGCCGCCGCTCCGACGCGCGCCGCCCGGTCCGCTTCGGCGCGAAGGTCGCGGCGGCGCCGACGAGCTGAGGCTCCGGCCGGAACAGGCGGCCGATGCCGTCGTCGTCGTCCAAGGTCGTGATGCCCAGCGCCTGCGGCGGCGGCGCCGGATCGTAGGCGCCGAGCACCGTGACGTTGGCGGCATCGAAGAAGTGGAGCATCGCGGGCGAGCTCAGCGACGGCGAAAACTCCTCCGCGGCCGCGGCCGCGGCGAACGCGTCCTTCGACGGCCCGACGAGGGACCCGCCCGGCGCGAGCTCCAGGGTCAGGGTCCGCGCGTAGAGCACGCGCAGGCAGCTCCCGAGCCGGATCGCGTCCGTCACGACGAGGCGGTCGCAGGCGCTCGTCTCCAGGGCGGCGATGAGCTGGGCCTCGTTCGCGGCGAAGACGTCGCACCGCTCGCGATCGCTCGGCCACGTCGCGACGTCTCGCGCCGACGCACGTAGCGCGACGAAGACGAGGAAAATCAAATTATCTCGCATCGTGTTCGACCGGTGCGGACGACGACGGCGTCGGTGCTCGACAAGGCGCTGTTTCGAGCCAAGTCAACGCACGCATCGATGGCGAAAGTGAAAATCACGGCCTCCTCGCTTGTGCCTCGTCGCCGTCCCAAGCCCCCGAGGAGCGTGTCGGAAGACGCACGCCCCTCTCGAGAGATCGCCGGCGGACGCCGCCGCGCGCGGTGTGAAGCACTGGTGACCTTGCCAAGAATTTTATATTTTGGCAGCCCGGCTTTGCGAGTGGGCAGCGTCGTCTGCTGCGATCGGAACAGCGCGCGGCCCGGCGTCCCCATGGCGGCGCCCGGGAGCGACGAGTGGCCCGCGGCGGCGTCCGCGGGCGAGGTCAAGGTGGAGGAGCGGGCCGGCGTCGTCCCCTGGCGCGAGGCCTGGTCGCGCGCCGGCGAGAAGCTGCCGCGGCTCACGCTGACGGTGGACAACCCCGTCCAGGCGGGCAGCGCCCTGTCGCGCCACGTGACCTACCGCGTGAGGAGCCGCTGCTCGCGCGACGACGGCAGCGAGGACGAGTTCGAGATCACGCGGCGCTTCTCCGAGTTCGCGACGCTCCGCGAAGCGCTCGTGCAGCGCTACGTCGGGCTCCTCGTGCCGCCCATCCCGCCCAAGGAGCTCACGTCCATCGCGTCCATGTCGGCCAAGGCCGCCGACAAGCAGACGAAGCAGCGGCTCCGCGTGCTGGGCCTCTTCGCGGAGCGGCTGGGCACGATCCCGTGGCTCGGCGACGACGCCGTGCTCCGGAGCTTCGTCGGCGCGTCCAAGGAGCCCTTCGCCAAGGCCCTCGAGGGTGAGCAGGCGCCGGGGGCCATCGCCACGGACGAGGCCCAGGTCAGCGGCCGCGGCCGCGCGCTCTGGTACGCGACGATCCAGCGGTCCGACGCCGCGCCCGCCGTCGCCCCCCGGCGTCCCGGAGACGATTTTACGAGCGCGTTCGACGGAAGCAACGCATGGTTACCGACGCGTCTCGTAGGTCGCGGCGCTCGCGCGGCTCCTCGCGGACGTGAACCCGCGCCTCGAGGCGCTCGGCGCGGCGCTCGGCGCGGCGCAGGCCGCCGTGGCCCGCGGCGCCGGCGGCCTGGGCCAGCGCGCGGAGGGCGTCGCGGCGCTCTCGGAGGGCTTCGCGCCCTGGCGCGGCGAGTCCGCGCGGCTCTCCGCGCTGGAGCTCGGCGGCGAGAAGGGCGGCGGCGAGGCGTCGGCCGCGGCCGTGTCCGGCGCGCTCCGCGCCTGGAGCCTGGAGTGCGCGCTCGAGGCGAACGCGCTCGACGTCGCCGTCGGCGGCGCGCTCCAGTGGCAGCAGCTCCACGTCGCGGCGCTCAAGGACCTGCTCGCGAAGCGCGGCGTGGAAATCAACCGCCGGTTCGGGACGTCCCGACCAAACTTTGAAATTCCCTAGCTCGGCCAAATCGAAGTCGATTCGGCTGATTTTTGGACGGATCGATTGCTCTCATCGAGTTCCGAAGCACAGCGAAGGATTCTGGTCCGAACCGTTCGATTACGCGCACATTGAAGTCGGCTTGAGGATTTGATTTCCACACAGGCGAAGCGCGGCGTGCTCCTCGACGAGCTGCGCAAGGAGCAGAAGACGCTCCAGCTGCTCCACGCGAACAAGGCGTCGGGCAAGACGGGCGGCGAGGCCGCGCCGCCGCCGCAGAAGTCGGGCGGCTTCTGGGACAAGGCGCTGAAGAACATGAGCGCGGTCGCGAGCAAGACGAACGGCCCGACGCTCAGCGTCGACGAGCAGATCGCCAAGTCCGAGGGCGTCGTGGCGGAGAACGAGAAGCTCCTGGAGCAGCACGCGCGGTCGCTCGTCTACTGCGAACTGGCGCGCTTCGACGCGGAGCACGCGGCGTTCAACGCGCTCTGGACGCGGCGCTTCTTCAACGCGCAGAAGGACCTCGCGTCGCGGACCATCTCGGCCTGGGACGACGCCCTCGACGCCCTCGGCGAGCCCAAGGACGCGGACCGCCCGCTGATGGCCGCGGGCCTCGTCTGGGACGCGGGCGACGCCGCGGCGCCGGACAAGGACGCGGCCGCCGTCTGAGCTCCGACGGGAAACATCCCCGCAACGCGGACTTACGCCCACCTAGTCCGCCTTCGCCGGGGCCTTGGTCGTCTTGACGCTCTCGGGCTCGGGCTCCTTGGTCGTCAGGAGGAGCAGCGCGAGCGGCAGGATGATGTGCCAGTACTTGGCGAGGAAGGATTTCGGCTTCTGCGGCTCCGCTTGGCCGCCCTCGGCGCCGCCGCGGCCCGCCGGCGCGTCCGTGAGCACCTCGCCCATGCCGCTCGGCGGTTTGCCGACCTTGGCCTGCACTGGAATCACCTGCGCGACGGCGTCCGTCGCCACCGTCGCCGTGGCCTCGAGGGCCGCGCCCTCCGGGAGCTCCGCCGCGCAGCCCCGGCCGCCGGCCCGCGCGTTGCCGAAGGTCAGGGCGACGACCTCGCCGCGCGCGGACAGCGACACGGCGACGTCCTCGCGGAAGTCCGCGAGCGCGAGGTCGCACGCGCGGAGCGACGCGGACGCCCAGGGCCCGGCGCCCCCGAGGCTCCGCGCGCGCAGCCGGTAGAAGCCGTCGCTCGCCAGGAGCGCACCGACGGCGCTCGCGTTGGGCGCGAGCTCGACGCGCGCCGGCGCGAACTTGACCATCTTGTGCCGCGGCGCGCTCGGCGTGATCTCCAGGGTGCCGCGGGGCGCGAAGGGCGCCGCGGCGCCGAAGGCGTGCTCCACGGCGACGGGGTAGGCCTGGGCCACGGCCGCGAGGGCCGCCGCCGCGAACGCGAGCAGGCGCGACGCCGCCATTTTGCGAGCGTTTGTGGAGGCACCACTCTCTTCACACTTTTGGTTGACTCTCAGCAGCTCACGATGTGGCTTTCGACACTAGGCGCAGCGGCGGTGACAGCCCCGGTCGCAGCCCTGTTCCACGCCAAGCGGCGCCTGCGGCGGTCCGCCGAGCGCGCCGACGCGGCGGTCGCCGAGCTGCCGCGCGAGGAAGATCCGGAGGCCTTCCACGCCGCGGCGCAGCAGCTCGGCGTCGTCGACTTTCCACCCGCGAAGACGCTGCGCGCGCGCTACGCGGACCTCGCGGCGAAAACGAGCGACGACGCGGCCTTCGCGGCGGCGGTCGCGCGCGTCGCCTGCGGCGAGCGCTGCCGGCGGCTCGGCGTCACCGCGGAGTTGTGCGCCGACGCGTCGGAGACGCGAACCCGCCTCGAGCGCGCCGCGGCGTCGGTCGCCGCCGCCGCGCGCTACGCCGACGCCGAGCGCTCCGCGCTCGAGGCGCGCGACGTCGTCGCGCGCTGCGAGCGGACGCTGCCCGCGGCCTTCGAGCTGCCCTGGCGCGCCGAGTGGCAGGCCGACGAGAAGGCGCGCGACGCGGCGCGCTTAGTCGCGGTCTGCCGCGAGCGCTTCTCGCACGACGCGCTCGAGACGTCGCCGCTCGCGACGGCCTGCGCGGAGCTCGAGTTCGTGGCGTCCGCGGCCGCCGACGCGCTCGAGGCGCTCGGCGGCGGCGACGACCTCCGGAAGCGGCTCGCGCGGACGCTCGACCGCGCGGACCGCGCGGCGCGGGCCGTGCGCGCCGCTCCGGAGTACTGGGACGAGCGGCGGAGCGAGGGCCGGCTCTTGCAGCTGCGGCGCGCCGCCGACGCCGCCGAGGCGTCCGCGGCCGAGCAGGCGAAGCTCCGCAAAGCGGCCGAGGACCGCGTCGCCGTCGCCGAGGCCTGCCGGGCGGCGATCGCGCGCGTCGAGGCCGCGCTCCGCGCCGAGACCGCGCCGGGGCCCCTCGGCCCGCCGACGACGCTCGGCGTCTGCCGCAACGACGTCGATCCCATCAGCCTCGAGGCGCTGCGAAATTACGAGCTCAGGGACTTGCGGCTCCTGCCTTCGGGCAATTGCGCCCGCGCGGATCTCCTCAAAAAGATGCTGCGGCGGGTGGACCCCTTCACGAACGTACCGCTCCCGTCGGACCGCCGAGCGGCGGGCGACGTCGACGCGATCCTCGCCGCCGCGCGGCGGGCCTGCGGGGCGTAACTCCACAACAACGTTTTTCTACGGGGACGCGCCGCGCGACGGGGTCTCGGAGCCCGCGCGAACGCGCGTTCGCGCGGGCTCGTCATGTGGTCGCGGGGAGGCGCGCCCGCGCCTAGGGCGGCGGCGCCTGCGCGGCGATGCGCGCGAGCATCTTGTCCATGCCCTCGATGAGCTTGTCCTCCGGGACGCCCGTCTTGCGCACGGTCCACCGGGCGAGCACGGCGCTCACGAGGCGGTCGACGCGCGGGAAGGGCTCGCAGAGCCGGCGGACGTCGACGTCGACGTAGTGCTTGAGCGTCGGGACCATGCGCTGGAGGAAGGGCGCGAGGTTCGCCTCCGCGAAGCACAGGTCCTCGCCGTTGAAGAACGGGCCCGCGGCGTCGCCGTGCTTCACGAGGAAGGCCTCGAAGACCTCGAGCTTCCCCGTGAGGTCGGCGACGGCGGCGGCGAGCGCCTCCGGGTCGTCCCGGAGCTTGAGGAACTTGAAGTAGTCGCCGAAGGGGTGGACCTCGGCCATGAGCCGCGCGGCCGCGCGCCGCGCGGGGTCCTCGAGGTAGAAGGGCCCGGGCCCGTCCTTCTCCGCGAGGTACTCGACGACGACGGCGCTCTCCGTGAGCACGAGGCCGTCGATCTCGACGATGGGCACCTTGGCGCGGCCGCCGGGGTTCGCCTCCTCGTACTTGGCGAGGAACGCTTCGCTCTTGTGCTGCAGGTCGACGGTCTCGGTCACGAACGGCACGCGCGTCTCCTCCATGGCGATCCACGCGCGCTGCGCGTAGGGTCACGTGCCGCTGTTCCAGAACGTCGCGCAGAGCGCCGTCGGCGCCCAGACGCCGAAGCCGATCTCCGTCCACGAGTCCCACTGCTCCGGGCCGGGCGGGAACGCGCCGCCTTGCTTCCCGGCCGCGAAGCGCCGCACGCACGACTTGTGCGCGTTGCGCCCGAGGCCGCGCGCGCGCCCGAGAGACGTGGCGAACGACAGCGACGCGATGCGACGCATGAGCATGCTGCGCCCTCGGGCTGTGCTTCACCGAGAGTGCAACGAGACATTCAAGATGCGAGCGAGGCGCGTGAAGTGGGTCTCTCATAGAGGCGGCATCGTCCAACGTGGGTGTGATGACTCTCATATATGCGGTTTACATCTCAGGCTGTATCTTTATCTGTTCAGAAACGGCGGCGAGCCCCGCCGGCGGGTCCTCGCGCCTTTCTCGATCGCGGCCCGGTTCGTGCACTGTCGTCCCACTGAGTCCCACGGACGAATTACGGACGAATCCGCCACCACCGATCTCGCCACCATCGACGCCGTTGTACGCGCTCCTTGGTTTCGGGACGCTTCAGGGGTGTAGCCTTCGGGAACGCCCGGGTTAAGAAAATCAAGCGACCGCTGACGAGCGGCGGCAGCGGTGGCGCGCGCTGCACTATGCCGGCAACACCCCCCGTCTCCGTGTCCCCAAAAACCCCCGGCGACGACGCCGCGGGTTCCTTGAAAGCGAGAGCGCCCGCAGCGAAGCGAGGGCGCGCCGAAGCGTCCGGAGCCGGGTGGACGATCGCCAGCTCGCTTCCCCCCAACGGCTGAGAGTGAAACGAGGTGTACTCGACATTCAACATACACGCGAGACGGGCGTAGAGCGTCTCTCATAGAGGCTGCATCGTGCAACATAAGTGGTTCTCATATAGGCGGTTTACATCTGTATCTATACTTTCTCAGAGACGGCGGCGAGCCCCGGGTCCTCGCGCCTTTCTCGAGCGATGGTCTCGTAGAGCGGCGCGTCCAGCGCGTTCATCGCGTTCATGCTCGCCGCGATCCGCGCGTCCATGTGGGAGAGGTCGCCGGAGAAGGTGCGCCGAACGTGCATCAACTTCAAATTGTGGGGAATATTGAGTTGTTCGTGGAGTCGGTCGAGATAAGCCTCGTCGTCGAGGCGCTCGAGGACGATCACGAGATGAAACCGTCGCAGCGTCTCGAGCGCCCTCGAGCAGTTCCCCGCGAGGATGCGTTCCAGGTCGAGGATGCGCTCCAGGTCGCGCTTGCCACCGCGCCTGCCACCGAACAACTTGCAGTAGCAGTTCGAGACGCACGTCCAAAGCGCGTTCGGGCGGCCCAGATTCTTTCCTCGCTCCTCGACGCGCGCCACCCACGCGTCGAAGTCCACGTGGTTCTCGGCGGTGCGCTGTTTGAGTTTCTCCGATTGCCCGTGGACCCACTGGCCCTCGAAGAGGTAGTCGCTCCAGACGCGAGCCGTGGGCTCGCGCAGGTTCGTTATCGTGACTTCAGACGCGGTTTTCGCCGAAGAGCTCCGTCTCGTTCACGATCTGGCCCTCGCGGACGCGAATCGGCAGACCGTGGTGGTTGGCGGCGGCGGCCAAAAGTTTGCGCAACGACGTGCCGCCGGCCTTGCGCGTATGGTGAAAAACAATGCGGTCGTAGTGCTCGCGGGAGAGAGGCTGTGAGACGGCGATCGCCACCAGAGTCGCCAGTATCGTTCGGCACATCGCGTACCGATTTTTGCGTGCGACGGCTCTCTCGTCGGGCTCTCTCGTCCGTGGGGCGCCGCCAGGAGTGAAAAACCACAAGCTTCGACTGCAAGCTTCAAATGGTATTTTTGAGCGATCATCGGTCAACAAGACGCCCTGAGCCAGTTCCCGAGCCCCATTCCCCGGCCAAACAGCCGACTCGTCGCCGCGCGCATCTCCGAGGGCACGCAGCTTACGCGCCTCTAGTGGCCGGGCCCCGTCCCCACGGACACCGTGCCGCCGGCGACGCCGGAGACGGAGGGCCGCGGCGTGCCGACCTTGATCGCGGGCACCCAGGCGCGCGTGTTGGGCCCGCAGTGCATCACCGACGACGGCCAGGACTCGCCGAGGGGCCCGCCGGCGGCCGCGCGGCGGTTCGCGGCGGCGACGCGCGCGGCGGCCTTGGCCATGGCGCCCCGCGGGTCCGCGCGCGGCGGCGGGCTCTTGCGCTTGGGCTGCTGGGGCTTGCGCTTCTTCGGCCGCGGCGCCTTCTTCTTCGGCGGCGCGCCCCGGGGCGCCGGCTCGCCGGCGTAGTCGTCGGCGAAGAGCCGCGGGATCATCGCGACGAGGTCGCGCCGCGACACGGGCGCGTCGCCGTCGCCGCCGTAGGCGCGCAGGTGCGGCGGCAGGGGCGGCGGCTCGTCGGCGGGCTCCAAAGCGTCGCCGCGGAGCCGCGACTCGCGCGCGGCCGCGAGGCGCGTCACGTCGGCGCCGTCGCGGCGCGGCGCGGCCGCGCGGGCGACGGCCGCGGGCGCCGCGCGGCGCTCGGGCGACGCGGACCGCGCCGCCCGCGACG